TTGTGCCAGGCGCATGATGATGTCGCCAAGATGGTGAAACATCAACTCTTTTGTATCCAATGCATGCATCTCATGCAATACGTGCTGGCCTTGCGACCTCGACGAAAGACAAGCGACGTGTTTCGCTCGCCGGCGGCCCCGAAAGACCCTTTCCGTTCGGCCTTTGCTGTGTTCCCCATGTGTAAAGACGGAATCGGAGAGTCAGTCACCGGTTAACGTTTGGCAGAACCCTGATATGACCCATTCCTTCACATAACAGCAACGGCTTGGGGCTGGAATGGTCGCATAGCGGGTGCCATTAAGACGGTCTCCACTGTATGGGCACTCTTTGCGTCAAGCTGCATAACAAAACCTATAAAGAGGACGGAAAAGTAAGTAAAGTGGTCTGAAATAGTTCGAAGAGGTGTGTTGGTGTGAATGGGTGTTCTGACGCTGGACGTTCGTCTTCACCAAGGTGGCCGCTACTGAGTGGCCAAGTTCTGGAAGGCGTAACATCCTACGGAGGACAGGCGGTAACGACCATGACTGAGCCAATGCCGACCTGCGATGGCCTGGCCCACTTGGTTCTACTTCTCGAAACTTTTGGATGTTGACATTGCGAGTTAAGGTCGTCGACACTGCTAGCCCCCGGATACTCGTGAAGGCTGTGTTGACCCGGCCCGGTATCGGCCGGGCGTAAGGAACTTTCATGACATAATGATGGTTGATTTACCTGAGTCGACAACTTCTTGCACTGCTGATTTTTCCATTGCGAGCAATACTTGGCTGGTGCGGACCAGTAACTCTAATGCCATAGTTAGCCACTTGCCGTTTGCCTGTCAGAAGAGATGGAATACAGTAAACTTACCTTCGTAGTGCAGAGAGTACGCGACTGGAGCATCCTCGTCCAATCCACGGTACACAGGTAGACGCTCCTTGGTGATATCGGTGACGCTGAATCGCAGGCCGACATTCCTTGTAGAGTCGGCCCACAAGATGGTGCTGTCGTCGATTCGCGGTCGCCCTTCGCCTACTGCGCAAATGGCACTCCTGGCGGCTGCCTTTGCTAACCAATGTCTCCAGACGCGTACCACGCCGTTCTCAATACTGCTATGGCTAGCGAGAAGACCAGGGTTTGGACCTGACTTGACTAGGCTAGTTGTTGTGCAAAGTTGGGAGAAGAGCTCTCCGTCATCTAGGATGAGTTCTTGGACGACCGGTTCATCGCCGATTTCTTGTTCAAGTGGGGCGCCCGGCAGCCGTCGACCAAATACCCTCCGCATGCGCCGCGTCTCTTCGGAGACGACCGGGCGGAAGTGGGAGTAGAGTTGAGAGAGATCACGCAAGTCCATGTCTTCCTCGCCGGTCCACTGGTAATCCAGGAAGTCTACGCCTGTAAATCTACACGTCATGGACGGTGTTGAGTTTCTGGCACTTGGGTGGTAGCTCTCCAGCATCACCTCGTGTCCTTCCATCCTCGCAGTGTGAAGGAGGCGGTGTTGTAGTATTGTGGTGGCAGTAGCATTGAAACGGCGGTCGACAGTCGTTAATGGCAGCAGCTGGCGAGACTCAAAGGTAGACAGGATCGCGATGAGGAGCTGTTCGGGGCAGAGGTAGTTAGCGGGAGTGTAGCATAAGAGTGATGGCGCTTAGCTGCGATGGGTAACGGAAGATGCGTACCTCGTTGGGTAATGAGTCGATTGGTGTTGTTAGACTAGACATGTTGGTAGTCGTAGGTTGATAGCAAAGATGTAAGGGGGTTGTAGTTGCTATGTGAAGCAAAGGCTCGTGCCGTCTAGGAAGGATCGGAATAATGCCTCGAGGACATGTCGAGGCAGGGCATATTTAAGTATCTGTCGATGAGGCCGAAGCAATGTCGAAAGGGGAGTGTATGCTGGGATTGCAAGGGGTGGCTGGAGAGAGTGGTCGGATTCAAGGTGAAGGTATCTTGAAGACCTAGGCTAATAAGGTGGAGATGCCGAAAAGCAGGGCACAAAGTCTATCCCTACGGATCAGTAACCAATCGACGAGGACCCTTGCCAGGAACGAAGATCCCGATCGTGGATAGGGGACGCGATGATGAGGGTGTGTCTGCTGTTTACGGTCTTTGTGGCGCGATTGATCCTGATGTGATGGTCGTGCTTTTGGAGCAGCGAAGTGGCTGATGCAAGGTTGATGGTTTCGGGAGTCGAAAACAAAGTGGATGCGGTGACATGTCGGCCAAAAGTTGGATGATTCGAGACAGGGAACTGGGTCTGTCAACCTTCAAGGCTCAAGACCGAGTGGAGAATACCGGACCGTCACGGGCCTGGCTATTTCCGGCGTAATGTCCGCCCGACCAGTTACCGTCTGCCCGGTGTCGGTCAGTGCCGGTGAGCCCGTGAGGTCACTCAGTGACCGTCACTGAGGTGGCTCCTTCCTTTCGAAAATGGCGACCTTCCGAGAGGCTCCTTCCTCTTGGTGGTATTACCTACCTACCAGGGGAATGTAGCTGGATGACTAAGGTATACATGACGCGCCGCGCCGAATTCGGACAAGTGCATCTCCGAAGCGAGAGATCCCGCTGCACCTCTTTTTGCTTCGCTTCTGCGGGCACTTTGCTCGCCAACATCCACCCGGCAGAGACAGTGGAGGCCAACAGCACCATTTCTCAGTCAGAATAACACAATTGTCGACGCTGTTGTTATCTTCGAGGTCTCAAATTGTTTAGTAATCAGTACACTCGTCACAGATACGAAAGTCGCAACGTCCTGCGCCTCGAAGCTCAAAAAGACGAAAACAAAACTCAAAGCCTTGACCAGCCCAATGTCCGGCATTGACCGTCATGTACCGGTTTCGTCCGAATTCCAGGATAACATCATGATCACCCCATCCGAACCGTCTTACGAGCCTCTCGAGTCAGAACCCACTTTCGCACTCCCGAATAAACAGGCGGTGGGAGCCTCAATCTCGGGATTCGTCCTAGCTTCGCAATTCAGGTCCAGACCTCAGAGCCCTGCACGCCCTGTCAAGACCTAACAATAACATGCGTCACGCCTGCTTTATTTTCTCCCCGAGTTATGAGCGAACATGGTCCAAGATTCCTTCTCGAAGAACGTCTGAGCCATGCACACGCCCATGCAGCCCCCCACACGCCCCTGCTCCCCGTCGCGCCTGTTCCTGTCGTTTCCTTGTTCGGCCCGCTGAGATAACAACGTTGATGGCGTGACATGCCATTAACCACCGCGCCGTCGTCGAGCAGCTCAATCCTGATCCAGCCAAAGCCCAGGAACGCAGTACGAATACGGAGTACGCTGCTTGGTTTTCTCAAACTGCGGTACATATGCAGAAAAGTCCCCAAAGCACGTGCGCTTGGTTCCTGTTACCATTGTGCCACCACGTACGGTACGTCAACAACTTGCGCCAGGAGAAGAAGAGGGGGAAGGAAAGCTTCTTCTTCCGCCTACGTGTCAGTCAATCTTCGTCGTCATATGCCAGCGCCCAGATCCTGCCTTCGGATCCTATCCCTCGTTCAGGACGGCATCTCTTATCGTTGTACAGCATTATCACAGATCACGCTGTCAACCTACATCTGCCCTTACGCAGAAGCCAGAGCAAGAGCCTCAGCAGCTATGGAACTCCTAATAAGTTATTGACAGTCTTAACGACGGCGATTCGATGGGCTGTGCGCGCTAGGGGATTAGATGCACGCCGACAGTATGCTGCTTCCACCCATGACCCAACTTCTCAAAACCTTCCTCTGTCGATAATCTCTGTTGCATTGAGCGAAGAAATCTGGAGGACGTAGATGCACAAACACGGGGCGCCGCTCTCGCAGGATCAGGTCTCGAGAACCCGAGCCACACTAGGCCCCAACACGGCGCGGAAGCTAAGGACCTCATTCCGGAGTGATGGCCGCCTGGCGCAAGATGAACGTCAACTTCGACATGAGATAATTGATGCTGATCAGATGAGCTCGGAACCAATAGAAAGAAGGTAAGCCTTTGTGGTTCACTTTAAGGAGAGCCGACTTATGTCTGTTGCTTTTCAAGATATCCAAGCAAAAAATTGCTTCTCAAAAATCACTGCCTCAACGCTAAACCTCATTGTTGGCCTGAACTCTGCAATGACTTCATCTCTGAAATTCTGGTTTACTTCAAGGTAGTCAGTCCATGGGCGCCATACAGGCATCCTTCCGGCCATGCCTGAGAACCTGGATCAAAAGATCACGGTGATTTGAGCCAATATCTCATTGATGGGCAGCGTCCAGACAAACTCGCTCACCTCCGACAAAAATTCCATTTCCAGTTTCCGTACTAATCAGTGAATCCGTTAACTTTCACTCGTGACTCAATTGGTTTCAGTACCTTAGCCTGCAGTCTTTGGTGCTTACCATGGTACCCGTAGCCGTTCTTTCAACCCGCCCGCCACCCGCCGCCTGGTTACAACCCTCAGCCCTCTTCGCCAACCAAAAGGTATGCGTCGGATGAGGTGCCGCGTAACAGCACGCCGTCTCCAAAGAAGAAGAAGTGATGCGAGGCCTCCGTCAATGTTCTTTACCGGTAGGCTTTTGATCGGCTGTGTTGGAGTGGTGACTTGCTGCGAGGGCCTACATTATGGTCAATTTGGTCTGTGAACTATTTGTTTTTCCTTTTTTTCTTTCTTGGAAGGGAAGGGGCTTTGGTATGATTCTCTAGTGGAGGGAATTCTGAAAGAGTGCTTGTATGGAAACGGACTACTGTTAAACGGAATAGATTGCGACTGAAACTTGACGAGGAAATGGGAATCAATAGACCTGCTAACGCCAAAGGCCTGCTATATGAATGCACATGGCTTTGACTGGCACGCTGATTTCGAGTGATGACTGTCACGCCTTGTCTCGAATGAACCTCCCTTGGACGATTTTTCAATTGGAGACTCAGCGTTCGATGTGGCTTGAAGCTGATGGTAATGTACCAAATAGCTCGCCACGTGATTCGAGTGAAGTCAGCCGCCTGAGGCAATCATTCCGGCTAGTTTGACCTCAACAGAGGCGTTTTGAGCTGACGCGGACGAGGACTTCTCTATCTTCGCAAACATTCCCTTACCCCTCGAATCTGATCCTGATCATCGCTGGCCCAAAGCAATTACTCAACGGGGCCAATTCTCCTTCAATCTTTCAATTGACTGCTCTAAATTTCGTGTGCCGCTTTCTGCACAAGAAACCATGGCTAGCCTAAATCCCTCTCCAGCTTCCTGGTGGAAACCCGCCGCCCTACCCCTCTTCACGGGCCTCCTCGCCCTCCTCGGCGCCGCAGACGGATGCCTCAACCTCGCCAAGCCCGAAGGCGGGGCGGCGACTTTCGGCCTCGTGCCCCCGCCGCGGGACACCGTGACCCCGGCACAGTTCGACGCCTTCCACCACGCCCTCGTCAAGGTCAAGGGCGCCCGCAACCTGCACATGTCGTCGTGCATCCTGGCCTTGGTGCTCTACGGCCAGTTTTCCGACGTCTGCCGCGCGTCACCGCTGGCGGCCACAGCGGTGCGGCGGTGCTTGGGGATCGTGCTGATGCTGGGCTCCGGCGTGGGCTTCAGCGGCGCGGCGGTCGTGTCTGAGTACATGGGGAGTTCTGATGCCTCAAGCGAGGCAGTCGCGGTTGGTAGAGCCAAGGTGAAGGGCCATTTGATTGCCAACGTGCCCATCTTGGCTTTGGGGTTGATGTACTTGTTCTACTAATTGACTGCTTGGGCTGATATTTGCGAACATTATCTGTGATGAAATGTGCATTAATTACGACGCTTTACCACCCGATACTTTTTTTCATCACTGTTAGATTATGAGTAATAGCTTTGGCACGGCGTCAAAATTGAACTCCTCAACTCGGCCTTGCCACATCCAACAATCCAAGTGCGGTCTACTACCAACTTCTTCGAGATAGTCAGTCCTTCGGTACTCGGTGTTTTGCCAGATCAACCGGATCATGGCGTCAAAAGCGACCCGAGAATGCTGAGTATGCAGTCTTTGGAACGGAGCGATACACGGAGCAAAAAAGGGGTATCAAATCTTGAGCGATACCATAGCAATATGACACACTTAAGGCTTTCCGTGCTGAAAAGAACGTTCGTTTGATCACCCCTCCACCAGCTTCCTTGTGGCAATTCTCATCCTCTTCCCAGAGAGCCATAGAGGAATCGTCAAAAGAGAGAAAATTCCCATCAGCATGCCAAATATACCAAACGGCTCCGAAGTCCCCTTCTCCTCGACCCAGTGCGCCACGAAAAACGTCCACGCGAACGCAATAATCGCTCGCATGATAGTAACCATGACGAAGCAGTCGCCAGCGAGATGTTGATACGCATCGATGAGCTGTAATTTCTCAGGTTAGAAATCCCGTTGCTCGGCGCGAAAGCACGCGTGGAAAGGATGCATGTAGTTGTTGTTGTTGTTGTATTTAACGCCGTGGCGGCCGGGCTAGAGCCCTTACCGCAGACCTCCCGAAGGGTATATGGCGTGGAGGGCCGTGAGCCAAGGCTACCTATTCTACAGTACGTCGTCTCTTTATATCGTCCTCCAAATTATACCTTATAGCTACTACGCGTTCTATCTATCCCCGGTTCCTGCTAGTACCCTAGTTTCATTCTTTCCTAAATCGTCCTTTAAAATCAGGAGGTTCTTTATAGTCCGCACTTATATTTATATAAGTATGGATACTATTACTATAGATAGATCTTCTAGAAAAAGTCCGTTACGTAGAGAAAGGCCTCGAAGCTTTATAGGTCGGTAATTAATCTTTTAAAATAGGCCTCGAGAGATCCTATAGGGCCTATAGGTTCGGGTATATTACGAGAGTAGAGGGTCGGCCACCGTTGCCTCCTTACTAACGTTAGTTAATAATAAATTAGGTAGTCTACGTCTTTTATCTTTCTACAAGAGCATAAGATTAAAGCGTCGTTATAGTTAAAACGTCGGTAATATTACTTAAAGTCCCTATAACCCGATCGTACCGCTAATAAGTAATATAGCATAGCCTATAACAAGGCTAGTTTAGGAGGGCTAGATAAAGCTACCTTAAGCCCTAAGTCCATATACTATGGCCTTCGCTCTTTATACTACTATCTTTTATAATAGCCCTATAGTTTTTCCTTTATAAGCCGCTTAATACCCGCTAATATTACTATTTAACCTATCCGTACCGGCAGTATCGTTCCTTTTTTAACTAGCCGGTCTATAGCCTCGTTTCCTTTAATATCCTAATATCCTAAAGACTAGTACGTCCATATATTAAAAATCCTGGCTACTTCTTAGATTTTAAGGAACGCCTCTTATAACGAATCCGGCACCTTACTGCGGATACCTTATATAACGCTAGTATTATCGATATATATATAAATTAAATAACCGCGATTAATGAGTAGAGCCCTTTTAAGGCCGGCTTACACTCCTTTAACCTCGGCATCGAACATTTTTACTAGTCTAAGTTGGCCGTACCTTTATATTATACATTTAGAATCTCGGTAAATAACGAAGCCGTACCCTATAGCTCCATTCGTCGCCTTAGAGCCGTCCGAGAAAACGATTATATAACTTTCCAGTACTATCTTTAACTAACGCTTAAAATCTTTTATAGCCTCTTCTTTATATTAAACTACTATCTAATCTTATAAGCTTAGTAGGTACTATAATTAAAGGAACGCTAGTCTTCCGTATTTTAATAGAAGTTTAGCCGTCCGTTATAGTCTTGTTTATTACTATCTTTATTAAGAAAGCCATATAATTAGCAGGTATCGGTAATCGATCCTTTATAATCGGACTATGGCCCATAAGTAGACGCCCTCTAAAGCGACTTTAATTGATAGTAAGCCGGCGTTTTAGAGGAGGCTACTAGTTAGCGTTATCCTCTAGATAGGCAGAACGGCCCTTATCGCTACTATAATAACGCTATTAATCTTCTATACGAGCCCCTTCTGGCCTATATTGATAGGTCTTTTTTAGAGAGGCAGATTCATATCTATCTCCGCTTAGCATCTCGAAGCCGGCTTCGTAATACCTATATACTATATTTTAGTACTAAAGAGCGTAATCGGCAGTACGTAGGAGACAACGGCTTTTCATACGGCGGCCGCTAGTAGTCCTCTTTTTATATTTATAAGCTACCTTAGGTATTAAGCTACCTTCTTTACCACAGCTACTTTTATATTAATATAGTACCAGAAGGACAATCTCTTATCAAACTAAATACCTAGCTAGTATACAGGTTTTATCAAGGCCTTAACCACCAAATCCCCCGCCCTAACCTCTAATAGCTCCGCTAGCTAACCGTACTTCCTAATAAAATAAATAACCTCGCACTTATTTAGATTAAAGGAGACCTTATTCTCTAAACCCCATCTAAGAATACCGGCTATACTTTAGTTAAATATTACGATATTATTCTCTAAGGAGGGGCTTATGGCTAAAATAACGATATTGTCCATATACCCAAATCGCATATCTAGGTCATCTTTAAATATTTCCGTAATATAAAATAAAAAGACGATAAGAAACAAAGGCGACCCCTATAGCAGCCCGCATAATAAAAGAAAGTATTCCGTTATACTTTCTTCTAATCGGACTCTAACGATACAGATACAGCAAAAGCTAAAAATAAGTCTAACTAAGCCGTATAGCCATCCCTACTAACATAGTCTAATAACGAGCCGGTTCTAAAGGATAGAGTCAAACGCCCCTTTTACGTCCATAATTAAAAGTATCGCCATAAGCCCTTTTAGGAGGGCCGTTTCGATATTATAGGTAAAGCAGGTCGTCAGATCAACGGCTAACCTGCCCTATAGGGCTCCGATCTATTACAGACTAACAATATACTCGATAATCGCCAAAGATACCATCCTTCTAGCTATTAATCTCTCAAGTCCTTTACCTAGGCACGAAAGGAATGCGATCGGACACTAGGACCCGGGCTTGGAGGCATCCTTACCGGCCTTCTAGATCATGACCACCTTAGCTCTACAGAAAGGTAAAAGAAAATAGCCGGCCTATATATAAGACTAAAATAGCTACCTAACTAGCTCCAAGATAATACCCTAGCAGGCCTAAAAGAGGCATATAGTGATCCCGTCCATATTAAAGGTCGTTATCTTTATTAAAATAGCCGTCTTTACTTTTTCTCCACTAATATTATCTTATTAAATAATCGCTTACTTTAAGATAATAGGTACGTTAAATAAGTCACCCAGTACGTCATCTTCTATACTAAACCTATTAAAAAGGGCTTTCCAGAGCGCTTAGGCCTTTTCGTTAATATCCTCAATCGTCTAGTTATCTATAATCAATAAGGGTACTCTGGTTAATAAGCTCGCCTTCCGCTAACCTATGACTTAATAAAGGTCCCGGTCTAAAGCGACTTTATCGATCTTTCCGGCCTAATATACTTACTTAACCTTCCTCACAATACTCAGGAATACCTTCCGTTCTTCTATTAGAGAAGGATTTACGTTCTACTCCGTCTCCCAGGCTTATAGGTTACGGGCAGTATAGTACGTTCTATAGGCCTCTATATATTCCTCTATCTACTAAGCCGTACCTTTTCCCTATTTTCCTCTTTTTTTACCGACCGCCTCAATAGCTCGGGAGAAAAGCTTAACGATATAACTTACTTATCCATCCAGGTCTACCGGAGTAGGTTAATCCCCTAAATTAAGCATCATAGCTAGCCCCCCTTCGATTAAGTCTCTTAGCCGAAGTAGTACCGAATCGGGTACTAATAGTAGCCATAGCTATAGGTGGCCCTTTCCCTATAATACTAGGCGTTTAAATAATAATATAACGGCTATAATAGCCTCGTAGTTAGCTCCCAGGTATAACTATAGGCTAACCTACGCATACGTAAAAAAGATATTAGAGAAAGCCAGGTCTAGGATATATCCGTAATCCTAGGTTACTACCCCAATTTTATTAATAAAAGAGAGATTATAGCCATTTACCTAGCCTACGATATCATCTCCCCGGTTCCCGTTCCTCATCCCGGGCTCTTAGAAGTAATAATATATATTAAAGTCACCTATAATTAAAGCTCGCTCTAGGGGTTTAAGTTCTAATAGTATCCCTATTATACGGCTATAGGGATCGTAAGGTTATTTATATACGTTAACGATAGTCGTTATTTTATTAATTACTAGCTATAATACGTCTTTTATATAAATAAGCCTTTACTACTCCACCATCATCCTTATCCCTTTATATATATAGGTTAATACTCTTGGTCTGGTTCTTTTATTATCTTAGAAATCGACCGGGATAAAAAAATCGAAACCTGGGTACGTATTCAATTATACATTTCCATCCTTCTAGCCCGTCCAGGGTTCCTGGACAAAAACCATATCTATCTAAGCCTCCTAGCAGAGCTACAAGAAAGCCGTATACGCCGGGGAGATCTTTCCGATATTACTTTACGTAACGTATAGCATCCATAAGATCGCCGCTCTTAGCTTATGTTTTTAAATCGAGTTTAAGGTAAGTATAGGCATTTACAACGTTATAGTTTGGCTTTTATACTGCCCGTTAGCTCCTACTTAATATAGGTAATATAAGACGGTCGATAAAGGTATTATCGAGGGAATCTTTGCCCTTACCTTCGTCCGCCTCGTCTTTATCCATATTACTACTATTAGTATTTCCGTTACTAAGGTAAACGATTAAGCTTATAGAAGGTATTCTTATACGTATACGCTTGGTACCAGGTTACTAGTTCTAGCTGGTAGAAGTAGGGACGCCTACTGCCTCTTAACTATTATTAGATTAAATAGCCTTATATAGAGTATCCGATACTTTTTAGCCAGCCTTCCGGATCCAAGCCTACTCCTTTTAACCAGGAAGAGAGATAACGCCGTTTACGGCCAAAGGCCTTACTAGGCAGTCTATATAGCTGGTTTAGAAGGGGCCGCAGCAGTTAGCATATTAAGGCCTAGCTATACAGGGTCCCGTTTCGTATAAATCGGAAGGTCTTCCGCAATTACTATAGATCGGTCGTTATTTATAGAACCGGTTAAAGTAGTAGCCTTAGTAGCCGGGGTCATATTAGATGAGCGTCCTTTATTTTTTAACGGGTAGAGATCTACTACTTTAGTTAAAGAGCTTAAAGGGTATAACCTCTAATATAAATAATATAAACTAAGATATTTCGTTCGTAACTAGGTTAAGCCTAAGGCAGGACAGTTAAATAAAAATAGGCTTTTATCCTATCTATACAAAGACCTTATCTTTAATAAATATAGCTAGGTCTAGGACGTCCCTACTAATACTATGTAGTTTTGTTAGGTATCGTGGCATAACGTAAATATACTACTTAATAAGCATTTTAACCTAGTAGGCGCCGAAGTATTCCGCTAGCTTTGCCTTATTTATAAATAGTCTTTTTTATATTTACTTATTTTACAGCTTTAAAAAATAACCTATACTAATATAGTAAACGTAGGGAAGGTCCGCTAGCCCTAAACTAACGGCCTTATAAACGATCTATTATATAGCGAACGGTACGATCTTCTAAATAGCCATTAAGCTTTCTTCCGGGATATGGATAAAAATACGGAAGTCCTCTTTCGGCTATACCTACGGCTGATCTTCGGTAGGGAGTATAGCCTTTAAGCGGGTAGAGCTCTAATAGCTCTAACCGCTCTAGGTCGCCATAATGATATTACCCGCTATTAGTACGACGATAACTACCTAATTCCGGGCCGCTATTAGGCTTATTTCGTAATTAATTAGTTTTTTAAGGGTTTGAATAATATAAGTAATGGCTTTTTTTACGATTTATTTTCTAAAATCGTTAAAATTAACGATAATATTATCGACGGACCGTATAATGGTTAAAAAAACGTCTTTCTATACCTCGTACTATTTAGCTTTTTTTATAAGGGCTATTAAGACGGACCCTATAGTAGATCTACTCGGAATAGATACGGTAAAGGCTACAGGCCCCTCGGCCGAAGTAGGGGCGTCGATAGTAATATTAAACTAGCTTCCCGTTAGGCTAGGCCAGGTCGGCTATGCCTTGGCATCGCGGCGTTATTTAGCTCTTAAGGTGGGGTTCGGCTCTGGAGGTATCCCGGAGCCTAATTCGGGGTCGGCTTAATCGGCCGACATTAGTCCAGTACCCAACAGCGGTTATAAGGTTATTACGGATACGGGCTCCGGTAAGGGGAGGTAAAGAGTTTTCGGCTGTTAGTAATTTGGTGGTAGGCTTACTTATTCACTAACAGCAGATGCCAAGAAAAATTAGGCGAGAGGGAAGTTGTGTGAAAGGATGCATGTACTCACATAGTTGAAGCCGACGGATGGTAGTTGCATGAGACCAAACGATACCATGGCAAACCCGGCAGAGAGACCGACCCAGCCATTTTTGGACGGGTATTGGCCCGTGAAGCCAAAGACGAAGAATCCGCCCGTCGCGATGACAAGCGAGGGAAACATGGTCGGCAACCTGCTCTCCGCTTCCGCCAGCCCGCTGCCCGAACTCTTGACCTTCTTCTTGAGCTGGGCGTCGGCGAGAAGGTACGTGTACAGAGCGCCCAGGCCGGTCCCGATGATGCCTCCAATATTGATCAACCCGACGTTGGCGCCCCAGAGGTACGGCGGTGCCGCCACGAGCTGGGGCCCAACGGTGGAGATGGTGACGATACCGCCGACGAGGCCTGCGTAGTGGAACATGACGACCCAGGTGCCCGGGAATCTCAGCGTCTTCCAGGGGGCGAGGAAGTTGTTCGCGACGCCACCGCGGTAGTGGGTGAAGCCCAGAGACCGCCCGTAGGTGAAGGGTCGGTAGTCTAGGACCTGGCTCTGCGCGTCTTCGACGTGGCTTTCCAAACCCTTTTCGTCAATGGGCAACTGGCCGCTGCCGGTAGTGTCGATGTTGGAGGAGACGACGCGGTCGTAGAGGGTCTCGGGGACAAGGAAGAGGGTGGCGATGAAACAGGCGGCGGACACGGCTGTTCCCACCCAAAAGATGTAGACCCAGCCTAGTTGATAGCCGATGTACCCGCCCGCGATTCCGCCGATGAGAGAGCCGCCTGAGAGGAATACAGTGTAGATGGCCTGGATGAGAGGAGTTGATTTATCAGCAAAAATAGTCTATGGTTTCTGTCGGATATGTTTGATATTAATCTTACCATAGCACGACCTCGCTCATCCACGAAAAAGACCTCTCCGATGAGTGCTGGAGCGACTGACTCTGACGCACCGGCACCGATACCTTGAAACAGTCTGGAGACGAGGACGCCGTTGTAGGTCGTTGAGACAGCGCACGCAATGGTGCCAACCGTCATGAGAAGCGTTGCAGCCAGCAACACGGGTCGTCGGCCGAAGATGTTTGACAGAGGGACCCACCAGATGTTGGATGCTCCAAGAAACAGAATGTTGACCTGTATTCATAGGAATCACTATCAGCTAAGCTCACCAACCCGGTGGCAGCACGTGGAAACAGGATGTAACCTACCGCGATAAAGTAGGTGAGGTCACTAAACGGCCGAACATCTGTCGGGAAGGCCTTGAACCATAGTTGTAATGCTGGTGCGATGCCCGAGCTCGTGAAGTTGCCAGCGAAAGAATATAGTGATACAGTCAATAGGAGTGTGAATTTGCGCCACTGTGCCCAGTTGAGAGGATCTGCTGGGTCTTCCGATGGTTGCGGGAATCGTCTGAGAGAGGTGGAAGATCTTGGTGATCCGCCTGAAGACTCATCTTCGACTAGGGAAAGATTGGTGGTTAGCATTCAGTCTAGGTGTTAATACGACAGAAACGAATACATCATATTGCGGAGTATCAGCAGACAGCAACGCATTGCCTTGCTCAGCCTGACTTCAACGCCGAACTCGATTGCTGAGGAACTCACGCATCAACTTCGCCGTCCCAGGCGGTGTCGCCGTTGCGACTTCCTCCTTGCTGAGGGCAAACGCATACTTCCAGCCCGACATCATGTTCTCTTCTGGATTGGGCGAAAGTAGGTTCTGTCGATCAAGTCGGTCACTGTTGTATGTACGTCAACGTTTTGAGAGTCGCCCCAAGCAACATCAAAATACAATGGTCTGATGTTCGTATGATTCCAAACTCTCGCTTTTGCACCGTCCTTATCAATAATTCCATTCTACTGTCAAACTTGACTCTCTAGGTTTGGACCGAACAGCGTCGCACTGACACTACCCCAGATTCCCCCCGGAATATCCACTGGGGGTCACATCCATGCAACCTTGAAGCTCGCAGCTGCCGGAGTGGGGGACGAGGGGGTTCCGAGGTGGGGGGTTCTGGCGCCGGCACATTGTGACGGGACTATCTTCAGAGGGTTTGGAAAACTGGGATAAACTTTGGAGACCACGTCTTTGAGAGCCGAATTGATACAACTTGTGTCAAATCAATGTGATAATGTATTGAACGCTGTCCTGGGCCTGCCATGTTGTCGACCATCACACGCGTCCGTCGGCACCAGTGTGTTCACTCAACCCAACAAGCCTTTGACAGACTTCATGCCCCGTTCAAAATCAAGCAGTAGTTACACAGATACTGGCGCATGAGCCAAGCGCCCTATTCCCAGACTGATCTTTGGCCCTGGCAGAAACCAATCAGAGAGTAGAAAATTGACATGACGTTGCACTAGTTTCCTAGAGCCGGCCCCACTGATCGAACTGGTAAGGTGGGGTGCCGAGATCAAAGCTGAGTAGGCTGGCACTCTTCCTACTTTATCCACCGTAAAGACCACATCAGCTTAATGATGTTAATCATGCTGGCTCTATGGTAACATTAATTTCATGTGGGGAAGGTTTGGCTGTTTTACGATCTGACAGGCGCTACATCTATGCCTGTTGTTATCAAAGGCAAGTCCACCGAAGCGCACTTCACAAGTGGTGATCGTGTCAAATAAATAACAACAAGCAAGTCTACAAGTTCCTAAACCAGTTGCAGCATTTGATATTGATTCCTACGAACTTTAGTATGCCCTAATACCCGAGTACGATGTGAGTTATTGTATGAGTGGTACCTCTCATCAGAGTTCGATTAGGTACCCCGGATTCTCCGGACTGACTTTGCGGGGTTTGGCTTTTCACCCGTAATCCATATCCGCAAGCACAAGATCAAAAGGGAACTTTAGCTAGCTTGATGAGACCACTTCACCAAATCAAGAGACTAGCGGCTGCAAGTTCCGTTAGCTCATGATCTACGAGCAACCTGCTAGGGAGATACACTCTCGACGCCAGCGTGCCGAGGACCGCGACCCCGGCCACGCCAAGATCACAGCCTCAAACTCCATGCTCACTGCAACATGGTTCTGCACTCAGAATCTCAGATTCCTTGGCCGCTACTTGAGCTATGACCCCACGGCTGAGGACGCAATCACGCCTTCACCCCCCACCGTTCCGGAGATGAGAGCTGCATGTGGTTTGTAGAGACGGCGGACCACTACCGGATGGTTAGCAAGAGCCCTCATACACCTCACTTGGCACAGTGGTCCAATCATCTGAGACTTGAAACCTGCTATGCGGAATACAGTATATGTTGCCGAGAGAATGAGCGGGCCCGACGGTCTGCATGTAGAAACTGGACAATTCCCTAGAGCTATCCGTCGGGGTTTAGGACTTATTTAGCTGCCGATAGGGCGCCCGTAGCCCGTCATTTGTGAGCTGCAAGTGTTAAAAGGGATGCTAAGAAGAGAAGCACACTTGCAGTAGTTCTTGGCGGTTCAACAGCGATAAGGGAATGGGAGATTCTCATTCAACTTTCCTCGCACCCGGCCTCCTTCCACCTATCAGCAAAGAGATTTCGGGAATAACTCAGTCGTTTGTGCTAAGACGTAGGAATATTTGACAAAGACTTGAATTACTCAACGGGTGTGGTATGGATTCGGCTGGACCGCACACAAGGGAAGTGGGGGCATTCCAAGACTATTAGTACCAAACCTTGACCACTTTGCCGTTTCGGAATCAGTACGAATAGCTTGACAACTATTGCTGTTGTTGGTCTTCAATAAGATCATCATCATTTGGGCAGAGAAAGGCACATCGACAATCCTAGTGATGCGTGACAAACTGTCACATCGGTCCTGTACAGTTATTCTCAAGCATATGCACGTATCCCTAATGCCACTGAATGCTGCTTTCTTTTCCCAAATTTCCCAGCCTGCTCTCAACAAGTATAATGAGTGGGGGATGACACGGTGTCGCGTGGATTCTCCCATTAAGGCCGCATCTCGCATGCAATAGTTGGATAAAGCAGCTTGAATCATGTTGGGGAACTGACCAAACTTGAGATAGCGGCATCTGCAGATTCTGTCCATGCCATCCTCAGTAAGCCGTAATATTCAACTCTGCTTCCAGATTCCAAACCCTTCTCAGGAGCAAATCAACTTCTGCGCGCTCTAAGAACAGACTCAGCTCACAGTGCGTAGACACGCGTCTTAAACCACCAAATACGTCGAATCCTGTCTGAGGTTGATTTCAGAGTGTTCTCAGACCCGCCCTACCCTTGCATGGTTGCCACCTTCCTGTACCAGGAACTGGAATGCTATGAAGCCTGCATGGCGGGCAACATGGACTGATCTGCCAAAAGCATGGACGCGTCAATGGGTACCTGCCCCGGTCCGTCCAGCATCATAATCTCCCAAAACGACTGGTCCATCGCCACGCCCCCGAGCCAAGACATGTTTGGGTCCGTCATCATCCCCTCGGGAGGAACCATTTGCGCTTGCTGCTGTTGCTGATGCTGCTCCTGCCGCTGCTGATGCTCCGTCGCCATCTGCTCCTGAGGCGGCTGCCCAACAACCTTACTCAGGTACCACTGACGGATCCACCTCGCACGGTAGGCATAATTCGCCCAACGCGAGCTATCATCCTCGAATATTCGCCTCTTTTGCCCAACGATCAGCGCCACGTTATCCGCCTCCTCGAATCGATCAGCCAACCGCCGCGCTATGGCGGGGAGGTCGAGCTTCTGGCGCGCCAGCATCACGTCCCAGTCGCTTGCCGAGTCTTCAAGAAGCAACCTGTGCGAGGACATCATTGTATGTGCTATATCCGCGACGGTGTTGAAGGGTAGATACGCAAAGGCCTCGGCAGGGATGGCGAGGAGCGCGTCCATGGCGATCTGAATTGCCTGTAGGCAGAACCAGAGTGACTCGGTCCTGCTGAACGGTTCCATGGCGGACATGGCCTCCGAGGGGCTGGCTCCTCGCATGCCGATGCTGGGCTCGTATAGCCTAACCATCAGTGCGCCATAATGTGCCCAGATCATTGCTAGATGACATGCTAGGTTAGTACAGCTAGCCGTCGGGTTGCTTCCTTGTAACTCAGTAGTATACTTACGATTCTCTTTCTTGATACCTGGCTCTTCTGACTCAAGAGCGCAGATCTCCTTGCGGAGTGATGCTATCACTGCACTAAAATGTTCCCGGAAGATGGGAAGAGGCTCCCCCTCCTCTCTGTCTGGGCTCGGAAAGATGGAACGAATCCGGTCACCTAGATGTTGCATGCGCACGAGGGCAAGGAGATTCTGATCTGTCGGTAAAGCGTCTGCCTCTCGAATGGCCTTGGAACATCTCGCGATCTGGGGCGAGTACTGTATCTGCGAGTGTCTCCTTATGGCGGCAGGAACACTGGTGAGGAATGTCAGTCTCGCTCCACCCTTCGCTATAGCAGATACGGGCGAAAGGAATATTACCTTGACGCAATGAAGTAGCCGCCTAGAATCGCTCGTTGCTCCTCGAGAGTTGGCTTTGGTGCTTCGAATTGCTTTCCTCCCCGTCCCAAGACTGCCCACGCATCATTCAACAAGGTTTTCGGCATCCAACTCACGGGGCCTGCTAAAGTGTACATGGTCATGTCCATAACCAGACCGATGGCCAGTTGGAGAAGGGTGTTGGCATTGATACCCATCTGCAGGTGGACATCACCCCTACGAGACACAAATACGTCAGATAACTGCACTCCGACAGCGGAACGGGCCAGAAGCCACAGTAGTATGGGATGGTTTGGTTAGAGCTTGACAAAAAAGCATCACTTACCAGGCAACATAGACAATCAAGCCTTGAAGCAGCTCAATCTTCTTCTCCTTATGAACTATGATATGCATAGCGGCATGTTTGCGGACCCAGTCATCAACTGCCTTTTGTACTGAGGCTGTTTGAGGTACAATGGCTTGCATAATACACCAGAATAGGAACCGCTTCTGATTATGGAGGTCCCTCGCCGTGACCTCGGGCTCGATGGGCACAAACGGAAAGTTGGGAACCAGACGCGTCCGGTAGATGGAAAGGTACTCCTCAGCCTTCTCGGCAGTGATGGTGAATCCAGGCAAGAGCTGATAGGACCCGCTGGGAAAGCCAGCCTCAGGAGTCGGCATAGAATGACAGTCTTGGGCACCAGCTGAACTGTCTACACTCGGAGATGCGTCCGTGCTTACTTGATGGGTGACGCCTGGGATAGTCAACCCAGTGCATGGCATCAAGCGCGGGTCTTCGCTACTAGGAATGGGGCCGGTTGCCGGTTGCCCTGGGGTCTCTCCTGACTGCTGCTGCGTCTGAAATAGGCTAACCAGACCATCTATTTTCTTCTCCAGCTCAGTGACACGGCTACGGAGTGATCATTTAGCTTCATGTTCCGCTCAAAGACCCCGGTAGATAGAAGCAAGAAGGAGGGCCGGGTGATCTGCAGCCAACTCAAAAAGCAGAACGCAACAAGACACGCTCCAAGATGGACTCTCCGGGTCTCTAGACTGACCTTGACTTTCCCCGTTTCTTCCTCGGGACCGGCTGCGGTACCTGGCATCGTATGCTCATGCGGGAGCAGCTTGGCGCACCAACGCTGTCAGTGGACTCTGGTCGATAGGCACAACTGTCGCCAATAAAGGCAGAAATGCTCACCGGATGCAATCGGCGTGTTCGCTGTGTTCCGAACCCGGTTGCCACCGGCACCGTATCTTGAGGCGAGCGCAGTTAGTGCAAGCTCGGGACTTCTTTGCGTGACTATGCGCAAAGTCGGGGCTGCTGGCGTCATCGTTTGGCGACATTGTTTGTAATCTTTCCCAGCAATCAACCCGAGCTTAGAGATATTTACGGAGCACTCGTGTCTCAGAAGATGGAGACTGAAATTTTGAAGAACAAAAAAACAACAGGTAAGAGCGCTTTGCTTAGGCGCGAATTGCCTGGCAATGTTGGGGCTGGGTCGAACGGGAGAGCTCGAGAGTGATGGAACGGACGGCATGGATGATTCCGGGGGCCGGTGGACTCTTAAGATCCGTGTATGGATGAACGGGATGGAAGGGAGCTACTTGATTGGCTACTTGATCTCCATGGAGCACGGCATCGGGAGTTATTATGAGTTCCGACTTCCGATCCTCCATACCAAAACCGCTGCTCTGGCCCAAGCTGCTTCGTGAAGGGCGGCCGCCAGCGTCCAAAGACATTGCTTGTCCTGCGGCTTAGTACCCACTGTAAGCACAAATGACCCTGACACTGTTGCCTATGTGCAGGACCCCCCAGCGTTCATCGGTACAGCATTTGGGACTTTGGATGGAATTTTTGCACGTAAGACGATTAAGCCTGAAGAGTATGTGGCTTTCGTTCCTGCGGAGCTACTTACACTATACCCTGCTTGGCAAGCTGACTTTGACTTGTCTCCCGTGCTATTCTCCGTACGGACCGGTATCGTGATGTGGGATCTGCAAGTGCGAATGGTGAAAGACCCAAAGGCAGCAGATATCTCTACAATCATGAGAGATAGGTGTATTTAAAATATCCGTCACTAGATGGAGGAAATATTTGGCATTCAAATAAATCAAACGCGCAACACTCCACAACTCTTCTTCACCAACTTCATTGATACAATTGACGAAAATGCCTGTCGAAACAAGGTGGGTTCTCACTACGCCACGGCACGGGGCGGATGAGCTAACACTGACCGTAGAACAACAACCTCACACTCCATACCACGAACAAGTGGAGAGAAGTTCAGCGAGGCCGAATTAGAGAAGACCTCCCCAATCCAAGATGCGGCCGCAGAAGAGCATCCTACTGGTGCGAGCCTAGCCATAATCACAATCGGCCTATTCCTTGCGGTTTTGTGCTTCGGACTTGTAAGTTCAACTTACCTTCTTACTTCAGTGCTCAATCTTCCCGTCACTGCAGCACATCGCTAATAGCATCCGCACAAATCCAGGATCGCTCGATCTTGGGAACCGCAATCCCGGTAATCACATCCGAATTCGAGTCTCTGCCGGATGTAGCGTGGTACGGCTCCGCCTACCTCTTCACGATGTGTTCGTTCCAGCTCTTCTTCGGTAAATTGTACGCCGAGTTCAACGCTAAATGGGTCTTCCTTGTTGCTCTCTTCATCTTCGAGGTGGGTTCCATTGTCTGCGCCGTGGCTCCGAGCTCCGTTGTGCTCATTATCGGCCGAGCCATCTCCGGAGTCGGTGCAGCCGGACTCATGTCGGGCGCTCTCATTGTAAGTCTTCCCCGGAAGGATTTGAATTCCCTGGTTTCTCTAGAGCCCTGTTGATTAATGCAATCGCGATTCAGATCTTGGCTAGAAGCGTGCCTCTCCACCGACGCCCGCAGTTCACCGCGGCAGTCGGCGCAGCGGGCGGAATCTCTCAGTGCATAGCGCCGACTCTTGGTGGTGTCTTTGTTGATAAGGCCACTTGGAGTAAGACGTCTTCCTCCTCATCATCATTGGTAGGTAACTAGACACTGACGGAAAGCAGGATGGTGCTTCTGGATCAATCTTCCTCTCGGCGGTGTCACCTTTCTGGTTGTTCTCTTTCTCCTGAAGCTGCCGGCGCCGCCGAAGAAGGAGACACAAAGCGTGCGAGAGTTTATTTCAAACTTTGACTTGGTTGGAACATTGCTTATTATTCCTTGGATCATTTGTCTCCTCCTCGCTCTGCAGTGGGGCGGAACTGAATATCCCTGGAGCACCTGGCGCATTGTCCTGTGCTGGTGCCTCTTTGCGGTCTGCTTCCTCTCCTGGGCGTTTGTCCAATACCGTGAGGGCGACAAAGCCACCGTCCCGTTCCGCATCCTCTTTCAGAGGTCGATGGCTTGTGCTTGCTGGCTGATGCTTCTTTTATTCTCCCTCCTCTTCATCGAAGTCTACTATATCCCTATCTGGTTGCAGGCTGTCAAGAACCACTCCGCCTATCAGAGTGGTATCGACTTGTTGGCATCATCGGTTTCCTTGTCGGTGGCGACAATTCTTTCTGGATTCCTGGTAAGCTAACAGTCCAACAGATTGCCGGTAAGCCAAGCCGTGATGCTGACCGATTGCTAGACAAGTCACATCGGATACTACGTTCCGCAACTCATCGCCTCATCTGTTATCACCTCTGTTGGAACGGGGTTAATCTACTCGTTCAACGAAAACACGAATTCAGGCTTTTGGTAACTTTACACCTCGTCACGTAGTTTCAGTGCTCCCAAAATGCTAACAACCGCTTCAGGATTGCCTCACTCATCGTTCTAGGAGTAGGCGTGGGTCTGGGCGGGCAACAAACGTTGATAGCAGTTCAGACTGTGTTCCAAGGTCGTGACGTAGCCCTGGCAACGTCTCTCTTGATCTTCTTGCAAAGTCTTGGCGGTACCGTATTTTTGGCCGTCGCTCAGAACATCTTCCACTCGCGACTTATCTTCGAGTTGAACCGAAACGTCCCTAACGTAGACCCGGCAGTCGTCATTGATTCGGGCGGTTCCGGACTGGTGGAGTCGATGCGGAGGATCTACCCGGATTCGGTCGACGGCATCGTCGGAGCCTACAACAAGGCTCTCCAGAACGTGTTTCTGATTGCCACCGTCCTCGGATGTTTGACGTTCTTCGGGTGTGTTTTTATTGAGTGGAAGAGCGTTAAGAAGGATAAGCCGAAGAAGGAAGGCCAGACTCAGGGTCAGACGAAAAGGGACGGAGACGCGGAGAAATAGAGCTATCCAATCCGGAACTGTCGGTAGCAAATAAGAATGTGTTCATACTTTACATAATGTGGCTGCAAGTTGGAAAGAATTGCGAAGGAATTCTTACAGGCAGTGGAGAGTGGGCAAGGTCTGTTCTCGAAAAGAGCAACAGAATCGTAAGTGACACGATCAGGACATGTGCACGTACCCTTTGACATCGATCTCCCGATGTTTTCGGTGTAAGAGCTTTCGTAACGTCGAGCGTCAGTACTCAATCCGTCTCCCGCGCGCGACGAAGAAACAAACCCCAAGATCCGCAAACCCCCCATCAAGATGTGCAAACTATTAAGCGTTTGTGCCGATCTCCCGCCAGCGCCGGCTTTCATCGCTCGGAGATCCCCCACGGTCAGGGAAGGGGGGACGAGGGAACCAGATCGGGGCCTACGCTTCTTTCAATTTTTCGAAACGACTCCGCAACCGTTTCATCCGTTTGCCAGCTTGGGCTTGGTAATCGTGAAAGAAACACTACACTTCATACTAGCCAGCCGACTACCGGTTCACTGGCAAGGTTAAGCGTTGCCCGCAACTTCGCTCCCTTGCTGGAATTGTCGTCCCAACGCCGAAAGGACCTGACACGAGGAGACAGCTTCTTGATTGACCGGCCTCTCCCCACCTATCTAAGAAGCGCGAGATCGTATCCCCCCCCCCCCTTTGAGTTAATGTTTATTCCCCCCTTTATTCCTTAGTGCGAATTTCTAAGCACGCTTCGGTATGCAGTGCGGCCGAAGAAACGAAACATGTCATGTTTGAGGCACCTGACACCTCTTATTGGACAACTCGGGTCATCCCATCTTTTGAGATGCCCAAGCTTCGCTGCTACCCCTGCTCGTCACGGCAACTCGACCACTCTAACTCTGTGATTTTAAGTCTACTCGGTCTCATGATCGGAAGAAGTTTGCTCAGTGCGGAAGGTTAAGAGAGAAAAGGTTCGTATTAGTGGGCAAGTGGTGTTGCCGTGCATATCCCGAATGTGCAGTTAGTTTGAGATTCTGCGAGCAGTGGTAGTTAGCTTAAATATCTTAGGGTCCTCTGCTCTTCTCATGTTGAGTGCTATTCTCTGCAGTGTTACCAGTGTCATCGTATCGAAGCAGCGTCTCGTTATCTCAGCCGAATTAGCCAGTACTAGTCCGTACACGATCATCAAGGGTCAGGAATCAAGATGAAGTTCAGCACCATCGCCGTCTACTTCTCCGCCTTTGTGGGAGGCTCTCTAGCTGCCGCTCTCAATGGTGAGCTTTGCCAACATAACTTATACGGAACTTTGTTACGTCGTAAGGTAGCTTGTGACTCACATATTCGATAGAGCGTCAGGCACCGCCTGCACCCGGCCCCGCACCCCCGACTCCCAAGGTCATCCCCGTTGTCGTCGGTAGCCCAACCCGTGAGAAGTCTCTGCTGTTCTACCCCGAGGTCGTGAAGGCAAACCCCGGCGACATTGTCCAGTTCCAGTTCTGGCCCAACAACCACACAGTTACTCAGGCCGCCAACCCCCAGGCCCCGTGTAATCCTCTTCAGGATATGATGCCGAATGCCGTTCACTCTGGTTTTATCCCGGGCGTCACCGACGGCTCTCCAGTCGGCACCTTCAACGTACAGGTTGAGAATACTGAGCCAATGCTCATGTACTGCGCTCAAGGCATGCACTGCCAGCTTGGCATGGTTATGATCATCAACCCGTGAGAATGCCCCAAATGTCCCACTCTGGGATCTTGTCAGCACTAACAACCTATCAGTAAGGCTGATGCCGATGTGCAAGCGTATAAGATGGCCGCCAAGGGGTCACAAATGAACTTTCCTGCCAAGAATGTGGCCGGTGGCTCCGCGGGCAGGATTCCCTCAAATTTGGCTGTTCCGCCTGTTGTTTAGAGCGAAGGGGGCATTCGTAGCGGCTGATTTTTTTAATGCACTTAAATCCAACCAACTACAAACTGTAGCCTTTGTTGTTTACACGCTCGCTTGTAGACACCTACTAGGATCGGCGGACGGATGCACTTGAACCAGGGGGTGGCACTGCTGATGCGGGTTGTCGGCTAGAGCTTTGAGGTTTTGCGTACGCGGAGTTTGGTTGGCTAGATATTCAAGGATGAAGCGTCGAATCAAGAGACTACGTTGTTAAAATGCATCCGAACAAACTATGACGAGGAAGCGATGTGCGGTAGGGGCTTGTGCAAGCTATCATCGGTTCCCATTTGACACCTTGAATTCGTACCAGTGAGCTGGAACCAGCAAGAGGGATCGGCGGACTTTACGGAATTAGGTCAGAATTGAACCGAGTCAGCCCGCATGTTTTCCAACCAGAGCAGCTCGCAATAATGAACAGTTTGACATGGAAGAAGGCGACCTTTTGGTGCTACCTACACCATGCAAGACACGGCGGAAGAAGCGTTGAGGCAAGCATTGAAAATCTTCTGAGATGAAGTAGGTCCCGTTGTATACATGTCCCCATCAGGCAAGCGCCCGAGCATACCTTAGACCAAGGTACCTTACGCGCTCGATCTAGTCGACATGGGATTAGCTGAGACTTCCTAAGATACTTAAGGAACAACCGTATGCTTGCCGGATTGGTAAAATTGGTAGAGGAATTCCATTTCTTGCAGAACGCATGGAGTTTTCCCACCCATCATTACAGACATGGGCGGACTGCACCGTGAGAATCACTGGAAAAGGCCCCATGAGCTTGTCAACTTGAGCATCGACATCACCTGGCAGAGCAGTTACCATTCAGCTCTTCCTACGTGTCGCTCAAGCTGAAGAGACCAAGCTACGGACAAAAGTGTCGGGGGCATGGGAGATAGCTTAATGAACTCTGCGTCTCGTAGCCCTAAAGATTGGCCGTACGCCATCACGGTCAACGGCGAAAACACTCGCCGCCTCTCCGCGGCCGGCCGTACGCTGGGTGTCACGTCGCTTTGCGGGTCGGACGTCGGTCTCGGACAACTATCATCCCCGAGTTCCGCCGCCTAGTAGAAAACTCAAAACACACCGGCCAAGATCAACGGTTCCCCCGTCTTACGATCAGAGACCTCCATGTTCATGGACATGGATAGTCGTTTCTAAGTTCCCAAATCCAGGCATTCAGTAAGATATTTATTTTATCTTTGGAATTCTTATAGAAGTATTTTGTACAGATCGTCCTCTCAATTGACTCAATTTGAAAACACTCGTCTTGAAGACCTCAATCCGACTCTCCAACATTGGCGTGTCTACTCGCCTTGAGGGTGCAATTCGCATGTAATGATCCACTTGAGTGTGTATGCACGGCGTGCAGGGAGAATATCTTACTATTTCGACCCACGCTATTCGACACTTGAACAAGGTTTCGGTCCCGACAATGTCTCCATAGCCTAGCATTCTAAGATCGCCTATGACTCGTCCCATGTCATGCACCAATGATAGTTATAAGCCGTACGCCTTTACATCTTCAACTTCATGACGCTGCGGATCGATTGCGTACTTGTCTGACAATGGATGACGGGGTACGTTCGTCTCAAATACGATGGCTCTTTTGCTATAAAAGCCTGTTGTTTTCGGCCTTCCATTATCGAGAAAAGCTCGAAACCAGTTCTCGGGCACGTTTTTCGTCTTGTTGACTGTCATCAAATTTGTCATTCCGCCATAATATCTCATAAGCTGTACGTGCATCATCGCGATGAACACCCAGCTCTTACTGGCATTTGCAGGCCTTGCCCTGCTAGCACAGATTCTATTCTCCGTTGTTCAGTGGCTTCGCTCCCCCCTGCGATCAGTACCCGGACCATTGCTAGCTCGCTATTCGGACTTTTGGTATTTTCACCGGCTTAAACAAGGAAGATTTGAGAAGGTCAACCAAGACCTACATGAGCAATACGGTGAGGACGTCAAAGAGTAGCAAATAGTTTATGCACTAACGTTTCGTTTTGCTCGCCAGGGCCTATCGTGCGCTATGGACCGAACCGATACAGCATCAATGACGCGGAAGCCCTCAAGACTGTCTACGGCCACGGCACGCAATTCCAGAAGTCGGAGTGGTACATCCCGTTCCAGCCAAACGAGGATCTATGGAACGTTTTCTCGGACCGCTCAGTGAGTCGTCATGCTCACAGCAGACGGTTCTACACCAACGCATACTCCATGACATCCCTCGTCAACTACGAGCCATACGTGGACGAGTGCGGTGCTCTCTTCGCTCAACGTCTTTCGGAGTTTGCAAAGGCAGGCTCCATAGTAGACATCGGACACTGGTTCCAGTGCTTTGCCTTCGATGCGGTTGCGATGATGACCTACGGAAAGCGTCTTGGGTTCTTGGATCGGGGCGAAGACATCGCCCAAGTCATCGACAACATCAACAAAAGTTTGCTATACTCAAGCTTGACCGGCATCTTTCCTTCCGTGCATGTATACATCGCACCACTGGTGACCAACATCACTAAGCGTCTTGGCATGGGAGCAAAGATGATGTACGTGATCGACTTCACAGCGCAGACCATTGAGGAGGAGCAAGCATCACCGAAGACAGTGATTGAGGTCAAGGGTGCCGAAGACGGCGCTGCTATCGGGGAGACCTTTCTCACCAAGTTTCTGGCCAAGCACTCCAGCAACCCCACTGAGTTCACCAACTGGCATCTCCTCATCGGCTGCGCCAGCAATGTTTTTGCCGGATCCGATACGACCGGTATCAGCATCTCGGCCATTGTTTACAACTTACTCAAGAACCCCGATTCCTTGGCGAAGCTTCGCGAGGAGATTGCAGACTTCACCAGCCGCGGCGAACTGTCTCAGGCGCCGACCTTCAAAGAGAGTCAGAAGATGCCATACCTTCAAGCAGTGATCAAGGAGGCTTTGCGAGTCCATCCAGCTGTGGGCCTGCCGCTTGAACGCATCGTTCCCGAGGGCGGCGCTACCATTGGTGGTCGTTTCTTTCCTGGAGGAGTAAGTTCACACACTCTATTTAGCCCACGATATGTCAGGACTAACGAGTCGACTCTACCTCCCAGTCCGTCGTTGGAATCAACAGTTGGGTCCACCACCGGAATACATCCATTTTTGGGGACGATGCCAAAAAGTTTAACCCCGATCGTTGGCTGATTGAGGACGACGAGAAGATTTCCGTGATGAACAGAAACTGGATGCCTGTAAGATGAATCCTCATTTACTCACAATCACCTGGATCTCTTGGCGCACGGGATTTCTAACACGATTCGTATTCTAGTTTGGGTTGGGATCACGCACATGCCTGGGCAAGAATGTGTCTATTTTGGAAATGTCAAAGCTCATTCCTAGGCTCATCCGGGACTTTGACTTCAAGCTTGAAGGTGCGGCCGCTGCGCCAGGAGGGGCGTGGAAAACTAGCAACGCATGGTTCGTCAAGCCTCAGAACTTCCACGTCAAGGTGGAGTCGAGGGCGGCAGGCTACTGAAGTCGCCGCATATGGCTTTGCTGATTTACCAAAAGCATTTATGCATCTGGTCCCATCCACTCAGTCAGCATCGAGCGTATGGACGTAGATCACACTATCACCAAGTTTCGTACATGTGTATTTTATTAGGGTAGAGATGTTGCCTTCACGACAATATGCTCGCGCGACTGGTTGGAATTGGAAAGCTATGGTTGGATTTACAGAACCGGTCGGCTCCGAAATATAAGGTGCAAATCGCTACCGCTCGTTGAACTGTGTTGGAATGTACAGAAATATATCATGCGAGGTAATATCAGACTACATGTACGAGCGACAACTTGGCTTGCTGTCTTCCCAATTCTTGTATCTCTCGTACGTAGCCTTATGCCAAATCCGACCCCTTTGATTCTTTTCTGAATAGCTTGGCTGGTGTCCTCTTTCTGTCACTGCTCTGTCTCGTGTGCATTCTTCACAGAGCACCGCAGTAGCCACAGCTAGTGCAAGAGTCGACGACGTAAACGTGGTAGCTGTGACGGCCAAGAATGTCGCCAGTCGTGTCGTGTCCACCGGTGGGAACATTGTTGCAGTAGGTAATGCAGTTGGAACGAGCATCTCCGCTCTCTTGGTTGTGGCCGGATACTGTGCCACCGATTGCCGTACATTCAGCATCCATCACAGGATATTGTTCCAATGTGCAAGGAACATAGCTTTGTACGGGTGACGTGACGACGCCGCAGAACTGAGCGACTGTGCCGCTGGCGAGAACAGCGAGGGTGGCGATGGTGAACTGCATGATGACCGCTTGAGAGGGTGATTGAACTGTAATTGAAGGATGCTATTAAGTGTCTCGTCTTTAGCTTTGCTGTCGGTATAAGGTGTAGTTGAGTGCGATGTGAATGTGTCTATTGTCTTTGGTTATCAACTCTATCAAGTATTTATACTCGTCATCTCGGGCCCTCTCAAAAGCGATTAAGTCTCTCGGACATAATTTACTCCCGTTCAATTATGCTCAGTTGCCTACTAGTCAGTTGAAAAGGCCTCAACAGCTGATCAAATCTTTACAAAGCGCGGTCAACAGTGGTCATATACGTGGAGACAATTAGGCTATGGACAGCTCATCATGGAAGGTTGCAAGCAAGTCCAGAAATGATTATGGTCCGAGTGAGGGGCCGCTCTCCAGAACCTCCGTACAGCTATCTGGCAAAGGTATCCGCCTTCGTAGAGTATGGCTAGGATCTAGCCGGCGGCATCCGATGTCTTTCGATGTCATTGCAACGGTACCTGCAGGCTCTCCACAGATCGGCTCTTTGCTAGGATGTTTCCCGCGTTGGAGCGACTATATTGGCCCACAGAAAGCGGAATTGACTTCTTAGATTGGCAAACGCTTATAGTGCAGCGCAAAAAGCACATCACCCGCGCGGTGCCGGTGGCAATATTTGATGCGACTCTAAAGCCGGCTGCTGACACCAGCCTTATTGGGCTTCTGATGGAACCCTGATCTTCGTTTTAGGATGCCTTATTGTCTGCAAAGGGAATACTGTAGCGATTCAGTCAGGCAAATGTCTATTGTGAAAGCCGATACTGTCCTCGTTGGTGGTGAAATCAAGCAAAAGGTGGCTTGCCGAATGGTTGGGCCACGAGCCACACCGAATGGTTGAAATTTAATGGGATCAAGGAAAGAGAGGTCATGTATTGAGGAATCTTGGCAATCAATTCCAAGGCGTTGACTTCAGTCAAACAGGCAAGTTTCACTGCGTGTTGCTGACAAGACATTACCACTCTGGGAGACTCTAGTCGACGCGAGGGATAAACCAAAGACCACTAACGGAGGCGCCTCCCGTCCCGCTCTAATGACACATTCTGGACGAGGTTCCACTTTCAGGGCTCGTCCGATCGCGGGGGCCCCTCGGCGCAACCACGTCGGGAGGCCTATGGCTGGATCTACCCATGGAAGTGTGCGACAATCAGAGACTATCGGGCACAAGTTGTGTCTGAGACGGCTAAGCCGAATCGTATCTCGGATGACCCGGTCAAGCACCAAGCTATGGCAGCACGGCATGTGTGGTCCATTCAACTTCATCCCATTAATTGACATATGAAATATGGGCTTGACTGGAATGCGTCCCTAAACGGCCAAGGATCCTAATGTCGACTTCACGGGTTCATGACTTTATCTCCTGCCAACCAGGACGCCCGCATTGCACGTTCTGGTCTATTGTCTCAAGCGCCATACTCTCTGTGGCTTTTTCTTGCTTTCTTTTTGACCATGAGTCGGGAGCAGGCATTTGGTCCAAGTCGGGAACGAGGACTTTTTCTCAGTCTCATCGATGATGATGCCGATGATGATGACGCTCGAAGGGGGGTAGTACGGCATCAAGTGCCCCATTGTCGCGTGGCGAAGTGCGTTGATTCACTTTCCCAGCGTGCCAGACCACGAGGCAAGGTGTCACTAGCACGCCGTCCTCGTTTCTTCTTGTGCGAGCTAACCCCCGACATCCCCGACTAGTAATTAACGCCAGATCGACTCGATTTATCTGGGATTGCGGTGCGCGATTGGCCGCCGCAGCTTCGGAAAGTTGCTTGCCTTCCTATCCGCGTGGCTATCAGACTGAGACAACTCTTGCAACCCACAAGCCAGACAGACCTGATAAATCAAAGACATTGTACTCGCTCCTGGAGGAGGAGAGACAACTCAGGGGAGGGGCCCGGTTGTTAGATTCGTCGATCTGGCTGGTTATTAACTTTCAGTCGAGCCAATGGGAAGTTGATATTGCAGCCTCCCTTCCTCTCCCTGCGTCTGCTCAACAAGTGTCAACATTTCTCGCTCCTCCCTCTTTTCTATAATTTCTTTTCTCGGCCGAATTTCATAATTCTTGAGTGCCGGTGGAGGATTCTCTGCCAATGTACATAAGAATGGCTTCGTGCTCTGTGATAGTGAGAAAAGCCAATCTACTTCTAAGCACGATTAAGCTTTCTCCCCCTCAGTTTCGGCATAAAGAGTCTCGATTGGCGAAGAGATCTTGCTTAGTTCTCGTATGATAACGCATCTATACCGGTTTGGTGGCTTTTCTCCCATCCTCGTTCCGCGCCGCCTGCATCATGTACGTTTCCATTGTTCTCTCCCACACAATCGGGATATGTGAATCACAACAAATTGCTGATCAAGTCAGATGAGCCCAGGGCTTTTCGCTTCCCGGGACGACGCTCAGCGTATCAAACTGCAGAATCTGAACTTGTTTGCTTCTGCCGCCTGCGGTGCGCCCAATGCCCGTGTAACCACCCGCACCTCTTCTCCTTTGCTTTGGCCCGTCTCAGCCAGCTTGGGTTCAATTCCAGGCCTGCGTCGTCTTACAAGCCCCAACACACGGATCTGCTTGTGTTCCGAAGATAATCTGTGAGCTCGGACGTCTCCCAGCTTTCCTTCCCCCCGCCCGTCGTCCGTCCCATTGCAGCACGCGTTGCAGAAAACTTCCCACCCGATCCTGCGGCGCAAACTGGAACGTTATTTTGGGTGCCTTGAGTGATTCGCATTTCCTTCCTTCTCCTCATCCCGCTGCGATTTCCGTTTCAGGGAAAGGCCGTGATTGACGGATCACTGCCACCACCATTAGAGGGGGAAAGAGAAAAAGAACTTCTATAACGACCCGTGTCTCTCCTCTCTTCCACGCGTATCTAAGACATATTCCACCACCGACTTGCGTGCGACAACGAACGCCCCCGTGGCAGATTTCTCCAAGAACTTATCAAAGAGTCAACAAGCCTCTTTCGTCTCACTTTTCTCAAAGTTTCCTACCGCCGAAAGCTTCCAACAGCAAGCATGGTTCTCGTGAACGCTCAGGACCCCACGCCGCAGGCCGCGGCCGCTCAGAGAAACGTGCTGCCGGATTATGTTACAACACCCAACGCCGTCTTTGGAGATGAGGGCGTTCAGTGGAGATACGGCAGGGCGCCAGATTATACGAGAACACGAAAAGTCTGGAGAGAAGGTAAGATCACATCACACTCAACACGTAATGCGTGTACGGACACGATGTATGAGAAGAGCTCAAGCTGACAACACTACCCTCCTAGGAAGAAAGATGAACCACAAGGCGGGCAGTCTCGAAGAGATTGTGGAGAACTTGGTGAAGAATTGGGAGGTCGAGGCTTCTTTCAAGACGAAGCTCGACGACTGGAGGACCGTCGACCACGCCAACTACACCTTCTCCGTCAACGGCGGCACCCCACAGACGGGCGAGCACATGCTCAAGGTCGGCACCTACAACGCCGTCATCACGCCCAACGAGTATTACAGCCCAGACTACTCAGACTTTGCGTCCAGCCACAAGACGTTCAAGCGCATGATGCCCACTTTCGCCTGGGAGGTCATTGAGGTCTACAGCGGTCCGCCGTGCATCGCCTTCAAGTGGCGCCACTGGGGGGTCATGAAGAATGACTACGTCGGCTTCAACGAGTGAGTGTATCCCCCGATGCGCCTTTGATTTGCCACTCTCATTTCGCAGACATCTGTCATCTTGCTTGTTCGGATGTGGCCGTGTAACTGCGACTGACAAAAAGCACGTGTACAGCAAAGGAGACAAGGTCACCGCCAAGGCTCACGGCGGACAGATCGACATTGAAGGTGTCACGATCGCGCGTGTGGACGATCAGCTGCGTCTGCAGGGCGTGGACACATGGTTTGACTCGCTACAGATGTTCCGGCAGATTGCCCCGGATGGCGTGGTGAAGAAGGAGGCAAAGACTGATAACCGCGGCCCGGAAGCGAGGTTTGACGAGGCGGTGGCACAGGATGTGCAGTTGTCGGCCGAAGACATAAGCAAATTGCACACTGATGTTGTTGATGGCAAGAGATCAGGAGGGTGTCCGGTGATGATGAATAGAGAGTAAGGACAGTTGTGGTGTTTATAGAAACCAGAGCGAGTCGTAACGAGGGAATGGTAAACATGAATGTTCAAGCAAAATACATAGAGGGGCTGAGAGAAAGTTGAGGAAATAGTGAGTTTTCTTTCAATTAATGGTAAGCAAGAGCTGTCCTTGATCTTTGTGCCTGGCTATATATGAGTCCCTGTAGCTCGCGAGTTTACTTGTATAATTGTTGAGGATACCTATATGTCGACGCTAAGTTCGTATCCAGATCCGTGGGCAGTGCCCCTGTCTCATGGATGCACTGCCTATCTACGGCAGGCAAACAAAGCTCCGGTGCCGGCGTAGTCCCCAGACTCCGCGGCGGATCCAGTCGTTTTCGGGTTTTTGACACCTCCCCTCAACTTCGCTTCGAACTTCCCAAGAACTGAGTGAGCGGATAGGATAAGGGTCTGGGGTCCGGGGTCATGAGTTATGCGATAACGACCCCAGGAATTCATTTCTCATCAATCTGATTTCGGCTTATTGTCTCCGAAAGGCTGCCTATCACTCATGACATGGATCATTCATAGCTCTCGATAGATGGTTTGAAGAAGATTGTTTCTGAGTGCCAAGATCCCCAAAGCAGGGGTTCCTAGAGATCTCCGGCATCAAATCACTCAGGGTGCATTCATTGTTCAACCGGATACCTGGTCGTGAGGAACTCTAGAGCTGCATTAACCAATGGAACCAGCATCTTTGTTTCGCCTGGAATCACTTCAGCATACATAAGAAGCAACACAATTAAAGCTTTCTCGGAGAACTCACACAACTGCTGCTTCCCTCTGCAATTCTCGTCATTTCAACAGCTCTTGCGCAATCAGCTTCCGGCGGGGATCTTGACCTTGGTTGTGGGACTTGCAAGGATACCAACGACAAGAGGGGTCAACCACCGGCAAGTAATCGGCTCTCACTCCCCATGTAACCTCACATAAATGGTGGAAGAGGGGAGCTTGGAGATGTTTTTCCAACTCCTAGAGTTGTCCCGACTCACCTTCTTTTAACCGTATTTTCTTCTGTGTTGATCGTCATGTTTCCGTCCCATGCTCAAGGAGGTTTCTGGCTCAGGGCTGGCGCCATTGGTACCCTGCTCGTTGCCGCTGCATCGGGAAGTCCAGTCACATCCAACAGCTCTCTGATTGTCCATGTTCCATCGTACGGATCCTATGTCGGAAAGACTCTTTCTAACACCACGTCCGGTCACCCGCTTGCGAAGGAGGTGGACGTATGGTATGCCATCAACTATGCCGAACAACCTATCGGCGACCTTCGTTTCGCCCCAGTCGGGTGGCCTCCTTCCTCGAACGGGACAAAGGACGCTACTTCGTATGGCAAAGTCTGCATCCAAGAGCCCGGAAACTCAAACTTGGTCACTTATATCACGACGGAGTTAGAATACGGCGAAGACTGCCTCAACCTCAATGTTTACAGGCCGACGGGCGTGAGCGCTGATAAGAAGCTACCCGTTCTAGTTTGGATTCATGGTGTGGGTTTCCCTTCGATCTGTGTAGTGACTTGACAGAGTTGGACTCATCAACTAATTGCTATTCCAGGGTCTTTTCCGCAATGGCGCCGGCATAACCTTTGACGGAGCTTCACTGGTTGCCTCCTCTTCAGAGCCACTCATCGTCGTGACTTTCAACTACAGAGTACGTTCAGTCTCTGCCTACTAAGTCGATATTAAATCCATTACTGATTTGGTTCTCTCAGCTGGCCGCCTTGGGTTTCTTGGCAAACCCCATCCTGTCAGACCTCGGCAACGTCAACCTTGGCCTCCAAGATCAACACCAGCTTCTCCGCTTCGTCCACCGGTACATCTCAGCATTCGGAGGCGACCCCGAGCGCGTCACCCTGGGCGGCAAATCGGCTGGTGCTCATTCTGTGGGCTTCCACTATCAGAACACTTTCACTCCTGGCGAAGAGCTGTTTCAGCAGGCAATCTTTCAGTCTGGCGGTCCAACGGGACGCTCGTTCCCTAGTGCGTGGGACCCGTTGACGATTAGGCAGTTTGAGCAATATGTGGAAGGAGTTGGTTGTCAGAGCAATGAGACTGCAGAATTGTTGCTTTCCTGCTTGAGAGGCGTGAATGTTGAAGTCCTGGAGGAGACCGCAACTGCCTTATTAGCGGCGTATCGATTCAACGGCACTCATCCTTTCCAACCTGTGTCCGGTTCGTCTTCTCCCATTTTCTCAAGAAGTTTGCCTCAGAGTGACAGCACAAGAGAGTGATTGACAATTTTGGAGACTGACCCGCTTCTCAGATGCTGCCATCATTCCTCGTCTCCCGTCGGAAACCTGGGATGCAGACACATGGAACCGCCTGCCGGCTCTAACATCTTTCATCACCGACGAGGGCAGTCTGTACGCCCCCACCAACCTAACCACGGACGATGAAGCATGGGGTTGGCTTTCCAACCTCTATCCTGGGCTCAACGAAAGCGACAGAGAAATTTTCTCCCGCTTGTACCCGGATCCCCAAACCGACGTAGCAAGCCCTTTTGCAGACTCCCGGGGCCAGTCCGCTCAGTTCACCCGACTGACTGCGGTTTACGGCGACACATTCTACATCAGCGCCTCCCAGGAGATTGCCACGCGTCTGTCTGCTGCAGATATTCCTGTGTGGAAATTGCACTGGAACACTAACAACAGCGTGGCATCGTATCTCGGCATCTCGCATGGCTCTGACGTTCCATATGCCTGGGCCGAACCAGACACGCAATACCCACAAGCCGGGACTATTCTATCAAGGTTTTACGCCAACTTTGTGGTCAACGGTGACCCGAACAAGTTCAAAGCTGCGGATGCCGCACATTGGAAGGAGTACATTGACCCCGGCTCGGATAGCCTGGGTTGGCAAGTGAATGTCAGTAAGAATGGGACATGGGTCGAGAAGGACGATATTCGAAGGGAGGCCATCGAGTATTGGAGGTCCATTCCGAAGAAGCTGGATCACTAAGTAGATTAAGGCACTTATCTGAGGTATTAATATGTTTAAAAAGCATTTTTCGGACCTCGTTAATGCCCCGGTACGGCATTGCTCCTTGTCTTGTCTCAGTTCTTCAGTAGATGTGTCACAACTTCCCAAGCGGAAACGAGTGCAACACGATGACATCGTCAAGTCTTCTTCGCTGTTCATCAACTTCATCGTCAGGGCTTGTAAGGTTTTGAGTATGAGAACGAAGAACGGTAAGATCGCGAGCTGATGCATTGCAAAAGTGACTGGCTGGAACACTTGGTTGAGGATGTCACCAGCCGCCACCGTCGCAGACCTCAAATCTGCCATAGAGGCCAAAGCTAGCACCCCCTCTGATCAGTAGAGAGTTGTTTTCCGCGGCCTAGAACTGCAGGATGATAAAACCTTGAGAGAGTACTCCGTCACTGAGAACGCCACACTCCATCTATTTCTCGAACTACGTAGTTATAAACCGGCAATCTACTTCTTGTCACCAACCCGACTCAACAACGTCGATGTCCAGGTCAAGCTTTCTCGCCATTGGAGCTTCTCCACCATCTATCCACTCGCCAAAGGGGCTGTTGGACAGAACAACGTCTCCTGGCAGGTTTCCATCAAGCCCGATGGCACCCTGAAGGACACCGCCACGGACATTGACTGCAGCTACCTGTTCTGGGAGGCAGGCGCCTTGGCCGACCCATCATCCGCAGTCACAGAGGCTCATCCCTTGAAACCCCAAACCCTTTCGCATACTTTGCCGACAACTATGTCCTGCCATTTGACAACTTCATGCCCTATCTCGACCGGGTCCTTGCCAGCCTCACCCTCACCCCGGCAGTGCGAACCGAAATGGTCATTTAATGGCTCCCCAAGTTCCAGTCAATTCGCGATCGGGGTCTTCAGATCGCCTTCAACTTCATCCCGCAGATCAACTTTGAGAAAGCGGCTAAATTGACTCTCACTCCTAGCCCTAGCAGTGTCGCCAGAGTTTTACTTGTCTTCAGGGGCGTAGTCGGTAGTAAGAACGCAAAGAATCACGCGGAACTGGATGCGTTGGACTGGCCCAGCAAGATCGGGATTGAGGTGGAGGGTATGATGAACCAGAGCTAGTTCCGCGTTATGTAGTGGGGAGGCATGGAGGTGAACAAGGGCTAGGATGATGGGGATTCACTGCTGCCTTCCGGAATGGTAGACCTGGTGCCTCAGGGTGGGTCAACCATCAAGCAATAGCCGTGTATTGTGCTTCGAGCTCGACATATGCACTCGCGATGGGGAATCCTTATCATCACAAGGTCTAGTGAGGGAAGTTAGGTAACACAAGTCAATAGATCCGCCGAGGAAATCAACATGTCTTCTGCATGTTATGAACTCAATAGCATGTGAAAGTTCGTGTTCCACCTTTGATAAAGTCTCCACCGTCGTATGGTATCTTCAATTGACAACATCATCCTGTTCTAGTACGAGTGGTAGGAAACATTAGAAGATGACAGCTATCTTTTTTTGTTTCTGGTAACATCCAGGTGTGGAACATTATCTCCTGCCGGAGCATTTCAAACAAGCAAAAATAAGCTCAAGATAACAATCAAGCTTGACGCCAACTGAGGAGCTCCACTGGTCGGAGACACGCTCGGAGAAGCAGTAGTCGTCGTCGCCGGAGCCGAAGGATTGGTAATGGGCGAAGAATTCGTCTCAAGCGTCGCCGCTTCACCCTTGAGGTTCGTCGAGTTGAAGCAGTTGTCCTCCGTCACCGGGGTAACCTTTGATACGTCTTCCGTAAAGATGATATCGATGCACTGTCAGAGTCAGCCACACGACCTCAGCCCGGTAATATTGTACATTCCCAACGAGAAAGTCATTATGGTAAAGGGTAACACCTCGCAACGCAACGTACACTGAATAACGCCGCACCATGCTGTGCAGCCTCCACGACCTGAATCGACGCTAAGTCTCCTTCCTTGGGCGTCACACCTGCCGGCAGCGGCACCTTTGGCAGGCAGAACGTTCCCTCGTACTCTTGGTTCGAGGGCCCCGTCAGCTGGAACCGGGGCACCATAACCATAGAGTAGTTCTTCGGCGACTCGCCGAGGCCGAGGTTGACATACATGAGTGCCGTCTTGTGTCCCGAGTTCCAGCCCGGTTGGACGGCGAGAGCGCCGCCACTGATCGGCCAGTACGTTCTGTTTTGCGTCACGCCGAGGCCGCCACCTACGGGGAGGGCTATATGTCAGCCTTTGGGTAGCAAGAGATTCTGTAATTTATCTCTGGTGTATGTGGTAAGACATGTATCGGGATGGGGGCGTACACGGGTATATCCATTGCATCCCGAAGGGATATGTCTCATTCGTGATGAAGGTATTGCCTCTCCATCCTGGGTAGGAGAGGACTGTATGGCCGTTGACTAGGGCCACGAATAGCCAACATGTGGTAACTACAAGGCCGGAAATGGTGTTCATGATGGACTGGCAACGAAAAATATGATAACGTTGGATGCTCAAAACTGCGTCAAGCTCTTCGCCCAACTGGGCATCCACTTCTTCTTAAGAAACATATCAAAGTCAGAATTAGGAACCGTGCAGGTGCTCTGACGCAACGTTTGCATATGCCAATGTCAGCAACATGACTGCTGAGCTGCTGTGTCGCCAAATGACGGTGGTCGGTGGTCCGGTCGAATAGAGCCTTGTTGTCGTGATGCATGTCAGCCCTACTGAGGGACGGACGTCGAATGGCTGGATGGCCGATGGGAGTGGCTTACGCCAACGTAAGCACCGGCTGACGGCTTGGCCTTTGAGCTTAAGTTTAATCAACACGGCTCGCAATGACAACGGCTAGGATCTGCCGACGACGGAATGTTTATATTTGGCGGTAAAAGGAAGTAGTCACTTTGTTACTGACTGCCCTCAACGGCCATTGACAGTCGATAATATGGGCGTTCTGCGTGTGAAGCTCGCGTTCCTTCACATGGGCCCTTGTTCTCTCCTTCGCATATATACCAGATTCTGTAGTCTAAGCTAGCCCTCTTCAACGCCGAAGGGGAGAAATCAACGTTCAGCTGTAATTGGCAACTTGAGGATTGAGAACATGGAAGCAGCGGGACAGCCAAGTTGTCCGAGTTTCAGTGTGCCTACTACTCGGAAGACACCTGCCCAGACAACCCTGAGGAGGTGGAGTACTTTTCGAACATGTGATCAGCATACTACATGAAATATTTATTATTCTTTGTGCCCTCAATCCTCCGGCCCTTCCTGTGTGGTTCGGAGTGTTCGGCAAGGTCCGTCAGTGTCGGAGAATGCCTCAGGGGTTTGCGCTATCACATCTCGAGAACCCAGTAGGTCATGCCTCTAGACTCTCCGACGTTGGGGAAAACTTTGACAAGGCCTTAGGGCTGCACTATTGAAATTTCTATTCCTTACAAAGTACTGATACTGAGGTTTTCCCCAATAACTAGCATTCAGACCCCAGTGAGTGGTTCTTTGCGATCAAGCCTCATTGCCAAGACCGACGATTCCTCTGTTGATTGAGCTGTCACCACTGTTTTGACTCGAACATCTGAAGATCGACGTCAACCGGCGCGCCGTGTCGGGGAAATACTCGCCGGCGCCTCCCAAACCTGTCCCCATTGACCACTAAACAGCGATTGACTAACGGCAAGAAAAAGGAGCAAACGGTAAACCCTTCTAACCATGGAGACATGTCAAGGTTGAAGGACCAGCCGTGGTTGGCTGAGAAGCGGCCCCCCCGAGATGCCGCCGTCAGCACTAGCGACGCATGAATGCAACGTAGCGAGGCGGTGCCGGATCCAGCCCCGAACAAGGCCACAAGAGGCTAGAGAACTAGAGAAGAGCTACTGCAAGTAGCTAGCTGCATGGTAATTAGGTGGCCATGCACTCAATGCAATGCTGTTAATATTGCAAACACCAACTGTGAGTGTCCCTTGCAAGATGGGAAATTGAATCGTGGCATAGCGGCAACGGCTGCCGGTTTATCGGCGTTCGTTGTCGTTGGACGTAGGAGGGATAGACGGAAAGTGACTGCTAGATTGCGGCACAGTCACAACCATCTGGCAGTCCACGCCGTACGGATACATCGAGACTATCCGTACATGACCTCAGCCCAGACTTTCTCCAAGCACTACTGATGTTTTTAAGCGGGGAAAACAAAATCCTTCTGTGGACTTGTGGTTCTAAAAGTCGTCTTACTCGCCAGCATCACAGCGAGAAGGGATCGACAGACCGCCAAAGTTGCCCGACTTTGACTGTCTGTATCGGCGGTAGTTTGGCACGCTTTGTGAAAGTGATAGCATTCTAATAATACATGGATGGCAAAGACCCGAGCCAAATCCTTTGGAAGTTTGAAACCTCCCCACTGTTGTTTACCTCCCCAAACAAATCAAATCCCATCAAGCCATCTCAAAGTCTCCATCGCTGGGCCCACGCAATCTTAATGGCTTCGGAGTGTTCCCGTAAACTTCATTGGTTGAAGGCATCCAGGCGAGCCTGGTGCCACTCAACATGGAACCTCCATAGGAAGAAGCACAGCATTGTGATCCATCAAATCGTCCCATGCGTGCCATGCCCATCCATGATCCAGCGAGGGAAAAAGGCAGGGGAAGGGACTTTTTGACACTAAACCATAGGAAAACCCAAAAGACATCGAATCGCCAGCTTTGATTTCCTCTCTCGGAGTGTTCAGCTTAGGCCAGCTTGAAGCCTTGAACCCCTGACACATTGCATCTGCTAGGAATTCCCACCTTCGGGTACGGACAGGGGATGCCCTGCCGCAGAAACCATCACCCCATGTAACCGTGCGTGCCGCCGTGCAGAGCGCGAGCTTAGGTACGGATGGATATCTACAGTTCGCCGTCCATGTCGAGAGTCTTGGAATTCGCTGCATCGCGCGCAACGAGCTGTGTTGTACAACGTCCCAATGCAGCGAGCCAGCCTTTCTTGTACCTGGCTGCGAATCAGCCAGGCAGTGATCTTGGGTGTGATAGAATGGAATGCTATACTGCCTTTTGGCGTGCCGCATTGCCGTTAAGCTAAATCTTTCCTCCCTAGCTTCGCGGCTTCGCCTCGACAGGACACTACGCGCCATGTGACCAGCCTAAGTATCCAAGAAATCTCGCCCCCGGCATCATATTCCCACGGCAGGCAATGGCTGATCATTGCATCACAAATGTCTCCCGCCAATATCCCAATTCCCTCCCCCTTTCAGGCTTCTGTAGGCAGCAACCGCTAGTGTCGTAGCTATCAGTACCAAGATCCACCAGTACACGACTCACGAGTCTCAGGCTCTCAGCTTCTGCCCGCACCAGGGTCGAGTGCAGCCACCATCATGTCTCGGCGGCTTAGCTGGAGACCACTGACGGTGACGGGTAGGTACCTTGCGCTAGAGGTCTTGTCATGGCACACCTGGATAGACTAGAGACATCATCCTGTGGCTCTCAACTTCCTTCATAGCTCCCTGGGGCGAACATGGGAAGCTAAACGCTGGGTATACCAGGCGACGCGATTGGAGCAGGGATGTGTAGGTGTGGTGTATATGTACCTGACAAGGGTAAAAGTGGAAGGATGTGTGAGACGACTTCGTCAATCTTGAATAAAAGGTATGCGCTCCTCTCCTCCACGACCGCCAGTGAATTGAACTGCAAGTGTATCCTGTGCCTCCTCCCCAAGCAGCCAATCCTTAAGACAACATCACGACAACCTACAGTCCTTACAACCTTCAACAACTCTCGCTTCCCTCGAAAGACAACACTTCAAACCCTTCCAAAATGCAGTCCAAGCTCCTCTTCGCCGCCGCCGCCGCCACCGGCGCAATGGCAATCGACATGTCCGGCTCCCTCCCCCGCGTCCTCCGCCGCGCCGGTAACGACGCTCTTGAAGCCCGCGACGAGACCGCCTGCGCCTCCGTCTACATGGCGCACTCCACCATCATCGACGACTTCCCCGCCCTGCCCACCGCCCTCGCCACGGAGACCGGCTTCGACATTCCTCAAATCACCGACCCCTGCGTCATGCCCTCTATCACGGGCGCCGCCGGCCAAATCATCACCTCCTACTCCTCAGCCCTCCAGTCCTGGCAGGACGCCCACATCACCGAGATCCGCGAGCTCTACTCCGCCTGCAGCGACGTCCCCGAGGTCGCTTCCGCCCTGAACTCGTACGGTAGCGCCGTCTGCTCTACCGCCCTTGCCGATCTTACCAGCGCCGATGCTACTGCCACTGCCACCGGCACCGGCTCCGCTGCCACCGCTACGGGCACGGCTTCTGGCTCGGCTTCCGTCACTGCTACCGCCTCTGGCTCCGGCTCGTCTGCCTCCGCTTCTGGTGCTTCTGCTTCCGGTAGCGCTGCTTCTACCACTGCCGCCGCTGCTGCTGCCGCTCCCCGCGAGACTGGACTCTTTGTCGCTGCCGCCGCCGCTGCCGCTGGCATTGTCGGTGCTATTGTCCTGTAAATGGGTTCTTGACTCTTTCCACCACCGACAAACCCTGTTGAGGACCTTCCGAGATCCAGTAGATGGTTTGATGGGGATAGACCAAGTGTTGAAAAAGGCGCGGGGAATAAGTACCCACGCGGCGGCCTCACGGATCATCGACCTGGCTCGGTTTCAACTGTATCATTAATCACCGGGAGTACCTATACCCAATGAGTCATTTAGAAAGAAAAGTTCCTTCGCATACAGTTGCCCACCTCTGATATTTGTGCCTTGAACGAGACTGGCCCGCTATCTGGTGCCTGGACTGCGCGTGACAAACCAAATCTGCATGGACTGGGGTGCCGAGGACGTCGACGCACAGAGTTCAGTCAGAGCTATGCATAATGGAACGGACCGATGGGCAGACCTAAGACGACCCGCATGACATGAAAGTTCCCTGCTCTTGACACAACGTCAACCAGAGGAGGACGAAGCACGGTCTCCTCCTGAAATTACCTAGTAGATTCCGCATAAAGAGTTTCCCGTGACCTTCCCAAGATTTCCTTGAAAAGTCTCGTTAGACGTCTGGACAATTTTTGTGGGAAATCTCTGGGAACTCTTGGAGATGGGCAACTCGGTGTGGTTATCATTTCACTATGCTGAAGAGTACAACAAAAGGGTTTTTGATATCTCCTCATGGAATTTGATATGATGCTCTTTCTGACCTAAGGACGTTTTGAAAGTCCTTAATCAAGCTTTTCTTTTGGACTTCAACAAGAAGTAATCCCGTCAACTACTCGATGACGTCAGTTGGTTCGTCTCAAGCCTCTTTTAGTTCTGCTCTAATGTGAGATTATTTCTGGGCGAACATTATTGTAATAGGGCTAGGTCAGTAGAACGCCTTCATAGAAGTGCGTGCTGAGGTATTGACACCATCTAGTAAATGGTGAGATAACGTATCTCGAGTCCCCCTTTTCGCTCTAATACTGGTCATGGCCGACTAATTGAAGTCTCTACGCAAGCGCCACACCAAGGCCAAACTTCTCCATATCTCCAAGTAGCCAGCTCATCAGAGCAACATACGCCACGTCCATACAACTGCCGCGTTCGCCCGCAAGTTGCAACTAAGCCACCAACAAGCATCCCAGCAATCGTCCACGTAACCTAAGGTAGTTGCGGACCAGTGTGTATTCGAGGATGATACCGCGCTCTTTGAAGCCTAACCAACATGGACAGGGCCTCGGGAATGCTGACCTTTCCTCTAAAAATTTCAACTTCGAATTTCCCAAACACGGAGGCTTTCCCCATGTCTTACGCAATCATCTTCTGCCGCGTCCCGAATATCACAGACTCCTTACACTCTGACGATGAGGAATTCCGAAAGCACTTTTGCTCAGCTTACGCCAACAGTACGCAGCTCGAATAGGTCCATTCCCGTTCTCACTTTCGCTTGAGTTCTATGTCTACGAAGTCCGGAAAGGGAGTTCAGTTTTCCCGCGCCAATCCTCCCATCGCCAACCGTCTCAAAGCAAGAGGGGCACACAAGACTGTAGGAGCCAATTCTCCAGTGCAACATCTCTTGGACATGGGATTCCTTCTTCTCCACGACGGACGAGGTATTCGCCTGCCAAACATGCCGTCGAAAACTCCATATCCCAGACACGCAAAGCACACCATTCGGAAGCAGAAGTCATCAACGCCGTCCCAACAACCCTAGTCTGTGGCAACTCAATTCCAATTTACAAGCTCAGGAAGACGACGCTACTCCCGCGGCCCTACAGCTCTGGATTGTGCGACGACATCTCCGAAGACGAACCAAGTTTTATGGCTATGGCCCTTCGCAACGAGAAAGGCTACGTGGCCCAGAACCCGACCAGCCAGTACTTAACCAAGGCTACAGCCTACGGTCACCTCTTGGATCTGGCTCAAGCGTCCAAGCGCCGCCAAGAACCTTGGAAGACGTCCTCGACTTCACTCTCCCTGCCGAGATTTCTAGAGGTGACTTGCCGACCAGTCCTTGGCTTCGCCTCACCAAGCCATTGGCGAAAGGCGACCAGCGGTCAACCTTACCCAAGTCAGCGACTGCGAGGAGACCTTCGTTCCTACCCAGAGCCAGCTGTTTCCCCACGCCACGCCTAGCTCCGCCAAGACAGACGCAGGAGCAGTCCCTCGTTGCTGGGAACACCATGCTGGCCACGGGAGCGAGGAAGTTGAGGCTTCGCCGAACGTGTTACCAGTACTTGGCCGCCCAGCTCGCGGAAACGATCGTGCCTGTCACGCGGGAGAGGATGCCCCTGTCATAGATACATAAGGTACGGTGGGCCTGCCTCATCCCTTAGACGCATTTTAGAGTCCTCGATTGATAATGCTAAGCAAGACAGAACTCGATGCATCAATAATATGGGTAGTGACATATGTCATCCGATAATGTTGCGCGGGAAAATTGAGCAAATTGTTGCCATTGTGGATTTGGTATCTTGGTACACTTTGAACGAGAGAAGCCAAACCGCTACTCCGAAAAACCGAAACCTCCTTCGCCCCTTTTGACGGAAACGCCGAAGCTCAAAGTCGAATGCAAGTCACACACTGCCCTTAGGATCCTTGGAAACGTCCGAATCAACCGAGTCGTCTGGGTCGGCCGAAGAGTCCGAATCGTCCTACGCCCGACCAACCCATCCCGCGTTGATGAAGAAATCGAATATGCGGCCACCCTTTTGCGTCTCCAGCCTACAAATCTCCTTGGCTTGTTTTTTTTTCAGAGTGCCATTACTCTTCAGTGCCTCCTTCAGAATCTGCTCCTTGATCATTAGGTAAGGCTTCGGCTGCAGCCGCACCACTTCGCAGAGCTTGGCTTCCTCTGGCGTGAGGAGATGCAAGTCTGGCGCGCCGTCTTGCGTAAGCTGGATCGGGGTGACACCGGGTAGCGGCGCAGCCATATACTTCTGCCGTGTAACGGGTCCAGACGGGCCCGTGCCGTTGGCAACAATGACGGTACCGTTGACAGTAGCTCCGTTGACAGCGCCATTGGTCTGAGGTTTGCTCTCTTCCTTGGGAGGAATGGTGCCATTAGTACCATCTGGAGCTGGCGCAGACCGTATGGGCAGTTCGGGAGCCACGAGCAAGGCGGCTCCGCTGGGGGGATCTGGTACAGCAGCTGCCTTAGACCGCTGTGCTGAGGCCAAGCGGTCTCGGTCCATGGATCCCATAGGCACTTGCTTTTGCGCTCGTTGTGACTTTTCTGTTTCGTACTTCTCTCCACTGCGCAAATCTCCAATTCGCACGCCTCGCCATTCTTGAAGTTGCGTGATAGCCTGCCTCAGGTTCAACTCGTCAATGAGACCCTGGCACAAACTTTCAAAGTCGTCGTGGTTCATCATGCGAGCGAAAGGCTTGGCCTTGTTCAACAGGTCTCTCTCTTCCTTGCTCCTCTTCTTCTCGACCTTGGTGTTTTCGCGGTATTCTAGTAGGTTGTGCTCAAACACAACCTTTTTCCTATCTACACGCTGCGTGAGACGGCAGTTGTAGATGTCCATTACAGTCAACTTGAGCTCCATCTCGGGCTCCAGCTCGCCTGTCCTGGGATTGAGGCCATCACCCGGATCGAACTGCATAAGCTGTACAGCTTCTTCGGCTTCGTTTGCGTATTCGGTCTCGAACTCTAAGCGACCTGGCATGTATCCTTGAATCTCGTGACATGACGGTACCGAGGCCGTTGGCTTCGTCTTGGGTTGCAGCGTAGGTGCGTTCTTAGCGGCTTCCTTCCGCTCCTCTATCCTTCGCTTCTTCTTCGCTTGAAAGTCTTCCCGAGAGATTTCGTTCGCAAGGTCCATGTCGTGAGGACTGCATCGTTTCGGCAACGGGAATCGAGGAGATTCGACATAGGCTTTGTAGTAGTGATCCCTCACCTCATCCTTGTGGCGGAAGCCGCCAATGTGGTCGGCAATGTCGGCCCATGATCCCAAGCCGTAGATCTCTGCGCCTTCCAGTAATAGCAGTTCTTCATCGGCACCCCAATCACGGTCGAAGATTGGGAAGGAATTTTGTTCGATGACACGGTATGGATGTGATTCGGGTTTATGGTTCGAGCTGGACTTTCCCTGGGAGAAGCATTGAACGCAGAGATCGTATTCATTGCAGGCAGAGTGCGCGCATCTAATTCGGACCTGCAGTCACGGAAGGCGTTTGTTAGCGCGATGCGCAAAGGTGTGGGAGGCGGGACATTTGAATATGCGCCGGAGCGCAGACGCGGGGCACATAATCATCGGGAGGAACAAAGTCAACAAAGGACGTACCGTCGAGGTGATATCTACGGAGCAAATGTCGCAATGATATTTGACACCGCCCTCGCCGCCCCTTGTGACGGTCTTCTTTCTGATGACGCCCATTTCGTCCAGGGCTGCGGTGGGGACGTGGAGGCCAGCCCCTGGTCAGGCTGATCCGACGAGGCAAGAGTTATTGCGATACAGTGAAAGGCATATGATGTTACTACGGAAAGCGACGAATGGTGCGATGGGAGTGGTACGATGTTCTGGTTGCGAATGTGTGGTTTGACGATGATATCGATGGATTTCGGATGACGAGACGCGCGCGTGTTGACGAGGATTGATCTCCAAGATGAGCTGTCGAAACACAGCCAGGCTCCAATCGAATTGAATCCGGGCATAGATGGCGGAACCGGGAGCGATGGTTCTCCCGAAGTCTATCCGGCGCTCGGGCCTCCCGTCTGTTGTGATCCTGTGATCAAGCCACAACCCATGTCATCTTCTTACATAATCATCAAGCCACAATGTCTCATCTCCAGTTCCTGGGCTGAGGCGGCTCCGCCATCCCCGGCATTTGGCCTGGTCGACGGACCAATACTCGGACTGCTTCTCAACATGCAAACCACATTTTGGTGGGCATTAGCTCTTGTCATCATGCGAGCTTCTCTTGGACTATGTATCGCTTCTGTGACCTGTCGTATGAGTTGATTTGCAGCGCATACATCAGACATGGTACAAAGCCTCAAGAGCAATGCGTACGGGGGAGACTGCTCTTCTGGCTTACCTAAGTGCAGTGTTCCACAATGACGTCTCTCCCGAGGTTCGAGCTTTCCGCCGGTTTCCCGCCGCTGCTTACGGCGGAAAAGATGGCACCGATGGCTGCACGACAATGGTGCGCTTTGCGATGGTGGGGTTCGCGGGGCAGTTGTCGTGGTCCCCTCCTTTTCTCCAACAAACCCGACAACCTACAGGCATGGCGCGAAACCTCTCGAGGCAAGGATACGACCGTCACTTTGATGAGCTGTTTTGTGGCAGCTCTACACCTACTTATTAATACCTAGCCTGACTGTCACTCAGCAGGTTGCGGCCGAGGACTAGATTTTCTTCTTGTCCGTACTAAGTTAGTCTGAACAATAACAAGATTGTTTAAATAAACTCGAGGCTTTTTTTTCTTGGCCCTGTTACTTCCTGCTCTCGACCTCGCGACAGTACTGAGCTTTGTTACTTTGTTGTCGCAAAGCTTCCCCGCCTTCATTTATACCTTCTACTGCGTGGAGACGCACAACATTACCATGCCTGAGAAGATCCTCGACGACATTTCCCACAGACGGTACAACCCGTTGAAGGGCACTTGGCTGCTTGTGTCCCCTCACCGGACTAAGCGTCCCTGGCAGTAAGAAAGCGCAAAACCTGACTTGCAATGCGACATGCGCTGAGGTGGACAGAGGCCAGCAGGAGGGACCGTCAACGACGACGCTTCCTGAATACGACCCAAAGGCAGGTTCTCACCAGGTCGCATAGAATCATCAAACGTTAGCTGACCAGATAAAGTGCTACCTCTGCCCTCGGAACCCCAGAGCGGCTGGTGACTCCAACCCCGACTATAAGAACACTTTCGTCTTCGTCAACGACTACAGTGCCGTCAAGGAGGAGCAAGCTGAGTACCACCCGGAGGCAGAAAGTGATGGTATATAATACCTCTTCCCAAAAGGCTCGAAAACGAACCAAACCTTGACATCAAAAACTTGACCAGACCTCGCCTCGTCCCTGCTGCGCGCGGAAGCGGCCACGGGCAAATGCTACGTGCTCACCTTCTCCGAGAAGCACCACGTCACGCTCGCCGACATGACAACCGCGGAGATCGCCCCCGTCATCGACGTCTGGACGCACATCTACGCCGCCCACCTCTCCCCCTCCAACCCGCTGTCCAAGGTCGCCGCCGCCCTCGAGCTACCCCCCGCGACGCCCGCGAGCACCGTGCCCCACCCCAAGCACCATCTGCGCTACATGCAAATCTTTGAGAACAAAGGCGCCGCCATGGGCTGCTCGAATCCGCACCCGCATTGCCAGGTCTGGACGACGTCTACTATGCCCGAGGAGCCTGGTACGGAGCTGGTGCAGATGGGCAAGTATCGTGACCAGCATGCCGGACGGCACCTGTTGGCGGACTACGTCAAGGTTGAGATTGAGAAGAAGGAGCGCACGGTGTTTGAGAATGAGCACTTCCTTGTTGTTGTTCCCTGGTGGGGTGTCTGGCCTTTTGAGGTCTTGATTCTTCCCAAGAGGCACGTTCGCGCGCTTGTCGACTTGTCCGCCGAGGAGAGGTTGCAATTTGCCGAGGCCATTCAGGAGGTTGCTAGGAGATACGACAACCTCTTTGAGACGCACTTCCCTTACAGTAAGTTGAGGTTATCCAGGGCAGCGATTCAGTGACGACTGACGGCTTAATAGGCTCCGGCATTCACCAAGCCCCTCTCGACGCCACTGAGGAGGAGGCCGAGAACAGCTACCTCCACATGCACTTCTACCCCCCTCTGCTTCGTTCAGCCACCGTCCGCAAGTTCCTCGTCGGATACGAGCTGATGGCCGAGCCTCAGCGTGACATCACACCGGAGCAGGCCGCCGCTAGACTCAGGGGCACTGGCGGTGAGCTATACCGCAAGACCATTTAGTGGAACACATAAAGGAACGCGTTGAATAGTACCATCCTCATAATTACAATATTCTTTTGAGTTATATATCCTCATTACTTCGTGCTTCAATCCAAGTGAAACTACAGTCCCATGTTTGCGCCCCATCCGAGATAGCGAGACGCGCACATGTGGTATCGAGCTGTTATCTAATCTTCAGAGCTCAAGTGGCTTCTGTAGACTAGCTTTTCAACAGCATTTTATGATCACCCCTTTACGGGCTAGTAACGTAGAAGTCGCGCACCAACGGCATCCAAATCAAGGCGGTGGTGGCCAAAGTGAACGGGAAGTATTGCGGCAGACCGAACGTCATGCTCTTGAAGACGAACAGCTCGCTAGCAAAGTGACCCAGCGCAACGACATAGGTCCAGATGGCCAAGTCGTACATGTGCGCATGGTGCAGGTGATACGCGGCATAGAGGCGGACAATGCTCGTGAGGAAGGTCCAGGTGCCGAAGCAACGCGCGGCGAGAGGTGTCGCCTGATCCACGACGTCCGTCGCGCCGGCGGGCGCGGGGGTGTACTTGTTCACCGAGTCCTCTGGGTTGAACTTGTCAGACTTGGGGGCGAGCTTCGTGTTGCGGACGAATTTGCCGTCGTAGAGGCGGCGCGAGTAGTGGAGGGTCAGGAGGTTCTGAGCTGAGTTTCCGATGGAGATGAGAGAGAGCTGATAGTGATGCTGGTTAGTGACATGCTCCTAAAGAGGGTGTTTTTGGTTCCTTCAGATCTTACCAGGAGCATGTAGTAGGGCAGAATACCCTTTGCTGGGGGGAGAAGATCCGTGAGCGACACCATTGTTGCTGCGTTGAAGTTCTGTGAAGCTCAATTGGCGCTGAAAGGTGTGAACCTCGAGAGGATGAAAGTCAAGCAGCAAAGGAGAAGAGTGGGTAATCACGCCGACGTCTTCCTAGCTCAACGCCGAGTTGCCCCAAGCTCCGTCTCCTTCGTATTCGGCTTGAGACTTCAAACCCCCCCCCCCGAAGAAAAAGTCTCCTGTGGCTGGAGCTATCGAGGTGTGGCTTGCCCCTCCCTTATCACAGCTGGCCAAAGTTCTCCACCACTCACTCACAGCTTGGCGCGGGTTCAACAATTGAGGCAGAGGTGCCGAGGTGTGGCTGATGATTTCGAATTGCATTTTCCACCATTTGCCCATCTCAACATTTTGTCTGTGCTGCAGTGCGTACATACACGGAGGGTTTGGACAATAATATCTCCCCCTCCTTCTGACATCCCGCAAATTCTTGACTTTAACTTAGCGAGACCAGTGACGATTCATCGCAATGGGCGGAATTGCTAATCAACTGGCCTACGTGCCGCAGCCTGTCCAGCTTTTGCTAGCTGGCATTGGTGCTCTCTTCCTTACCTCCAAGGCCCTGAGCTATGTCAAGTTTGTCCTTGGTGTCTTCTTGCTTAGTGGCACCAGCGTATGCGCTCCCGAGCTTCCCACCCCATTAAAGATACCCAAACGCTGACAACAGAGTCACACAGCTCCGCAAGTATGGCAAACCTGGCACCTGGGCCGTCGTGACCGGTGCATCAGACGGTCTCGGCAAGGAGTTCGCCCATCAGCTCGCCAGCAAGGGCTTCAACCTCGTCCTCGTCTCCCGAACCCAGTCGAAGCTCGAGACCCTCGCCCACGAGCTCGAGGCCAAGTTTGACGGCAAGATCCAGGTCAAGATCCTCGCCATGGACTTCTCCCGCGACGACAACAACGACTACGACAGACTCGCCCAGCTCGTCAATGGCCTCGACGTCGGTGTCCTCATCAACAACGTCGGCCAGAGCCACAGCATCCCCGTCCCCTTCCTCGAGACCGCCCGCAGCGAGCTCCAGAACATTGTCGCCATCAACTGCCTCGGCACCTTGAAGACTACTCAGGTCGTCGCCCCAATCATGCAGCAGCGCAAGCGCGGTCTCATCCTCACCATGGGCTCCTTTGCCGGCTGGATGCCTACCCCTTACTTGGCTACGTACTCTGGCAGCAAAGCCTTCCTGCAGCACTGGAGCAGCTCTCTCGCGGCTGAGCTGAAGCCCCAGGGTATCGACGTCGAGCTCGTTCTCAGCTACCTCATCACCACCGCCATGAGCAAAGTCCGCCGCTCTAGCGCCATGATCCCTACCCCCAAGAACTTTGTCCGTGCCACTCTCAGCAAGATCGGCTCTGGCAGCTACCAGAACTTTGCCTACACCTACACTCCCTGGTGGACGCACGCCATGATGTTGTGGGCTGTGGAGAGCACCATTGGCGCCGCTCACTATCTGGCTCTTTGGTTCAACCTCAAGATGCACGTTGACATTCGCAACCGTGCTCTCAGAAAGGCGGCTCGCGAGGCCAAGAAGCAGTAAATCGAGTTGAAAGGAGCACCTGCGGTAGATACGACACGCAGTGTGATACACCACTGCTTTGAAAGCTGTTCAAACTGCTATTTTGACAGGGAGTTCAACCAAAACGCATAGACGAGCTTCAATGTGACATCTCGAGAGTTATGGAGGACGGACAAAGAAAGGATACGTGAATGATGGGTGGATAGCAGTGGTTTGGGCTCGTGGCGTAGAAGTCATTTGCATGAGTTACGTAGGGATCACGGCGCGGGAAAAGTCAGAACTTCAAACGGAATAGAACCAAAAAGCAAGTAATTAATCTGAAAGAAAGGAAGAAAACATCCTCTGAGAAGCAATATCTCTAAATCAACCAAAGTACCCAACTTTAAGCTGTCGGAGCTACTGCAAGCGCAAGCTTCGGGTGGTGCAAACGTCAGGGTCAGCCTTGTGTCCCAATTTGGCTTAGCGCCGCTCCAGGCGCGAAAATTCCAAGCGTCTGGCGGCCCCAGCCTCTTGAGCTCCTCCAGAAATTGTTTACTGCTGCGTTTTACTGCCCTCGCCCGGATTCACCTTCACCTTTCCACACCGAGCCATCGAAGCTCTAATTCTTTCCGTTCTCTTTGTCCGGCACGAGCTGCACAACGCTCCGCATCGCATACACGTAGAAGAATATTTCCCACTTCTCGAATCCTCCAATTGACAGGATAATACCTGCCATCACCCGTTGATGATTCGGTAGCGCGACGTCCAACCGCCTTCACTGGCCGCCAGTTTGCGACGCGTTTGCCCGCCTTTCACTATCTCGATCGATAGAAATACTCGACGACAAAATGTCCTACCCTCAGATGACGCCGATGCGGCCGGTGCCAGGCGCCTTCCTCAACACGCCTGCAGCCTCGAGATTCGCCAACGACAACGAGCCGGTTAGACGACGACTTTTTGCAGAGGGCGACGCACCTTCGGGCGGCAGCGGCGCGTTGGTGGCAGGATCAAATTTGGCACCCGCGACGATTGCATCAACCAGCACGAGTGGAGGATTAGTGTCGGCCTCATCTACGCAAGCTCCCCAGCAGAACCTCCCGCCTGTCATGAGAGCAGCACAAGCGGTCAACCAGTTCCTCCAGTCCGACGAGAACTACCCCGAGCTCGATTCCTACTGCAGGCGTAAGTCCACTGCCCTCGCCTATGTCTGATTTTTCATGCGACGGTCACTGACGTCCGCATAGCAGGAGCGTCGTCAGACTATGACTTTGACACGCTCGACTCGCCCTGGGCGCCCTTCCACAAGACCCAGATGTACCCGATCCCGAACCAGGTTTTCAGCCACTACAACACCGGCCAGCTCCAGACGTTGATGGGCTTGTTCGCCGAGATCAACCATGCCTGGGTGGTCATCGACAACTCGTTGTTCCTTTGGGACTACACCCACCCCGATCCCGAACTCATCGGCTTCGAAGACCAACCGCACACGATCCACGCCGTCGCTCTCGTTTCACCCAAGCCTGGCATTTTTGTCAACACCATTACGCACATTCTAGTCGTTGCGACATCCTCCGAGATGATTCTCCTCGGCCTTTCTGCCGAGACCACGCCGTCGGGGACCAAGACCGTTTCGCTTTATAGCACCAAGCTTCATCTCCCTCTCCGAGGCACCGATGTGCGAGTTATTGCTGGCACCGCGGACGGCCGCATTTTCTTCGGAGGCAGCAACGATACCGATATCCACGAGCTCTACTACCAGCAGGAGGAGAAATGGTTCTCCAACAGATGCGGCAAGATCAACCACACCAACCCAGGCTGGTCTTCAGTTGTCACTCTTCAGAGCGGCTTCTGGGCGCAAAAGTCTCCGGAAGGTCTTCAGAGCATTGTTATTGACGATTCCCGGAAGCTCGTCTACACGCTCTCGACAAGATCCACCATTCGTACGTATCACATGGATGGGCCTAACAAGCTCACGAAGGTGATCGAAAAGGAGCGCAACGCCTGTCTACGCGACATTACCCACATGATTACCCAATCCCCTCTTCTCAACGACCGAACCGCCTTTGTTGCAATCAGCGCCATCCCCTCACGAGAGGCGTCGAAACTACACCTTATGGCTCTTACCAACACCGGTTGCCGTCTGTTCCTGAGCGCTACAAGCTCTGCCTCGTACATGATTGGAGGCGTTTCTTCAAACACACCTCCTCAAAGCATGCAGGTTCAGTTCATCAAATTCCCGCCATCCGACAAGCCTGGACGATCTGGTACCAATAGCGCGGGCGATGCCGTTATTGATCTTGGCTCAAGGGCACTGGAGTTGAGCAGGCTCGGAGCTCGATTTGCGCCGGGCTACTTTTTGGATTTCGTCGTTAAGGATAACGATCCGAACATCGATCTGCTATTTGTTTCTGCTCCCGAGACTGGCCGAATCAAGGCCAACTCATCCTCTGCTACGCTCAAGTACTACGAGCACGGAAATTGGATTGATATTGGAAGCAGAGCCGAAGATGTCGGTTTGGTGACAAAGCCGTTTGCCGCAGCAAACCAGCCTGTTGGCTTCGGAAACGAACTTGCGGTCCAATTCGACCAGCCCGCCACCGAGTTTGCCGTGCTGACCAACACCGGTGTACACATCATCCGCCGCCGCCGGCTAGTAGACACTTTCGCTGCCGCCATCCGTGGTGCTGTGGGTGACGAAGGTCTGGAGCTGGAGACTCGGAAGTTTATTTCCCGGTATGGCCGGGTGGAAACAATCTCCTGCGCTCTTGCTGTGGCTTGCGGTCATGGTGGTGATGCCAGACCAGGTGCGACACGGGCGATCGATCAAGCAACAGAAGACCGCGCCAGGGCCGTCTTCGTCGACTACGGTGGCCAGCCCTCTATCACGGAGGCCGATGGTACGCCTCTCAACACGACCTCCGTTCGCCTGTCTCCTAGACACGACGCTCTCAGTGTCTATCTCACCCGCCTCATTCGCACATTATGGAAGAACCACGTTGTCGCTCTTGCTGCCAGCCCAACTGGCGGTGTCGCTATCCAGTCCATGGTACCCATCGCCAAGCTTCACTCCACTCAGGAGCAGTTGGAGCGTCTCCGCCGATTTCTTGATGCGAACAAGAGCTTTATCCAGGGCCTGTCTGGTCCTTCCGACCTTCAAAGAGTGGCCAGCAAGCAAGAGGAAGTCGCTCTCCAAGCAGAGCATCAAGCGCTGCATGCGCTTCAGAAGCTGATGGAAAGCATCTCCGAGGGTATCTCGTTCGTCTTGATGCTCTTCGATGAGCGCGTCAGCGACATCTTTACGAGACTGGATGCAACGGCCCAGCAAGGTCTGAAAAGTCTCACATACGAGAGCCTGTTTTCGCAGTCTTCAGGCAAGGATCTTGCCAAATTGCTGGTGAAGTCCATCGTCAACCGCAACATCGAGAGCGGCTCCAATGTTGAGACGGTTGCAGACGCCCTTCGCAGACGCTGTGGCAGTTTCTGCAGTCCTGATGACGTCGTCATCTTCAAGGCTCAGGAGCAGCTGAAGAGAGCGTCCGAGCAGCCGGCCAACAGCAACCAGTCTCGCGCTCTTCTGCATGAGAGTTTGAGGCTCTTCGAGCGCGTCGCTGGTGCTCTTTCATTCGCCAATCTACATAACGCCGTGTCCCAGTACATCGACCTAAAGTACTACGCTGGTGCAATCCAGCTCTGCCTTACAGTCGCCCGTGAGAAGGATAGGGGCAACACTGCTCTGTCATGGGTCCACGATGGCAAGCCTGCCAATGATCCTCGGTCTAACGCCTTCTCGGAGCGCAGGAAATGCTACGAGCTCATACACGAGACTCTTCAGCACCTGGACGCCGCGTCAAGCAGGGAACCGGAGACTATTGACGGTAGACTCACTTTGATGGGCACAAAACGTCTCGAGGCCTACAGCGTAGTCAACGACTCAGACGACGAGGTCTTCCACTTCGACCTCTACGAGTGGTACATCGAACAGGGATGGACTGATAGAATTCTCGCTATTGAATCACCACACGTTATCACATACCTTCAGAGTCTGGCGAGGAGCAATGTGAACCATGCCGATCTTCTCTGCAGGTTCTACACCCAGCGCGAGCGGTACTTCGAGGCTGCTCAGGTCCAAAACGATCTCGCTCAATCAGACTTTGCCATTGGCATCAAGGACCGAATCACCCTCTTGAGCAAGGCCAAGGCGAATGCTAGTGTCGCTACGGCCGGTGTTGGCAGGCAGCAGCAGCAGGTTCTGGCTCACGAAGTCAGTGAGCTTCTTGACATTGCGAACATTCAGGACGACTTGTTGGAGAGACTCAAGGCCGACAGCCGTGTTGACCCTGATCGCAAGGCTCAAATCGAGGAAGCGTTGGATGGCCAGGTGATAAGCTTATCAGACGTGAGTAACCCAGTGACGTGTCCCATCTTGCATGAGGCTAACATCTTGAAGCTGTTCAACCAATATGCCGACCAAGCAAATTACTACGATCTCTGCCTCCTCATCTACCACAGCGCTGATTACCGCAACCCAAGCACAATTTCCCAAACATGGGTCAGTCTCATCGACCAAATCCACGAGGAGGCTGTCGAGCGGATGGAGGAAGCTGGTCCTGGTATCCCGGTTCTGCCCTCCCCCTACGAATCCGTGTCGGTCAAGGTGCAGAACATCGCTCACCGCACTTCCCTGGATAGCTTTATCTTCCCGGTGCCAGTGCTGCTTCCTGAGATCTGTCGGTATGCCGTCGAATACCATCAAGATGCTGAGATCGGTGCCGATCCCACCTGGCCTGTGCAACTTTTCCTCAGCCTCGGTGTATCCAATGACATGGTCACTCGCGTTCTCGAGAGCGTTTTTGATACCCAAGACTATGGCTTCAGTGGTAACAACCGCAACCGCATCATTGAGCTTATTGTTTTCTCTGTTGATGTTTGGCAACGCGAGGTCAAGCGTCGTGGTGCTGCCTCGATGAAGGGCGATGGCGCTCTTGGTGCGTGGGTTAAGGACCTGCTTAGCAGATGCGAGGCATCGCTGCCCCCTGCTGGCCACGGGTCGAACCCCGGTGGAATGGACTTGTCAGAAGTGCGGAGACGTCTACGGACGGTGAAGAGAGATGTCGATGGCCTCGTTGAGAGGGGTCCCTCTGGAAGCTTGCGCTTCCTGTAATGTCTGGAACTTTATTGGCGTGATGGTGGGGGATGATGGAAGGGAGTTTCTCCGAAAAAAGCAAAGAGAAGAAACACACAAACTAGACAGAGACTGAACTACGGACTTGGGCTCTCAGAGTGAGCCGTGGAAAGTGTACAAAGAAGACGCGAAAAGACACCTTGTATTTGATGCGGACGGGGTTTTTGGGCCGGGGCGCGGCTGGGTAGGCGGTGTAGGCTTAGGCTTAGGCTTTGGATGTCTAGTTGGTGTTATTATATGAACACTTTTTCCAGCACTTGAGAGAGGCCGATATGGCTACGACTTGAAGTAGCTATGATAATGTGATTTGCGAGCATAGTTATGAAAAGCTTGGAGAGTGGTGGGCACTGTATGGTGAGATGGAGACAGGGCCCTATAGGTAGTCCGCGAGCGGGTGTATCTCTCGCCGCTCGACGACGTGCCAGGATTAACGCCCCTTGATGAACCAGGGATGCTCCAACACGCGCCTTTCGCCATCGATCCAATTCGATATGCGTCTCGTTGACTTGAGCCGCCTTGGTCGAGCGGGACTGAGCAAGATTGAGCTTACCGGCGACTTATCGGAAACTTCCCCGGTCTCATTCCCAACCCACCAAGTGAGATCTTACTGACTTATATCACCGAGGCATCGAGCTATATCAGCAGGCAGGTCTCCTCTGAATTCTGAACTCTAGAACCCAACCCACATTGTCCAGTCTTTTCATCACTTTGACGTGCTTTGGGTGTCTCACACAATCACCTATCGTCAATGTTCATACCCTGAAATTTATGTATCATGACTACCACCACAACCGAGTCCGCAGGCCCCATGGCACCCATCTTCCGCTCCATGGACAAGACCATCGGCACACACTGGGAAGAGACCATGACAGAGATGAGCCGGACGATGATGGTGTCCCTCAACGCCCGGCTCCTCGCGCAGATGGGGCTGAGTCAGGATACGACGGATCCCATTGCGTTTTTAGACAGCGCGTGCGGGGCTGGACCGGCTACGCAGGAGCTGTTCAAGGCTGTGCCAAGAGAGGTGCTGGAGAAGAGCGAGGTTATTTGTGCTGACGGGTCGCCTATGATGGTTGAGTTGGTGGAGAGGAGGATCCGGGAGGAGGGGTGGGACGGGGCAAAGGCGAGGGTTTTGGATGCTATGGTAAGTTTGTTGTCTTTTCTATACCATTTGATCTATGATATATCCCTAATGACTTTGGCTATTGCTGATGCACTATTGGAGCAGGACTCTGGATTAGCTGAGAATTCACTGACGCACATCGTCATCGGCCTCGGTCTACATCTCATCCCCCGCCCTGACAAAACCATAAAAGACGTGGTTAGAATTCTCAAGCCCGGCGGCGTATTTGGCTGTATCACGCCTCATATCGACCACATAGGCTGGGTCGCAGACGTCAAGTCAGCTTTTGCTTCCTTCCCCTTCCACGCGCCGTTCGAGGAGAAGAACAGGGCGCAGGTTCACGATGTCGGTAGGTGGTACGATGAGCATTGGGTCCAGAGATATCTACAGGAGAACGGGTTTGAGGACGTTAAGACATGTTTGGAGAGCGGGACGGTGAGCGTGAGAGATGCGAGGCACTGGTTGGATGTTTTTGGGCCGGTGGTTGCGTTGATTGTGAGTTCGGAGTGGAGTTCGGAGTTGAGGGAAGAGCATGGGTTGGAGGAGCTGAGGGGGTTGATTGGGGAGCATTTGGAGGGTAAGTATGGGGGGAGAGGGTGGGATGTAGGATTTGCTTGTATTGTTGCTTCTGGTGTTGTTGTGAAGTAGGAATGAGTGTGTCTGAAAGAAGATGGACTCGGGGTGTTGTTTGTCTAAGCAGCTGCAGGTCTGAAGGCAAGACGTTGGCACAAATAGCTTAGGGTAGAATTTTGAGTACTAAACGGGCTTTAACGTCAGCTCTCACGTGGACATGAGGAGTTGTGTCTCATTTGGAGCAGCCTTGATGAAAACAGTTATTGGTTTTTGGTACGTGTGGTAGTGGTTGTCTTGATTTGAACAGTGTGGCGCTTGTTTGTGCGGCTTATGTCTCTGAAAACTAAACATCTGTTCTATGGTGTGCTGAAAACAAAGTTATTCCCTAGTTTTGACGGCGTGGCTAGAGTTGTGGGTTCCCTTCATCATTCGCTGATACACGGTCTTGGTGAATTTGGTCGTGTCGTACAGTAGCCGCATCTGGCTCAGGCCACCTGTGAGGGCGGCACTTCCTCCACAGGTCTCGACCATCTCACCCAGAGAGACGTGATATGTGGTGTCCTCCAAGGTGAAATCGGAATCAACGACTCGGTGCGGCGAAGTATTTCGTAGACGATGCCTCTCCTGTCCCAAGCCACCCGCTGCTCTCGAATTTGAGTCGAGATTCACCGAGACATCCCCCTTTGCAATGTTTTCAAGAACCGCAACCGACCCAGAGAGGTCAGACTATATAAGTGAGGATTCCGCGGGAACTCGTTATGGTTGCTGTATCTTCTCTTTACCTTTGCTGTTGACCCCTAGCTCGGAAGAGTCACGAGGTCTACCATCAACTTTCATGATGCTGTCACTTGCACGATCATTTGGCTTGCTTGCTATCCTAGCTACCTTTTTGCATGTTGCACCGACGCTGGAAAGACGTGCAAATAACACGACATAATGCAGCAAAATCCAAGGAGCTATCCTCGGCGCTGCTCTTGCCTGAATCACGGCCGCTCAGGCACTGGTGAACGCGTCCATCACGGATTTTGTGATTGTTGATTATTACAATAATCGAACCGGTGGACGGATTTACAATCGTGCTTTTGGGAAGCAGCCGGGCACAGACGAGCCTTACTATGTAGAGCTCGGTGCTAATTGGCATATGAGTCAAGCATCGGTCTGATGTGGTTTCCAGTCGGCTAAGGTACTTACAAGACGATTAGGGTCCATGGCACGGAGAGCGTAACTGAAGAGAATCCGGTTTTAACTTTGGTCAAGAAGCACAACCTGATAAACACACCTTCCAACTTTTCCAACGCTACGGCCTTCAACGAGAACGACCAGTTGTTCCTCAGCAACTTGACAGGCAAGGTTGAAGAGCTGAGTGAGTCGTACGAGAAGGCCGCCGTAAAGTTTCGATAACGACGCCGGCGAGATTATCCTCCAGAACCAGCAAGACCACAGTGCCCGTTCCGGTCTCGCAATCGCCGGCTGGAAGCCAGGCAGCGACCCGCTGGCTCAAGCTGTTCAATGGTCCTCAATAGACTTCGAATATGCCAATCCACCGAAGAAGACGTCTCAACAGTCCCCGGTCTTCAATGCCAACACATCGTTCCAACGCTGGGCTGATAAGAACAACCTTGTTCACGATGCTCGGGGGTTCGCCACATACCTCCAAGAGGAGGCAAAAGCCCTCTTGGAGAAGAATATCCAGGTGAAGCTCCTGCTCGAGACTTGCAAGTGGCGTACTACGAGGGTAAGATTGAGGGTGAGGCTGTGGTCGAGTGTATAAATAATAGGGGTGTATGCGTAAGGGAAGTTAGATATGAAGTGTTGAACGGGACGACTACCGATGATAAATATTCAAGGGTCAATGAATGAACTGCGCAGACCTTGATTAACGAGCTTGGCATAAGAGTCAAGAGGTACCTGGGTTTATTGGAAAGGTAGACGCAATCAATAGAGTGGCAGTACTAGACACTGCCTTCTCCTTAAGAAACCTGTAGTTACTGAGTACCTTAGCGAAGGCATCTTTGAGCTCTGGTTGTTCAACAAGACTCGCTCTAAATACTGGAACTTGGCAGCAGTCTTACCATTCTGAAGCTTGAAATGCAGCGCACGTGGTATTAAAAGTAAGCATGTGATGCAGTGCTAGTCACGAATATCCAGAGAGACATCACTAAGCAATACATTGGCCAATAATCGATAGGAATCCGGAAAACTCGTTCCGGACCAGACTGAAGTACACCCTTTAGGCTGAGTGTGTTGCCTCCAGGCCACCACGCCATCCTTCAGCAAGGATTTTTATGCTGAGAAATGTTAATGGAAACTCTGAGCAACGTTGGAAAACTTGGGAGAAAGCTTCTCTAAGGCTATGTGCTTGAACTATCTCCTGATGTTATTGGCCACCGGGAGCATGTTTGGAGGGTTACGCAAATGGCTCAAGTCTCTTTAGGGGTAGTTGGCTCAAGATTCGACGGTAATGGATAGGAAAAAGTATGGACGACTCTGCTGAGTGAACGACTCTGTTGAGTGGCCTCAATCTCACATAAAAACCTCATAGTAGAGCTCACGCCAACTTAGTCCATTGTTAAGAGCTACTTTAGTTAGTAATAGTCCTTAGCATCGGTTATTGTTACAAAGTCTTTTTGATAGCGCCTTCTGCTTCATACATTTGTTAAGTTGATTCTCCCTGAAGATGACTGGGAGAAGAAACAACACAACCTATGCTAGTAACACTTGGTGCTTGATTCGGTAGGCTTCAATGCTCCGTTGGTTGACATTATTATGGTTGGGTCGAATGACTGGTACCTGCGTCCACGTGACCCTTATCGATAGCTTATCCCCTCGATGCTTATCGGAGCCCAGCCGCAGCACGCCCGGAGCTCCAGCGACAGCTGTCAAATTGATTAGAGAACTCCAGTCGAACTCCGGGGAAAGCTGGCCCGGAATAGCTCCTACCCCCGTCGCGCGCGTTCCTCCGAGTCAAGGCAATGCCCCGGCCAAGCTGCTAGGACACTTTCTCCATTCTGCCGCTTGCACAATCACCGACGATTCCCTCCGCGCACACACATAATAATGGCGTCTCTCGCGCAATTACTCTTGGGCGCTGTCGCTCTTTGCGCTTTTGGCGTCCGCGCTGCACATCCCGAAGATGGCCTCCCTTCGTACCACTATGGCGCACCCATCCATGTGGAGTGTATGAACCGCAGCTCGTGAGTTTCTGCCCAATATTCCTGCTACTCATGTCCTCTAGCAGCTTGATGTCCGCCCAGACTACCTCCAGCTAACACCTCCCTAGCGAAACAGGCGAACACATTGAAGACTCCAACCACGAAATTGAATGGATTCCCTTTCCCTCCTGCGAAGAAACCAACAAGCCCCTCGAGTTCAACTATGGCCACGAAGGAGAGGTCAACTGCACCATCCCCATGGTCTCTGATCCCTTCTTTCACCTCCTCGAGTTCTTCATCCACAACGACGCACCCCTCGCTTGCCGCCTCCCTGCCCGACCCGCGCCCCACGTCGAAACCGTCGGCGAGAAGCCCTATGTGCAAGAATATATCCCTCTCGTCTTCGCCCTCGCCGGCACCCTCCAGCTGAGCCACCTGCACGTCAGCACTCACATGAACGTGCTCCTGCACAGCATGCCGAAACACCATACCCGACCACACGACTCGGGCGTCCTCGATTCCGGGACGGCGTACAGCACGAGTCCGTTGAGCCATATGGACGGAATATACACAAAGAGGCTGGTGATTGGCGACCCGTTGCCGCTGCGGTTGTCTGTCAGGTGGTTCCCGACCCCGAACCTGCCCAAGTCAGAGGGCCATGTGGAGTGGCAGGGCATGGGCGGGCACGTGTATGCGAGCACCGTTTTCTACATCATTACCTCCTTCATGGCGGGCGTGCTCGTTGCGTCGACATACTTTTTCGGAGTCGTCTTGCCCAAGAGGGTACGCGGGAGGGGCATGGGCGGCGCGACGCCACTCGGCTACGGTCTTAACGGTCTCAACGGTCTCAACAGCGTTGGCAACGGTTGGGGTTACTCCAAAGCGGCCAAGAGGATGGATTGAAAGAAAGCACCGTAATCGTTTTCGCGTCACGAGGAATCTGTACGATTTGATCCGATTCATGTATATCTGCTAGCCGCCGCCCCCTTGAGAGGCTTTTATGATGGATGATGGGAGTTTTATTTTGATGGACGAATTAAACTGGGATGGCCTTGACCTGTACACATGGACTGGGGAAAAGGAGTTTTGGAATCGATCATCTGGATCCGCGCACGCGCGGTCTGACGGGAGCAGGATCTGTAGTGATATCTTAATGGAACCAATACCTGCTTCAACAAGACCGAGTAGTCCCCTTTACTGCAACTTCTTGGTGTTGTCCACGCCGTTCACCCGCTTCAGGATGCGCAGCCACATGTCCAGTCCCATCAACGCCGCTTTGTAGGTCAGTTCAGCTCAGAGCATCCGTGGCAGATATCGATTACACTTACGGATTACCACCCACGGGCCGTAGAGGTTGAAGACAAAGACGTTCTTCTGAGTCTGGCTGTAAACTGCAGGATCCCAGTGGAAGACGTCGTAAATGCAGGTCAATGTCGTCAGGGCGCACTCGACGCAGAAAACCAGCACGGCAAGTTCAAATCCGGGAGTCGTGCCTGTACTTCGCGAAAACCTGTAGACCATCCAGGCTGCCATGGGCAGCTGGTAGACGATCTCGATGTAGGTGAAGAGCTTGAACCATGAGGGGAGGTTCTCGTGAGAGGCGGTGAAGAAGGGGTCATTGTACGTTGAGATGTAGAAGTCGCGAAGGACCTGAAGGAAGTGCAATGGCGATAAAGGAGTCGCGTAGAGAGCTGAAGGGTAGAATGGGACGAGGTCGACCACTGATGAGAGGATGGTTAGCTATAGCTCAGGTGAGGCGTGACGATGGACCGATGGTGCGTGAAAACTTGCGGCGACTGAGCAATCAAGATGCCCAATCACAGCACCAGTCTTTCGACCATGAGTCATCATGAAGAATTGATAGCACGTCGATAAGTCACAGCATAAATAGGCACAAAGTGATAGGAGTTGGACTCACAAAGCATGGCCGTTAGCTGGATGCCAGAGATGACGAGATACGCGCTGTCGCGCCAAGTTCTTGTCGAGACAGACATGATGGCGGCTACAAGTTCACACAGGGATAACAGAGCCTGTTTGGTTCCTCTAGGTACCCCGATTAAGGAATTGCGAATGCAGTGGGTTGGTGGCAGCCGCTTCACGATGAGCACGTCGCGTTGAGATGAGAAAAACATCAGGGGTGAGATGGTGAACTGAAATTCACGTCAGGTCGGCGCTGACATAAGCAGTAGTACACACCATGGGTGTAAGTGAAGAGAGAGGACGTTGTCAAAAGATATTTAGTGAAGATAACGCGAAAGTAAGGAAGGACTCGGAGGAAATGGCCTCAGGCCTTAAAAAGGAGAGAATGCAAATTTACGATTATGATTTTCTATTTGCATCGTACTTGATCTTCTAGCGCTGACCTTTTACAAACCCACGGTTTCTCGACACGAAACCTCTAAGTCGTGCACTCTATCGAGCTACTGGTGTCAAGTGCGCCTTCAAGGGACCCTTATCCCACAAAATGAAGACTTGCTGCTTCTGTGCCCAGTCTTTGTACTCCTCGTCAATCTCGACATCGAAATTCCAAATGAGGCGAGCAAGAATGAGTCTCATCTCAACATAGGCCAGACTAGATTACCTTGGTCAGCGACACAGTCCAAAACCCAAACCATAACAAGCGATGTCACTTACTTGCGCCCCAAGCAATTTCTCGAGCCAATGTGAAAGGGTTGAAAAGCCTCCCTGTTGTCTGATGCGAATTTCTCGTCTCCCATGAACCTCTCGGGGTGGAAGCCATACGGGTCTTTGAAGTACTTTTCGTTATGATTGATGGCCCACTGATGAATCGCCACGATGGTCTGATGGTGATATCGTCAGTGTCCGTGGGGAGTAAAGACTGGGAGATTTTACTCACATTCTCAGGCACAAACTTGCCACAAATATTCGCTCCGCCTTTGGGCGTGACTCTCGGCAGGCCCATAGAGACTGGAGGATATACTCTGAGTGCTTCGTCCAGGCAGGCGAGCATGTAGGTCAACTTGTTGACGGAAACCAAGTCAATCTCCTCTTCCGTCTTGAAAGTTGTGCGCACTTCATCCGTAAGCTTTCCCAGACAGTCCCTATTCATCAAAAGATAATAGGTGACCCCAGCTAGTAGCGTTGCTGTCGTTTCAGAACCACCGATGATAAGCGTGTTGCTATTTGCCGCGAGTGTCTCAAACGAGATATTCTACCACCAATCGTTAGCAAAGGTGAGAAGGGAAGAAGAAATAACAATATTGGATGAGTCTCCTTACCAACTCGTCCTTCTTCTTCAATAAACCCTCAATCAAGTCGGGTCTACCACCCTCCTTCTTGCCAAGCTCCATGCGCCTCTCCAACTTGGCCTTAGCCCTCGCCAGGTTATCGCCCCTAGCCTTCTTCGCAGCCTCCGTGGCCAAAAGTGTGAAGATAATCTTCTTTAGAAAGGGAAAATGTCCGGCAGTCTGCGCAAACACACCAAGTCGAGCGGACTGGAAGATAGCCTTGACCCAAGGATGGTATTCAGACTTCTCCAAGCATCCAAACGGTTCCCCGAATGCAAGATCTCCAATAATATCAAACGTGGTGAAATTGTACCAGGCCATCAAGTCAACCGGGTCCTCGTTGGAGCAATTCTCGTGTAGGCGCTGAATCATGAGGTCCACATACTTCATGATCAAAGGTTGCTGGTCGCGCAGACTGCGCTCACTGAAGCCGTGTGAGAGCTGTCGTCGGAGCATCGCGTGCTCTGCGCCGTTGGTGTTGACGATATTGATGGGCTGATCACCCGACGGGCGGTAAAACTTGAGAGCCTTTTCGAACGTTGGTGACCCTGCGGACCTGTGGCCCATGATATCTTTCCAGGCGTTGACGTTGCAATAGGCTAATTCATCAGGGGCGACGCGGACTACATCCCCGTATTTCTTGTGAAGCTCCAAGACGTCCATGGGAAGAGCACCCTTGATGAGTCTATGGCAGAAGGTCCATCTTGTCGCTCGCATGGAGATTGGACCTGGGTAGTGCCGAAGTGGATGGAGGAATAGGTTGTAGAATATGCATGATGCTGTATATACTGCGATCTGTGGCTGTCAGCTCGAAGAAGACTGGTTCATCCAAGGCAAGCATACTTACGAAAGCAGCACATGCCGTGATGGCGGTTAAGAAGTTATGTTGGAGTTCCATGTTGGTCAGGGTCGATGCAAAGAGAGTTTTTGTTGTTGTTGTTGTTGTTGTTGTTGTTGTAACTGGAAAATTATGAAGATAGAGGAATGTCTTTTACGCCAGATATATCATCTGCAAACCGTAGCCTGTAGGACGACAAGTTCCTGAGCCTCATGAACTTGCGACTTGTCGTTGATCGTTGATTTCCCTTGGCTGCGGCGCAATTCACCGCAAGGCTGAGTATGGAGATATCGAACTTGTTACGAGGGACATGCAATCAAAGTTGCTAAAATTTAACTAGAGTCGTTGTTAACACGGCCAGGAGTGGTAGCTCAAGTCTAATCCGAGAGGAGAACAAAGGAACCTATGATAGCGCGGCCTATACGGGCAAGCGAATCGTTGACAGTTACGAAAACGAGCTAGACCTAAAGGGAAACTCAATTACATCGACTGTTACTGGCTGATGCTGCATGGGCCTCCCCCTTGTTAAGCTTAGTTGTTGACCTCAGATGGACGGTAGCGGCACCATGCGTTCGTTTCAAATTCCGATCCGCTGGGGTGGTCTCTAAGCTCAATCTTAACTCCTTGCCGTAGATTACTCATCGCAGAGGGAACGGGCCGGAAACGGGGTTCAGCATGGAAAAGTTCAAGAACACAGATATAGCCCAGTTGTCGAGTCGTGGCTTTGATTACGCAGCTAGATGGCTAGACGTCGATCATGCTGATCATACAAATTCTTACTAGAATGAAGCTTCGCAGCGAAGAGTGCAGAGTTAAAACGCGATGGCTATGCTGTTTTGTGGAACAACGCGTCTTTTTTGTGCACTCGTTGTCGTTGTCGTTGTCGTTGTCGTTGTCGCACGTTCATGGTGGAGGGTGCGAGAACGAGAACGAGGTATGAATAGAACGGGAACTAGTCAGTGATCGACACTAGCAGCGGATCGGGATTTACGCCGCCTTAAAACGTATTGAGCATTTGACAGCAATAACGACACAAGGATCGATAGGCCCACCATTTCCCCAGGCAAATTAGTCCAAGTCATGTTCAGTAACGCGTATGTTTTCCCAAGATGTGGGACCTGGACAGGAGTCTGCTTACGCCGCTATGCGATAGCGATCAAGGGTCAGAGGATGGAAATCATACAGAGAAGCGGATTTCGAGATCAGGAATGAAGGAACTAAGGCAAGCGGAGTATCTCTGAAAACACGCAGTCCACTAAGAGTGCCACAAGTACGGCTCAATACGACTTGCGCGGAAACCGTTACCTTGTGTTAGCTCTGGTAATGCCTAAATCTCAGCTAGATCTACGTGATCTCTAGACTCTATCTAGCGCATCTTCTTTGTGAACTGATCTTACTTGATAACGCTCGAATCACTGCACACCAAGATCTATGACTGTCTTCCCTACAGCTGGACAAACAATCTTGGCACACAACGGTAAAATCAAGGGAACTACAGAGCCTCATTCCGCAGAAAGTGCACATCCTAAGGAACTACCAACAGAGCGTTCCCCAGCGAAAATGGTACCTGAAGATATACCCTCGGAGGTTACCTTGGGTGAAATCTCAGACGAGGACGACAGAAACATCGTTACTTGGGATGGACCAGATGATCCTCAAAATCCCATGAACTGGCCTGATTCTCGAAAATGGATCAATCTGGTCTTGATGTCTCTTTTAACTATCATTTCGTAAGTTTACCACTCCCACTTTACTGAAACCTTACCATTTTACTAACCCTTCCCAGCCCACTGGTATGGTCACTTTGCCTTCTTAATGTTCGTCGAACGTAACGAAACAGAGCTGATATTTCACAATCTAGGGCTCGTCCATGTTCGCCCCTGGAATTCCCAGAATCATGGCAGAGTTCGATAACAACGATTCCCTCATCGCAACATTCATCACCTCCGTATACTTCCTCGGCTTCGCCTTTGGACCTCTAGTGGTTGCTCCTTTGAGCGAGCTTTATGGCCGTGTCTACATCTACCACATTAGCAACGTTTTATTTGTTTCTTTTTGTGTGGGCGCTGCTTTGAGCACTAGCATCGATATGCTCCTAGCATTTCGCTTTTTGATGGGCGTCGTTGGTTCTGTCCCGACTACAATTGGAGTTGGAAGCATTGTCGATGTCATGCCGATTGAGAAACGCGGACGATCAATCTCGCTTTGGGCCTTAGGTCCTCTTCTCGGCCCATCTATCGGGCCTGTGGCGGGAGGTTACTTGATCCAGGCTGCAGGTTGGCGCTGGGTTTACTGGCTACTTGCCATCTTGGTATGTTGGTGAAGTCCTCACTTTGCGCACTCAGCTAACATGCTCAGGGTGGTGTTTGCAGCATTCTGGCGCTATTGATCATGCGGGAAACCTATGCCCCGGTTTTAATAGAGCGCAAAGCGCGGCGCCTACGCAAGGAAACCGGGAATCAGGCCCTGCGTACCAAGGCCGATCGAGATGGAAAGAAAGGTATCCAGAGAGCAGTAATCCGGCCCTTCAAGTTTCTCTTCATGACGCCTTTGGTGTCAATAATTGCCGCCTATGTCGGAATTTCCTACGGAATACTCTACCTGCTTATCGCAACGTTCTCTTTTGTCTACACCGACCAGTATCACTTCAGCGAAGGTGATGCTGGCCTGGCGTTCCTTCCAGCTGGGCTTGGAATGATGATTGGCGTCTTGACTTTCGGCAACGTCCAGGACTATCTTGTCAAGAAAGCAAAGGAGGGAATGAAGCCAGGCGAGAAGTACCGGCCAGAAGTCAAGATCACCCCCTGGTTGACAATTCCGACGGGCCTCATGATACCGATCGGGCTCTTCATCTATGGGTGGACGACCGAGTACAAGGTCCACTGGATTGTTCCTATGATAGGCGTTGTCATTCTGTCAGGTGGACTCACTGGGGTCACTGTAAGTTATCATCTCGATGCAGCGAAGATTTGGCAGCTAATGTTTTCAGATGTGTGTCCAAAATTACCAGATCGACTCGTATGAAAGATATGCGGCGTCAGGTTCCGCAGCAGTCACACTGTCTCGATCTCTGATTGGAGCCCTAATGCCGTTGGGAGGTTTGAAAATGTACGATGCTTTGGGATTGGGATGGGGAAACAGTCTTCTGGCTTTCATGTCTTTGGCGCTGATACCGGTGCCTGTTGGATTATATTTCTACGGAGGCACGATTAGGAAGAGGTTCGATCCTGTGCTTTGAGGAGAGTTAATGCGCAAACATAGGCATAGTAAGCAAGTGCAATCTGACTCATATGATGTGTATCAAAGTCCATGGCCTGTCCCCAAGCACATTCCCCAGACTCTTAGTGCGACCGGATGACACTTTACTCATAATCCTAACTATGCGAGATGTGTGGGAAAGAATGTATGGGATCGAGAACTTGAAACTCTGTTCCGCGAGTATTTCGAGAACTCGATTTCACCTAGGCTCTTCGCTAACAACCTAAGATGGGAAAATACTGCCCTGTGTGTGTGAAAATGTTGTCTTCTTGCATGTTGGTGCCCATGTTTTCAGCAACGCCTCAACATACAAAAGTAAATAGTGGCTGAATCATTTCCAAACTCATCATCAATATACCAAAACCCTCTATATACAACTCAAAGCAAACCAGTATAACACATTAAGAAACCCTGCACCCGAAATTTGCATCCCCCACATCGTGGTTCTCGTCAATGTCCGATCATCGGCTAGTTGTCCGCAGCATAGGCCCGTTGCTTCCTTCGCGCTGCAAAGTCTGAGCACCGTGCCTGTGCAGATAATCATGGTCTGCTAACCTGCGAGGCCGATATCGCAGAGTGAGCGCGGAGATGAAAGCGAAAAACATGCTGACAGATCCCATAGCTAAATAAGATCTTCCCAGAAAGCTATTGCGCCGTCCGATGGCAGATGTCGTAGAAATGATGATCGACTTCGTCCCACGATTCTCACGGATAGGATAGTCTGCATTTTAGGTGTTAGCGAATCATCGCACCGGTATTGAGATTAGTAATTGCAAGCATACGGGAAATGATCTCAAGACGATAGATGCCTCGTTCCATCACATCGTCTTTGTTGCGCATAGCCATCTTACTGAACGATGAGCCGGCAGATGTTCGCATCCACACCATGAAAGATTCATCTTCTGCGGGATTGAACATGTTTCCCGAATGGTACCCATTGGGGTACCTCTCTGCCCAACCTGGAGGAGGCACGATGATACTTTCGTTGGGCTGAGCGGTAGCCGGTATTTGGTATTTGCTCGGTTCATACAGCTTCTTTTCAACACTCTTGGCGATACCGACAGATGTCATGTTGTATGGAACGGTTCGATTTGAGCCACTTGGTATGCGTAGCGGATTCTCGAAAGTGTCGTTGAAGTAAGAGTTGGCTATCATGCCACAGGGGTACACAATCTTCTCCTCTGCACTGCCAGCAACGTTTCGTGATGCCACGGGGGCGCAATCTGAGCTTTTGATGTTGTCCAAGGAAACTGCGCCGCCTCTTAGTTGGTCTTTGTGGCGAGAATTGATATAGAGACGGTGATTTTGGTGGAAGTTCGTGAGCCGATAGTAGTATAGGACCGGTGGTTGCAAGTCTTCAGGCAGGAAGAACTCTATCGTGCACATGGTGTAGTTCTTAGTGACCCCGTCGAAGGTGACGGACTGATTTGATCGTTTCCATTGGTCCACAGGCTGACCCGCTGATGAAGCCTTGAAACGCTTTTCGACGTTGTCTGGTGGCATAACTTCGAGCTCGTCATATGATTCAATCTCGTCGCACTTTGTGTAGTCTATCCGCATCTCCCGTATCTACAAAGCTGTAAGCACGCGTCTTCAATACTCATTCACGTTGTCCCGGCCTACTTTGTCATTTTGCACCAGCCAAAATATTCCCAGAGCGAGGCAGACGACGCCAAGCGAAAGAAAGATCTTGATTGATGATTTCGGTGTCAAAAGCGGCCTGGGTACAAGTGTCAGGAGCTTCATCGTTGTCTTAGATACAGAATTACGCACTTCCACGCTCTAAGACGTTGCTGATTGAATGGTGTGGCTTTTGGTTTCCGCGGTTGCTCCAATTGAAGCGGATCTTCCGACTTGGATCGACCCATCTTGTTCGCTCTTTGCCGAAGCTGTGGCCTGCGTTCAAATCTGTTGTTTTCTGGTGGATGCAAATGACGGACTCTGTGTCTTTGAGAATACTATATGATCGTGGTGAATGCAAGTGTAATAGCTGATCGTGGTGCTTGAAAGCTTGAGGTTGAGATCAGGGATTTGCTCGGCAGGCATCGATTGTTGATATTTTGTCGTTGCTAAAGGAACTTGAGGAAAGTTTTGCATCCATCCTGAGTACGAGTTCTTGATGATTGTCATTTGCGGCGCTAGAACGAGGTTGCACTGTCCAGCCCGATGACCGTTACCGATTTAGCTCAGCCTGCGCCGGCACTCTGAAACCTTAAGGATGAGCCACTGCACACAAGTGAAACATATATTGACGTATTGAGTCAGTATAAGACTAGCTGTATTGCCCAGAGACATGTAATTCTCTGTCTCCTTGTCGATAATCTCGAATACTCCGATGACGATCTGACACATTTGAGATGTGGTTGGTTGAAGGGCGTCAAAACCTACGACTCGCTGTCGTGGGGCCATCTCGTACTCGGAAGCATCCTATTGGGGCTATGCTGTAAGATAGTGGATCGTTGCATCTGTAGCAGCTTGTCTAGGGTCATATTACTGTGATACATAGTGCCTCTTGTAGTCTTGGCTCGTTATCGTTTTCTCTTTCGACATCTCTGGGGCCACTGCATGGGCCGTGCTTCCCGGCCGCTACGGGTGTTCATCACCAACAAGGCGGGCGTAGATGTTTGACATGGCTTAGACCCCTTGGCAAATGCTGATCTCTGATCACCGTTGCGGTAAGATTGAGACTAAACCTCGATTCCAAATATACTGACGTCGATTCATCTCCAGATTAGTGAAAAGAATCTTGACATATGAAGAGGCTATCTTGACGAAAGCATCAATGACACAAGACCATCATAACTCGCACGACACCAGCAAAGTCAGCAAATCAGTTCAACAACATACAGGCTGTCCACTGGTGGGTTGGATCTTGCTCTTGGAGACGCCTTCACCAGGCTAATCATCCACCAAATAGACAGACCTCTACAAGACTTTCGATTATACTTCGGCAGTCAACGATTCTCTACAGAACCCAACATGGGTCTCGGAGGCGTCAAGTCTTTGCTGTCGAGATCCCGTGTGCCATCATCTCCCGCCGGTCGTCGCATTCCGATCCGACTGGGACAGAAGTTCACATTACGGGACGAACACCGCGGCAAGCCATACATTTCAAACAGTATCAAGACCTCCAAATACAATGTCTTTGACTTCCTTCCCCGGCAACTCCTTTTCCAGTTTTCGAGACTGGCTAATGCCTACATGCTCATCATCTCCATCTTGCAAATGATCCCCGGTTTCAGCGCAACCGGAAAATACACGACACTTATTCCTCTGGTCATCTTCTTGGGACTCATTATATCAAAAGAAGGGTACTACGATTGGAAGAGATATCGCCAAGATGTGGCAGAGAACAACCGAAAGGCTATGGCTCTTCGAAGTGCCGCGACTGGAGCTAAGGGCTTTATGCCTGCAGGACACCAGTACTACGAAGGTTCAAATTCGATCGGGCATCAGTGGATGAGCATCAACTGGAAAGACCTCCGGGTGGGAGACATCGTGTCCCTATCAAGGGACGAAGATGTGCCAGCGGACATGGTGCTGTTGCACGCTGACGGCCAAGAGGGAGTGGCCTATGTCGACACAATGGCCTTGGACGGCGAGACAAGTCTGAAGTCCAAGCAAAGGCCGGCAAAGCTTCCTGAATGCGGCACGATCGACCAAATCGCTTCCTCCAACGCCGAAGTTCTTGCTGAGGACCCCAACGCAGATCTCTATCGCTTCGACAGCAAGCTCACAGTAGACGGTTTCACGTTACCTCTCACTGTCAACGAAGTCATTTATCGAGGAAGCACAATACGCAACACGACGAAAGTTATCGGAGTCATCATCAACACAGGGGAGGAATGCAAAATCAGGCTGAATGCGAACAAGGAGACCAAACCTAAGCAGCCGGCACTGGAGAGAATCACCAACTTCATTGTCGTCTTCCTAATGTTTTACGTCCTAATCAGCTCTGCTGCGACTTCGATGGGTTATCTTGCTTGGAAGAATTCTGAAGAGGACCATGCTTGGTATTTGTCTGGCACATCGGTTCCCTTTGCAGACATCTTTGTCGGCTTCATCATCATGTTCAACAACGTCATCCCGCTATCGCTCTATGTCGGACTCGAAGCAACCAAGCTGGGCCAGATGACCCTCATCAGCAACGACTTGGAGATGTACCATGACGAGACCGACACCCCTGCGGGAGTGAATACAACCAATAACCTCGACGACCTTGGCCAGATCAGCTATGTCTTCAGCGACAAGACCGGGACCCTTACGGAGAACATCATGAAGCTTCGAAGGCTCAGCATCGCTGGAACGAGTTGGCTTCATCAGATGGATTTACCAGAGTGCTCGGCAGCGAATGTCAACTCGAATTCGAACTTAACCACCGAGCACATGCTTGAGTACATCCGATCGAAGCCCAACACTTTCTTCGCTGCCAAGGCCATGAGATATATCTTGGCTATGTCACTTTGTCACACCTGTATTCCGGAGAGAACTGACGATGGGAATATCGACTTCCAAGCTTCGTCTCCTGATGAGTTGGCACTGGTCAGAGGTGCGCAAGAACTGGGTTTTCTCGTCGTCCAGCGATCATCTCAGTCGGTCAGTGTACAGATACCCCATGCCGACGGGAACAGCTCGTGTACCGTCTTTGAGATATTGGACGTGATTGAGTTTAGCAGCAAGCGCAAGCGAATGACCGTAGTTCTTCGTTGTCCCGATGGGAGACTGTGGCTCATCTGCAAGGGAGCCGACTCCATAGTCTTACCCCGGCTGCGAATGGCCCCGGCAGACATAAAGAGCACCCGACACAGCAACGCCGAACCGCTCAAGGGTGTGACCTCAATGCCTTCGCGATGGAGTTCAAGACGGTCGAGAATTCCGGCTGAGACCATCACCGAGATCAGAGAGGATGATGACCGCTCAGTTTATAGTCAAACATTGGGAGACGTCGACGATTTCGGGATTCGGCTCCAGCCGCAACGACCGCAGAACGATCCAGCACGCGACAGAGAGAACAGCCAATCTCGGTTCGGATTTCTGGAGGGATCTTGGATTGCTGACGAGGCTCGGAGCGTTCGCGAGTGTTTTGCCCACATCGACAACTATGCCACCGAGGGACTGCGCACTTTGGTGTACGCAGACAAGTTTCTCGACCCCGAAGAGTACAACAACTGGAAGCATCTTCACCACGAAGCCGAGACTAGTCTCGTGAACCGCCAAGAACGCATCGAGGAAGTGAGCGAGCTGCTGGAGCAGTCGCTCGATCTTGTGGGAGCTTCTGCAGTGGAGGACAAGCTGCAGATGGGGGTTCCGGAGACCATTGAGAAGCTCCGACAGGCTAACATTAAGATCTGGATGCTCACTGGTGACAAGCGAGAGACGGCCATCAATATCGCTCACTCCACCAGAATTGTCGGCCCCGATACTTCTCTCTTCATACTGGACGTAGAGAAGGGCGATCTTGAGTTGCAACTCACTGGCATTGCGGACGAGGTTCAGTTCGGTCTCCCGCAGGTGTACTCCGACCCGACTCGCTCGCACACGGCAATTGTGATCGACGGCGAAACCTTGACTGCAATTGAAGATCCATCCGCGATTCGACTGCGTCGACTATTCGTCACAATAATGACCAAAGTCGACTCCGTTATCTGCTGCCGTGCATCTCCTGCCCAGAAAGCTCTGCTTGTTGCTGAAATCGGCAAAGGCCCTCAGAAGAAGTCACACTGGTACAGTTGGCTTAGCCCGACCTTGAACAAGCCCTTGACTCTTGCCATTGGCGATGGTGCTAACGATCTGGCCATGATATCTGCAGCCAATGTCGGTGTGGGAATTTCTGGCAGAGAAGGTCAACAGGCTGCCCGTGTGGCGGACTTCAGCATCTCTCAGTTCCGGTATCTGTCTCGGCTGGTACTTGTTCATGGCCGCTGGAACTACTACCGCACAACACGATTCATTGTGGCAACGTTCTGGAAGGAGACTTTCTTCTACCTCCCGCAGGCACTTTTTCAAGAGCAAACCGGAGCCACGGGTACAAGTTTGTACGAACCGGGAAGTCTCACTTTTGTCAGTTTCTTCACCGCAGCATGCATCCTCGTCATTGGAACTTGGGAGCAGGATCTACACTCGCGGACTCTGACGGTGGTTCCGGAGTTGTTCAAATACGGACAGAATGCTGAGGGTCTCAACATGTCGGTGTATTTCAGTTGGTTCAGCAACGCGCTGATTGCGGGACTCATCGTCTACGCCGGTGCTTGGGCGGGTTACATGGACTCTGAGATGATCGACGATGACGGGTTGTATGCCCAAGGATTACTGACCTTCGTCTTGTGTGGAATCTGGGTCAACATCAAGCTACTGTGAGTACATCTGGTCACTAGCCTTGAGTTCGACTCTAAAATTACTAACTCGAACCAGAGTGATCGAGCTGCATTACAAGACCAGAGTTGCTCTCTGGTCTATCGTTGGCAGTCTCGCGGTCTTGTGGGCTTATTTGCTCATCGCTGGCGCCATCTCTTCCCCAAGTTCCGGTCCTTATTCTGTTCACGGGGGTCTGACCTTAGAGTTTGGCAGGGATCAAGCATGGTGGTCCACGCTAATCATGGTATTGGCGGCATTACTTCTGATGGAGATGGCCACGAAAGCACTGAGGCAGAGCCATGTTCTGCGAGCTTGGCTGTCGAGGTGTTGGTCCTCGAGCGGAAGAGTTGATGGCAAGGGCGGGGGTGTCAGGGAGGGCTTCAACGACTGGGAGCCCCGCCTTTGGCAGGAAATGGAGAGAGACCCGAGTGTGAAGAAGGTGTTGCATGGTCTCGGAAGATAATGATGGAATGGAGCTGGTCGGGACGTTTTCGACCTCCCAAGGAATCATAGCCTTAGGTAGACTTGAACTGATTGAGGTGACAAATATGTACTGGTTTGAAATTTACTAGCACCGTACGTAGCGATTGAAACTATGGATTTTGTTTACTTTTCAAAATATCCTCGTCAATTGCACCGGCGTATCTCAAAAGCCCTTACCCATGGCGCTGACCTCGTCTTACATCCAGGCAAACATTGACGCCAGCAACGTGATAAACATTACCACGGACCCTGCAGTCACAACAGAGGCAGCGCTTCGGCCATTTCCATTATTGTTGTTGTTGTTGCCGCCGTTGCTTCCGCCATTGTTTCCTCCGTTATTTCCGCCGCCATGGCCACCACTGCCCCCATTGTCCTGGGCCATGTTCAACATGAAGTAGGTTCCGCCAATGGGGCGTCCGAGTCCAGCTTGTTTACGGAACTGCGAGATCTAGGAGAGGTCAGCTTAGAGCCAGAATCACTGGGCTTCGGTCAGCTACTAACGTTGAAATTCTTTCGGTTCATCTTATCAACACCCATGGCGTCAAAACCCATCTTGTTCAGCTTCTCAGGCTGGACGTAGAGTAGGTAAACATATCGATGCATGCCGCTTCCGGCCTTGGGCTCAGGTGCCATGTAGTCATTGAAAGCAGGAGTTGAGTTCTTCATGATCATCGCTGAAGCAAGAACTTCAGATTTAGTCTGCTCAAGCGTGAAGTTGCCAGCAAGGTAGTGCCTCATGTTCCGCTCGGTGGGGCTTTCGCGTGTTGGAGAGTCGGGCCCAATCTGACCAACATCGTTAGAATTATTCGAGCTTTGCAGTCCGTAGTGTGATGCACATACCATGTAAAGAACGAATCTGGAGTTCCGAGTGACGTTCCTAGCCTTCATGATGTTCTCGACGCTGAATTCGAATGGAAATTTGGTTTCCTTCATCTTGAGCTTGGTTCCAGGCATCAACAAAGCCTTATCGCCGTCGCTAGCTTTGTAACCGGCGTAGAAAGACACCATCGGGTCGAACGAGCCCATCACATCTGGAACAATGCCAGCTTCCATGAAAGCTTGGCGGAATTCAGTTGTGGACATGCTCCTCGGTGGCATATCATTGTGAGCAATTGCCACAGCGGCGAGTAGGGCCGTGATGCTGATGATGAACTTCATGGTGGTCGAAGTATGGACTGTGCTTATGGTCCTGGTCCGTGGAATGAAAAGAGAATGGCAATCAGCAGAACTGGCGTCCAGCACCTGTGGGATTTTGAAGTTGAATTAGATGAGAGAATGAGGACGAATCGGGCGCTCTGGTAACTCTCACCTCGCTGGCTAGGTTAGAGCTAACGGACGTGGATGATCTTTATCCTTTGGCTAGTTTACTCTCTCCGTTGTCCAACATCCTAGCATCACGGAGTCACGGGCCAAACAGTAACCCATCATACCCTGGATTCATGAATCTTCAACTGCGTAGGAAATCCAAACATGCTCTCAGATGAGACAGAAAATGTGAGGCTGTTTGGCTCATTGAGCTTCCCGATGGAGCTTTTCTCTGCCGGACGTGCGCGGGGTTCCCTTTGACTTTCCCGCACAAAGTTTCAGGACATTGGCTCCCCCTTGCTTACGATTGGATAATTCTTTGGACGGGAAGGAACGAAGCTTTTGATGAAGCTCAAGTTGTTGTCTACATGACCCTGGGAAGATCTTCACCTTATCGTATGCCGAGTCGCAAACCTCGGAGAAAATGTCACTGGCCATCCATCAATCCCACCGGACGATCAAATGATTGCTTGGCGAACTATACCAGGCAATTCTGGCACGTTCGACACAGTCTTGAAAAGGAAACGGACTAGCGACTCTGAGTCAAGGGTCGAATGAGAACAGACAGTAACTGTGTCACTACTGTGTTTCCATGCGAGCACAGAACGAGCCTCATTGAGACCCTTGCCCTCGAGATATCTGGGCACAAATTCGTGTCCACAGAGGTGTCTTGATATTGGAAATGACAGTGAAACATGACAACAAAGGCGAAAGATAGAATTTGAACTCAGTGTTGAACTCGGAATCGGGATGGGAAAGTGTGGTCGGCGCCGGGTCTGATTCGCATCCATATCACTCCGCCAAAAAGGGTTGACGCCGGGTTGAGCTCTCAGCCCATGATTTTGGAATGCAACAGGAAGCTATGAACCAGGTCTCCCATAGGATCGCAATCACGGCTCGGGGGGCGCCGACTTATTATGGAGGCTAATAGGCGGGAGTGTCAATAGACCGATCATCAGTTGGGGATGATGCTGGGTGATTTCCCCCTGACCCCTCAGTAGGGGAGAGGGGCGTAATAAGCGAGCGAAGCCAAATCCACGTGCTCGGGTTACAGTGACATCCCATATATCCGTACAGCCGTTCGAATTTGCTTTGCGGTCATGGAGCAGCTTTTCCTGAGAGGGAAACAAGAAACGGAAGCCGAGGTGGTTGCCTCCGGATAGAAAGAACGTATCCGACGTATTGGATGCCAAGACCAGGAAGGTTCCGTTTCAGGGCGCCAAGAAACTATCAGCCGATCTGAAAAGTCTTGGATTTCAGTCCGAGACAAAAGTCGCAGGTCTACCCGATCCGCAACCGAGTCATTGTGAGAAAGTGGTAGGAACAACCGGATGTTCAAGTATTAAGTGAAGTCGCCAGCTTATAATCAAGCTATCTAGAGATGTACACCCATAGGCAGTGTGACAAGCAATGATGAGAAGAGCCAGAAGGACCATGAGCCAGTGCAACTAGCGATAACGCTAGCGACCTTGACGTGAAGAGTTCAGTTCTCAACCTACCTATTCGTTCATGGTATCTTTACTGAGTGATTCCTACAGTACTTAAACAAGTGCCATAAGGGATGGCGTCAAGTCTAGACGCTATGAAAAGTTTACGTGGAGTAAGCATTGACCCGCATGGGTTCTCGACGCCATACGCGTTCCGAAAGGCGGAAAGCAATACCGGACATGACAAACCGGCAGCGATTTCCGAGAGAGCCCCTCGAGTCTATCTCGTCCCGAGTTGCGCAAAGTGATAGCCTTAGACTTTGCTCACAACAGAGAAATTGTTCGCACAAGGACTCGCACATCGCGGAGCTGATAAGTTGTCAAGCAGCTTTCCGGTCTGGGCTATGGTTAAGCCTCCCAAGACAAGTAGACTTTCTAGCTGGAAAAAGTAGACGGAAGGCCTAGAACAAAGCCATCACTGACTTACCGGTGCACTTAGGAGCAAGCTGCACCTGCAGAATGACGCCATGGCTGCAAGATTGATTTCGGCGGGAAATTCTGATTCTAATTCACGCTGATAATTCGAGGCGCTGAGGCATTTAGAACTGCCCCCAGTCGGTAATAGCAGATATTTTCCATCGCTGGAGGGTGTAAGATTGAGTGCCTATAGGTTTTTCCAAGCTAAATTTGCGCTGCATCTATACTGCTCAGCATGAAGATAAATACCTAGGACATTGATTTGCTAGGCTTTGAAAAAGCGCTGAATAAATCCCCTCAACGCACTTCCGCAAGCTTATCTCAACTTTACTGACCCCTGCCTACGTCAATCACGCGACTGCTAGTTGACTGATCCCAGGCATCTTATTGATCCAAGCGTCCATCTTACCTTCGACAGCATCCACGAGCCATCGAGCTAGTGCGCCCCGTCTTAGACTTGTTGTCCACCCCTTTTCTCCTATCGATCCAGTGAACACCTCAAGATTCCGGTCACGTCTCCAGCTATCGTCATCAGATTCTCCAGGGATCTGTGCTATACGAAAGAGAGTCCAGTCAAGATCGTGACCCTCTTTACTGAACAAGCGAGCGAGATTATGCATATTGCGGTACACAGCGCTATTCAGAAAAGGCATTATGATCGTGATCATGGTCTGAAAGAACGTCCATTGGTCTTCGGGCTGCTTGATTGAGATTGTACCCATGGCGACAATTCGTCTGACGCTGTGTTGCTTCATTGCTGGGAAGACGCAGTTGCGGTAGATGTCGGCGTAAAGAGAAGGGTCAATGTGCTTGTCGTTGATATTCGGCCCGAGGAGAGATATGACTACGGAAATTCGAGCCATTGCTGAGTCTAGGGCTTTCGTGTCGCTCATCTCCCCTTCAATTATCTGACAAACAAGTTAGTTTCAACGCGCTCATACTCAGTATCTGGGGAGTCTCTAGACCTGGAACCATAACAAACCTCGAGGAGAGAGCTGGATGCCAAGTCGTTGGGTAGTTTTGAGGGAGATCTGGCTAGTAGGATAGTTGCATGGTTGCGATGAACAAGCTCTCGCAACAGGCAAACACCTGCTGGGCCGGTTCCACCAAGAACTAGGACTTTCTTGCCTGACATTATGTGAGCATGGAATTTCGAATTGACACTACGACACTACGATAAGTCTTCATTGAGCAGGACACTTTTTATGAGATTTTATACTGTTCAGCTCATTCTTCTTCCGCTGCTATCGACTACATATTGCAACTATCACGACCTCAAAGTCCGTCGCCTGTTGTTGTTGAAAGTCCGCCGTGCCTGAAGATTCCCGCGCGGGAACAGGTCTGGGCGGAAACAGTGCACTAGATCCGCTTTGGGCATAGTGCCCTCAGCGGATCATAGCTGACAACATCTGGCCATGCCCGAGTCTGAGGTAAACCGCGCGGAAACATCTGAACATCGCGTGGCTCAACTCTTGGGTGCACCAAGCCCTATCCTTCGGTTCCCGACCAAACCCCAGAGATGACGGAAACTAGCAGCACAAACAACGGAACGAACAATGCCACGAGAGACAGCAAGCTGTTGGACATGTCGCATACGCCACAAGAAATGCGACGAATCACTACCCGTCTGTAATGTCTGCGCAGGTCTTGAGATCACCTGCTTCTCCGGCCAAGAGACCCCGGAATGGATGGATGGCGGCCTGCAACAGCAGGCTATGACTGATAAGCTCAAGGCTGAAGTTACGAAAAGTGCCAAGTTGAGGAGGGCTCGAAGGGTTGTGCAGCGTATCGTCGGAGATGCCCACGCCAATGACCTTCTGCCGCCGTCGTCAACAACTTCGGGGTCTACCGAGGTCACCACGAGATACTCTCTGAGACAAAACCCTTTAGCAACTGTTACGCAGTCCCAGATATCCCCGAGCAGTGACTTCCAGTCTCAGTCACTTCCTCATTCCAACGATTGGACACCCCATTTCGGTCCCCAGGAATCCGCTACCGGCCCGGGGAAGTCTACACCACAACTCCCAACTGAGTTGGAGCAGTGTTACATCTCAGCATATCTGGACTACATATTTCCAACATTATTCCCCTTTTACTATCCATCCATCCTCGAAGGCGGTAGAAGCTGGATGCTCGTTCTTACTCTGGCCAACAAATCGCTTTCTCATGCGGCTACTAGCCTCGCTTCACATTTCTTGGCTATCGTGCCAGTACAGCGCCGCCACTCAGAGAGACCCAAGTGCGTATCTCGAGTCGAAGCTGAACTGCAAGAGCAGACGCACATAGCAATGCAAAAGGCACAACAAGACGTTAAGGAGGTCATCGGCCGGGGCGTACACGAAGACTTGATCACCAGCATCAGGCTATACGACAGTATTGTGCATCTGCTGTACTTGGAAGCAACCTTTGGCACGTCAGAGAATTGGACTATGCACTTGGATGCGGGTATCATGCTGTTGGAACAAACACTGCACGAGGTCAATGGCGAAGAGTTCCAAGACTCTAAATGGTCCGCTACTTGCCGGAAGGTTGGCAGACTCGCTTATCCCCACATGAAAAACCCTCCACAATTTCCGGCATGGACACCTGATCAGAGCTCCTTTAGGTTCTTCACGGCTCTTCTTATAGTCCATGACCTTGTGGCGAGCACATCCCTCGGAAACCCGCCGCGGTTACAGACATACTACCAAGATATGCTTGTTGCTGAAGGCAAGCCCGAAGAGATTCCGAACAGGGACTGTAGTCTTCGCTTGGATAGCTTCATTGGCTGTCAGAACTGGGCTATGATCTTGATAGCAGAAGTGGCATCGTTAGACAGTTGGAAAAAGCATATGCGTGAACGGGGATCCTTCTCAAATCTCGAACTGTTTAGAAGGGGCGGGGAAATCGAAATGAAGTTCAGAGAAGGCCTGAGTCGACTGGGCGTGGAAGGTCCTAAGATACGGGATCAGAGACCGCCCTGGCTAGCTGACTCCCGATTAGCTGAAGAAGAATCTAAAGCAATCGTCTTAGTCACGCAGGTATGGGCTCATGCTGGGCTCATTTATCTCCACGTCGTCCTCTCAGGCTGGCAGCCAGACAGCATGGAGATCAGCGACTCGGTGACACGGAACCTGGAGTCGATGACGAAGCTGAGGAATCCCCGTTGGCTACATACACTCGCCTGGCCTATCTGTGTCACTGCCTGTTTGGCCAAGGAGGAACAGGAAGGCCTGGTTGGCGAAGTCTTTGATCTAATGGGAGATCTTGCGAATTTTGGTTCCGTAAGATTGGCAAGAGAGGTATTTGAAGCCGTCTGGCTAAGGAGACACAACGCCATTGTTGAGTCTTGGGATGTGGAGGCCTGCTTGAACGTTCTAGGTCGCCGGGTTCTTCTGGGATGAGACAGGGTCAAGACGCCCGTCGGGTTAAATCTAGATGAGAGGCTCAACGGTCAGGCGTAAGAAATCTCGGTGCTGTGCACCATGGCGCTGAAAGACCGAAATCTACAGAAGACTTGACAATTTAAGGGTGGTGCGTATTTGACCCCGAACTGCCTGGTTCCAGGCGGTTAATATCACTGAACGTTTTGACATTATGGGGACCGTGGATACGGAGTTGGAAGTTTACAATACATCCTTCCCCCAACTATCAAGCTGCGGCGGTAGTTCCATTTCCAGATGTTTCGTACTTCAGAACGAATGGCACCGTCTTGACAACATCCCAGTCTCCTTCATTCTCCCTATCACCAAAGATACGCAGAGCGCTGACCTTCATGGCGTAGATAGCAGGCTCGAGAACAGTGCTATCAGCAAGCAGCCCATTGAAGAAGGCACGTGTTTCGGTGCGAGGTGCATATGGAAGAGGCCAGCCTGCTAGACTGCCTAGGTTCTCTTCCTTGCCTCCACTAACTCTCAAGACATCGACCTGGATGGAGGCAGTGCCGACTGTGGGTGATATGATGGCGTTGGGGGTCGCTGATTGGTCTCCGCGATCAGTCAGAGGTGGGTTGGCCGGGTTGGGGCGCGGGATCGTGTATGTTGTGTTCGCTGGGGCTTGGCTGTAGTAGTTGGCGAGGTATGCCTGTGCCGGTGTGATGACAGGAATGTCATGCATGCTGCCAACAACTCCGAGATAGGGCAGGCTCAAGGAAGGGGCATCAGTGGTGCTGGTGAGAGCGATGTATCCGCTGTAGACTGGTAGACGAGTAGCGTTGACGTTAGATGGGGGAATGCAGGTGACGGTAAGTTCTGCGGATCCTTCAGCGGGCACGGTGATCTTTCTGTTGTCTTATTAGTCCAAAGGATTTAGAGATAGTCATAGGCCGTGGATGACTTACTCGGAACTGAATTGAAGCTCAGCCCACTCCTCGATAATTGGGTTGGGGAATGAGGCAGCCCTCAAGCGGTCGGTGGTCTCCACGAAGGTGTACATGGTGACGGCTTTGCGATGGCTGACTTCGAACTCAACGTCCACAGATCCATGGTTATCGATGATGAAAGTCTCGTTTCCCGTGAAATAGTCAGTGTCGTTGAAGGAGATGCTATCAATGCTGAGCTCGACATTGCTGCGGGCTGCATCAAACGCCTGGATAATTCCAGCACCCTGTTGCGGAACAGGGGCAATGAGATCGGCGTGGGCCACAGTGCCGTCAAACCAGGCTAATGGCTTTGAAGTGGATGACACGATGGATTTGAGACGTTTGGGGTCCTTGGTCCCGTGGGCTTCCGCAAGAAGAGCATAAATGGCGGCGTTCAGAGGGCAAGCTTGAAAAGTGTCAGCTTGCTTTGTAAAGCCATCTCATCGGCTTGACACATGACATGTTCGTTGACTTACACATGCTAGTACCAGTCATAACACGATAGCCACCCAGGGCAACAGGGAAAGTAGACAGAATGTTGGCTCCAGGGGCGGCAAATTGAGGGCTGGCTTCCAGCTCCCAAGTCGGGCCCCAGCTGGAGAAAGATCCCATGTAGGATCCACTGGACTTATTCTCAAGCTCCTCGAGACGAGTCCTGGTGTTGTTGGCGCCGGGGATGGAGATTGTGACGCTGCGACCTTGTTGCAACAGTGAGAGCCATTGGTCAGACTGGTAAGGCGGGATAGAAGCGACGCCCTGGATACCCTCGGAGTAGACATATTGCTCGTCCCGCATAGTACTAGAAGACGACATTAGAAGCTGTAGAACGTAGAAAGCAACCGAGGCGGTGACTCACGTATTATCATTAGTGTAGAAGAGAATATAGTGTCCACCTTTGGCGACAATCTTGTTGCCCTGGTCAATTGGATAGCAACCCGTGGCTCGGGAGTCGGGGAACGAAAGCAAAACAATCTTGTTGCTCAGATCTGGGGTGTCATCAGGCAGCTCGCTACAGGCGTTGTTCTCACCCGGGCTCCAGAGCTGAAGTGAAAGGTCTCCCACGAGCTCAGGAACACCGGGCAAGTAAGCGAAGTCGGACTTGACGCCTGATGTGGAGTTGGATTCCACGGAGAATGTGCCTTCATTGAGGATCGTAGGGAATTTAGAGTTCGTCACAGCACCACTTCCAGCGACACCACGACCGGTAGCCGGGGTCGACGCGTAGAACAAGCCATTGCCGCCGTCGTTGCCTTCGGAGATGACGACTGGGACACCCGCGTCGACGATGCGAGAGGCGAGAACACCCCAAGCATCCTCGGCCCAGCCAGACGGGCTAACAATGAAGTTAGTAAAGCTTGGTCAGATTCCTAAACTGATTAAGGGGCACGAACTCTCCATCGGAACATGAAATGATATCAGCTCCCTCCTCAAAGGCGCGGCTGAAAGCCGCGAGCAGCACCTCGTTCGTCGATGTGGAGGCGCATCCCCACGCTCGGTATGCTGCCAGCTTAGCTCCAGGGGCGGCACCCGTGAAGCCATACTCATTGCCCTCAAGCTGAGCGGCAATGATGCCAGCAACGTGAGTTCCGTGTCCAGCGCAGTCATCCATAGGGTCCGCATCGGGCTGTAGCGGTCTCACGTTGGGTAAAAAGTCGTCGCCCGTGAAATCCCACCCGGCTTCTACCAGGCATCCAGGGCCGAAGCATCCGCCAAGGGCAGGGTGAGTGTAGTCCACGCCGCTGTCGATGATGGCAATACGGACTCCCTTGCCAGTGATCCCCTGTTCGCGCAGCTTGTCAACCTGGGTCATGATGTGCGGCGAGAAGGTGTCCTTGGTTGAGTTTCCGAATGCCGCTTCCTGGCGCTTGGTATTGGCTTTGGTAGCCACATCCTTGGCCGGTGCGCCGTGGTCCTCGGGCTTTGCAAGCTTAATCGTACGGACAGGCCACAGGTTCCGAATGCGCGGCGAGGCTTCGATCTTGCGACGAAGGAGTGCGCCATCATGGTGAGTCTCGCCAGCATTCTTGACCTGGAAAGAAACACCCTTGAACAGCCGGTTGCTGAGGTCCATGCGAGATTCAATATCGAGGCCATCGGCCTTCAGAGAGCTGTAGAAGGTCTCGGGGGTATCATCATCGTCCGCGAACTCGACAATGTAGGCGCCGGGGATGAGCTCGCTGGGGTTGGCGTCCTTGTTGTTGCTTGCTTCCGCTCTGGGAAGCGTCGCTGGCGAAGGCTTCGTGTAGATGCGCGGATGAAGTGGGTTGGCGGCGGCAAAGTTCGAACCCAGGAGGGCCGAGACAAGTACTTGTGAGACCCTCATCCTCTTTGATTGATCACCCGCTCACAAGAAAGTAGGCTGATGGATAAGGAGCGGACAGAGAGCCAAATTACGTCGCGCGGCCATGTCGTCCATATAAGAAGATGGTGGCGCTGAACCCACGGAACTGTTCACGGGCGACCCGCGATCGCGTCCCCGCTTCCTATGTTATTCTGGGGGGATTGTTGCTTCGTGGGTGAAAGTGACACGAGTTTGGAGATGAAGAACGGCAAATACGAGATTCTTTCGTGATGCCAACCGCAGATCCCCGGCCGTACAGGGGTTCCGCTCCACAATGGGTGGCATCCGACGCGAGAGCGAGATGTTTTGACTGCGCAGTAAATTGTAAAGAAAATATCTCACTTTAACGGTACCGACTGGCAGAAGGCGCCTGACTTGGGCATCATGATCGATGGATGTCAAATCGCTCAACGCGATGACAATGACAACAAGGACATTCGATCTTGAGTCTTCCGGTTGATGGGGAGCTTTCGATGTGGATCTTGAAGTAAATTGCGATGGAGGTTTCCGGTGGAAATCAAGGTCATTCACCCATGCTACCCGTATCCATGCTGCTTAAATAGAGTAGTATCCGCCTGCGAGCGTCTGCCGAGAATACGCTACACCCACTGATGCAGGGAGAGTGTTCACGCTGAGGGTCGTCAATCACTACTGGCTTTTCGTTAATACGGGAGTACCATTAAGCCGCAGGAAACATATAGCCCGATGATCTCAGCCAAACTGTGAATTCGCCTTTTGAGTCCAAGGACCCAAAGCCCACAGTCAATAAACGGTATAAATCGTGTCATTATTGGTTTCTAACGAGGTCTTAGTTTGTCAAAACATATCGGTACCTAGGCTTCCCGTCGACCATGTCCAAAACTGCCTGATTGGCCTCCTTCATTGGGCGTGTCTCGACCCATACCTTGACTTCCTTCGCAGCAACAAGGTCAAACATTTCTCTGATTTCGCTAGGGCTACCAATGACCGATCCAGTCAAGTGCACTCGGGTTCTAATAAGGGCAAAAGCGCTGAGTGGCACCGGTTCCTCAGGAGCACCGACTTGGACAAATGTACCTCCGCGTGACAGAAGACCAAGGTACTGGGCCAGAGGCATCTGCGATGAAATCGAGTCAGCCATTACTGACTTCTTGTGTTTCAGTTGGTGATTGTGACATACCTTGGGAGATGCGACGGTCGAAATAATTACGTCGAGAGTGCGGGCATTCTTAGTGGCCCAGTCTTCATCCTCGGCCGTGGCGATGAAATCGGTTGCACCAAGCTGCGCAGCATCTTTCTTCTTGTCAGACTTTCTCGAAATGGCCACCACTTTGTCTGCGCCCAGAGCCTTCGCAAACAAGACTGCGCAATGGCCGAGCCCGCCAACGCCAATGACGCCGACTCTCTTGCCGGGGCCGACATTATAGCGCTTCAGGGGCGAGAAGACCGTCACACCGCCGCAGAGCATGGGAGCAGCTTGCTCAGGCGCAATGGCCTTGGGAATCTTGATGACGAAGTAACTCGGGCAGCGATGGTACAATGCATAGCCACCCTGGGTTTGACTTCCATTGCGATGGACGCTATTGTAGGTGTTGACGCGCTTGGTGCAGTAGTTCTCCTCGCCGACTTCGCACGCATCGCAGGGTCCATCGCGCGATAGACAGGAATCAGACTGCGCACCCACGCCGACGACGTCGCCAACTTTGATGCCGCCTTCTGCCTGGGATCCAACACGGACGGCTACGCCCACAATCTCGTGGCCAACGACGGCAGGAAATCTGGTGGCACCCTGGGACGAAGAGTCAGCAAGCCAATCACGACTCGAAGAACATGCAGACGACGCATGAGTATGCGACATACCCAGCCAGCACGCAGAGTATGAATATCGGAGCCGCAAATGCCCGAGTGAGTGATTTTGATATCGACGTCCGTCTCCTCCCAGACCTTAGGCTCATACTCTCTCCAAATCATTTTCCCGTCTACCGAGGAGGGGTCGTCCGCCACCCATCCCTCGAATTTGTAGTTAGTAGCCATTGTGATCGTGAAGTAATGTGAATGGGCGTGGACTCGAAGATGTAGAAAAACGAGACGGTCCTAAGACGAACGATAACTTCTGGGCCGAAGTGAGTTCCTTTCAAAGAATGCCTGGAGGAGTTAGGTTTGGTTGAAGATGGGTTAGCGGCAACGCTATCCGAGTTGCCGAGGTGTTTCGGGCGGAGAACATGACGAAATCTAAAGTTTGTCAACGACCGGACTCAATACGGAGTTAAGAAAAGCTCAATTGTGGCACTGCATTGGTGTCAAGTCATTGATCTTGAGTAAGTATTTAGTTGAAGATAAGCCTGTATCGGCTCCGGCAGCTCGATGTTAGATCCACTATGCTTACAGATTCCCCTCACCAGCAGGTTGCAGCTGTTGCACGTCTTTCAATAAGACGGCTGGATGGAGAAGCGCCGGAGGGGGATCGGAGTAAACCTGGAGTAAAAAGGCTCCACCACCTCCGAAGGGGTCCGACTCCATAGCAGCATCTTCAACTATTCGATTCTTGCATATTGGTTTGAGGGCCATTGAACCACTTCGCTCAACTATTATGTCTAGATACAAGCATTTTTTCAGATTTCAACATACAAGGCCATGCCCCGGTTTTGACTCAAGTCCGTACTTAGGTGGATACCTAACTTCTTGTCCCCAAGTTGCGAAACGTCAGGGCCGACGTCAGCCTGCATTCACTGTCCAATCTAAATCTATCTCTTGTTGAAAAGATTTTGAGATTGGGACTTGCTTCTGCTTCATATTTCCATTCCGTACATTCCATCTGTTTTCTAAGTATCAAGATGTTATGACGTGAATATCCCTCAAGTGCCAGGCTCGAAGCCCGCCATATCTTCTCCACGACATACTCCGCTTCCCCGCAAGTGCACTTAACTGTAGTAACTGTTCGTGTCGTTGAGTGGTGTCCCTGCTCTCCCAACTTCTACTTCGGCATGAGCACCAAGGCTCTCTTGATCCCAGTGCCTTTAAACGCAAGCAAAAGATGCCGGAGAGGCCGGATCACCACCAATATAGTGCTGCACTTGGGGATACATGCAGATGTCTCTTCTCATCTATTTACCATAAGCATTGAGCCCCTCAACTCTCAATGCGACTGGAGCGATTCCTTTATCAACCCAGTCAATCAGCGCGGACAATGTGTTCCGCGGGGCAAGGGCATTCGAAATACTATGATCGGCGCCCGGGGCGAGGAACTGACGAAAATAGTCATGGGCTTTGGGATCCTTCTTGAGAACTCTGTCTGTATAGTCGACCGTCACGTTGACAGGGATGATCTGGTCCGTCATCCCGTGCCAGCTGAGCAGCTTTCCCCCGGCCTTGCGGAACCTGCTCAAGTCAGGGTCGGAAGTGCCGGTGATTGATTCATACTCGTTTCGCGACGCGATGAAAAGGTCGTCCCATTGACTGTGGTCAAGGGTTTGAAGATCGATTTTGGCGTTTTTTGCAACAAAGTATCGTGCGTAGGACTCAGCAATGCACAACCTGACCGGCGCGCAATTTTCTCCTTCACCACCGCATGAGGTATGAAGAGCCCCGAATTGCCACATCTTAGCGTCTCTTCCATACCCATACCAATGGAATTCACCAGAGATGCTTTGAGGTCCATTCCAAGCAGCGTTTGCGGCCTCTGCGGCTTCAGCGGTGAACAAAGCATCTGTCCCTCCGCAGTCGAAAGGGTGGCCGACCAGAGTACGGGTATCAAAAAAAGACCGAGAGGGCATGGAGATGATTCCATTCTCGACTCGATCCAGCCTATCGCATGCTTTCGTGGCCGCAGCTGTAATAGCTTCGAACTCGCAAGGCCGTGGGTAGACGACCTTCTTGTCCATGACTCGGTGAGCCCATAGAGGAGACCATTGAAATTTGTCCCAGTTGATAGCAGGGCAGAACCCTAGAACACCGTCAAAGTCGTTAGGATAGCGTTGGGCCAGCATGTAAGCCTGTCTTCCGCCAGTTGAGCCGCCATAGAAGTACGTGTACTTCGGAGGCGTGCCATAGAAAGACTCTGTCAAAGCTTTTTCAATCAGGGCCATGTCGTGTATAGCGACGTGGGAAAAGTCGAGGAAAAGAGGCCAGTTGACGTTGCCTAGACTAGTAAATGGCCAAGACACATCATCACCTGACGCGTCGTCAAGTTTGCTCGAGTGTCCACCATCAGTTGTACTAACAGCCAATCCTGACTCCAAAGAAGGCATTATCATAATCCCGCCCACTTCGATCCCCACCGTTACCCATCCGCCACACCCATTTCCTTGAAATCTTCCGTTCCAATTTTCCATCGGGAAGAGCGTCGTAACTTTGATCTCGTCGTTCTAGCCGGGATGGGCGTAGATCACTGTCAAGTTACAAAAGTTCAGGCCATGAATAGCCCGGCCGATTTGAAAGCGGGGATGAGGCTTGTATGTGAAGTTTCGTTCTTCAGTAGCAGTCAGCGTTATAATGTGAATTCCCATAAGTTCTGGATATCGTATACTGCCAGTTTCGCATGCGTTGTTTGCGCCGAAGGCAACCTGCGAGAGACCAGGATCCGCCCATTGAGCTGGCAGGGTCGGGAAAATGAAGCTACAAATCCAGTCGTGGATAGTGATGAGGTTGAGTAACATTGTACAGGGATAATGAGTGAGATCTTGATCGTGTTGGACGCAAGACGACTTGAAGGTTCACTTTCCAGCGAGGTGAACTGGTGCTAAAACTTCAATTAATGAAGGTCTTCAGACCTTAATTGGCGATAGATGACTTCTCCCCATGGTTCTATACATAATACTGGGCAATTATTTACGCGAACACACCAATCGTAACAGCACGCGAGTATAGAAGTTTTCAACCTGCGGTCAGACAGCATAATATGATTGGCTCGGCTTCGCTAGTGTCATAGAACATCATCTCCCATCGGGTTAATACGAGTATCGCTCATCAACCGTGCAAACGTTACAGGTTATATGTTATTTTAGGTTCCTCCTGCCAAACATTACCGGAAGAATTAAGCAGACGGCAATTCGTGTTCCCATTGGACGACCAAGCACTCAAGCCCCAAGCCGCACCGGCCCCGGGGTTTTCAAGGCGTCCGAAAGTTGACACCAGGAACGAGATCGGCGAGGCTCCACGTGCCGCCAATATTTGACCTTCACTGGTTCAGAATTCCTAAGAGGCTTGGAAGTCATTCTTTGCTACGGAAAATGTTTTCATGGCAGAAAAAAGCATCCATTCCAATGCCTTAACTAGATACTAGAAGTGAGGCTTCCCTGCCACCAACATTATCCAAGTCGACCATCAGCAACCATCCTCATGTAAAATGGGGTTTCCCTCCATGTGCTGTGCTGCTCCTTAGTCTACCTATATACCCCTACCTAGAGTTGGCGATGCGGTAGAAAATCAAATAATTCTCTAAATGTGGTTTTTTGTTCTACTGAGCACGGCGCCGTAGAATTAGCAAACGCTCAATCGCCGCATCGGACGGATACTTGTCGCTTACCAGCCAACCTAAGGTAGGGCGTTGCCGATTTGAATCCCAGAGAAACGAAATCAAGGCTTCTTTGCATATTGCCGTCTTGCAGCCATGACCAAGATTTGGGGAAAGCGAGGTCATAAACAGTTTCGAACATGGAAAGTCAGGACCGCGGCTGTTCCGATTGTGCGGGGCCCGGGGTTGCCCCTTTCGGCTGCTACCGAGTGGGACAGGCCGAAAATGGCCCCCCGAGGTGTACTGGCCCCACCACCGGTGCATCCGGATTCCACAAGTTCTCAAGAGCATTTGTTTTCTGCATTTCGCAGATTGCGTCGAACGATCCATTTCTGTGTGCTTTCGAGCTTCAATGTCAGATCTCCTAATCGAGCATCTGATTTGATCTGGAATTAACGCCTAGTCTGTAGCGATAATCAAGATGTGCGGCATCTCAGCCTGTCTGACACTTCCTCCGGGTCACCACTTTCATACTGAAGCACTCAATGGATACGCAAGCGGGATAAACAACTTCGTCGACATTCAAAGTCAGAATAGCAGAGATTTTAATGATCTCAGAGATCAGCTGAGAAGGAGCCTCGATGCCATTAGCCATCGAGGCCCAGATGCACAGGGGGTGTGGGCGAGTGAGGATGGCTTCGTGGGTCAGTGCTGATACCATGCTGCAACCCCTCTATGAGCTAGAGCCTAACCAACATGACTACAGGCATGGGTCATTGCCGGTTGGCTATCAACGACTTGACTCCAGACGGCAATCAACCTATCCACAGTGACAATAACGGCCTTCATGCAGTGGTCAATGGCGAAATTTACGACCATGATCGTATCCGAGAAGAGTGCAGAGCCAGAGGCTATGTCTTCAAGGGTCACAGCGACAGTGAAGTCGTTCTCGCTTTGTATAATGCGTATGGCGCACCTCAGTTCCTGGATCATATTCGCGGAGAATTTGCATTCGTGCTCTATGACGAGCCGACGGGAAAGGTTATCCTAGCCAGAGATCGGTTCGGTATCAAACCACTACTTTGGACTATCGTGCGACAGCCTGACGGGGGCAACAGACTTTTGGTCGCCCCAGAAGCGAAGGCGTTTCTACCTTTGGGGTGGAAGCCTCAGTGGGATGTCGGTGCCATCGTCGATGGTGGATGGATGCAAGACGGGAGGTCATTATTCAAGGGAGTTAAAAAATTGCCCCCGGGCCATTGGATGGAGATTTCAAAAGACGGCGTGATGAAAATTCATCAGTATTGGGATGCTGACTACAAGGACAAAGTACATGACCCCCCGACTGTTTGATATATATATAGCTAACATCATTTTAGACTGAGGGAGAGACCCGGAGTATCGATGAGATCGTACAGGGTCTGCGTGAGAAACTGACGGAATCAATACGTCTTCGATTGAGAGCGGATGTACCGATTGGAATCTACCTCTCGGGAGGTATCGACTCCTCTCTCGTTGCCGGGATAGTAACTCACTTGGTACGAGATGAGGGTATCAGGATTGGCAATAAAGACGCGACAAGCCGTATCAGCTGTTTCACCATTCAGTTCCCCAAGGAATCGGGATTCGATGAGTCCGGTAGGAACATTACCACTTCCAATCAAAGCTCCATTCTGCTAACACACTGGTCTAGATATTGCCGAGCGAACAGCAGAGTATCTTGGCGTTCAGATTCAAAAGAAGGAAATAGACGAAAACGAATTGGCCACCAACTTTGCCAACTGCGCTTACCATTGCGAGCATCATCATTTCGATCTCAACTGCGTAGGGAAGTTTGCTCTCTCAACCTTGCCGAATGCAAATGGAGTCAAGGTTGTGTTGACTGGAGAGGGCGCCGACGAGCACTTTGCCGGCTACGCATTCTTTCCTCCGGATCTGCTTCGGGAACCCGATCTTTCTATGCCGGATTCGCCGCTGGTGGCAGACTCGCAGCTGAGAGAAAACATGCAAAGATGCACGGAAAGGGATATCAAGATGCTGATTCCCCGTGCTGGCGCCTTTGAGCACGGCTGGGAACCAACGACAGCCACCCAAAAGGTTAACAACACGATTCTTCCGCCCTGCATTCTGGCATGGCACCCAAATCTGGACTTATTTGCGCCATGGGTGCGGGAGAACAAGCGCTGGGCAAACACCGACTGCAAGGACGTCATAGTGAAATCCTTCAAGCCAGCAACTCTGCAAAAAATGCAGAGAAAGTGGCATCCACTGCATACAGCCCAGTACATATACAGCAAAGGCCCGCTACCGAACATTCTTCTGAGCTGTCTTGGCGACTTGACCGAGATGTCTCACAGCGTGGAAGCCAGAACGCCGTTCCTGGACCACAAGCTGACAGAATATGTCAACAACTTGCCACCAAGTCTCAAGATGGCTTACACACCCGACAAAATCCCTCCTGAGAGGCACCAAGGTCCTTGGTGGGAAGGTATCGGCGTTGCTTCTCAAGCCTTGACAGAGAAGTGGATTCTTCGAGAGGCAGCCAAACCGTTTATTTTGAAAGAATTGTATGAGCGGCAGAAGCACCCGTTCACAGCCCCCATCAAGTGGCCCAAAGGTGGACCGCTCCACGATATGCTTCAGAAGATTCTCACTAGAGATAGAGTGGAGAACCTTGGGTTCGTGGATTATAAAGTCGTAGAGGATGGGCTTGATTGTGGCTTTGGCGAAAAAGCAGATGTCAAAGCTTTCAGAATCTTGCTTTTCGTTGCTGCTTGGGTGACACTCGGTGAGCGTCTGGGAATCCCAAAAGCTTCACTACAGGATTGGTGTTAAGAAAGTTTGGGCTGAGATGATTTCCTGGGACCTTTAGTCATTGGAAAGATCCAGAACATTATAAGATTGTGGGCACATCCAAACCCACAGCGTATTTTTAGAATCACTAAGTAGACTTGGGCACATGCAGAGTTCATATTCCCCTTAGATTTCACATGGCTCAACGAATATGCACGTCACAAGCCTAGCATCTCCTTAGTTCTTTTCATGCACGCATGTAAGTGAGCAGTTGTTAGTCCATATGAAATAATCGAAGCATAATCGGAAAGGTCCACGAAAATCTCTTGGTCTCTATTCACTTACTGAATCTCCTGTTTCTGCATCGCGCCGGGAACACGTCTCAGCCAGCCCAGTCGTCTAGACACGAAAATCTCAGCAACAGACGTAACTAAGCTCTGGTTCTTAAAGTCATTCAGAGCTCCCACCTTGAGATACATCAGCCCATCGGAAGCCAGCCCGTTCCTGCAGAGGGTTACACCGTAGTTGTTGCAGAAATAGCTGGTGACAATGTCTTCAATATTGGCCTTCGTGCCGTATGTCTTAGGGGTGCCAAAGGCCCCACCAGAGATCTTTTGACGACAGTCGTTGCAATGGCACAAAGATTTGTGCAGAGTTTGTCAGAGATTGATAGTTGAGGTTTAGATATGAGCTGACAATGTCTCACGACAGCCATTGACTACTCTGAAATTCGATCTCCAGGGCCTTGCAAAGACAACTTGAGACGACAATTGCAGTGCATTGAGTGTAGTGTAATCTGTCGAGTAAGCAATAAAGAATTATTTAGGGCGTGGAGTGCTCCTTAGATTGAGACGTCGGCTTCAGACCAAGGGTGCAATTCCAGTCCGCTCGACAATCACCTCGGTGGTCAACTCGCTCTTCTTATAGTTGAGTTTGGCAACTGCTTGGCAACCAGCTTAGAGGTCAATATGGTGGACTGGGGAGACTGCCGCTAGTCTGAGTCGTGGTGTGCATCCTATAGTTCACTACGATTCGCCCAATCAATTAAGTCTAACCGCAAGATCTCATGACCTCAGGTTATGGTTTGTTGTTCGGCCGCACTGCATAGTTCCCCGTTGCGGAAGCGTCAGCGCGAAGATGCTGGCCGGTGGGTTGTCCACGATTCAAACGAGTATGGTATATGCAGTTTCCATAGTAGCTTAATCACTACATGTGGGGAAGCAGTCTATTCTGCCATTTTGGGGCCGGAAGTTCGGACTACCTATTGAGAAGAACTAAAGTACATCCTCACTCAATAACGCCAAATGAGAGAAACTGGGTCTCAACAAAAGGTCCTCTCTTGGCTAGCTCCATGAAACTAAGAGAGTCTTGGGTAACGATCAGTATCAACCTCATGTGCTGGCAATGATAGTCATCAGCCCGAACCCCGTCAATTTCCCAACATGGCAAAGTTTGCTCTTGATCCAACCTCTCGTTTCCTCTTCCGCCAAACACGAGTTCATTATTGCGGCCATGGGCCAAAGCATGCACCACGCTCTGAATGGCCATCCCTGATGCTGTCCAACTCCAGGCTGACCATCTCTGAATATGGCGGATATCTTCTGACATATCAGCTTCACGTTTTTGCTTCCTTGATCAGTCAGATTGTGAAGCTCGTCTCCGTCTTCTGACTGTTCCTCGGCGGTGATAATCATACTGAGCGTCAACTCTATAAGTTGCAATCTCACTGTCAAGTAGAGACAGGATGCTATGAGAGCGTTCGCGTTCAATTCTGTATCCATGAGGTCGTTGAAAGCCATCTTGGTTGAAACGTCTGGTAAGCAAAGCGACTCAATTCTGGCGGCATCCGCAAGGTCATGAAGAATATCGAGACCAGGTTTCAGCATTTCTCCAACGGTCGGCCCTAGCTTAGAACTAGGGTGGGATATTAGTCTTTCAGCCGATGCTTTGTACTCTACGGCCCGACTCATGAGTGGTTCAAGGATTGGACCCTTGGCCCAATCTTTCTCAAATATAGACAGCGTGGTCCAGAGGGGCGCAAAGCCTGGGGGGCTCATGAAGTATTCCATCAGCTAATTCTCAAGATCATCAGTGATAAAATGTCCATGCTTGTAAAAGATGGGCATAGTTTCTTACCGCGACGTGACTGAAGAACCTCAATACTACTCTATCCAGGTTGCTGTCTTGTTTGATAGAAGATCTATGCTGTAGAAGAGCCAGAGCGCCTCGAGAATGCGGGTGGCAAGTAGCTTCGGTATCCACAAGCCTGCTCTGTGGCTGCGCACCGATAGCCTGACAAATTTGGAATCAGGCCTATCCTCACCGTGTCATATATGTGGAGGGGACGTGGCTTACCTCGAACAGACCAAGGATGAACAGAGCCGCCACCACCGAGTCATCTCGACCAACATTGGGATTCTTCAGAGCGCCTTTGAGTCCCATAATTGCCCTGTCATAGTGGCTTCTAGCTTGAACCATGAGTCCGGATTGAGTTAATTGCCGCGATGAGCTGGCAAGTGCAGTAGCTTTTAGAGCGTCGACAAAGCAATCAGCAGGGGTCGCGGACGAGATGGCTGGTAACATACTGAAGAAGGTAATACCGGAATCTTCGGAATAGTCTCGATAGAAGTGGTTTAGTATCAATGTTCCCTGATCGACTTGAATTTGGCGGGGAATTTTCGATTCCGTCGCCCGCTGCTGTCTTTCTTTCAGCCTCTTCGTGACTCTTGTGTGAACCAGCTTAGCGACATGGAAGTTTTCCTCTCGATGGAATGTCTGCCAGATGTCTTGGTATCCCTGACATGTTCGCTTGCTCGTTTTGCACTTCTTGCAGCTTGGCTTTTCTTCATCGCACTGAGCACATCATATCAATCACTCACTCATTTGTCGTAGGGGGTGCCAACATCAGTCTGAGCTTTCGCATTCCCACGTACCTTGACTTTCCTCTCTTTACAGGTAAAGCACCCGCCCGAAGGCCTTCCGATGTTTCCCATGCGAACTAGCGGACGAGTTGAACTAAGACGCCAAGATGAACTGGTCGATCAAAGTGTCTTGCGACGAGATTTGTTGGTGATTTACCAGGAAACACCAGAATGTGTAGAAAATTAGCATCAAGGAAAACCTCCTGACTCTATCCAGGACGTGGAGGATGGCTCGTCTCAAGCAGAGGCTAAACCATTTGCGGCCCGCCATCCGATGCGAATAGATGCACGAGTTCCCAACCTTAAAGCTAAAGCTTAAGCCTGATTCGGCACTTTTACTCAGCTTGTTGCACTAAACAAAACTATCCCACCGGCTGGTTCACCAATTCTTGACATATGTTTTACCCAATCTGATACAAAAAATGTTCAAGTGAAGAGTTCCGATGACTATTCTCGATGACATGCGCGTAGAGTTAAGTCATCTCTAGCAGGCCCGGTCGTAGAGACTTGAACCTAATCAAACTGGCTCAGAACCCCCCCGCATACCAAGCCCGGAGCTGGCATAAGCCTCGGCGTCAACATCGTAGGGCAGAACTTACCTCTCTGCACGGACAAATGAGCAAGACTACGTAGACATCAATCATAATTCGACGAACTTGTGACAATCGAAGCAAGAAGGTGGAACCGGAATATAATGTTCCAGCGACAGTATTATTTATGCTGTATTACTCTCCTCTGCGGGCACAGAAAACACCCGCAACTAAACAACCGAGCGATCACCTTCGCCGAGAGTCCGAAGTCACCGATCCTCCGAAACAACGTCGGCTTACTTACGAGAACTCGTAGTAGAGGTGATCCCAGGGTCCGCCATTGTCAACCTTGATCTGAATAAGCTGCTTGTTGATGGCAAAGTCCGCAATCGCGCCTCTAATAGCCGAAGAGAAAACTGTTGTTCCAAGCCTCTCCCAACACGCCTTGCGGTTCGCATTGGTCTCCGTGCTGGAAATAGTAAAGGATGCCGAGGACCTTAGACCCATAGTGGTACGACAGTCCCCAAGCGCTTTGTTCATGTCGTCGTTCTCGATCTGGTATCCCAAGACCTCCTTCAACTCTGACGGCTGAAGGCCAGTCATCTTCCAGCACTCCTTAAGAACTTGTCGCATCTTGAGGCGGGGCGTGGTGGTGTCGAATCCGTTCATTGCCTTGATGACAGTCAAGCGCTTGGAGACCTTGTTCACAAGCAGAGTGTCAACAGGAGAGGTGTTGCCATCCTCATCCCTAGCAGTGTAGCCATCTGCATAGACGGAGAAAGCCCATCGGTTGCCAGTCTCGTCAGCTTCGGCGTCAACAGCATAGGCACTGTTTCCCTGCATAAGAATTAGTCGATCGGCTCCAAGGAATTATTTTGCTTATGACATACGGCGAATGGTCGGACAGGCTGGCCAGAGATCTATCTCACAGGGTTAGCTCAAACCGGAATTGCCTAACAGGGGTAACTTCAGGGCAAAATACAAGTGCTAAGATAGAGCCAAGCGCCAAAAGAATGGCGGGGAAGTGGGCCGAAAGCATTTCGAATAGCGAGTGAATATTAATAAGACAAATGAGTGCCGATGCACGAAAGCAGATGTGTGTAGGCGGACTGAGGAGTTGATGTCTTGATATCTCAGAGGATGGCTTCAACGTTTAATGACAAGGAATATATCTTCAGTCTCTGGACTTGAACATCGCAGTGAGTTGTCGGAAACACCGAAACCTTAATCTTCTCTTCTGTAAGCAAATAGGAGAATACAGTGGGGCAGATCTTGGTTGACGAAAATTGATGAGCTTGAGCTGGTTATGCATGCAGATTGACGGTGGGTTGACAACTTGGAATTCCTTCCCTGAATCGCTTGATGTGAACTATCACTTTGAATGCAATATCACGATCCATATTGGTCTTGTATTTATTCTCATCAACTGCTTTTAGTTGCGAAAGAAAAAGCGCTTTGGGTCGTCGTGGATCTCAGCAGGTGGGACAGCGATTGCGTCGAGTCAGTCAAGTTCACTATATTTGGCACGATGTTGTAGATCCTTTGCATGGAAGAGACGGGATGAACATGTCACAACTGACTTGTAAACCGAGAAACTCTATTTATATGAACTATCATGTTTAATTAACTGGCCCAGTTACAGATTCAACGAGTCAACCTTTGTCAAGCAGTGTTCGGACCCTCCGATCTCGAAATGCTTTCTTGCATGTAAGAATCAAGGAAATAGACAACTCCTCCTTTTTTGGGGCTAAGTTTGAACTGGGTATGCGGGGGTTGAACTAGCTATATCACCTAACTTTCTTCCCTCGATTTGGGATTGTGATAACCAAGTTCATTAGGTTTCATTCTTTCTTTTATACACCCTAACCACCATGCGTCACTCTTTATTTTCATCCTTACTCTGCCTAGCCACGATTGTGGCTGGCGCAGTACTGGCCCCAAGAGAAAAGGATGTTTCCTTGAATAATCAGTGGAAGAACCATGATGAAATCGCGGCCTTCCAGCAGCAAACGGCAGACGGCACGTCAGGCGACATTGAACTTCGTTTCAAGCCTTGGCTGAATGATGGTAGCGGATGCTTTCCTTACGCAGCTGTTGATAAGGATGGCTTCCACGGGTAAGATTATTCACAGTTCATCAGATGTTTCTCCTAGGCTTCGGGCTCATAATCTCTCCTAGGCGCGGCCTTAAACCTACAGGAAAGAGCGGCGGTGATTGTCGAGAGTCGTCAAAGGGCCAGGTCTATTCCCGAGTTGGAACCTCAAATGGGCGCCCGGCCGTTCTCTACTCGTGGTACCTTCCCAAGATCCAGACCAAGACCGAGAACCACCGGCATTGGTATCTCACCGTTGTGGTCTGGTTGCATACCGAGATATGCAACGCTGTTGTTAAGGATTACGACATTGCGGGCATCAGCTACTCCACCGGTACGGAGACGTACGACAAAAGCCTCACCTCGTCCACGATATTCGCCTCCGGAGATAGCGGGACGGGTGCTACCAACACGCACGCCATCGTAGGCTACGACGGCCAGGTTAACGTTTTCCCTTCGACAAACAATGCTCAGTACGGACTCAGCCCACCTTTGATTAGCTGGGACAAGTTGTCGCCAGCGGCCACGTCTCAGTTCAATGCCTTCCGCTATGAACATGCCCGCTGCCCCTTCACTGACGCCAACATCCAAGGCTCTCTCGACGCAGCTTACAACGCGGACTTTTACGCTAATCTTGCTGCCGAGCCTGACTCGAAATGCGACGCGACTCCCACCACACCTTCAACACCAGATGCTTCCTCAACGGGGGTTTCAAGCGACCCGAACACTGACCCTGTTGAGGAAGGACCGGATATCCCTTTGTCTTCCTTCCCGGCGGATCCTACCTACACGCCTACCCCTGCCAAGAGGCTGTAAGACTACGAGCGTACATGTGATGGATTGTATTGTCCGGTGCGGACAGAAGTAAAAATAATCTTGGTTGGCTGCATCTAATTTACTGACTGGAACATTATGATGAACTTCTCCTACATCTGCCTACCAATGTTTGCGCATGGTTGCATGTACTTTTCGTCAGGCCATATATCTCTGGGGATCAGTCTCAAGCGTACATAAATACTTGCATTCAGACGCGTCGCGTGACGTGATTTGGCAATGACATAGCCCAGAGTGTCTAGGAACCTAGGTACAGTACCCCGTATTACCATCCGCCACAACGACGCCTAGCATGAGCGCGAGGACAGGGCCTAGGAACGTGCGACGCCCTAAGCTCGGTCCTGGGGGCCCTGTAAGCCCCCCGTAAGGATTTTGTTACGATATCAAAATCTTGACCTGATGTTCGGAAGTTCACATGATGTTGCTTGATTATTTGTGGAAAATTCGAGCTACTGATGTTAGAGCTGCACCTGGCACGGGCTCCTCCATATTAGGAATGCAGCGGCAACCAATTTTCTCGTGATCGGAGTTCTACTGAAACTCTTCAAGTTCGTCAAAATAAGGAATGGTCAACTGTTGTCGGCTCCTGCGACTTGGGCCGGTTAATCGTCGGAGAAGGTCCTGATGACATCAGTGACCTGCTCTTTTAGGCAAGTCTAACAGTTTGATGCGGTTGTGGGGATCGCTTTGGGGGGCAGCTTGGCAAAGGCCTCGCGTTGCTTGGTGCTGACACCTAGACTGATTGCTTAATTATCATCGTAAGCAGTATTGCGCCTTCAACTACCAAAGGATGGGCGCCTTAATTAGTAATATCAGCTCAACAACATTGAAAGGCACGTCTGAGTTGCGGGAGGCGCTGTGGAGTTTACCCGGGGAGTATCGGCATTGGCGTGACGCCAATTCCCCAGCCCACCATCCCGTATCGCCGGGCTAAGTTGCGACGGTGCCCCGCACTGCGGTCATGACATAAAAGGGTGACAGGAGCTGGTGAACTTTGAGTGTGGTAACTCATGGAGGATTTTTGAGCTTGTTGCCATACTCTTTCCAGATTATCTTGCTTCTGTTCCACCTCAGCAAAGACCTCTTGCCTTTATCATGTCAACCATCAAAGTTGGTGTCGTGGGCTACGGCTTCGCCGCTAAGAGCTTCCACCTGCCCTTCATCACTGCCAACAATGACTACCAAGTGATCGCCATCCTCCAACGTGCAGAGGCTCCCCAGGACCCATCTTCAGCAGCACCTGGCTCCCATTGCAAAGTCGACTTCCCCAACATTAGACATTATCGCAAAGAGGAGGAGTTCTTCGCCGATCCTGATACGCAACTTATTGTCGTCGCAACACACACGGACACCCACGCCTCATTTGCCGAGAAGGCCTTGCAAGCTGGTAAACACGGTACGTGCAGATCTATACTGCTCTCTCAACACACAAAAGTATTTACTGTCTCATATAGCAATTGCGGATAAGCCATTTGCGAGATCATCCGAGGAAGCAGACCGTGTCATCAAGCTTGCAGACAGCAAGGGCCTGATTCTGACTTGTTTCCAAAACCGAAGATGGGTAAGTGTTCTAGCATCTATATGCAGTGATTGTTTGCCCATTTTTGTGTTTCAGCTACTAAACGGAAGGTATAGGATGGCGACTTCCAGACTTTAAAAAAACTCATCAAGGAGGATGCATTGGGTGACATCAAAGAAGCTGAGATTCATTATGACTTCGAGTCACCTAGTTGGCTCTCTGGAATGTCGAAGAAAGAATACACTCCTGGCGATGGCATGGCCTTTGGTCTTGGTATGTGTTAATTCGACCTTTCGCCTAACCTCTGTGAGCGATGTCTGACTGCATACGCGCAATCTTTTAGGAACTCATAGCATTGATCAGGCCGTTACGCTCTTTGGCCGTCCAAAGTCCGTGACAGGCTTCTTCCGAGCTCAGAGAGGCATTGAAAGCGAGGTTGAGGACTCTTTCACAATTATTCTGCAGTATGATGGATCTCAGAAAGACCTCCTTGTCACTGTCAAGACCTCGGTCACCACACCTATGTCGCAGCAATTGAAGCACTTCATTCGAGGTACCAAGGGCTCCTGGCTTAAGGTACGTCCACTTCCAAAGATCACGCAGGGTTCTGAAGAGACGTTGGGTTTGACTAAAAGTCCCTCCAGTTCCAACAAAGAAGCACATGCCCTCAAGAAGAGCAAATTGCAGAGGGGCGCAAGCCATTGGAGCCAGGCTTCGGTGAAGAGCCAGCAGAGGTGCATGGTACTTTGACCACCTACGAGGAGTTCAACAAGGATCAGAAGTTTGATGAGGCGACGAAGAAGTATGTTGGCCGAGTCTCAACCATCAACGGGCGATGGCTGGGTATCTATGAGAATCTGGCAGACGCCATTAACGGCAAAGCCGAGTTAGAGGTTAAGGCGAGGCAGTCTCGTGACGCCATCAGGATCATTGAGCTTGCAAGGGAATCTCACAACTCGGGAGCTACTATCTCATGGAAATAGAGCCTCTCGCCAGCGGCCTAATCTTTGGAGGCCATCGGGTGTTATCTACTCACTGTCATCTTGCGCTTGATGTGAGGTGGAAACGAGTTGCTGGCAATCGAAAGGCGTTCAATTCCCCCAAAAGAGACGACTAGTATCCGGCAGGAACATTAGAACTCGAGATCAAATTGACGCTCCCTTTTCAGGACTGAAAATTGCTAAATGTCACAACGACTCGAATCCAGCGACCAAATGTGAAGAATTTGATAGATGGTCATTTGTCCCGTATCCGGAGACCGGCCTCCGAGCTTCTCCGCGAAGACCCACGCTTAGGTACATCAGGCTGCATAATGCAGACGGAAGCCAATCACTCAGTCACAGCACAGTCGTGAGCGGCAGAGTTCAGCTCCGAAGAGCCCGGATAAGGTCTTGGGCAATCACGTAACTGAAGCCCTGGAATGCCATAATAGGAAATCATAAGCACCCTGCAATACCTTTCCCGGTGATCTGGGGTAACACCCCGCATTCGGCGGGGCACACGATCTGTGGTCAGTTGCCATGTAATGTAACCCTGGGCTACATGCAGGCATAATATCCACGCGGGCATTGCACTTCGAAGTAGGAAGACAAGTTTGTCCTGAGGGACTTCTCCATCAGTCAAGTCGAACCACTCCATTTGTGTTGAAATTTGGTGCGTATGCATCCATCACGTCTCAACTCAGCCATGACGGTCTTTGATCTGCTGCTTAGACGACTGAAGGTGCCCATCAAGCAGCTTTGCTATCCACTGAGCAACTCCTCGGTCCTAAAGAAGTAGCTATATCCCTGGGGCTGGGGGGTGGTGCAGACTTCAAGGTTATATCTAACCTTACGTGCCACGAAGAAACATGAATGTCAGATGTCAATACTGTAGTTCAGAATAATCTCCAAGTCAATTGGGATACAAACACTTGGCATTAATTCAAGATTTCTTCAGACCTTTCCTCATGGTATTTTTGTGGAATCAGCCATTATGGCTGGCAATCATTGTCTTCTCGACCTTGGTGTCTTTGGTCTCTTCCAGCAAACAATGCGAGTCCTCTCGATACGAACACAAACCCCGGGTCTTTGTCCTTACCGACATGAGCAACGAGCCAGACGACCAAATGAGCCTCGTCCGTTTCCTTACCTACGCCAATGAGCTAGACATTCGAGGCATCGCGGCGATAACTTCGACCTGGCTCCGAAACCGTACGGATCCCGATACTATCCGAGAGGTCATCAAAGGGTATGGAGAAGTGGTCAGCAACCTCAACAGCAATGTCCCTTCCGGCGCCGCTTACCCATCAGCCGAGGAGCTTCTGGGTAAGGTATCAAGTGGTCACCCAGTGTATGGTCTTGCATCGCTGGACCAGAACAACATGAGTGATGCAGCCGTCGCTCTTGTTCAAGCCGCAGACGAAGCTGGTGCTGCGGGTCCGCTGTGGGTGTCAATTTGGGGCGGAGCAGCTGTTCTGGCTGAAGCTCTGCAGCACGTCTCGTCAACGCGTGATGCTGAAACTGCAGGCAAATTCGTCGAAACTCTCCGCGTATACTCTATTTCGGACCAGGATGACGCTGGGCCATGGATTCGCGATCGGTTCCCGAACTTGTTCTACATCGTCTCCCTCCATGGCTGGAACGAATACACACAACCAACATGGATCGGTATCTCGGGAGAAGAGTATCGCCACTTTGATAAAGGCGGGCCAAATACGGAAATTGTCTCCAACACTTGGCTGCAAAAGCATATTCGTGTCGGACCTCTGGGCTTCCACTACCTCAACTGGACATTCATCATGGAAGGCGATACCCCAGCCTTCTTGTCTCTCGTCCAGAATGGACTTGGAGATATCGACAATCCCCAATGGGGTGGATGGGGCGGCCGATATACGTTGCTGGATACATCTACAGTCGACGGGGGCCACCGATTGTACACAGACACTGCCGATTATGTTCGTGGCGAGAATGGGGACGCATTCTCCAGCAAATATGCAACTATTTGGCGATGGAGGGAAGATTTCCAGCACGATTTTGCTACGCGAATGCAATGGACCATCAACGAAAAGTTTGGCGAGAATAATCACCAGCCGATCGCTATTGTCAATGGCTCTTGTGGTCCGTCAAGTCTCGACGTTGAGTATCAGTTTGGTGAAAGCCTGGTCTTTGATGCGGCTGAAAGCTGGGATCCAGACTCCGATATCCTGTCGTTTGAATGGTTCCATTATCGTGAAGCGAGTGGCAGGGACTTGGAAGGTTTCACTATTCCCTTGATCAGTCCAAATTTGGACATCGTGAACTTGACTGCAGATGGCAGCGTTGTCAGGGTGGAACCCCTCAAGAATCAAGTAAGTCTTCGTTTGTGGTGAGAACAAAATTTGAGTTGACTGCTGACCTTGAAAATACAGACAATGCATCTCATACTCTCTATTCGAGACAATGGGGATATGCCCTTGGTGACCTACAGAAGGATCATTCTGCAGCCCTCTTCGTAGACCATCTCAGATTTAGATTAGATTCAGCGCATGTGGCTCCAGCTACTTAAGATAGTATCATGTGAGCGGGATTCCGCTTGCTTGGGATTCATTGTTCGTTCCACAGCCACAGCGACACGCTTGATGTGACAGCCCCAGAACACCACGAAGTGCCTTTGACCCGAAATCCCAGTCCGCTCAACCCCCCGGCCCTCAATAAACAAGAGGGGAGAGTATACCCCTTTTTTTTCAAATCATTGGCGCCCATACTCTTTCGAGCGGTTTTGCATGTGAGTTCTGGGGAAGGCTCATTCTGCAGCTTGGCAACGGAGACGACGCCATTTTCCACGCAACCGTTGCTCTTGGGCTTCTGCTCGAGGATATGCACAACTGGCCCATCTCATTGCCGGTGCCTCGCAAAGCCCCGCCAACCGAACGGACGGCGAATGCGCTTCGGCACTACCAGACAGCGCTGCAGCAGCTCTTCGTGCCTCTCATAGGGAGGGAGTCGGCGAATATCATCTCACTTGCGTCTGCTGTGGTATTCGCGTGCATTGAGGCAAGTATCTTTTTTGCGATGGTTCACTCGGTACGCGAGATGGAATGATGCTTATCTCTTCGTAGACACTGTGCGGCAACGCCCGCAACGCCATGAAGTTGATCTCTTCCGGGATCGGCATCTTGACGCAGCTTGAAGCTTCCATCTCATCCCCTTCAAAGTTGGAAAGTCTTGCACCATTCGTATCCGTCTTTGTACGACTAGACTCGTACATGAAAGAGGTTCGGAAGATGAAATCCCCTTTTGGTAGGAAAACCTCCGATAAACGTATAGCTTCTCCAGATAGAACAACACACACAACCAGGGCCGCTTGTATTCAGACATATCAGACCATGTCCATCAGCATTTGACAGTCTCAGAGAGGCAAACAGACATCTCGAAACTCTGGAGAATTTCTGTCTGGTTGTGGCTGAGCAACAAGGAGAACCATGGGAGGCCCAAAGCAAAATGCCGACTCGAACTTCCTGCCAAAGCATGTATCAGGAATGGCTAGAGGCTCTCAACACTAGTTCCATCTCCACAGATGATGAGAATTCTCTTGCATTCCTTCATATCCGGCGACCGGACGTTTCTTTGACTCTTCATGGGCCAGAAGACACTGGCCCCCAGTCTAACTGGGATTATTTTCTTCCAGAATTCATCGAACTGCTCACACATGCCGCTTCAGCAGTGGCCGCATCGAATAAGAGCGCATCTCATCGGCTACACACATCATTCGTTCTGGGCGGCGGTTTCATCATGCCACTATGCAGACTTGCTCTGCGATGTCGGCACCCAAACACGAGACGAGCCGCAATACACATACTACGCGGTTCCCGTCGTCGGGATGGTCATTTAGAAGGGAAGCTTGCCGCGCGTGTCTTGGAGCGCATCGTGGACGTTGAGGAAAATGGGTTACGTGAGATTACCGAGTGCCGTGACGTTCCCGAGGCAGCTCGGGTTGCTGGTGTGTTGGTCAAATTTTCGGGCGGAAAGGGGAGGGCGAGACTGACGTGTTCTCGTGCTGCTGGCCCGAAAGGCGAGCGGGCATTGGTCGAACAGGAGCTTTCGGCAGGGTCTCATTTTCGAGGGGATTAACACTTGTCTTTTTTTCTTAGAGGAGAATCCAATCGATCTATGAGAAGACTTCTCAAAGAACTTGAAGCCTTGAATTGCAGCCAATGACCAATTGACCAACGGGCCGAGTCCAAATTCGCACTTTGCAAGGATACTCCCTGACTGGCAGTGAGCTGAATGTCAACAGGGACCGTACGACAGAGCCAATCAGACATACGAAGTGCTTCGGAGGTGGACCCGACTGACGTTTCTTGTCTTAGTTAAAACTACCGGAGATCGTTGGTCCCACAGGCTTCACCTTCGAACGATCTTAGGGATGAGGGCGGTCCGTATAACATCTGCAATGTCTCAAATATCACAACATCTTCATCAAATTCACCCCACGGGCTCACGGATGCCCCGAGGTTCCCGCTATGGAAAGGAGGGACCGAATTTCGAGTTGGCAGACCCGACTAATTGGAAATGACGATGCCACAGGGGCTGAGTTTGGGTCGCGGGCGTCTCATTGGGCCATTCGTACGGCTCAATTGGAATTTGTTGTGTAAGTCGTAAGTTGAAGATGTTCAGGGCAGTCAGTAGTTGTTCTTTCGTACAGACATCGTGGCGAAGCTTGGAATATTGTTAGACTCGGAAGAGAATCTCGGTAAGAATTCGAGACGAGAAGTTAAAAAAGACAACACCTCGGTACTTCTTACCACATTGATACCACATTGATACCACAGTTTCCATTCTTTCGCTTGAGGGTACAGGAATCCATCATCTCGTCCAACATGAGGCTTTCGAGCGCTCATTCTTCTTCCACATCTTGGTTCACCACCATCTCACTCCTAGGTACTCTGTATCCAGTCTCAACCTTCTCTCAAAACACCAACATCGGCGCCGACATTGTCCAAGGATCCCTCCGAATCTACGACAACGACTATGCGATTCTTAAACCCGGACAATTGCGGTGTCTACTCTTCCGAGGGCAAGATCACATACTGGGGACGTCAGCTGGGCGAGGACGGATACGATTTCGTGGAATGGGCTGCTGAGCAGACATGGAGCTCTGGCAAGGTTGCCATGTCTGGCAACTCATGGCTAGCGGTGTCGCAATGGTTCAGTGACGCCGAGAACCCGCCTCATCTGACGGCGATAGCTCCATGGGAGGGTCTCACGGATCTGTACCGCGACACTGCCGTCAGAGGTGGCATCCCAGCACCCGGTTTCCAGGAGTCGATTCTTACCACTTTCGCCGGCAAGGAGTTTGTTGAGGACGTTCCGCGGATGGTTCTCTCCGAAGGACTTATCACCCCGTATTGGTCGGACAAAATTGCATCGCTGGACAAGATCAGCATCCCGGCATACATCGTGGCTAGCTACACCAACGTTCTTCATACCCATGGTTCTTTCGAAGCATTCCGACATATTTCCTCCGAGGAGAAGTGGCTTAGGGTACACAACACACAAGAATGGACCGACTATTACACCCCGGAATATGTGGCCGACCTCCAGAAGTTCTTTGACCATTACCTCAAAGGCGAAGACAATGGGTGGCAGTCCACTCCACGCGTCCGCCTTGCTGTTCTGGACCCTGGGTCTGAGGACACTATCGATCGTGTCGTCGCAGACTGGCCAGTCCCGGGTCTCGAATCGAAGACTCTCTACCTGCAACCCAACAACTTACTTGGCGAGTACTCTCCATCTAACGAGGGTACCCTCAGCTACAACAGCACCACGGCATCCGGCATTACCCTCAACCTTCAGGTCCCCGAGACCATGGAGTTGACTGGTTACCCAAGGCTCCGTCTCTGGGTGTCCTCCCCCGATGCTACTGACATGGAGATCTCCGTCTCCGTACAGAAGCTCTCTTCCAATGGCTCCGCGTTTCCTAGCACCGGCAGTGAAAGCTCCTGCACGATCGGTCCGACCGGAATCCTGCGTGTCTCGCAGCGTCAGCTAGACACTGAGCGATCCACGGAATACGAGCCCTTTTTGCTACACACTTTGGAGAAGATTCTATCACCAGGAGATATCGCCCCTGTGGACATCCCTCTTTGGCCCTTCGCTCTCAGGATTCATGCTGGGGAGCTGCTCAGCTTGAACATTGCCCCAGCCTCCATCACCACCGCACAGGCTGATGTTGGCTTTGGCACGGCAATCGTGCCTGTGCCTGCTACAGGAGGCACCCTTGAGCCGGGACAGAATGTTTCGTTGATTGAGCTGGGAGGTGGTGTGGATTCCAATTCAGCCTTTGTGAATGAGCAGAGGGTTGAGACGCCCGTGGGCCGCAACAAGGGCATGCACTTCATCCATGTCGGCGGAAAGTACGACAGCTTGCTGTTATTCCCAGTCAATAGCACCACTAAAGCGACTGAAAACTGTAGGTAGGCTGACAAATGACTCGGGCTCCATATTAGGTTGCGTCACCTTGGCACTTAGGGAGAGATGGATAAACTCGATGTACCCTTCCCAAGGATTCTGGGCTGTACCATGACAATGTTAACAAGGTTGCAAAATTTTGAACACTGGCCAGATCCCCGGCAGTGGAGGATGGGGTGTAAGTTGACCCCGCCTGTATGCAATGTATGGCGATCACGCTAATGCTGCCTTCTTCCAGTGCGTCACGAACCTCAACGGTGGCTGCAAGTCGTACTACTGGAAGACTGATCTCCCTTACTATAGCGTAAGTACACAAATCACCGTCCGTCACTGGCTTATAAGATATGTACTGATTCAGGGCAATCTTTAGTGCGCCTAGGTTGTTTGCTACTGAAGGTACGATGTATATAGCTGGAATACCCTGTTCATATCTCAATTGGCCTCGTTTTCTTAGTATGGTTTCTGCTTGTGAAGTATGTGATGCGTCAAGCCTGCAAGTGATCTTCTTCCTGATGAGAATACAAATCTGTGGGCTTTGCGAATCCGAGAAGTGGTGAGCACATACGCACAAGAGCGAATTAGCACGATTCTTGAATAGCAGAATGATCACGCGGCCCTCGATCGGTTGCAGAGCAATAAAAAGGAATGCTTCCAAAAGTATACAAATGAGTGAGCCTTCCGAGATATGGGGAGAGTGAAGGGCCGCTTATTCGAAAGTCATGTTTTTGGGCCCGTGATCTTGCCGTTCCTCCTCTATGCCGCCTGGGCCATGGCAAGGACCCCAGCCCAAGTCTCTTTCACAGTAGCCGAGATTTGACTTGCAGGAAGAGAAAAGCCATAGGTCCCTCTATCTCTGAGCTCAATGGTGTACGTGTATCTGGACTTGGCAACGCCGTGAATGTAGTCGGTGCTATCGCCAGTGGTTGCGTAAAGAGCACGGCAAGCGTTGCCTATGGTGTAGCTTGTGCCGGAAACGCCACGGATAGCGGTGGCACCGCGCTGGGCCATTGTTTGCAGCGCAGCGTCGTCGGGAGCGACGTAGTTGCAGTCATATCCATAAGCTGTAGGTGCATAGCACGTGGTCAGCAGTGCTCTCCCATAGAGTTCATGGAAAACAAACTCACGCCAAAGAATGTACTGTCCGTAGGAGTGGACGTCGAGGTAGAGGGTAATACCCCTGCTGGCAGACAAAGAGTCGATCTGCGCCTTGAGACCCTTGATTTCCGGGGTATCGGCGGCGGCAGCACCCTTATACGTCTCGGCGCAGGGGCTAGTTGAAGCACCCCCGGTGAGCTCCCACTTATACGGCCAGTTGCGGTTGGGGTCACGACCGACGCACGAGCTACCAGTGTTTGTTTGGCGATTTTTGCGCCAGAGACGGTCAGTAGACTGAGTGTAAACAAAGCCTGCCGAGAAGGTCAGATGAATCTCTTTCCCTTTCACCAGTGAGATTGCTGCATAAGCGCTTACCGTCTGGGTTCACAACAGGAGTGATGTACCAGTCGAACTTGTCGACAACGGCCTTGATAGCAGAGTCGGCCGCATACTTGGTCAAGAGTTGCCAAGCCACGTACTCGGTAGTCTAGGACACGCCTTGTTAGAGTCACATAAGGTAGGTCGTAGCAAAGGGCTACTGAATTCGTCACTCACCATCGTGCTGATCCACTCGCGAGCGTGAACGGTGCCGTGAAGAACCACCGCCGGCTTGGACCCCTTGCCTCCGCTTCCCCAGATATGAATGCCAGTAAGGGCTCGTCCTTGGAAAGACGATCCCGCTGTGGTGAGTTCAGATTGGCTGGGGAAGCTGCTCTGAAGGTCTCTCAAGAAGGTCAAGTGATCCGCATAGCTATGGTAGGCAGTGAACCAGGTTTCGCTAGGGACTGAAGGTTCGATACGAGTGAGTAGGATTCAGTTAGAAGTGACAAGAGTACATTTACTGACTAGCATACACCGTAGCCACATCCTCCTCGGCAAAAGCAGCACCGACATCCTCGAGGAGAATTGTGGTATTCAGAGCCAGTTGGCTAATGATGTCAACGTTGTCGGGAGATACAACCACATCGAGCTGTTCTCTGGCGCCAGGGTTCAATATCGTTACAGCCAACTCGTTGATCTGGTCGGCCAAATCCTCGGAGCCTTCGGGGAGGGTGATGCGAAGACCCTTGAAGCCAGTATAGTCGACCTTGGTGGATTTGGGAACAGTCGCACCCAAAACCAATGGGACCAGGGCAACAGCTGAGATGAGAGAAGACTTCATGGTAAGCTGATGCGCATATAATGATGCGGTGATGAGATTGAAGCTTGGCACTGACGACTCAAAACTTGGCAGGGTATGTGCAGCTGGAAGCATCCATTTTATAAGCATCGGAAGCAAGAACCGTACGCAACTGAAAGAGGTCGCTTAAGGGCTTGCAGTTTCCCCCCTCCTCTCCAGCTGGATACGCCTTGCACAGCCGTGGTATATCAAAGTGAAAGAGGGAGGTGATAATCTTGCTGAGGAAGGACACAGTGAGTTGGTGACATCGACAGCTGCCAAGACGGAAGATCTCATGGCTTGGCAAAGCGCCTTGCCGGATGAAGAAGTTGCAAGCCGTCTTGGTATGGTGAACACGCGCAAATAGGTGGGTATAGTTGTGTGTCGCAGCTGCAATTGCTGCGGAGCTCAATCGAGGACTGAGGCATGAGAAAGAAGGTGGCACCATGATATCTGAGTCGTAACACGCAAGTTACGGCTGGTGCCGTTTTGGCGACGGTGCTTTCCCCAATGCCAGTGATCCCATGCCCCCATGGTGTGAGCTGCTCGAGGGGGTCATCCGAATCGTGCATCACCTGGAAGACGGATTGCGTGGGCTTTACTTCACATCCAGCTGAATAGATCTCATGGAATTGGTCTAAAAGAACTGAGTCTACATATTAAGATAAATCCTGTAAGCGACAATCTTCGACGTTACCTTCACAAATATTTGAACCGTCGAGCAACAAGAAGCGAGAGCAAAGCAAATGCTATGATACTACCCAGGATCCCAAAAAATGCGTTCAAATTGTCAGTGTCTTTCCAGGGAACTTTGACGTTCATACCGAACAGACCACAGACAACATTTAACGGAACAATAACGGTGGCGATGACCGTCACACGACTCAAGAAGTCATTCGTCCGGTTGCCCATATCAATGTTGTCAATTGACAGCTGCGCGAGGTAGTTGCTGTGTGACCGCGACAGCATGGTGTCGAAATGGATCAGGCTGTGCATCATCGTCACCGCGTGATCTTGGATATCTCCGAGATAGAGGGCAATGTCCATATGTGGCGTGACGTCAAAGTCCTCGGTGCATCTCTTAGTGAAAGCCCGGAGTACGTCCGCCTTCCCGCCAAGTAGGCGCATGAGACTCATCACGTTCTTTCTGGTGTATCCAATCTTGCGAAGGAAAGCTTGGTTGTCATCTACTCTTGTGATGAATACCTGATCCTCGATCGCGTCGGCCTCGCGCTCGATTTCGTTGATCGCTGGCCCGAAAGAGTCCACAATGTCGTCGCTAAGGTAGTCATTGTCAGATGAGTTCCAGTGCAGGGTTGGTAATCTTCCACGCTTTAGGACCTTGACCTACATCAATGCATAGCAGATCCAGTCGCTGCTGAGCGAAACCTGCTCCTTCAATTGCGAGATCCGAAATCGGACCCTCGACGAATGTGAGTTTGCAGTGAAACTGAAGCTGAGTATCCCCTCTTTGAAGACTACCGCGTAAACATTGAACGGATGGTAGTCTTTCTCATTATCCTCTTCAACAACGATGAAGGACCTGAAGCAGGCAAAGTAGTACAACGGAAAGAGCTCAATCTTCTCGCGACTCTCTTGGTGGATGATATCCTCGATAGTAAGGGGATGGATACCAAAGGCTTTGCAAATCGTCCAGACCTCGCTGCCAGTCGGGTTGTTCATGTTGAGCCACCAGACGCCATCGGCCTCCGCCTCGGGCATCTCGAACAAAGACCTGATGTTCTCGCCCGGGAGGACGAGGTCGCCAAACTCCGCCGCATGAATGGTTGATTCCAACGCCGAAGAGAAGTAATTGAAGCGGCTTTGCTCAATGTGCTGGCTGGCCCTGGGGAGCGGTTGTTGGGTTGCTGTCGTCTCCTTCTCTCCCGTGATGGAAGCTGCCTGGGATGCAACATCGATAAAGTCTCCATCAGAGGTAAACATGCGCGTGACAGTCGGGATGGCACTATCCGGAAGGTTGACAAAGTCGGAACTGCCAAATTTATCGCGATTCTCTGCGTCAATCAAAGTCTCCAAATAGTCAAAGTCGATGTAGAGGCCATCCTTTTGGTTATTGTCGAGCTTGGAGTCCTCGGCTTCGAGGGATGACTTTGGTTTCGGCACGGGCGAAGACGTTCCGTGAGCACCGTGATCAAGAGCTGTGCGGCTGTGGATGCTACGGCCGGCGCTGTTTGAATATGGTTGAGGAATTCGTTGCCCATAGTCGTCGCTACTCTCAACCTCGGGCTGAGGTCTGCGCGAGGAGGCCCTCGGATCATGCGCTTCGACATCCTGTCCTCTGCGGCGCGCATTGGCGAATGCCTTGACGGAATTTGGCGGCGACGTCGTGCGCCTCGACTCGATGGTAGGACGTCTGCTCAGAGGTCGCATAATTGGGGATTCGAAGTTGGTCATGTTTGCTACGTCACGGGTCGGGCCTCGTTCGGGTTCTCTTCCTCGAGGACTCGAGATGCTGTCTGCGTGCCGGGAGCCTCCGTTGGGGCTCAAAGGGGTTGCGTCGTCGTGTCCCTGGATGGCCTTGCTGCCTCCCTTCTGCGACATGACGTTACCTCCACTGCTGTTGCTGTGATTTGAGGCTGAAGGGGTATCGATGCGGAACACAAGGGCTGACTCTTCTCCAAAGTGTTCCTTCACCGTTCGTTCGAGTGGTGTGCTCGTAGGTGTCGCTCCTTCGTACGCTTTGCCATATCCTGGCAGATGTTTGGATTAGAGGGGTGAGGTAACGGAAATGGCTTGTGGTCGTGAGGTCCTGTGAAAGCGGTGATCATTCCCAACGTTTGAGAGAAAGTCCGCGATGTGTATTGTGCTATGACGATGTTGATTGCTCTTTGGAGTCTGAGAACGCAGAGGCGACTGCAAATATTGACTGAATGACGATACGTGTTTGAAGATGGGATGAAAAAGTACGGGTGAGATCAAGGTTTTTGAGACTGCTTACCCGGCTGGGTAGAGAGACTAAGAGAGTACCCGTTGCCCTACCGATCAGGTAGGTTCTTGAGCGGCATCACAAGCACCGCCTCACACAGGCGGAGTCATAATTATTAAACCTTCCCCATGGGGCGGCCTCTTTTACCCCTGCGGTATTAACATTCAGCTTTCACTGCCGATCTAACTACCTTATCAACATGAGAAACTTGAAAGCCGATATCTTGCATGATCAAAGTCCGCGCTTCTCGAGAAGATTCTTGCGATTCTTCGAGAAAAACAGGACCAGCAATTAATCTGTTGCCGTCATAGCCGCTTTCGCATGCGTCGTTGAACTTATCCAAACTTTTTGACGCAGGCCTCCGCGCCACACAGCCCCAAACTTCCCAAGCTCGATTAGGAACAGACATCAAATGCCTCACACTGGATTGGGCCACGAGCGGGCGCTTCGGGCCCCGGGGTCGTCGAAGAGAAATCATCGCATAGATCATTCTCTATTCTTTCAAGTGCAACGGCCGCGCTACCAATGCACCCCATGATCAGGCGCTGATGCACATCAGTGAGATGTCGCGCAAGCGCGTCTGGGAACCATATTCAACACGTCGCATTCGCGAAGATTTGATTGAGCAGCCTATCGTTGGCGCAAGGGGACTAGAGCTTAGACTCGACTAATACACCCAGACTGGTGGGTGCAAACATGCGACCGATTCTGCAGTAAGACCACAACTGTTGTTTAGCTCGAGCCCGGGCTGCGAGCTGCCGGGAGACCACGATTCATTGCCCCCTCATAATAAGGCTTGCAAAGTTTGAGACCCAGCAGTCTTCGAATCTGAACCTTACGGGCGATGACATTCTCTTTGTAACGTCTTTGAATAAGGTGTTGCCGACCTCGGTCTGGTTCAGACACGTGCTGCTTGACAGGGACTCGAGCTCAATCGCAGCGTCCCACTACTGAATAGACTCAGGTACTGGAGTGTCTCCAGTGGCCAATGTTGAACGCCCGACGCAAAGCGCTGCATACCGTCTTGAAGAGACGATGCGTCAAAGGAGATCTTCGGAAAGACAATGAAGACAGTTGTTACTGTAATCGATTACAGACTCATTCGAGACTTTCCGTTTCTACACTTAGTAAGAAACTGTAGCTAATGACAGCAAAATGCAGCATACTTTGTAAACTCCTCATCTGCCTGCAGTTGCTCCATCTCGTCAGCGAACAAACTCACAAGCAGCTCGATACCCCCATGACCCTTCATCGGCAGTACCATGCAAAGCCTGAAATTAGCATTGAAAGCATCCATCAAGGGTCGCAATGATTCCGGCTTGCCATCATTACCAAATACATGCCCGCCGAAGTTGATCTTATCCAACGGCAACAACAAAACCGACGTGATCATGACATCAAAACCATCAAGCCGGGTGAAAGCATGCTTCAGCTTCGTATAATCAGGGACCTCGCGCATAAGCGTGAACGCGTCCTTGACAAGCCCCGGATTTACCTTGGCCGCCTGTGTGCGAATTTGAAGGGCGACATCGCGTAAACTCGTTGTCGGCGACACGAGCTCAGCCATCTGCATCGGCACTTTGTTGACGATGACAAGATTTCCAGCATACGATGCTGGGAGTTCTGGGTCGAAATCAGTGCGACCATCAACAGGCGACTCCAGGTATGATATTTCGTCCGCCGGCGCAGGCTGTCCAGACGCGATGGCCGCCTTGTACCGCGCTCTCATGAGGGCGCGCCAGAAAAGCGACAAAAGTGCATCATTTGCTGACAATCCCGCTCCATCATGAGAATCATCTAATACGTCCTTCTTCAGATTGTTGAAGTTGTCCGGAGAGATGTAGAAGATGCTAGACTCCATGGTCCGAGGCGGGGCCGAGGGTGGGGTTGCAGCAGATGCCGCTTCTTCCTCCGCATCCGGCGGTTGGAAGCCGAGAAAGCCCCATGTATCGCGCGAGATCTCGGCAGCGGGCTTGGCAGGCGACTGACTCCACAACCGCTCAAGCAGTGTACGATCGAAACTCTCGGGAGCCAGCCAGCTGCAGACGTTGACGTCCGGCTGCGAGAGGTTTCTACAGTGTTCTGACCACGCACGCATTGCTGTGACCATACCGGTCGCGTCGCTTGCGGAATGATGGAATCCCGTCGCGAGAACGCATCCGCCGTTGACGAAATTCGCTTGCGCCAGAAACACATCGGCGCCGCCAGTCAAGTCTGGCATGAACGGGGCGGCTAGGACGAGTTCATCGTCAAAGGCCGAGAACTCGAACCCTGAGTCGCGAAGATCCTCGTAGTCGGGCAGCACCTGCGACAAATCCTTGAAGGCAAGCTGTCGGGGAGCTACCTCTGCGGTATTTGGGCTCTCTGGATCATAAGACACCACAATATGCCCCGGTCTCCAACCGGTCTCATGCTCCTTGCGTGGGTAGATGCGACCATTGAGGAAAGGGAATTGCCGCAAGGTTGAGTGAAGGCCGGTCTGAAGGTGGGAGAATGCCTGTTGGAAGCTGACTTGAGGCTTCAGTGGTAGATAAACGATAAATTTAATGTACACTCTTGGAGGAATGAGATCGAAGACACTGAGTTGAGTAGATATCTCGGTCAGGGTCTCCTTCGCTATGCCGGTATCGGCACGGCTGGCCGCCTTGGTGTACGCATTGGTAGCCATGATAGTCAAGAAAGTCTAGCATTAACCAGAAACTGCTGATAGTTGAATCACTCTCTCAAAGACTGCGAGTTGGTCTCAAGTACGTCGCTACGAGCCCGTCATGGACTCATGGTAGCTTGATTCCGTGCGTGTCCATGATTATCTCAGCACATGATAGACAAGGTTTTGACTGAGTCGGGGTTGACCAAGTTCGTCCCGGAAGATCCCAATAAGGAAATCAACGTTGAACTCAACTCAGGTTGCTGTTAGCTGGAAACCTCAAGTACCCTGTTCATTGGCTCACTCTTTGGGCTTTGAAGGAATGACGAAGATTGGGAAATCCTGCTGACAATCAGTAGCAGGTTGAGACTCATGTGCTAGGTAGCCCAAAAGATCTTGGGCCAATGATATGAGGCAATGCAAGCGCGGGACTTAATTGTAATTAAATGAGAACCGAAATGAGGAGAATTGGCCCTCTTTGATATTATCCCTCCCGACTAGTAGGCCACTTCGTTCTCCGCACTGCCCTAGCATAGAAATTCAACGGCCGAATAACAATGAACTCAGGGTCGTAGACTACGGCTTCAGTAGACGCATCCTCAAAATGGTAGCGGTAGACCAACTTTGCCATCACACTTTTCACTTCAAGAAGTGCAAGATTGTATCCCACACAACCCCTAGTACCTGCTGCGAAAGGGGTGTAGGACATCTTGTGCCGGCCCTTCACGTCCTCTGTGTCCCAACGATCCGGGTCAAAACGCGTCGGATTGTCCCAGTGCTCTGGATTCTTGTGCAAGGAGGGGAACGTCGGAATGATGACAGAACCCTTAGGTAGGAAGTACCCCCCAGGGAGTACGACATCTTGCTTTGCGTTCCTCGCTGTTTGGAAGGACGGGTTATGCATTCGCTGGGTCTCTCTCACAAATTTGTCGAGGAACGGCATCTCGGTGAGCTCAGTGTAAGACCACTGTTTATCAGGCGATGCACCGCATTCGATGAGTTCTTCGAGCAGACACTGCTGGTTTCCGGGATATTTGGCCAAAGCATAAATGAGCCAAGCTAGGAGAGAAGAAGTTGTTACAAAACCAGCCCCGATCATGATGACGCAGTTGCTTAGCATGATCTCTTCCGGTAACTTTTCTCCCTTCTCATCGGTAGCCCGGCGGAGGTAGTCAGCGACGCTGGTGGCATGGAGTGCAGCGTCTTTCATTGGCAGATCACCGCTGGCCTTGACCGAATCCGCAATGCCTTTAGCAACGCCATCCCACAGGAGCTGTCTCACTAGCTTGAGTCTCTTCGGGTTCCCGAACGGCAAGTATCCATACCAGCTTCCGCGTAGAGATGTTTTCTTCATGAGCGAAAGATACTCGCCAAGAAGCCGAATGGTCTCATGAGGCTTGGTGTCAATTGAGTCAAAATGACCCAGGTCCATGCCGAGAATGACCTTCCAGATGATCTCCCCGGCCATCTTGAAGGTGTAATGATAGACATTGAATGCCAGTTCCTTCTCATCCAGGTCATCAAATACGTTGAATGATCTCTCGACGCAAGATAAAACAGTCGGTGTGTAGTGGCGGACTGCCTTTGGCGTTAAGCTGGGTGGAATGAACTTGTGCGCTAGTTTGAATGCCGGCGCATCGCTGTCGCAAGTGAACAGCGCTTCATTGTTTCGCATGTAGTAAAGAGGGTGGCCAGGATCTGACGTGGTCTTGGTGAAGAACTCCCCTTCGCGGAGAACTTCGCGAGAGACGTTGGGATCGTTGGTGAGGTATGTCACCGTGCCCATGTTGACTGTCTTGATTACGGGCCCATACCTTCCAAAGAGGCGATCATAGTTACCAAGCGGATCTGGGTAGATTTCATAACGGTTGCCAACGTATGGCAACGGCTCTGGTCCCAGCGGCTCTCTGACAGCTTCGCCGTTTACTCTGATTTGCACTGGGCCATCACTCCTTTCAACTTCGTTGATAGAAGTGAGCACATCTTTCCGATTGTAAAAGCAGATTGCTTCACAACTGTCAGTCTTTTTCCTCGGGATTGCATGTGAAATCGACGATCGGTTGGGGACTCACAATCAGAATCCAATACTGAGAATACACGTGCAATTCCTGATCTGAGTTCCTGCATGCTTTTAACGCTCGGAAGATTCAATGTCTGGCATCGCTCATAAGAGCCATGACCAATGGTGAATTGCTGCTGGAACATTGCGGAGGTGACTTGAATTGAGTCTCTACATGTGAGGTTGAGGCTGGCAAATACACGAGATCTAGTATTATGCACAGCAATGAAAGCGACGATAGGATTGATGCAGAAACAGTAAATTTGCCGCGGTGCCCGAGCTCACCGTGGTCTCGATGCCTGCTAATACACCAAAGGCGAAGGATGTTGAGGTTTCCTTTCCCGTCGCTCTCCCTTCTCCGACTAGCAGGGATATCCCTGTGGTGTTTTGACGGTTCTTGTCCACAAAGAGATGCCGGAGACTATTCTGGGCAGATCCGCAGTGGCAAGTCCCCGGACAGGTCCCCGTTTGGTCAGGCCCGTTCCCGTCTTGGGCAGCTTTCAATGACTCCTAGCAAAGCTAGAGACGATGATCGTGCACAGAGGGCCGACTTGGTGACGTGACCACAATCGGAAGCTGTGTAAAAGATTGTTCCAGCTGAGAAACCAGTGTTGACCAGTTCTGAGTGAATGAAAACAGATCGTGAAATTAGACCGTCGCCCATCATGCAGGCACTCAGTCGGTCAGATTTATCCAAGCATCACGAGGTTGATGATCTCTGGGTGGCAATCCGGGGCAAAGGTTCGTAGATGTGATGCACGTTCACGACACAGGCTGATTTCGGGTCACATAGTATATAACGTTACCAGCTACGCCGACGACCATCCTGGAGGTATCGAAGTCTTGAAGGACGTTGCTGGATCCGACGGCACTGAAAGCTTTGAATATGTGAGCCATTCAGAGGACGCATACAATACACTTGAAAAGTTCCAAGTTGGAGTGATCCTCGATCATGTGAGTCTAGACAAGGCAACGAGAACGTCACCAGTTGATGTTGATATCTGGAACTTACAGGAAGACGGTGCTGAACTCGGCCAAATGGCCAAAGTTTGGGATGCCCAACGCGTCCAGGTCGGGAAGGCTTCAGACTTGAGACCCTCAGTGTTGAGAATGACAGCAGCTATCACTGTCATACTTTTAGTGGGAAAGACGAGCCACTGGATTCTACAGTATAATGCTGCTTTGCTTGAACGGGGCGGGCCCGTACCTGTACAGACGGACTTGTCATCGTGGACCTTGTTATGGTTGGGAATGGGGCTTTCGGCCATGATAGGCGCAGGCGGTTGCTTGTACGTGTACACGAAGTTCACGAAGACCTTGGAGTATTACAAGGAAGTCTGGGAGTTCCCGTCGTATTTTAGCTGCAAAGTTAATCGAGCGGGTATTTGAGGGGTAAACCGGGATGAGGAAGAAGGTTATACATCGAAACAACTTCCCATGCTGACGGATTCACGACTGACTCGTCAGGGCTTGGTGGCAGCCGATGAGCCTTGCTATATAGACCGGAATACCCTCCAGCTGAATCCTTCCCTTCGTGTAGCCAATGCGCATACTAACAGATCACACATTTCGAGATGCACACCTATTTTCTTGGGCTAAGCCTGGTTGGATATGATGCCTTGTGGGGGCGGATGATTCGTAGCGGCGTAGCGAGCGAGGTCGGAAAGATGAAGCAGACGGGGTTCTTCCCTAATGGTGACATACTTCGAACAAATTTCACCGGCCTCCAGATCTTTGATAAACTGTTTGTTCCAGCCGTCATCTTCTACAACAATATCCTTAGCAATGGTTCTCGTTCTGACCGTATGCTGCTGGTCAGCCTTTTCACCACCATGCAAACAACCTCTCATTGCATGCTTGTCTTGGGTTGGAGTCGGGGCAAGAGGCGGCACTGGGCGAGCTTGTGAGTTCCAAAATATATTTTTTCCCACCTACTTATACTTAACTGACTGCCGGGCTTAAAAGTGAGCACTTATTCTGGGGAACCTTGAATCAAGCGTGGGGTGCAGCGGCTGTCTATCCTCTTTACTGCTTCACCCATGTTGAAAGATTTCTAGACGGCGAGACGAGCCAGCCAGAGAGTCAGGAGATTGGTCCTTCAGACCAAGAGGAAGCTATAGCTCTGGTTCCGACCGCAATCCTGGGAGCAATGGCACCTGCCATGCTTCTCTACCCGACATTCACCGAGACCTGCTCAACGTACCAACGGCAAGGGCTGATCGCGTTATATCGCCTGATGCCACTCGTACTCGCATTTTCTCATCCATCCTTTGTCTGGCTCCAAGGCAAGATCTCAAAGTCATTGGGCTTGAAATTGGAGCAACCAGGCTCGAACAAATTTATCACAACATCTTTACTCATCTCGGCGACTACAGCCGCGGCTGGGCACTTATGGGCGTTGACATGTTCAGAAGACGGAGGCATACGTCGAACGTTTTCACCTGCTGCTTATATCAATCCAGCATCCCCTACAGTATTCGCCGACGGTGCTCGAGACTTTCTCCAATGGGACATTTTTATCATCGCCGCGGCTTTAGTTCCTTTGACGGATCTCATCCTGAGATCATCTCACTCTTTCAAAAGCCTTCGGAAGCGAAACAAGTGGTTCCAAGTTCTGGCGGACTCATTCATTGGAAGAATAGCTGGTCTCACTCTTGCCAGTAGTATCTTGTCACCAGGCGCGGTCTTGGCCTTTACCTTGGCGATCAGAGCTGACCAAACATGAGGAGCAGGGGTATTGATGGTTCTTCGTCAAACGAGGGTTTGATTGTTGTATCAAAGGGCCTCTTTAAGCCTTTCTTGGTCTCACTTGAAAATCATGATGACCAGAGCACAGTCAATTCAACGAAGTTGGGGAGAAAAGTGCGTCCTTGGGATTGTTGGTAGAGAGCTTTCTAATTCACTCATTGGGTTGAAGTGGCCTGGGGACCAAAGAGAACATGATTCTACGTGCTTTGAGCCTGTTTCTTCCCTATTCACCTCTCTACTATTCATTTGCAAATTTGCTTTTGCCTACAATGTCCAACGCCAACTTCGACAGAGGTGAAGGACTCAACAACTCGAATACCGAAATATCGCTCTGCACATCGCGGAATACGCGGTTCCGGAGCTCAACAGCCTTCAATGAGTCGACTAGATGTTATGTCAGCATGATGATCACTTGTGAAAAGAAATCCTAGATATCATGTGCGTGTATACCTCCAAAGTCATAGAAAGCCTTCTCCGTGTCAATGTCGGTCGCCGCTACGTCCATGATCTGTGCTGCATAGCCTCGGAGAACGTCTTCCACAATAGTCACCGCATCTTGAGCAGTCTCCGCTTCAGCAAGCCGTTCCATAGCAGTTTTCTGTTCGTCAAGCGGACCCGTGCCACTGGCAAAGGCGAGACTGACCCGGTGACTGAACTTCGGGTCCTTGGTCCACGACGCTGCTAAAGAACTAACCGGCATTGAATGACCAAGACCGAGAACAATCTGTGGCTCAATAGGTTTACCGTCTGATGTCCGACTTCGCATAGCAGCTCTCAGGACGGCATCGAGCTCTGGCTGGGTCGTCTGCAGACCATTCCACCGATGCTCGTACATTTGGAAGTAGGCGTCCATATCAAAGTCGCCAGTGAAGTGGGCCGAGTCGGTTACTAGCCCAACATCGATTGCGGTAGCAGCGAGGCCCTGGCTACGACGGAAATGAGCAAACGCATCTTCGAACGTGTTTCCTGCGGCATAGTTTGACTGCGCAGCATTCCCGATGACGCAAGTGATTGAGGAGAGGAGAATGAAGAAGTCCACGTCTCGGGGAGTGGACTGATGAAGGTTCATTGTGCCCTGAATCTTGGGGAGAGTTGATCTTTGCCATTGGTCGTATGTCATGTTCTCAAAGATTGTATCCTGGTAACGAGTGTTAGTGGTACAGATTCATGCGGAAATGAAAGTCATCTGACGATACATGCACTCTCTGCTAGAATTCGACAACTTACCTCTAGCACCATTGCGCATTGGATTACACCCCGGATACGTCGCCCTTGCGTCTGAAGACGTCGAACTACCTCTTCGACTTGAGATGAACTCGACACATCGCATTTGAAAGCGTCAATAGGCAGCCCTCGTTGGCGGAAGGAATCCAAGCCTGTCGAATTCTTCTCTCCTCCTGATCTCGAGAGAAACACGACATGCCCAGCACCATGCTCGAACATGACGTCCGCAATCTTGAGGCCTAGTGCACCCAGACCTCCAGCAAGAATGTAGGTTCCCTGCTTGTTGAGTTTTAGTTCAGGCAATTTGGAAGGGCGCAGTAGAACTTGAGCGTAGGGGTCAAATTTCAGAATCGTTGTGATCGGCGCTTCGCCATCGTCAACGCGTGGCACAGTCTCACTGATATCAGAAAGCGATCTGACAAATCTAGGATCCAGTCGAATCAAATCTCCAGTGTCAAGGAGCTTACAAGTCTCGTCAAAGAGACGTTCAGCGAGCTTCGGCTTTGCTTTTCCCAGTTGAGACACGTCCACGCGAACGAAAGTGATATTACGGCGCGAAGCAACAAAGGGGATAGCGCTCCCAGATACGTTGGGCTCCATGTCGATAAAAGTTCCGAAGTCGCACAAACAATCAACCCATTTGGGAGAGATTTCGCCAGGCTGGCAATTTAGTATAACGTCCGCCCCTCGGTTCTGAGTTTGACGAATCATCTCGGCCATGCAACGACCAGAATCGTTACTGAGAACATGGCCGTGGTCAATCCCCATTTCCTTTGCGATAATGTCTATCGCAGTGGAAGCATTGACAGTAACAAAGACTTCTGCTTTAGCCAGCTGTGCTCGCCGGATCGCTGCTCTGCCTATCAGCGAGTCGCCCCCACGAATGAGAACGGTCTGGCCGCTTTCGAGTCTCGCTGTCTCCATAAGAGCAAAACCCGCGGAGAACAATGAAGAAAATGTTGTCAAAGCTTCTTCGGGTGATGTAGTTGACGATATTGGTCGGACAAACGACTCGGGGACGTGGACCGTGGTACTGCAGGGCTCCGAATGAAGTGCGATGACTCGCTGTCCAACTCTTGTAGTCCCCTCGAGAGACGATATCGCGGATACTGTTCCAATAATCGCAGAGGACACTAGAGTGTCGGGGATATTTTCGGACACCGGCGTGACCTGCACAAGGGCATATTCAACTGTGATCTCAACACCCCCGTCCAGAAGAGCCGGAGACATTTCCGACCTATCAACCCAGACAGTATTTCTACCTTCTCGGACCAGCATCAAATGTCTTCTGCTGCCCAAAGTCCCTTTCACTGGCGCCAGGTGCCTTTCTGGACTTTCTAAGTCTGCGTCCATGCTTTCATCTTCGACAAATCTCGGCACGAACACTTTACCAGCGGATTCGGCATATTCCATTTCAAGTTGACCATAGCCTCCTTGTGCAGAGCTACACCAGATATCAGTTATGATGTTGGCAGTGGCATCCACACTCAAGCTAGTGGTTCTAGACAGATCAAGATGTGGCAACTTGACTTGGGAATATTCTGTGCGCATAACCCGTAGTAAACCTTGGGTTGGCGCAAACTCTAGCCCATCCTTCCAATTCTCTAGGAGACCACCGCGAGTGATCCACAGTATTTGCGAGGCGTTGGAAACCAGACGCTTGAAGTGTTCAAAATCTTCATCGTTCCAATTATATACTAGGGGAGACTCGACCTCTAGCAGGGAAATAATGCATTTTCCTTTCAATCGATCGACGTTTGACAATGATGCCAAGGTGACTTCGCGATTGAGCGATGTCAGCTTCTTGGTCAGAGTATCGACAAGACATCTAGTTGATGCGTTGAGATCTGGCCTGTGCAGCAAAAAGACTTCATATGGCAGAGAGTCAACGGTCGAAAGACTCGGCCTTTTTGCGATCAGAAGCGTTCTCTTGCGACTCGTGTCCGACAAGAAATTGCCTGGTTCTATCCCTGCTGAGCGGATCATCGACTCAATATCTTGATCCAGTACTGAGGTGTTGTCATCCACGCCCACCAAGCAGAGAATCCCTGAAGATCGTATGAAGCCTTGCAGTGCGATTAGCGTCGAGTATTCCTGGGAGGTGTCTTGGCGTTCAGTTGGCTTTATGCTGACGATCAAGTCAAATGATTCATCTGAGAATGGGGCTGCATCACGAGACATTGGTTTCCAACTCCGAGTGTCCACCTGATAATTCTGGGTTGAAGATAATTGTTGGGCCAGATGTGCAGCTGACTCCGAGGTCGTAACGACGTGAACAACTTTCTCTTTTCTGCCTGGAGCTCCCCTAGAGAGGTTTAATAGCGCTTCCAAGAAGAGACGAGAGCCATCCGAAGCATCGTGCATGACGACAAGCATCTCGTAGCCTGGCCTCTTATGGTGCAACCTGTCTAACAGTCCCGCTAGAGCCCCGAGAACTTTATCTTCGAGGAAAAGCTCCTTGTGGTCGCTAGAGTCCCGGTCTAAGTCGAGAGGAGATGAGAGGGGGCGTATGAGATCGATGTCCTCCTTCCATCTCAGCTTTGCACACACCTTTCGCGCAGTCCTACCGCTGGAAGAAGAATCTTGTGAAGACGTCACTTGTCTCAACGCAAAGTCGCGGACAATCAACTTGGGACTGCTCCAGAGCTCGTCGGACACGATCAAATCACCAGACGTTTCACGACCATTGGTCTGAAGACGTTTGGCGTAACCGCTGTACGTGCCACCATCGCCTTGGGGTAGATCTGCAGCAATGTACATATGCTTCAATGTATAGGGTACTGCAGCTTCCTGTAGTGGCCTTCCATCTGAAAAGGCAATGAAGAGAAGGTGGAAAATAGCGTCCATAGTTGCCGGGTGAATCAGATGGGGGCACTCAAAGTCGAAAGGCATGGAAGACTTGGTGTCTGGGATGCTGATAGATCCGTGGGCGCAGTGCTCGCCGGTGACTGCACCTGCTTCAAACACATTCCTGAAAGTTGGCCCGTACTCCACACCAACAGACTCAAGATGGTCGTAGAAGTAGTCCATTTCGATATCTTCCACGGCATTGAGCTTGATGCGATTATAAATGCCAGTCATCCCTCTCCATTCCTCTTCAGAGGGAGCTAAAGCACTCTCCTTTGCGTTTTCGTACTCTAAGCCCACGGTTCCATGGCAGTGCTTAGTCCACGAGTCTTTAGAAGAGATAGAGTAAATAGCAAACTTCCACATAGACGGACGTGCTTCGTCGGGTCTCAGGCTCACTTCCGTCTGCACAACTTCCTCTCTAGAAGGCACGACGAGTCCACGCTCAAATTTAAGGTCTTGCAATCCGATGCCCTTTAGTTTCCTCGAGGTGTCCTGCAATTGAAGTGCAGCTTCCAAGGCCATCACAATCATTCCAGCCGCAGGGTAAAGTACGGTCCCGGTAATCTTGTGATCTTCGATCCATGGGTTCTCAGAAGTGCGGAGATAATTGCGCCAGCGAGGCTCCATTGGATTTTGCAGAACGACCGGCACCCCTAGTAGATCGGCTCGAGGGCCACTCGGGAATCTGGCTGATCGGGCCATCGACGACTCATGCCAGTAACTCTTGGTATGATTCCAGGGATATGACGGCAAGTCGGGCAATGAGAGTGGCAAAGACTCTGGGTAGATGCCATTAACGCGCAAAAGGTTTATGCTGTGGCCCGAACTCCAAAGCTGACCAGCAAGCTGTAGTGCTGTGATCTCTGCATCCTTGTTACGCACGATGGCGGAGAAATAAGGTGCCTCTTTTGCGGTGCTGCCCTGGCTTGTCTTGACGATCTCGGATACTGGGCTCTGTAGAGCTCCATGAGGGCCGATCTCGATGAAAGCGCTCCACTGAACTCGATTACGACCCCGGCCCTGGGTAGTCTCTGGCTTGTGGTCAAGCAAAGCAGTCATCGCTGGTGAGAATCGAACCTGGTCGCACATGTTCTTCATCCAGTACGATGCATCGAGATTCTTTGAGGTGACCGTATCCCCAGTAAGTGATGAGAACATTGGACAAAGTTGTTCAGCTCCAGCCAGAGGGACGATGCTGCCCATCTTAGCAAGGTACTCTTGGGCGACCGTCGCCATGTGAGGTGAGTGGTAGGCTGTCTTGACGCGGAGCAGTCTTGCAAACTTTCCATCGGCGGAAATAACGTTGCACAACTTCGTGACAGCGTCTTGGTCGCCTGACAAGGTTACGCTTGAAGGGCTATTGACACAAGCTATCACCACAGAACAGGGTGGTACTTGTTTGATGTACTTGGAAGCCTCTTCTTCGGATAGTCCAGCAGCTGCCATGGCACCTACTCGAGGAGCAACATTGTTGGCCACCTTTGCTGAGCAAATTCCTCGAAGATATGCAATCTTTACCGCATTGCAACGGGATAGAAGTCCAGCTGCATATGCAGCGCCTGTAAGTGTGTTAGATACTGGCCCTTGCGCTCTGAAATTAGCGAACAAGGCGAATCATGCACTTACTGATCTCACCACTAGAGTGCCCAACAACTGCTCTAGGTTTCACTCCCCACTCTCGAAGTAAATCAATCAGGGCAATCTGGAGAACTGTACACAGCACTTGGCTGTACTGAGGGAGGTCAACGTTTGATTCGATGGACCGAGATAACTCGTCTATCAAGTCCCATGGGCAACCGTAGTGTTCAAGAAGGACCTGTGACCGATGAATGCTTGTCCGGAATATGCAGTTGTTGAGTAGCTCTTTGCCCATCGTGGGCCACTGCGCTCCCTGGCCGGTGAACACAAAGATTGGATTGTCGTGTTTTGAAGCTCTTTTCGACTTCGTGAGGCCTTTGCTGAGCTGGTTCTGCAGATCTAGGACAGATTCTGCCACTGCGAAACTGCGGAATTCGAGATGAGTCCGCCGCGCCGACAACGTGTAGGCAAGGTCGGATAAAAACCTCGAACTCGAAGTCGCTTCCTTGTCCGATAGGAAATCCTCGTACGATTGAGCCAGGTGCTCTACCGCAGCTTGGTCTCGTGTGCTGAAAGTGAAGAGTCGCTTGTTGTTTACTTGACGAGGTGAGTCGGAACCCATGCTTATGCCCGATTCAGAAGAGTCGTCTTCAAAAGTGCTGGTAGTGTGATTTCCTTGGAGGCCCCGGTTTCTCAGGTAGTTGTATGCATCGTCCAGAATAACGTGGGCATTGGCACCTCCGAAACCGAAGGAGTTGACGCTGATACGTCGCTGACCCTGCGAAGGCCACGCCATGTTCTCTAGAGGCAAAGCCAGATTCCACTCAGCCAGCTTCAACTTCGGGTTCACCGACTCGATGCCGGCTGTCGGAACGAGCATTCCCTTCTCCAAGCATAGGACCGACTTCAGAAGACCAGCAAGGCCTGAGCAGCCTTCAGTGTGTCCCACATTGGCCTTAATGCTGCCGACGTAGAGGGGGCCAGACTCCGGCGAGCGCCCGGAGCCAAGCGTTGCGCCGATGGCTGACAGTTCAATGGGGTCCTGTGGTGAGATTAGTTCTGCGGAACAATGCTACAGCCATCTGTTTCACTTACACCCAGTGGTGTGCCCGTGCCATGAGCTTCGAAATACTGCGTATCTGAGAACAAGAGCCCGGCCTTCTCGTAGGTAGTCCGGATAAGTTCGGCCTGTGCTTCAGCACTAGGTTGCGTTATTCCCGGCGTCTTGCCATCTGCGTTGGTACCGGTGCCACGAATGACGGCTCGAATGGTGTCTCCGTCGCGCAATGCATCTTTCAATCTTTTGACCACTATACATGCGATTCCCTCACCTCTCCCATAACCATTGGCTCTGTGGTCAAAAGAGTGTGAGATGCCCTCGGGACTGAGCATGTGCATCGAGGACAGTTGATGCATGAAATTCGGATGCAAGATCAAGTTGACGCCAGCGACCAGACCCTTCATTGAGTCACAAATTAGTGGCCAAGTCCCTCACCAAAGTAGTGGACTCACGTACCATGTTGGTTTCGCCCAGTTTAAGTGACTGGCAAGCCAAGTGCAGTGCGTATAAGCTCGATGAGCAGGCTGTGTCGAGGGTGAGGCTAGGTCCACGAAGTCCAAAAAACCAAGAAACACGGTTCGCGGTCATCGCTTCACTCATCCCAGATGCCGCCACATCTCCGACGTCGTAAATATCGTGGGTTGAAAGTTGTTCGTAGTCGCTTGTCATACAGCCAACGTAGACTCCCGTCTGAGAATTCGTCAGATCGCCCACTGCAATCCCCGCTATACTTCGTGTCAATCATCCGCCCCGAGACAAAGCGTGAGGTTCACTCACCATTCTCGAATCCTTCGTAACTGACTTCCAGCAACAACCTCTTCATTGGATCCATTCCAGCTGCCTCCTTGGCAGTCATAGAGAAAAATGGCGCATCAAAGACGGAAACATCTTGCTCCAGGAAGTACCCGTGCTTCACACTAATCTGGGTGATTGGTCTGTTAGTGAAACTTGGTACTACGATCTTCGAGCGGTGGTACTCACAGATCCTTTACGATCAGGGTCGGGATGATACCAGAAATCTGCATCCCACCGCGAAGATGGCACCTTTCTATGTGCACTTCTGCCATGGCTAATCATGTCCCATAGTCTCCTCACTGATGTTGCCTCTCCAGGCAGGCGGCAGGCAGTGCCAATGATGGCGATCGGCTCTTGTTCGTCGCACGGGCTCATGATGGACTTGCTTGATGTGGCTGGAGTAACTGTGTTGCGATAAGCTGTGTGAACAAGTTGACGTGCACGCAATCTGGGAACTTTCTGATGCTTTGGGATTCTTCCTAATGATCAATACTGAGGCAATTCCAACCGGTATCAATCAATAATTCTTGAGCCTGCAGTAGTAGCATTGTCCATCACCGGCAACCTATTGTAGGCACACCCTTGCCGATTACCACATCCAGCACTGGACAGGACCTTCGGCTCATCCTGATTCGTGAAAAGGTCAACAAATTTCCCGATTAAGACGGCCGTAACCTAGATGACAGGCCTCGACAAGCTTTGGTTCATAGTTGATAGTGGCAGTGAAGAAGTAAATTTTCAGACAGATTCCCGTTACTTTCTTCCTTCGCTTTCGTAATTCAGAAACTTCCCTTATCGTGAAATTACTTTGATATTTGCTGCTGTCAATATGAGGATTCTTGCATTGCATGGTGTAGGCAGTTCTGCCAAAATCCTAGAGAGCCAGCTGGTGGGCTTGATGAGATCGGTCGATGCAAGCTACGAGTTTGTGTTAGTTGATGGAGCTGTACCATCGCACCGAGGGCCTGGTAAGAACACCACCAACATACCCTATCGAAATCTTCTCGAAGATGACCACCGCACCACTTCATGATCAAGCATAATTCAGACTAGTCGACGCTAATGCTGAGATGAATCTTAGGCATGAGCCCGGCTCTTAGCGGACCGTTCTATTCTCACGCGACGGGATACTCGCCCTCAGAAATTGAAGCTGCGCACCACCAAATCGCTGCCACAGTCGACGAGCTAGGCCCATTCGATGGCATACTAGGCTTCAGTCAGGGGGCATCACTAGCACTGTCTTACATCTACCACCAACAAGTCAACGGCGAAGATCCTGACTTCAAGTTCGCCGTCCTTTTCTCATCCGTCGTGCCATTCTCAGCAGACGCCACATACTGCGAGGGCGAAATCGACCAACTCTGCTCATATCGCCGCAGCGGAATGCACGCCAAAGACCTCGCTCCTCGGCAGCAAGTCTTCAACGACTGTCTAGTTCGGACGTTCCAATCTGCTTTGAAGATTGGGGCTGTTTTGCCGGACTTCAATCAAGATTTCTACAAGGATGTAGGCGCCATAGTCCCTCGGGTGCTGCATCCCATGTTGCTTCAAGAACGCATACACATTCCAACGGTCCACGTGTCTGGCAGGCGAGACTTTCCCTTTATGCACGACATGCATGAGATAGGGTACCAGATGTGTGATGCGAGACTTTCTAAGAAGTTACATCACTCAGGAGGGCACCATCCGCCCAAGAAGGAGTCAGAGATCAAGGCCGTTGTGAGGGCTATGGAATGGGCGGTGGATCAATACTACCGACAGCCCCCATCATTTCTGTGATTGAAGGAACGAAAATAGACCATAGCGATCATCTGGGATTATGGATATGCCGAGTCTACTTTAGGTACTCAGTACAACTACGTCTCAAGTTCAAATTATGTTCATCATCTCATCAGCCTTCCCTCCCACTCTACAACGTCGAATTCAAATCCAATTGGTTCAGAGGCACTTCCGGTGGCCTTCTGATGGTCGGTCCCATATTAGCTCCGTGTTACCCCGCACGCTCGGCCGAAGACAGCGGCAAGATCGTTGTACTACAAACAAGTCTTAGTTGCTGAATTCAGTGACTTCGTTGATTTTTGAATTGAGTGGTATTTTGTTGTTCAATATTGCTTTCTTTACTGCCTTTGCTCTCTGCATTTCGCGTTGGGATGTTCAAATAGAAGGAGCCAACACGACACTCAAACTCCGATTTTCAGGGACCCGGTTTGGTAACTAAAGTACCTATTTGCAGTATATGATAGCTACATGGATGCGATTCTGTTCGTCCACTTTCCGTTTCTGTGCTTCCTCGACCCATGCTGTGCTCAGATGGTGTCGTTACGTTTATTGAATACATCGTTTCTTCCGGACTCAGTCGGGCTGAGATCTTGGTGCTTCATCTCCATGCTGTCAGTCACCTCGCTGTTAGGTGATTTGTCCCCGCTTTCGTCCCCGGCAGGTGGTGGGCTTCCCTGCTTCACAGTCTTCCACTGTACCAGTGCGCTTCCTGCAATGCTTGCGCACGCTAAGCCGACAGCAACGTACCAGGAATTGGTGAGGGATTTGCTGTAGATACGTATGACAGAGTCAAGAGTATTTGGTGGCAATACTCCGGGTTGTCTTATGCTGTTTGCCCCACCGTCGACAATTGCGGTAGCGTTGATGTTTGGTAGTTCGTTTGCCAAACCGGCCCGGAGCTCATTGGTGAAGACATTTTGTGCGACAGAGATGAAAATGGCGCCACCAAAGGTCTGCAGGAACATCACGAGAGCAGTTCCTAGTGGTATCTCTTCCATAGGTAGGACGGTTTGGACTACCATCAGAGGAGTTTGCATGCTCTGGCCAGATCCAAGACCATACAGGATTTGGTATCCGATCCAGTCCCGAGTGGGAACGTCTGCCTTCCAGGAAGTGAGAAGACCCGAACCAACTGACATGAATAGGGTAGAGGCAATCATGAAGGGGTTATAGTACCCGATCTGAGTTATGCCTACTCCGCTGACGATTGACGCCAAAGCTGTCGACAGAATCAAAGCCAAGTTCATGAGGCCCGAGTCCACGGCAGATACACCCTTGATGGCTTGGAACCAGATCGGGATGTACTGCCGTAGCGTGAAATCTGCCCCGGCAGTGCAGACCGAGAACCAGCAAGCGGCGGCCACACTGCGCTGGGAAATGACCTTGATGGGAAGAGTAGCGTTCTTTCCGTTCTTGGTTTGAACGAAAAGGAATGCAGATGAGAGCACACCAAATAGTACAAAAAGCACAATGACTCTGGGATTGTTCCATGGGTAAACAGTTCCACCCCACTGCAGCGCAAGAAGCAGGCAAATGACAGCCGGCATCAGGGCTAGTGTGCCAATGGGGTCGACTTGCATGACTTTCTCCAGAAGAGTCTTTACTTCCCCGCTATCAGGCCGAGGTGGTGACTGGAATAAGAAGATCATGATGACAAAAGCGACGGCTCCGATCGGAAGGTTGATGTTGAACTGTTCAATATCAGACTCTTGATCCTGCGCGGTATCAGGTCGTTTTTGGGTTAGGCAATCACTTACACACCAACGCCAGGTCACCTTATCAGTGAAGGCTCCCCCGAGCAGCGGCCCGACCACGGAGGCAATGGCATATACTGCTCCGACGAGACCAGTGTATGCAGGTCTCTTGGGTAGCGGAATAATCACAGCAATAATTGTGAATGTTCCTGCCAAAATTCCTGCACAGCCAACACCTGCGATCGCCCGGCCCAGAATAAGAACAACGGAATGAGGAGCAGCGCCGCATACAGCCGATCCGACTTCGAAAATGATGATAGAGATGAGGTAAATAAGTTTGATGGAAAAAAGAGAGTACAATTTGCCGAAGGTGAGTTGAAAGGTGCAAGTTGTGAGGAGATAGGCGCTTCCGTACCACCCAATGTCGTTGATCGATCGGAACTCATCTGTGATACGTGGGATGGCAGTTGATATGATGATGTTGTCCTATCATGTATGGTGTTAGTTCTAGTGTCAAGGACATGTCCTGATAAGTATTTCTTACCAGGCCCACTAGGAAAAGTGTCAGGCAGAGTCCAAGAGTGATTACGCCTAGCTTCAAACCAGTTGGCCCTTCGGCATCGGGCCCAGGAGTTGGACTTTGAGGAGCTGGCTGTTCAATCATTGTGGGCTCATCTGACTTCAAGCTGGATTTCCTGCTTCCCATCTTGGCCCATTTCGATAAGTTACCCGTGGAAGGCATATTGAACGTCGTTTGAAAGCTGAACTTGGTACACCAAATTGCGTAAGAGCGTTTTTTCGATTGCAGAAACTGTGAAAGACTAAGAGTGAATTGAGTTAGTGCAAGGATAGCAGACAAGTATTGCTCAGAACAGAGAGGGCTGTTTCTTTGATCTAATCGTGCTACAAGCTGACAACAATTGCTTTCAGGTACCAAGGCACCCGCGCAGAAGCAAAATCAGTCTCTTGATAGCCATGGCTTACAAATTGAGACGATGTCTCAAGGTTTCTTTCAGCTTGAGGTAAGGCCGGCGATGGTTCCATTCGCGTGTCAATGCCAGCTCTCTGAGTCCAAGATCAAACTCCCGTCGGCGCCACGACTCGTGACGAACAGGCCACGGCGACAGCCACTAGAACCCCTACAACCCGGTCATCCATCCCCATTCACCCATCTCTTTAGGCTTTTGGTTTTAATTCGAAGCTTTCCGTCGTGCAGCGACCGTTGTAGGGCTATCCCGTAGGTGCCGCCGAACCTTCGCGGGTCTGACTTTTTTTTAAAGTTGCATATAGGTCATAAGATATAGCGCTAGAGTTTAACTTAGATAGTGATACCGATCTGCAGGATCGAAAAAGAGATTTCATGTATTTGTTTACTCGGTATGGTCATTTTTGATCAACTCCGGTTGCCATGGTCAATCAACAAGACCACCATAGCTGTCTTTGCGCACTGGAGGCTATGAAGGGTCTTGCCAATGTGTTGTTTCAATAGTATCAAGACGAAGCTCAGAGACCCTCTTAGACTTGAGCTAGATTTGATGCATCGCCCAACTTAGTCACTGTGTCTCTCGAACAGGATACCCACTTCAATCACCTTTCTCTGATTCTCGCCAAGCAACTTCAACTGTTGGTCCGTGTGTAAGACAGAACATTCGCAGTGTCCCACCTAAGACATTCACAATGGCACCGTACATGAGTCATGGAGCATCTTCCTCTGAGCTAAGCTCTCCAGTGGAGAGCATTCAGTCGCCCAGAGGAGGTCCGGTGGAGCCGATTGCAGTCATTGGAATGAGTTGCAAGTTTTCAGGAAACGCGACAACTCCAGACAAGCTATGGCAACTCGTCGTTGAGGGACGAGACGGCTGGTCTCCAATACCAAAGTCGAGGTTCAATGCCGATGCTTTTTTTGATAAAGATCATGCAAAGATTGGGATGGTAAAACCTCACGCCAGAGTTCCTAATTATGATCACGCAAGCTGACGGATCTTGGAACAGTCTCATGTGGTTGGCGGTCATTTCCTCAAAGATGATGTCTCTCGTTTCGATGCGTCCTTCTTCAACTTTACCGCTGAAATCGCCAACGTAAGTTCCATTCTGACAGAGAGGTCGTGCGTCTTGCGCAGCGCTGAGGATGTTGTAGGCGATGGATCCACAAATTCGTCTGCTTCTTGAGTCCGTGTTTGAATCATCAGAAAATGGTAAGATCAGAAGAGTGTTTGTTGCAGTGGCATCTTCAGAGTTAACCAGAATTCTCTTAGCCGGTGTAACTCTTCAACAGCTAGCAGGAAGCGACACCTCGGTTTTTGTTGGTTCCTTCTCTAGGGACTATCATGATGCTCAGCTGCGAGACCCGGACACACTGCCCAGGACCACTCTGACTGGCAATGGTGTCGCTATGATGTCGAATAGGATTTCTCACTTCTTTGATCTTCGTGGTCCAAGTATTACTACAGATACTGGATGCTCAGCGAGCTTGGCGGCTCTGCACCTTGCTGTTAATAGCATTCGCAATGGAGAATCACGAATGGCCGTCGTGGGCGCCTCGAATCTTCTACTCAACCCTGATCCATTCATCGTCATGTCGGGCTTAGGGTAGGCTACTAAGACCCTGAGAGCCGAGTACCAAAAATACTAACCTCTGATTACAGAGTCCTCGGTGCTGATGGCCGATGCTTCGCCTGGGACAGTCGAGCAAACGGCTATGGTAGGGGAGAGGGCATTGCAACGCTTCTCCTGAAGCCTCTCCGAGAGGCACTAGCCGACGGAGATCCTGTTCATGCTGTTATTCGAGAGACGGCAATTAATCAGGATGGCAAAACACCGACCATCACGTCGCCGTCTTCTGAGGCTCAGGAGGAGTTGATACGAGCATGTTATCGAAGAGCCGGGCTCGATCCTTCTCGGACAGCATACGTTGAGGCGCATATGACAGGAACCCCGACCGGCGATCCCATCGAGGCTGCTGCTATAAGTCGTGTATTTGGAGAAGGACGTTCAGTCGACAAGCCGGTGCTAGTAGGGTCAATCAAGACGAACTTGGGTCATTTAGAAGCATCCAGCGGCATTGCAGGAGTCATCAAAGCTATCATGATGCTCAAGAACGAGATGATCCCACCGAACCTGAATTACGAGGAAGCAAACCCCAAAATCGATATGAAGTCGCTCGGGGTGAAAGTTCCGCTGCAAGCACAGAACTGGCCTGAGGGAATGCCACGACGTGTTTCTGTCAACAATTACGGTTACGGAGGAACAAACGGCCACGTCATCATTGACGGTGCTAGTGAGCATATCGATCAATGTCATTCAATAGCATTGGAGAAGACTGGGCCTCGTCTTATCGTCATGAGTAGCAAAGACTCCATTGTCACTGCACGAATGGTCAACAATCTGAAGGGCTATCTCGAGGCTCGGAAAGCGTCAGTCCAAAAGCTTGATCTTGATAACTTGGCATACACCCTTCAGAAACACAGGTCACATTTCCCTTGGCGAGTTGCCATATCGAGCAGCGACTGCGAGGCAAGCTTGATCGAGGCCCTCGAGAACCCAGTTAAGAAAGCTGTAACTCTTGCTAAAGACCCCCCGCGCATCGGCTTCGTCTTCAACGGACAAGGGGCCCAATGGCATGCCATGGGCCGCGAACTCATCCCAGTATACTCGATTTTCAGGAAGGCTCTTCTCCGCGCGGATGTTGTTTTGGGAGATTACGGCGCGGACTGGTCCCTTGTGGATGAGCTCCAGCGGGACGAAAAGTCTACCTGCGTCAACGAACCTCACCTAAGCCAGCCCGTCTGCGTCGCTCTCCAGATATGCTTGGTTGACCTTCTTAAATCATGGGGTATCCAACCCACCGCTGTCACCAGTCACTCGAGTGGCGAGATTGCAGCAGCCTATGCCGCCGGTGCGCTGACGTTTGAAGAGGCTCTGGGCGTCGCATACTTCCGTGGTGTTTTGACAGAAAAATACCACAACGCTTCCCGCGGTCCTGGAGGCATGATAGCCGTGGGTCTTGGAGCTGAAGATGCATGGGCCTACCTCGCGAAGAACGGTGTCACGAAAGGCACCGTTACTGTAGCTTGTGTCAACAGCCCCTCAAGCGTCACTCTTTCTGGAGATCTCGACGCTATTGAAAGTCTGGAGAAGCGGTTCTCCGAGGATCAAATCTTTGCACGGGCGCTGAAGGTCAAGTCCGCCTACCACTCTCATCACATGCTCCCTATGGCGGAAGAATATCTCAGGAAGCTTCAGGACATCATTCAGCCGAAGCTGAAGTGGCAAAAGCTAATCTACTCGTCACCTGTCACGGGCAATCTGATCGAGGCCCCCGAAAAGCTGGGTCCACAACACTGGGTAAATAATCTGTTGTGGCCAGTTCTTTTCTCACAATCATTTGAGAAGATGTGTACTTCAAATGCCAGTCAGGAGGCCAACGTAGACTTTATTCTCGAACTTGGCCCACATTCGGCGCTTGCAGGTCCAATCCGGCAGATTTGCAAAATTCCTGCCTTGAAGGGGCTCAATCTACCTTATGCATCGGGCTTGATCAGAGGTCAGAACGCTGTAGTGTCCATGCAGGCGGCTGCTGGAGCTTTATGGTGCAAGGGATCACCGGTTGACCTCTCTGCCGTCAACTGCCAGGAGGACTACACCAGCCTAAGAGTCATTTCGGATCTCCCTACATATCCTTGGAATCATACCAACAGTTTCTGGCAAGAATCGCGCCTGAACGTTGCTCATCGCATGCGGACGCATGTTCGCCATGAGCTAGTCGGGTCTTTGCTGCCAGGCCCCTCTTCGACCAACCCAATTTGGAGGCACTTTCTCAAAGCGAACGATCTTCCTTGGCTTCGAGACCATTTGGTCCAGTCTGACATCGTTTACCCGGGAGCCGGCGGAATATGCATGGCGATAGAAGCTCTACGTCAATACTCTGAAGTTCCGGCCGAGACTCTAGACGGTTATTGTCTGAGGGATATCCAGATCAGCAACGCATTAGTTATCCCGGATACAGAAGCCGGCATCGAGGTTCAGCTGTCTTTGCACCCCTGTGACGACAAGAATCTGGAGCCGGGATGGTATGAGTTCTCTCTGAAATCACCTGGCACCGACGGTAATTCGTGGAATGAGCATATCCACGGGTGCATCTCCCAGAGGCAAAAATCAAAGGCCGCCTTGCCCTCTGTTGTAGATGGAGGTGATGCTATCGGCCAAGCCAGCTCTGCCCATCCTCTCAAGGTGGAAATTGACTATTTGTTCGCTCGCCTGAGGAAGATGGGTCTGCAACATGGTCCGACATTCCAGAACATGATTGGCATTCAGGCCAACGAGTCTGGTTCCAAATTCCAGTTCAAAGTAGCGGATGTGAGCTCCTCGAGCTCCCATCTTCTCCACCCCACCACGCTCGATTCAATCTTCCAAGGAGCTTATTCTGCACTTTCCTCCGAAGACTTCCAGAATTCGATGGTAATGCCTAGAGCCATTCAGCACATCTACGTCTCGCAGGCTATTACTTCGACTCCCCACTACAAATTTGAGGCTCTTGCAACAATTGATCGTTGCGATAAGTCGGGCTTTCGGTCTTCCATAACGACGCATGAGCTGAACAACCCGGGGGCCCCAATCTTGGAAGTCAAAGCTCTCTTTTGTCAGGCAGTGGGCGGTGTGAGCCTAAATCAGCGAGAACAAGAGCCGCCTAAGTTGCTGTTCAAGATGCATTGGCATCCTGACTTTTCTCTCATGCCAAAGGATCAGCGCAAAGAGCCACTCAGATTTGATATTGATCCATGCGAGCTGTCCGTCAACAAAAAGCTCGTTAGAGCAGCCTGGTATTTCATCCGAGATGCCATACAAGATTTATGCCCCGACAAAGCTGCTATCGGAAACATGGAGTGGTATCATAGGTCGCTCTATGCTTGGATGGAAGTCAACTACAAAGCTGGTCTTGATGGAAAGCTCGCTCGTGGAAGTGCTTCATGGGCCAAGACAAGTCAAGGCATGAGGCACATGCTCTTTGATGAAGTTGCTGCCCAGAGCGTAAATGGGCGCCTTCTATGTCGCGTGGGCAAGAACTTGTCTCGGATTCTCCGGAGGCAAGTGGCTCCATTGGAGGTGATGATGGAAGGCAACTTGCTTTACGAGTTCTATGAAAAGGCTCTGCGATGTAACAGATCCTACGAGCAGGTGCAAAAGTTGGTTCGCATGTACTCGATGAAGCACCCTCGTGCTAAAGTCCTTGAAATTGGAGGAGGCACCGGTGGATGCACAAGATCAGTACTAAACGGCTTGTCTGAAGACACCCCTGATCGTCGGCATCGCTTTGCATCATACACCTTTACCGATGTCTCGGCTGGGTTCTTCGAGGCTGCAGCGAAAAAATTCGATGATTTTGGAGACATGATCAGCTTCAAAAAACTCGACATCGAAGTGGATCCCGTCGAGCAATCCTTCGAGGCGGGCTCTTATGATCTCATTATCGCTTGCCAAGTTCTCCACGCTACAAAGAATATGGAGAGGACGATGAGGAATGTTCGTAAACTCCTGAAGAAAGGCGGACAACTCATCTTCGTTGAGACTACGAAAGACACATTGGATGTGCAGCTAATCTTCGGAGCCCTTCCTGGCTGGTGGCTAGCTGAAGAAGCTGAGCGCAAGGGTGGACCAAACCTTACTCTTGATCACTGGGGGCGGGTTCTTGCCGCTACGGGCTTTAGTGGCATTGACTTAGACGTGAGAGACATGGAAGATGACGCGAACTACTCCTTCAGTGTCATGGTTACAACTGCGGTTGCACCACCGGCGTTCCCATCTGAAGTCTTCCTGCTCAGCTCATCCGAGTCTGTCTCTGTTGACTGGGTACAGGACTTGAAGTGTCAAATTCAGTCCGAGACCGGCGCCAGTTGCAAAGCCACAGACTGGCGATCAGTTGATGCTAACGACAAAGTCTGCGTTATGCTTGAAGAAGTCGTTGCCCCCCTCCTCAGTCGACTGAGTCGCGATGACTTCACTTGTGTTCAGCGGCTCTTGACAACTGCTCGGGGCGTACTGTGGGTGACACGAGGTAGCCTTATCGACGGCGCTGATCCAGACATGGCGCTGCACTCTGGACTACTTCGCACCCTCAGGATGGAGGATGCGGGGCGCCGATACATCTCCCTCGATCTAGAAAGCACGGAGCCGTATTGGTCCGCCAAGAACGCCGAGCTGATCAGGGATGTCTTCAAGGCTTCTTTTGACTTTTCCCTCAACTCATACGAGATCGATTGCGAGTACGCGGTGAAAGACTCCATCCTTCACATGACGCGTATTTACAACGACGACTCGGAAAACATTGCTTTGGCGCCCGAATCTGCTGAGAAGGTGCCTGAAATCAGACCATTTGGTATCCGGGGTGAAGGCTTGAACCTTCAAATGGAAGTCGGGACGCCTGGTCTTCTAGACTCCTTACGCTTTAGGGAAGTCAACCTTCAAGACTTAGATGAGGATCAAATTGAGATCGAGCCTCGCGCATTTGGTCTCAATTTCAGAGATGTTCTCGTGGCACTTGGTCAACTCGACGAAACCATTATGGGCTATGAATGCAGCGGCATTGTCACTAGACTGGGCCCGGATGCAGAGCAGAACAGCGGGCTGAAGGTTGGCGACCGAGTTTGTGCCATCTTGCGCGGACATTGGGCGTCAAGAGTCTTGATCAACTGGCCTTGTGCTGTTCGTGTCCCAGATAGCATGTCCTTCGAGGAGGCTGCGACAGTCCCTATGGTTTTTTCTACAGCATATCATGGCCTCTTTGATATCGGCCGACTTTCGAAGGGCGAATCTGTTCTTATTCATGCGGCAACAGGAGGTGTAGGTCAGGCTGCTGTGATGCTCGCCAAGCAACGAGGTGCCCGAGTTTTCGCCACAGTCGGCACCGAAGCCAAACGGGACTTCGTCATGAAGGAGTTTGGCATTCCGAAAGACCGAATTTTCTCCAGTAGAGACTCATCTTTTGGCCCTGCTCTGATGGCTGCCACCGGTGGCAAAGGCGTTGACGTTGTGCTCAACTCTCTTGCCGGGCCGTTGCTCAAAGAGACTTGGGACTGCATGGCGAGGTTTGGACGATTTGTCGAGATTGGTAAGAGAGACATCGAGGCGGCCAAGAATTTGGACATGAGTCCCCTCCGCCGTGCAGTAACATTTGCGGCAATCGATTTGTTCCAACTTGGCAAGTTCAAGGGTCACGTCGTCCAAGACGTTCTTCGGGGTGTCATGGAGATGTTCAGCCAAGGAGACCTACGCGTGGTTTCTCCCAGGACGGTTTTCCCTATATCTGAGGTTGACCAAGCTTTCCGACTGATGCAAAGCGGCAAACACCTCGGGAAAATTGTGGTTCAACCACAGCAGACAGATTTAGTTAAGGTAAGAGACTCACCTACCGGTTGTCTGGCCGATTATTGATCATAGATATAGGTTATTCCTTCCTCAACCCCAGCTCGTCTGTTAGAGGATGCATCTTACCTCATTGCTGGTGGCATGGGTGGTATTGGTCAGTCCATAGCGCGATGGATGGCACGGGACCTCGGTTGTAAGAACCTCATTATCCTTTCGCGCAACGCGCGTACCCATCCAAGCTGCGGGGCTCTCATTACCGATCTTGAGAAAAGTGGCTGCAGAGTTACTGTTCAGAATTGCGACGTCTCGAATGAGATTGATTTTCGCCGAGCTGTTGACGAAGCTGGCCGGAGCTTCCCTTCAGTTCGTGGGGTCATCCAAGCAGCTATGACTTTGAATGTAAGTCTGCATAGCAGCCCTCATGTGAAAAGTCAGAATACTAACTTGACGCCCACCAGGACTCTATTTTCCCCAACATGACATACGAACAGTGGCAAGCTGCAACAGGTCCTAAAATTGCAGCCACGTGGAATATGCATAATCACCTTCCGGACCTTGACTTTTTCATCTTACTTTCGTCCCTGACAGGACTCGGAGGTAACACAAGCCAGGCGAATTACTCGGCCGGTGGAACTTTCCAAGATGCTTTTGCGAAATACCGCACTTCACAGGGCCTTCCTGCAGTTTCAATCGATCTGGCCAGTATTCAAGAGGTCGGATTCGTTGCCAACGCCGAGGGAGTCGCGGAACGCCTGACGAAGACAGGCCTAGCTGATATTGATGAGGCTAGCCTACTCAAGATCGTCGAAACAGCCATCCAGATGCCTAGTCGACCAGTCGACCTCAGTCAGCTTATCACAGGCATTCTGGAGTTTGAAGAGACTTCGACAGTCGCCTGGGTCAATGACACTCGCTTCTCGTCTCTTCGCACCAACCACAGTAACCACAGCGGAACGCGCGGAATAATGGATCGCAAAGGGACCACGGCAACGCGGCTCTCTGACTCGTTGCAATCAGCAACCAGTGGCACAGGCGCCGTGGCACTTATCTTGGACGCCGTGATATCGAAGCTTTCTGAGATGTTTGGGTTGGACGCCGCGGAGATCGACAAGAAGCACCCCGTTTCTAGATACGGTGTTGACTCGCTCATCGCTGTGGAATTGCGCAATTGGCTCGTGTCTAGCGCGGGTGCCGAAACGACAAGCATTTTTGACGTGTTGCACAGTCCAAGCTTGAGCGTTCTGGCTGAAAAGATCGGAGAAAAGAGCCGCTATGTTTCAACTCTAGTCAAGGCTTCGTAGAGTTTGTTATCAGTCTTCTCTAGAAAATACAAATTGTGCACTTTGGTAATTCGTTGAGTTCTATTGCATGTGGTTGCACATCGTATGATGGAGATGTTGATGGTAGCAAACCCCGCTGCCGGCGGGATAACAGTGATTACGACGCGAAGCTACAGGGCATGAAAACGTGCCATATATCCGTCAACCGGTGGGCGAGATGTCATGCCATCGAGCCTCGCCTACAATGTCCACATACGACATGTTGTGACATCTAATTCCGCGGCTGGCCTCCATGTTGAACTCTGCAGACACGAACTTTACCATCCGCTTGGGGCATTTGAACACAGTTCAGACCCTTGTCCTCGTTTAAACTCTGAGCCAGGCCAGATGTGTCGGAGAAAGTTGGACGCAAAACCTCAGGAGACTCAACCCTCTGTGGGGATGACCTTGCCTCTGCCGGTAGACTTCCGAAATATTTCTGCCTTGAGTGGGAAATACTGAGGTAGGTAACTAAGCCATCCGATTCAGGATCAAGTTTGCTACCTGAGGTAAGCATGTTCATAAACAGCTATCCCACCAATGATTTTGAATCATTGCTGCTTCGCGAACCGCGGTAACTTTCGCACTGCATCAACATGGTCCTCATACACTGAATCTTCCTCTCTGCACCCAACAACGGCGCCAAGTGCGCTTTCCTCGTTCCCACCCTAGCCTTGATCTTTCCAATGAGCAGGCAAAATTCGGTGAGTTGTCCGGTAACGAGACACTTCAGAACCTGGTTTCTCTCGACTGGGCTCTCGATTTTGTATGATTGGAACCACATTGAGTCTCCTGTAAGCTGAGAGTTCCCCGACTGCAGTTTCCGAACAACATCAACGTAGGAGCGAACTGTCTTTTCGCAGATGTTGCTCAGGTATTGCCCAGCCATAGCAAGTAGCATCATGCTCTCTGACCGTGACTTGCATAAAGTGCAACTCAGGATTGAGTCGCAGCCTTTGATCGCTTCCCTACAGCAATTGAGAAGAACGTCCATAGTAGCAGATTCCGTGTTGGCGCCTTCGTTGCCAAGCTGCTCGAGCAAATGCGCGGCGAGCCTCAAGCACCTGCACTCACTCTTCTTTTTAACCGTAGTATCAGAACCCTCTAGTAATGCAGTCAGAGGGCTTGTCGCTGGTGCTGACATATTGTAAGCCACTGGCGTTGATTTGAGGCTGGGCTGCATCTTGGCCGAGGTTGGTGCATCGACTGGTGGAATCATAAGATTTGATGGGAAATTCTCGTCAAGCAAGAGGTCAAGACTTGATGATGAAAGTCCTGGCGTTGACGACGAATCGTCCATGATCTCGTTGGTGTCTAAAGATAGCCGTGTCAATTGGTGATGCGTCCTAGATGATGATGCACGTATAACATGGAAGAAATTGACATACCATTCATTTCGAAGTCAAGCTGTGTCTCCTGGGAACTGACACCATCGTCACCACTGTCTTCAGCCGGGTCGAAGTACGTAGTATCTTTCCCTAACTCTTGCCATGGCCCAGTGAAGTCTCCACTCTTCAGGTTCGCCATATCAATGGTTGTATTTGGTGACAATAGGCTACACGATGCCAGCCAGTGATCGATTTGATCTTGTTCGTGTTTTGTGTGCTGTGTAATTCCTGTCTCTTCCATGGTCTCGTTGTGACTGTTCGTCATGTCAAAAGTAGGACTTGGGAGTCCGCTTTGCCGTTGGAGATTTCCAAGATCGGTCATTACTTCTGAGTCTTCCTGATTCGTGGCGAACAGCAACGACGGATCCAGGTTGAAGTTGTCCGAGTACGAAGGTGATTGAGGTGTCGCTGAGCTGTCGAAAGAAGATTGTCGCGTTTTCGATGCTTCTTTGATTGAAGACGTTGATTGCTTTCGTTTTCGGATAGTATTTCTGTTGGTCGGGTACTTGCAAGTATTGGAGCTTGCTTTACATCTATCACACCCATTTGGGTCTCCGTTGCAGCGAAGCTGTGTCGATCCTTTAATGTCAGCGAATGGACATAATGTGTATTTGAGATTCAATCCCGACAAACCTTTCGTGCCCTACAGTATTCGCATGCGATGTGGGGTTTCCCGCGTCGATTACGGTTTATTACTGCCTCTGGGTTGTTTTCTATGAACGTTGGTTCTTTGTGTTGAAGATCATACATCAGAGTGCCAAACATCTTGGCGATTGGGTCGAGGACAGAGTGGTTGTATGCAGGCCTGCGGTTGGAAGAAAGTCAGTAGGCCGGTGTACGTCAAATTGGTAAATCTGAGACTGCTCGCTGGTGAGTGATCACATTACCACATTCATCATTGTTCATCCAGTCTTAAATGTATCGCATACACCGTTTTGAGGATTTAAAGGCTTCATTAGGAAGAGGCGTGCTGAGCCCGAGTACCATCCCACATGGCCCAGGGTTCATAAAGATCGGATTGCAACCCCCAGATGGTCGACTTCAACGCCTGAGGAAACTTTTACAAGCAAGATTCATCTCAAGTTCGCCAGCTCACATGGTGCCTAGGTGGCATTGCCGCATTTCGTTGTAAAACCCAATGATGAGAAGGTCCTTCCACGCGATGATGGCTCGCATCTTTCAACAAACTCCGAGGTTGCAGTGTAACAACGACAGAGCGCGGAAAACAAGGTTTTGAAGTTCGCTCCAGCCTTCACACCGGCGAGCTGCTCGTACCGACCTGAGTCAAATGCATCGTTCTAGACGGCCCACCACGTCGATAGAGTTGTTCTACTTATCCGGCGGAGGGTTTGAAGAAAAGCCAAGTCTTAAGGTGGTCTTGCCATCTACTAGCTGAAACCTTGCACAATGCCAAATCCTGCAGGGAACAGCAAAGATTCTATGGATTATAATCCCGTGGTCTTTATTATTGTTGTTTGTATAGTTGTCAACTCTTCGATATTTCCGTCCTTCCCCCTCACGGCATTCCACAATTCGCGATGAAGCTACCGCATGTTGACAAGCCTCTCCCACATCGGTCCGTGGGCATGAATCTCATGCGGAGATTTAAGTCGCCGTAGGCGTGTCCAGAAAAGTCCGAGATATACGCGTTATTAGACTTTGCGATGACCTGAGCTCCCATCTGAGGTATATTCTGCCCCGAGCTTATTTTACTTCAGTCCAGGGAGTCGCCTAACCTTTAGATGTTCTTACATTCAGGCGAGTCATGGTTCTTCGATGCATGAGCCGGGCTGGAAGTTGACGGGAGGTAGCCATCAGTTGCCAACATTGGCGAGCAGGTCATCTCAGCTTGCTTGCAACACATGCTTACCACGCGACAGACATCGGCCGTTGATAATCTCCTGCCAGAAATCACGTGCTGCTGTACTTACCGGTAGCTGTTTTGAGCTATCGACCTGCAGCATCGTGACAGAGATGTACCAAGTCGTCCGAGATCAGAGTAAAGCAGAATAATTGCATTCAATTCCTATACTCTATTTCAAGCTCCGAGTAGCTCGCATCTATACTTAACGTCGCAAAGATCTTACTGAGTATGGAACCGCTGGAGGGATCTCACACCTACGTTCATAATTAACATGGCTGTAAGACCACAGTCGATTCTCATCGTAGCCTTGACAGGTGTCTAAGCTCACTCGGACCGTCGGTAAACTTAGTGACTGTGCTGCAATATGACATGAGGGGCAGAATGTTCATCGAGATGCGAACTATTACAGTTGCCCGGAATTCTGCCCGACACGAGTCTCCAAGACAAGATGTTTGGGGAGATAACGCGGCTTAGTTGAATGTAAACAGGGTCTCACAAACCCAAAAGCGACACCAGATAGCCCATGTTGTTTCAGCACGGTTGTTTTTTGTGACATAGCGTGCAGTAGAAAACGAGACCGAAGAGTTTACCCAAATTGTCCTGAACGACTATTCTGACCTACTGTCAACGGCTTCGGCCCGGACTCATAAGGTTGTTTAGCTTTCGGCGTTGCCCAAAATGGCAGAGTCAATCCCGAATCAGGTCATTCCTCGGTTGCGAAGGCAGCGTTGTCAACAGCTAGCAACGATAGGGGCATGACAATCTAGTGAGGACACAGAAACGACCAGACGGGAGCTTTGCTAATTCTCAGGACGTAATTGATGTGCAGAAGTAGCCACGTATTTGGAGACGGTCTAAGATTGCCTGTGTAAGCTGTTAGCAGCAAGCTCTAGTTCAACAAATTTCAAGATTGAAATCGAACTTGACGAAAGATTCCGCCAATTTCACCTCTTTCGTCGAGTCAATAACACCGAAGAACAAACGATGGATTCACCGATCGCTACATTTCAAAATGAGAAACTTGGAATAGTCTCAGTGCCATGGGTTACTGCGCCGCTTTCTCTTTGGACTACATGGGGAACACTAGCTTTCTACCTTGGGCTCTTTGTACGAAAGATTCTGAATGATTGCCGTCTAACTTCAGCGAAGTCTCACCAACTAACATTGTTTCTAGGCTGTAGCCAGTCCAGTCATCTTGGCTCTATACAACTACTATCTTCATCCTATCGCGCACATCAAAGGACCTTTTATCGCATCCATATCTCCAGTATAAGCCAAAAGCTCTTCTAACTCGACTACTGTCCGCTAATCACAGCCTCAGATCTGGCTTATTCGGTCGGTGTCGGGACATCGGCTTAATAATGATATCGAGAGGGTGCATGCTCAATACGGTACGAGAGCAGGTCTATGCATCAATGTATCTTCCTGAGCTCTGCTAATCGTTGGACTCACAGGAACTGTCGTCCGCATTGGTCCAAATGAGCTCTCGTTTGCCACAGAAGGTGCCCTCAAGACGATCCATAATCCCGGACCCGACGGTGGCCACTTCACGAAGCAGGGCACAATTGAGTCTCTGCTGGCTAAACTCATTTGGGCAGCGCCGAACCTCTTGACCACCACCGACAGAACTGCACACAAGAGACTACGTACGGCATTACAACCAGCCTTCACAGCCAAGGCGTTGATGGAACAGGAAGATATTGTTCAGCACCACGTCAACCGAGCCGTCGAGTCGCTAGGTTCTAAACTTCGAGAATATAAGGTTGTGAGTATCAGCGACCATGTCGGAAAGATGATTTGGAGTATCGTTGGAGACTTGTCTTTCGGAGAACCGCTCCTCCATGACCAAATGAGTTGGTACAACGTGCGTCTTGTGCAGAAGTCTTCGAGCTAAGTATCGCACTAGGCACGTACGAAAAGATGAAGTACACTTACGGGAAAGGAGCACCTCTTCTAGAACTGTTTCAGTTTCTCACAGAAACTCCTATCTTTGGTGGGCTTGCAAAACTGCCAGTTATGATTGTTCCACACATTTTCCGCGTCCCTAAGAACTTTCTTTTGATGAACCAACTTAGAGGGTAAGCTAGTCGGAACCCATTCTCCGACATAAGGTCAAACTAACACTATACTATTACAGCTGTATCGAGCGACAAGGCGGGCGCAAAGACTTTTTAACCGCAATCCTATCCGCCAAAGAATCTGCAGGCTTGACGCAGCCGGAGATGTTGAGTAATTCGGCTTTGTTCGCGTAAGCTCCCCTCAATTCCTGTCGTCTCATCACCCTGCTGTCCCTGACTCTAACATGATTGGAAACAGCATGGTTGGCTATGACACTTCGGCAACAACTCTATCAGCAGTCTTTTACCACGTGCTACGAGACCCCGGCCACTACAAACGGGTTCAGGAAGAAGTCCGAGAAGCATATTACTCAGTCTCTGAAATCACAGCCCAGAGTGTGCTTCGCCTCCCTTACTTGAATGCCTGCATCCAGGAAACACTGCGTCTCACGCCACCCATCAATGGTCGCGGGTCCCATCGCATTTCGCCTGGGGCCATGATTGATGGCCTCTACGTGCCCAAGGGTGTCAATGTCTCTGCCGATATTTGGACCATCCAGCGTAAGCCTGAGTACTGGGCTCTTGCCGACAAGTTCAGACCTGATCGCTGGCTTGACAACGGCCCGGGCACTGTTTTTGAGCACGATGTCCGGACCAGCTACCGGCCATTCCTCGTTGGACCTCGGGTGTGCATTGGCCGCGAGATGGCGTTGCAGTCTATTCGTCTGACTGTCGCCAAAGTAGCATTCTCGTTTGATCTGGAGATGGCTAACAAGGATACTTTTGTTTGGGAGAGGGATGCAGGCAACGATTATGTCTGGCATGACTACCATGTCTTGGTGAAGAGAGGGGCAAACTAGAAGTTCCACAACAAGCTTGATGGTATCTTGAAGTCGCAAAACGTTTAAGACAGGGTCGGATTATTGTACTTGCTTCATAGGCCAAAGAGACAAAGGAGCTGAGCCGGCAGGGTACATAGACATAGAACCAGTTGGAAACGCAGTAAATCATTCTCGGTTATCGACTTCATCTACAGGGAGAAATCCTTCAGCCCCTTGATTGTCCCATCAATGCCTAGCTCCTCCTTCTCATCCGGTCCCAGTAAGCCCAACGCTTCACGTCGGCTAGGCGCAGCGGCATCAAAGTACGGCTTCTCGGCAAGAGAAGTCACGCGAGTTTCGTGACGAGGGTGATTACCCTCATAATCCCAGCTGGCGTTGTGGATAGTGATTCTGGATGACATTAGTTATACACTCGCGCCATCATTAAACCTTGGAGATATCACGTACCTGTTATCCCAGAGAGCACTAGTGTTGGGAGTCCACTTGAAACGGACTTGAATATCCACGTTCTTCTCGTACACATCAAAGAGGTAGTTCAAAATGGCATCACTCTCCGCCTTATCCAGCCCAATAATATGCGACGTAAATAGCCGATTTACATAGAGAGACTTCCATCCTGTCGCAGGGTGGACGCGAACAAGAGGGTGCGCCCGCTCAATGTGCTTTGGTCCAGCTTCGGGGTCGTTCCGGTCAAGGTACGTGTGAGCAGAACGGTAGACGGCGTACTTTCCGTCAATGATCTTGCGGAAGTCAGGCGAAAGCTTCTCGTATGCCGAGTAGCCGCTGGCCCAGAGAGTGTCGCCACCGATGGGCGGGACAGCGTCGTTGTGCAAGTGAGTGATGCCGGATGGCTGACGCTCGTGGACCAGGTCGGTGTGCCATTTGGAGGCGCCTCCGGGGTTACGGAAGTTGGCTTTTCTCTCGGTGGCCATCAAAGCTGGCCAAATTACTGTGACACCAAGAACGCCAGGTACTTGTGGAACTTGAGGCTTCAGAATACGTCAGCATGCTCACGTGTTGAGAGATGTGGTAAATTGATATGCACTTACATGGACTTCAACTTCACCATACCAATCTCCCAACTCCTTTTGCTGCTGAGGCGACAGATTCTGATCCCTAAAAAAGACGACACTGCGCTCAGCAATGAGCAACGCAAGCTCATCCTTTTGCTCGGGCGTGAGGTCCTTCAGCTGAAGACCCTCAATCTCTGTCCCAATGTGGGCCGTCAGGTTTGTAACTTTTGTCGCTGCGCTGAACAGGTGCTTCTTGGACTTGTCCGCCCTCGAGCCGGCGTCAACATATTCCCTCTCCTTGTTGCGAATATTGTACGCATCGTCCAGGTAAAGAGGCCGCGAAGGACGGTACGGGTATCCATTTGATAAGTCCACTCCAGCCTTGGTTAGTCTTGCCTTTGTGGTTTCGGGGAGCCCGAGAGTGTCCTTCCGCGGCTCCGCCACGTCGGTGATTGATGGGTCGATAGGGGCGGGAACCATGATGATCTGCTTGAAAGATGTGTAGATGCAACTTGACTGAGAGATTGGGTATATTATCAAGGTCTTGCAAATGTCAGAATAATTATCAGCTGCTCTTAATCCGACTTGACACAACCAGGCACGGGCAGCCTCCTTTAAATCTTGTAATCCACGGTCTCTGATACGAGGTGATTCTCGAGTCCCAATTCCACGGGACCTCCTCATCTGATCACGTTACCCAACAATGCCATGATTACCAATAATCGCGGGGTTAATGTTCCTCTTAGCAGAGGTTATCTATGGCTTCATCTGCATCGAGTGTGACGAATCCAGCAACAAATGCGTAGCATCGAACCACCGCGCCACGGAACTCGGAGGACTAATTCTCCAACCAAAATTCGTCGTCAGCACGCGATCGTCATCCAAACTCTCCGGAAGCTCGACAGTACGAATCTAGCCAAAGGTGATGGAGGGTTTAATCAGCCAGTTGTTGGCTGGATGTTTCGCCCTACCCTCCCCCGGGGAAGCGGATCCGGGGCGCATGGGCGACGGCGGCGCTCGCGAGTGGGGGTTACGCGATACAAGGTCCCGATTGTGTGCTCGTCAACCAACATCAGCCCAATCCCCTTTGAGAGATCATCACCCGAAGAAATCGGCTTGAAGGGCTGGACTCGTGCGGGGGAATTCTATCACTTAGGGCGTGTGTAAGCTTCAATTTCTCCTAACTCCGTGTTCCCCTCACTCTGAAGTCCATCTCAGGCCTTGGCTGCTTTGACTGCCTCGAAAGCTTTGTGCGAAGCTTTTGATCGACGGGATACCTAGAGATTATTATAGCTTCATAGACCAAGTTATACGCCAGCTAACAAGCTTGGCTCTCGTGGCTTTGTATCTAGAGGGCCATGGGACTTTCCATCGAGGTAAAGTGAATTGAGACCAATGAAGTCCGGACCGTCCCGGATAATCGATCATCACGCAGGGTTTGATCAATCTTCAGACTGTTTTCTGCACTTCAATGACAAGATGCCCATCGGATGTTGTCCGCATCAAGGGTGACAGACGCGCGCCTGTGTCTTCAGCTGCGTCCAGCACGCCATCGTATCCAGAAACCTCGTCAGCGATATGCCCAGTTCTTATCTCGTTTCCCATGCGAGTCTGCTCCGATGTTGGTCCGAAAGACCCTGAAGAACTTGAAAACTCGACGGAAGAAAATTTCGCATCTTCCATTATAAAATCTGGGTTTTGGCTGTTGAATGTCGTTATGATTCTTGATTATGTCGATCCAGACGCGCAGCTGATCATCTGTTTCTTTGGTTCTGAGACCAATCAGCTCCAAGTATGGGAGTTCCAGAAATCGAAAAGACTACTGTCGCCGATTCGCCTCGGAGCAAGTCTCCCTCTTCTGTCGATGCACGAGGAGTACAGCCTAGCGTTGTAGGACTTGTCCAGGAGGAACCGAAGCTTACATGGCGGTCATATGTATGGGATACCTTAGACAAGTCGCCCGAGGAACGGAAGTTCATGTTCAAGTTGGACGCTGTGATTCTGACTTTTGCAAGTTTGGGATACTTCATCAAGTAAGTTGACCCTCGGCTAACAGCTCATCATCTGTACTAACATTTCATCAGGAATCTTGACCAGATTAACATCAACAATGCCTTTGTGTCTGGCATGAAAGAAGACATGAAGCTCTTTGGCAATGAGCTCAACTACATGCAAGCTTGCTGGACTGTCGGATACGTCATTGGCGAAATTCCTAGGTCAGTCCCACATCATGCAGTTTCCATGAATCATTTCTTCAAGAACTAACGACATTGGCCACAGCAACATCCTTCTCACCCGTGTCCGCCCATCTATCTGGATTCCTGCATGCGAATGCACTTGGGCCATTCTAACAATCCTTATGATCAAATGCACAAACGTCACACAGCTTTACGTTCTCCGTTTTTTCATCGGTCTCGCCGAGAGTACATTCTACCCCGGCATGCAATACATCATCGGGTGCTGGTACAGAAAAGACGAACTCGCCAAACGCTCCTGCCTCTTCCACTCCGCGGGATCCATTGGTTCTATGTTCTCTGGATACCTCATGGCCGCCGTCTATAATCTCAGCGGTGTCCACGGATGGAAGGGCTGGCAGTGGCTCTTCATCGTCGATACTGTCATTTCTCTGCCGATTGCAATTGCCGGGTTTTTCTTTCTGCCTGACGTGCCTGAGATCACGAAAGCCTGGTGGCTGACGAAAGATGATGTAGCGCTTGCGCAGAAACGGATGCAGCTTGAGGGGAGGGCGAACCGGCAACCATTTACAAAGGCCAAGATTAAGAAGATTTTCACGAGCTGGCATATCTATGCCCTAACTGCACTGTATATCTTCTTCAACAACGGATGCGGTATCATGAGTCAACCCGCCTTCCAGCTGTGGTTGAAAGGAGAGGGATACTCTGTCAAGGAGTACAACACATACACGACGATTACCTCCGCTATCACGGTCATAACGACGTGGATCTACGCCTGGTCCTCAGACTCCGTTTTCAAGGGGGAGAGATGGCCGCCAATAGTCTTCTCTGGAACACTCAACGTTGTGCTCTACTCGAGTTTGGCGGCGTGGAATATTTCCGATTCGTGGAAATGGGGATGTTTCCTGCTGGTTGGATTTGGTGGTGGCATCAGCGGTTTGACCTTCGCGTGGGCCCATGAGATTTGCAAAGACGATAACGAGGAGAGGGCGCTGGTAACGGGCTCGATGAACCAGATGGCGTACGTTTTCCAAGCATGGTTGCCGCTGCTTATCTGGCAGCAGGTCGAGGCACCTCGGTACCCGAAGGGTTATATCACGATGATTTTCTTTGCCGTTGGTATGGCGGGGACTTCGCTGCTGATCAGGTTCTTGCATCGGCGGGAATTGGGGAAGAAGCTGGCAGTACCGGCTGCTTGATTCAAGGTCATGACAGAATGCCAACATTTGGGATAGACTGTGATAGCAATGGCTGCGGTGCGACAACTTCCCGAAAGTCCCAGTCTACTTAGATTGAAATGAGATTCAATCACAGTATTCCGACCCTCCTCTTTACGATGTCCTTACCTTAGATTTGTTCTCCGGCTACCTACTTTCGACCTTCGAAGACTCGTCAAGGCTTTGCTTGCTATTTTACTTTAGATTTAGCAATCTAGACCGAAAGCCCAGTAGGTCTTTTCAGTTCTCAGATTTGACTCTAGTCAGTATCGACTGCGTCCAACTCTTTATACAAATCCCCCTTCACCTCCTCGCTAGCCCAACACATATCAACTCCATTCCTCGCAAGCTTGACCATGTCCTTCTTACTAAACCCGCAATAGGTGTATGCCTTCTGCATGTTCCCATCTACCCAAACATCATGCATGTACACCGGATCGTCACTGTTGATATTAAACTTGACGCCCCTCTCCCATAACGTCCGAATCTTGGGAAACAGCACCTCCGTCGCCGTTCGCCGGTGATACGCGTGAGGGCACAATGTCAAGCCGATTCCCCGGTCCAACAACCCCTGCAGCAACTCCTCCTTGTCCGCCGCATCGAGCCCGTGGTCAATCCGCTCCGCCCCAGCCCTATCACAGACCTCAAAAATGGCCTCGTGGATGTGCTCGAAAGTATCCTTTTGCCCGAAATCGCAGTGCATTGTAACATGCAACCCATCATTTTTGGCCCTCCGAAACCCTTCCTCGAAAAGCATCGGCGGCCTCTTAAAGGCATTACTTGCCAGCCCGACAGCATGGAAGAGACCCTTGCCACCCTCGACGGTGCCAGCAGCCCACGGTCTGGCTGCCTCATACGCAGCCAACCCATCCTCAAGAGTCTCGTCGCGGATAAAGCAGAAGATCCAATTCGACCTGACGCCATACACCTTCGCGCCATCACGCTGAGCTCTCAAATACCCATTCAACACATCCTCCGCAGGCACGCCCCTGCGCGTATGTGCCTGAATATCGAAGAACGGCTCAACGTAGCGGACATTCATCTCGGCGCAGCGCCGGAAGTAGTCCATCGACATTTCGTAAAAGTCATCCTCAGTTTTCAAGACTTCGCAACCTGCAAAATAGGCCTCGAGGAAAGTTGGAATACCCGGGACGCGGCCGTTGATTTCGGGGCGGTGGTTGAAGAAGACCTTGTACGAGTCCAGGAGGGCCTCGTAGGTATCATATTGGAGGGGCACATTGTTGCGTTTGGCGAGTTTCCAGCGGAGGGCGGGGAGGAGGGTTCCCTCGATGTGAATGTGTAACTCGACCTTGGGGAGGGAGGCGATGAAGGGTGAGATTTCGAGGCCGTTCATGATTTGGGTTTGTTGGATTTGTCCGCTGTCAGATTCCAGGTTCCCGTCGCTGGTGTCAAGATGAGAAGACAGTGAGAGTTGAGAGGTCTGCTCGTGTAAATGGAGAGCCAATCAACCATGCGGGATATGGCAGCTCAAGACTAGGATGTCTTTGATATCTTGTTAGCGTCCGCGGGCGTCTTTGCCGATCCGGCTGGGCGTCGCGTGGTAAATAGCCCACCAGCGGCCAGCGTCGGACATGGGCCGACAGCTTGACGACGGAAAACTCCTCATCGGCTAATATAAAAACAGCAAACCATTTCTCAATAAGCTTACTACGTAGTTCTATAACGTTTGTAAATCTGGGCGAACGAGAATCACGAATCATATCAGACGAGAATATAGTCAACGGAGTCTAATGGCCGATGTTCGCAGCAGTGTGGGGTAAAGAAGGATTCGATAAGGAAATTAGTAGCAACAAGAGAGTCAAAGACTAAATTTTTGATCCCACCAGATTCTGCCCGTCGGCCAACCATAACCGCCGGGTCGGTAATCGAGCAGTATTGTCAATGTCGGCAGCTTTGTGCTCGTCCACTAACGTTGTCTTCTTCATCTCTCAAATCCGTCGAACACCCTCTATTCTCCCCACATCGCGACGGCACCACGAGAGCTCATTGAAGGGCGCGACCACTGCGGTGGCACTAGCGGAGTAACGTCGTATCTCGTCGGTTCGGATATTCGCCGACAGCACACGAGGTGGGACGATATCTCCAGGCCAATCCACGCAAGACACTGGAGAACACCGTCTATTCAGCGGAGTCTAGCAGTCGCTAAACCGTTCGCCCACTCCCGTCGCGGCGACGGACGCCTGCGGGTTTGCTTGTCTTATCTTTTGATGTCCTGTTATCGGTCACTGTTTAGACGTTCTGGTCGGTCTATTTACCGGTTCGCGGTGGTTACGACCGCTTGGGACGGAGTAGACAAGGAATCGGAGGAGAGGGGAGAGAAGAGGCGAACGCGTCGGCCTGTCACTGTCGGGGAAGATCGGCGGAAGATAAGGCACGTAACGTATTTTTTCGTTGTATTGCTTCTTTTGGCCGCGGGAAGGTCGCGACCATCCCCGCCCCCCAAGACCTGTTGAATGGCCGCCTCATTCAAAAGGGCGACGACACCCCGGCACCGCTCTCGAGATGCGACCCTGGACTTTTCTGTAGGAGCTTTTAGTTCTCGTGCAGTAGACGACAACATCGATCAGGACGAAGACGATCAACCTGACGAACGGCAGAACTTGCTCGCCAACATGGGGTCATCAACGGACGCTCCGCAGAACCCTCCGGCCGAGGTGCCGGATGGGGAGAGGCAGCACATTGACAGCGACATGGCCAAGAAGATTGTCCGCAAGATTGATCTCAATATCATTCCGCTGCTCTTCATCACCTACATGTTCAACTTTATGGACAAGACGATCCTGTCCAGCGCCTCTGTCTTTGGTCTCAGAACTGACACGGTACGTCATTTTCTCACATGAAATCTGATCTACCTTGCATATGTCCAGTGCAGCGTGCTAACGTCGTGAAAAGCATCTCAAAGGGCAAAACTACAGCTGGGTCTCAAGCATCTTCTACTTTGGCTACTTCGCCTGGACCTACCCAACATCTCTCCTCATCGCCCGCCTCCCTGTCGCAAAGTACATGACCGCAAACACCTTCTTCTGGGGTGCCGTTGTGGCCCTCACAGCCGCCTGCACAAACTACGGCGGCCTCCTCACCGTCCGCTTCCTCCTCGGCGTCGCAGAGGCCACCATCACGCCCGCCTTCATGTTCCTCACCGCCACCTGGTACACCCGCGACGAGATCCCCACACGCACGGGCATCTGGTTCGCAGGCAACAGCGTCGGCGGGCTCGTCGCCTCCTTTGTCGCCTTTGGCTTCGGCCACATCTCCAGCGATGACAAGGTCGGTCCCTGGCGCTGGATGTACATCATCCTCGGCGTCCTCACCTTTGTCTGGGCGTTTGTGCTGCTCATTTGGCTGCCTGACACGATCTCAAAGGCCCGCTTTCTCAAGCCCGAGGAGCGCCGGTACGCTGCCGACCGCGTTGTCATCGCCGGCACGGGATCCACGGAGAAGACACACTGGAAGTGGGATCAGGTTGTCGAATGCATGATTGACCCCAAGACGTGGTTCATTTTTGGCCTCGAAATCATCACCCAGATCCCTAACGGCGGCACCCAGAACTTTGCCAACCTCGTCATCAAGTCCTTTGGCTTCACCAGCTTGCAGTCGACCCTCATTAACATCCCCTACTCGCTCCTCTCGGCCGCCATCATTGCGGGAACGGGCTGGATCGCAGGCCGCTACCGCAAAATGAACTGCATTCTCATCGCCATCGTTGTCTTACCTTGCATCACTGGCGCCGCGATCATCTACTCCCGTGAAAGCGTCAGCAGCGGCGTCCAGCTGTTTGGCTACTTCCTCCTCTCTCCCGGACCTGCCGCCATGCCGCTCGCCATGTCCCTTGTCTCGGCAAACTACCGAGGTGTGACCAAAAAGATGACCATGTCGTCGCTGCTGTTCCTTGCTTACTGCGCTGGTAACATTGCCGGCCCGCAATTCTTCAAGGCCTCCGAGGAGCCACACTACAATACTGCTTTCCGCACCATCATGATCTGCTATGCGCTCGTCGTTGTGCTGGCGCTGGGACTGAGGTTCTACCTACAGTGGATGAACGACAAGCGCACCAGGGAAGAGGGGTACGAGGGCAGCGCTGGCGGTGCTGGTGCTGTTGGCGGCGGTAAGGTCATGCAGGCTGAAGGTACTGCTGGTGATGTTGCGGATATGGTTGATCGGGTTGAGCTGCGTCCTGAGGATTACGAGGACGTGACGGACTGGAAGACTGCCGGCTTCAGGTATCGCTTGTAAGAGGTGAGGTGAATGGCTTGCTTGGCGGAGGCCTATGTTGGTCGAGCCTCGATGGCTGGATAGATCCTTGGGAGCTCTTTAGTCATCCTTCCTCGTAGATGAGGCGCTAGAGTCGATGGCCTGAGTAGACACTTCGATGAACAAGTGTACCCCCGTTGGACTGACCCAGTGCCGTGTGGTGATGTGGAATGAGACGGTGCGACTGTGCTGTGCTTCAATCAAAGTGACCAGCAACATGATGCTCAACAGCAGCAGCATCCCCCTCGAACTCTGCGCAGACCGGGCACGTCACAATCTCAGAAGTCACAGCAGGCGCCGCTTCCTGTACTTGAGCACTGGAGTTCACAGCTGCCCTACCGCGTCCACCATTCTTCTGCTTAGCAGGCCGAATGTAAGCTTCAAGGCCGACCTGCGCCGACGGCAACTCAGCCTCAGCATCTTGCCTTCGACCGCCACCGCGCCGGGGAGGTCTACGTGAGTCTTCGTAGCCCGTCGAGCCTTCAGCGACCTCGGTAAATGTAGATGGCTGGTCTTGCTGTTGCTGTGTACCGTCGGTATGAGACTGAACTCGTCCCACCCGGCCGTCGGCGAGCCGGACTTTGATGCCTCGGGGGTGGTTGCCCCGCGTGAGCACATCCTGGACGGTCCCAGAGACGGTGCGGCCTGTGGGCTGGTCTGCTTTGAGCACGATGTTGACGCCTGCACCGCGCATGACGGTGACTATTGTTGGAACTCGCGCCATTCCAGTGAGGCTTCTGATGAGACGTCTGAGGTCGTGGTGGTCGGAAAGATCGTGATGTGTTTCGTAAGGTGGTGTAAGTGGTGCGTGTTCCTGCTCCTAGGGATCCTACAGAAAATGTGAGTTTGGATGAGCGAATGACGCACCCAATTGGGTGTGGCGTGTGGCACTCTGGCGTGTGGCACTCTTTTCCGGCGCGAATGACGGCGAATCGTCTGGAGGTCCTCTCCCGGCCTCGCAAGAGCACTTCATAGTCACGTAAATTTTGCTAATTTTGCATAAATCGGGCCGGGTGGCGCAATGGCAGCGCGTTGCTTTCCGGTGGCAAAGGTTCTGGGTTCGAGTCCCAGCTCGGTCGATTTCTTTTGATTTTTGGGTCCATATCACCAAAACAATGAATTCCATCTTCTCAAAGGTTGACAGATTGAAGACAGGTGCTCTCTGGGGAATGGTGTGAACGATGAACTCTAAGGTAAATTAAGGTAAGCCGTTTGCAAGCCGACCGGGCCACTTGGAGGATTATGTTGGGTACCCACCCCGAGTCGGTTGTGGGGTCGAACTCTTGCCATATTCCAGCCAAGGACGGGCACTGCACACAGCTTCAGTTGGGTGCCCGTATTGGGTAGGCACCTTAGTAAAGTACCTACCTGACTTGTCTTTGGAGAATCATTTTGAGGTAAGGTATTTCCAGAAACCAACCTTGCTAGGTAGGTAGATGAAATTCACATCAAGATCACTTCTTTCGGGTCAGTGAGCTTTTGCAGGATCATTGTGTTTGGAAGGAACAAGAAGTTGGAACTCACTGAATGAGAAAGTATTAGATGTTCTACTGTGGCTACTAGCACTCTTCTTCCTCCCTTTTTTATCTTCTTTACTTGATGTGACTAGGCCATTCGCACCCATTACAATGCATGTTAACCACCGCCATCATATCCTACTTCGATAGTGGCTTCCTCCCTTCATCACTCTTTCCCATTGAGGAGGTGATTCGAGAGACCCTCCAGTTTTCTTCTCTGAATTTGCCCGTAGACGAATTCTACCTCAACTAGGCTTATTCGGCTTTTCTGACCTCTTCGCACAAGTCTCATTTCTCACATCCTACACTTCACTTCCTATTTCGCCGAAAGCTTACTTACCTTCGCATCATCATACAAGAATTTAGCCAAGGTAGGCAATAATCTTCCATCCAAGCATGCTGATTAACTATTAAGCAAACTTGTCGCTAACATACTCTCAAGCATTAATTTACAGGGTCGTCAATCCCCGAAATGGCGCGTTCCGAAGAGGAAAGCGTCGGCCAAGTCTGCCACACCCCGTGGCTTGAAACCTTTCATGACGGTCTGAGATACGGTGAATCGCCACCAAAGAGCATGCCACTATTGCTCTCCGAGTTCACCGACAATGTGGACGAATTTCAAGACATCGATAGCTTCGGCAAGAATTGGCTAGCTCTCGAAGACAGCTGGAAGTTGCCAGTCGACAACGAAAAGGACTGGGAAAGCCACCCGGAGTACCCCATGGGTCTCTGGGTTGGTTGGTTCATCCCCACAATCATCGATTCGATCTCCAAATATAATCACAGATACTCCAGGTATGGAGGACCACTATGTGTGAATACTTTCACCACATCCCCCATCGACAATGCCATTATTAAAAAGGCTTTCAAGGTCGTCTACAGATTGGGCAGTGACTTCAATCTAGAGCTGTACGCGCTCCACTCCCCCAAAGCGGATGGCCTCTGTAAGGCCAAGCTTGTTCCTGGCGGCGCAGCAAATGTCTTTTTCTTCACAGAGTGGAGAGATGACACCGTCTGCGGCCGCTACAACCGAATAGCAACCTGGATGAACAAGGCTGAGGCAGGTGTGCGGAAGGCCAGCTTGGCGAGAAGAATGGCGCTGGAACCGTCGTCATGGTGTTCGCGCAATTCGACTGGATCTGACAAGCATGATGACATTGGAAGCAGAAATGAAGAACCAGTAACCATTGTTGGGCCCCTGCCGCCGTCAACGTTGCATGAAGCACCAGAAAATTCCAGAGGCGATCTCGTCCTCCAGGATTCTTACTCGTCAAACGACAGCTGGTCGGCAGATTATTCTTACTCGTCAAGCAGCAGCTGGTTACCAGATGAATCTGACGTGGGCAATGATTCTTCTGACAGCGAACCTCCGACCGCGATAAGATATTATAGAAAGAAGAGCAACTCGACTAGAAATTACTCTACACCCAACACCAGGTCATCTCGCAGACACTCATATGAGTCTGAACAGGGATATTCCCACTCACATTCAAAGACTTCACCTACTCTACCAAGAAGGCTGACCAGGAGTCAGAGATTTCACCAAGAATCCCGAGGAAGTCCTCAAAGCAGACAGGCCAGCCGGCGCAGCCCTCAAGCGCTTTCTTGGCGTGGTTTGGATCACGACGCTCTAAGCTCTTCAATTCGCCAGCCCAATCTGGGTAATCTTCAGGGAGATTCTTCAATTACCCACAACTCAAGCCCGCAAACGAGGAAGAAGACACAAACGAGCCCAACTGGGAGATCTCAGACTGAGCCACCCCGAAAGCAACATAGACCTAGACAGGCCTGTCAAACACTCCTGGACCAGTCAGACAGCCTGCAGTCGGAAATTACGTTCTTAGTCAAGGGTGAAGTTGTTGAGAAGAGCGACGATGAAGTTCAATTCGTCAAGGAGGTTCCAGCCAAGAGGGACCGGAAGGAGTTCGGTGACAACGAAGTAATGAGTTGGACTAATGCCCCGAGCCACAGCAAGAGCGTTCGCTTTGTGTCGGAATTTATCACAGCGGGAAAGTTGACGCTGTGTGCTCGCCTCCCGGATGCCTTCTCGCGTGGTATCATGCTCGAGACATTTCGGAAGCATTTGACATCTACGGAAATGTCTGAGTTCGACGCCTTGGCCCAAAACCTTGTGGATTCCGCAGGTGAAGACATTCGCATAATGCTCGCGGAAACCCTTGAAGAGAAGTTGAAGAATAATTTGCCCGTCAATAGCGATGAATAGGATGTAGGTGGTTCATCCTCCCTCGAGTCATGTGGGATGTATGACTAACAAGTTCCTCCTAGAGCCCTCATAGATGACGTCCAGAGAGAGCAATCAGGAGAGACATATTTCTCGGGGTGAGGATTGGTGCGTGTACAGGGGACCATCACGCCACACTCAGCTTTTGTTTGTCACATCTTCCAGCAATGGCACGGCATCACCAAATCAGATTGGGATCGATACTGACGCGTGGGTTTCGATTTGAGCAAAGTACGAGAGGCTGTAGATGGGCCGTGGATAATGAGTTGGGGGGGGACGAGAAAAATCATATCCATTTGCTAAATTGCTTTAGTCTGTCATGCAGTTTTGACTTGTTGCCGCGTAAACGCAGGAAAATGACACTGATTGCGTCTTCCAGAAATATCAAGATTTTCCCAAGGAAACAAGGCTGAAGGGCCCTGGGATTTAAGCCAAGAGAATGAAGCCAAGTTCACCCACAAGATCTGTTTTTCTTCCGACTATTCCACTCTGAAGGAAGGAGCTGTAGAATTCTTTCCCTTTCACGGGTGTTTCCGAGGCATCTACAGAGCTTCTTTCTCTTTCCCTTCGCATTACCTCATTCAACTTACGTATTCTTTCATCCTCCGCAGGACACAATCTTCCATACATCGTCGCTTAAAAAGGAATCGGATCCCATTCTCTCATCGAGGAAAGCTACTAGCAAAATCCAGAATGGTAACCAACAGCGGAAAGGACCCCGAGACGACCAAGAAATACGCCTGGATCTCACCAACACACCCTCTCCCGGATTTCCAGCGAGAATGGCTAGACTTGGCCGCCAAGCTCTTCAACACCGACACCTTGGACATCCTTGTGACCTCCGAAGAGAAGAAGGAAATTCTAGCGCTTATCGCCCTCTCAATCACAGCTTCCTCCTTCGGCAACCAGTGCAGAGCGCAGGCCCTTCACAGAACCGTCTACCATGCGCGGGAGATGGGTCAGGGCAAGCGGCCTTCCGCCAGAGTTGCCATTATTTCAGCCCTTCTCATCTACAAGCTGGAGCCTCCGCCGTCTTGGCTGGAATGGGATACTATGCGTCAACCACTAAGTGTTCTGCGATATGTTCGAGACTGTGCTGATGGCTTCAAAGTTTACTCGTCGGAGGGTATGTTGAAGGCAGCTTTAGCGCTTCAATCGGCAGTACCAGCACAAGACAGTTCAGACAGCTTCTTCGTTATCAACAACAAGCCTGCATCGAAGGAGACCAGCACCAAATCTTCCGAAGTCTCTCAGCTCACTTCGGATCATCCCTCTCTGCCGGCTTTGAGACCTTGGACGCGCTCCATAACCAAGTTCATAACTCCATCCCCGCCAAGCAAGAAACGTAAGGCGGAATCCAACTCCTCGCAAGAGAAGAAGGCTGCTCAGCAAAAGGAGATGGCCAACACGAAGAAAATCAAGTTGGTTGTTCCGAAGAAGAAAGTCATCACTCCAAAGAAGAAGGCAGCCACTCCAAAGAGGAAGAGAAACAGCGGATCTGGAAACAAATCTACTCACAAGTCAAGAGCCCCGAGGTCGGCGCGAAGACCTCGATACGAGCTGCAATTTCTACCTCCAAGTTTCCTCCCACTTGGCAGACCCAAGACGCTGAAGCTGCGAAGCGACAACAGCCGATCGACAATGTACTGCTGGTAAGGTACATGAAGAACGCCCCCATGCTTGACAGAATTGCAGATTACAACGACCAATCCGTCCGTCGTGTTGCCCTCGCCAGCTTCATTGAAGACTTGAAGAGCTCAGGCTGGGATGACTTGGAGAAGTGTACCTTGCAGCTCATCAAAGATGGGGAATTTGAGTCTCGAACCTTTCTGGCGGAGACGATCATGAATGACGTTTATCAGCGCATCAATGATTCTGTTGAAGACGTCCCGCAGCTCGCGCGTCCGATACAGCCCAAAGAGCCAACAGAGCCCACACAGCAACTCATGGAACGGCCCATGGAAGCCAAGCAGCTAGCACACTCCAGTCTAGAGGCAGATCCTACTGATACGCCGACAAAGAAGAGGAGTCGGCCCAGGTCTCAGATGGCCAAGCAATCCGCCCAGACCAAGCAGCCCAAGAACACGCTGAGCCTGCATATCTCGCCGACAAAGCAAAGAAGTCAGCCTTTTAGATTCTCTCCCAGCAGTCGCATGTCTGATGACGTGTTCAACGAAAATTCTCCTATACTCGATGCGCCGCCTCCGGCCTCTGTTCTGCAGCATCCAAATTTGGCTTCCCCGCCTCGCTTCAACATTCGCGAAATATTGTCCAAGCGACTTAAGTCGAAGGATGCTTAAGCTTGGGCGACGTGATTGGGTCTTTGAGAAGTGGCAACATTCTCCCGTGCTTGCTTATACTTCAAGTCTTGGCGATCGAGGAGGATTTCGTATGTCAGTATTGGATGGCTGAACATGGCTGAAAGAGGCTCCTGGAATGGTAGGGAGGGATGACATGGGCATAAGAGGATGTTGGCATGTGGGAACGTATGATAGCTATAGAATGATTGCTTGGAGAAGGAAGGGACTGCTGGCTATGACTTGAAGATTGTTGTCGCACGATGTCGCTATGTCACTTAGCTAAGTGGGAAATCAAAAATGAATGATTCAAGAAGTAAGCGGACCTTCAACGGCGAGTAGGCAACTCTTCTCGCGAAGGTTGGGAGTGAACAGTCTCAAGAAAAAAAACGAGATTAGCTCTCCTCACCGTTGGTGATAGATCATATGAAAAATACGTACACATAGCCTCCACAATCTGCAGTGTTCCTGCGTACGTCAGGAAGCCTTGAGATGATTAATCTCTTCCCTCGATTGAAGTGTTGTTGTTTATGTTGCCAATGAGCTGAGATTGAGTGAGACGTTGCTTGCTGATGTAATCCGCCTCGGCAATTATTATTCACTTGGGCCTCATTGGCCATCCTAAATATTACATGGGCCTCGACTGCCTGGAAGTCACTGGACTTCGCGACACCCGTCGCCACTTTCCTGACGCGCTCTCCCATTTAGCGGCGATCCCTCCCACCGAGTCGTGACGCCGTTAACGAGGGTGCTCTCTCCCCTCGCAAACCCGACATGAATCCCGCCTCATTGTGCAATGTCTTCCTCCTTTTCGCCTGATTCAGACGACGAGTATGGCTACGATCTTTCTTTGGAGGACGAGACTTTGCTGAGCCAGCTCATTACCGCCAACTCCGCCCCCACCTCCACCTCATCCCGGAGACCCGCTGCTTGCTCGATCGCATCAGATTTTGGCATTGATACCGTTACCGAGGAGGAATTCCGCCTTGATGATGCTCCCGCTGAGGTTCTTTCCTACCGCACAACTGGCACAGCCAAGGGCTCTTTACGATCTAGCCGGAGTCGCTCAAAGGCAACCGTTACCGACAATACGAAGCAGGCAGATCTTCCCCCGCCGTCACCTGGCCACTCCGTCGCCTACCCGGATTGTGAGTGCGATATCGACAGGAGAACTTCTGCTGGAAACTGACTGACGTGGAAGCGCTTAGTGAGCAGAGCCCTCTCGAATAGCAATGCTGCCCCCTCGTCACCAAAACCATCCGAGAAGGCCACGCCTGAGCCAGATAATGATACTCGATCGCCGCTTGTACGGTTCCGCTCATTTCCTCGCAAGCCATTCACCGTCACCGACTTGACCTCCGGCGCATGGTGCGAGCTGCAATACTTCTACACCCTCACACGCCTGCCCTACGGCCGGAAGACTCGGACGGCGGCGATGAAGCAGGGGACAAAGGTACACCAAGACCTCGAAGACGAAGTACACACAACTGTCCGCGTCGAGATCGCGAGCAAAGAAGATGGGTTCGGTCTTCGGATGTGGAACCTGATACAAGGACTTCGAACACTTCGCGAGACCGGTATGACCCGTGAGCTCGAGGTCTGGGGATTCGCCGACGGGAACCTGGTCAATGGCGTCATTGACGGTCTGAATTACGAGAACCCGGACCGAGAGTTCATGGAGCAGCTTAGCCAGGAGTCTGAACAGAACCAGTCGAGCATCACCGACTACTTCCCTTCGAAAAAGCAGGCGAACATACCCCAGATCTACTTGACGGATGTGAAGACGCGAGGGTCCATGAAGGCACCGAACAGCCCTGCATTGCTGCGGCCCGCAAAGGTGCAGCTCTTCCTGTACCAGCGTTTCCTGTCAGAAATGGCAGCGGATAAGCTGGACTACCTTCGTATTTTCCGGCGCTACGGTCTGGACCCAGACGTACCGTTCTCTGACTCGTTCATTGCCCAGATTGGCAGCCTGCATGACGAACTATTCTTCGACGTGGATTCCTCGCTTGGTGGGGACTACATCTCGCCGTCTCCCACTACGGCAAAGTTCGATGCTGAAGCAAATGAAGAGAGTCGAGGTACTTCGGCACCGGATTTCATCAAATACAGGACACTCCGAGAACTGCTGCCCCTTCTCATATCTGAGTTGCGCCAAACCTTCCCCCATGGAGCCGACTCCGTGGGTCGGCTCCTTGCTGTGGAATACAGATACCGTGGAGATGGCTCGCTCATTGACAGCCAGGTCTTCCCCATGGACGACCGGGCGCTGAACCTCTACTTGGGCAGCACGATGGAGTGGTGGCGGGCGGATCGGCAGCCGCGGGGTGTGCAGATTGAGGAGGCCTACAAGTGCCGCATGTGCGAGTTCGCTGAAGACTGTACGTGGCGGTCTGCCATGGATGAGGAGAGGTTGCAGAACACGCGACGGCGTTTGGCGAGTAGCAGGAACTATGTTACAGGTGGCTGATATTGCGATATTGCCTTTTTGGCTCTTGAGATGGCAATTTTTCCCTTGCGAGGCGCATTGTTTGGCTGAGAGCGACATTACATCGGGCTTGGGTATCAAAATAGCGCATAAATATGAGTTTATGATGTACAAAAGATGGCTAATCCATTGTCAAATAGGTGTGTGACCCAGGGTGGAAGTCTCAGAGACACAACTGATGTAAGGGTCAAACGGATGATACACTGAAATCTGCCCCCTCGCTAGACGTGTGCCGCCTGTGTGATGTATATACGAGCTGCTTCTTTGTCCCTTGTGCCCTTTTCCTAGCCCTTACTGACCCGTTTGCAGAGGATTCTGACATTCATGCCTTCTTTGGGCTGTATTCGAAGTGAAGAGCCTCGAACACGGGTCTGCGTCCAACTAATTATGAATGGTCCTACTGGCTTGTCTAAAAAAACACATACTCACAGTTGGGCCTATTCCGCCGCTTCTATGAATCCATAGGCCAATGTCTCCGTGAAGCTTCTGCAGTGAATGCCGTCAACATCTCTTCAATCTTCAGTGCCTGAGGCCCAACCCTCGTGCCTGACCTACTTCTTTGAGCAGTGAAAGGGAAAGAACGGGAGTGACTTCCTTCTCTATCAGCTCCGCGAGACGTGATCTACGCCTATAAATTCCCCCTGCACAACCACTTTCGACCCAACAAGCGTCTAAATTCGACGAGCAGTCTCCTAGTTTCCCCTTTGCCATTTCGACCCTTCCCTCTTCCATCAACATCCCCCAAGATTGACGCTCACAACATCATCACGATGGTCGCCAAAGACAACAAGGATGCCAAGATCATCGAGCTCTTGGAGTCCATAAAACATAAACCGTCTGGCGAGAACTACGAGCGCATGGTCTCGGGCATGATGTATAACCCCCTCGACCCGATCCTCGACCGAGGCCGCCACCGAGCCCGCTGCCTCACGCGCGACTTCAATGAGATTGACTACCGCCAGAACACCTCTCAGGAGGTGGCCAAGAAGAAGAAGGAGATTCTGCACCAGCTTCTGGGCAAATTCGGCGAGCGGTCGTTCGTCGAGGGTCCTTTGTTGGTCGACTACGGCTGCAACATCATCTTTGGCTCCAGGGTCTTTGCCAACTTCAAGTATGTCCTCCTGGTGCTTGAAACATCTCATCGAGTGAATACCTCCGGGGAAGAAAGATAGAGTTCTAATGAATGTGTGCAGTCTGACCATTCTCGACATCAGTCTTGTCACCATTGGCGACCATGTTCTCATCGGACCTAACGTGAGCATCTACACTGCAGTCCACGAGACTAGCATGCTTTCCCGATCGAACGGCGAGCAGTATGGTCTGCCGGTGACCATTGAAAACGATTGTTGGATTGGTGGCGGTTCAATCATCTTGGCTGGTGTCACCATTGGATCGGGCACGACTGTTGGTGCTGGCTCTGTCGTGACAAAGAGCTTGCCGCCTCATTCGGTGGCGGTGGGCAACCCTGCCAGGGTCATCAAGAATGTGCAAACACTCGAGGAGGAGAAGGCGAGTCTGAACCAAAACATCAAAGATTAAATCGATCAGGAGGTTTGACGGAGGCATGAAGAGGCGTCAAATACCCGGATGGTGGCACACAAGGGCTTTGCTGCCAGTGCAACACTAAGCGATTGCTGTGTATTGGTGTGGTAGCACAGGATTCTCGCGAGCACATGAATGAAAGAAAGCAGACTTGGATGACAAAAATGCAACATCGTGATAACTTCGCACATGAATGAACATGCTTGACTACTTTTTCTTTTCAGAGTGAACAGCGTTTCTTAGATCCTATGGGGTTACCAAATCATGTTGTTGCTAGCTAGAAGCTACTATTCAAGAATGCAGTATCTTAGTATCTGTCTGCGAGTATAAGAAGATGTTCTTGGTTCTTTTTGGGATGCCGGCTTTCTTAATCATCACCACGTCTTCGGCCTCATAAAAGTAGAATAAACATAAACACTTGGAACCCTTCCTACAATCCCGAACTTCCTCTCCCTGAGTCATCTTACCAAGCCGCCCAGAAAACCTCAGAACCGCGCCAAAATGAGCCAACCTTCGCAAAAACAAGAATCTGCTGGAAAAGACATCGAGCAAGGCGGAGAGCAGCCCCGGACTGACAGCCAAAGAATCGAAGATCGCTACGTGTACTTCAATCAACACAGGTACCAGGGTGTTCTACGGGAAGTCTGTCAACAACGTTGCCTTATAAGATTCGAAATGCTTGAGGCGGATCTTAAGCAGAACGAATTGACGGTAGAAAAGCTGGAGGGATCTTTGACTCACTTCAAGGACCTCTTTGAGCTTACGGATTCTCTTTGTACGGCCAGCAATAAGCTATTCCAGGTTTGCTGTGAATCTGTGATGAAGGCGGTGAGTGAAAAAGCCAAAGTTGTGCCAATCGCTCCTATCGAAGCTGCCCTCAACGCCTACATACCTATCAATGATGATACGTTCAGACGTTCACTGGAGCTTGGTTTCGAGACTCCGGAGTCTCCACGCAAAGGCGATGCTCATCTATGGAATGAATGGGAAAAGCTCGAAAGACAGACTCAGCAAATTCTTGATGGATATCAAAAGCATAAAGACAATGTTTTACTGGAGGAAAACTAGGTCATGGAAGCAGAAACACGTTATGGAGTAGCAGTTTGGATGAGCCCTCTGGTGCACGGTATCGATGTGTGTCAAACATTGACCCCATTCGTGGTTGAAGACCTTGATTTTGGTTCGAAACATGACTGCCTTACTTGTCTCCATGTACTTGCTCTTACGCTGTTCAAGTCCCTTGGAATTCTCCTTTACCCCTTTCCATGTTCTTCACTTTACTTGTCTTACCTTTCTTCCCGTACTCTAGTCACTCCATTAAAGGCTTTATGAGCTTCTCCTCGTTACTCACTCCGTCAAACTCCTTCCATTCACTTAGCAAGACCGAATTCCCAAAAAAAAACATATTTATAAATTGCTGTCGCTACTGTAATGCAATAAGTCCTGAGACTACTTGTTCTTTTTGGAGATGAAGTTTGGTATACACGCCATAGGTGACACAGCTCATCTACGAGCCTTCTGAATTCCTCCTAAGGATATGAAGAAGTCTCAACACACCAGAAACTTCTCACTCCAGCCAGTATTGTGTCAATCATGTGACCACAAGAGTCATTTGGAAACACTCAACACGAAGAGATCGCGCTAAGCCACCATTCAATCCCATCAACGCTACAGAGGGCAGGTCTCTTTAAACATGGTGTCTGAGGTGCTGACATTCACTGTTCAAATCAAGCTATTAGTCCCAAATTGGGTGCAAAAGATCTATCTAAATCGATGCAGATATATCCTTTCCGGCTACAACGGACGAACTCTACAGGTGTAGTCAGCAGTTTGTTATCGGATGGTTGATGTCCCGGGTTTCCGCCAAGTTCAGTCACCAACAACACACTTCCCAGCCGATTCGTGATGTCGACTTGAAGAATATACGTAATTTAGTATTAAAAGCCCCAATCCATGAGGTCTGGAGAGGGAAAACGTAACGCGATACATCTACTCAGTCTCACCGTAGCTTCCGGCCAGCCCCGATATCCTTTCCGTACATGTAAGCACCCCCTATTCAGAACTACAGTTCAGGAGATGCCGATCGATGATTTGTGATGGGTATCGTGAATCATGTGTAAGTGGAGGGAGTCATCACTCAGCAGGAGTCTAAGCAGTCGCTTACTATGAATTAGCCTTATATTGACAACCTTCATGTCGCGAGTGGTCTGCCCATCTAAACAAACCGCCTCGTTCGGTCGCCTGCAAGGAGCGATTATGATCGGAACTGTCGTTGCAAATTTCGGTGAGTCAATACATAACAGACCCCTCTAGTAAAACAGCACCGACTAAGATTGTGAAAGTTTCCCGTTACATAGACTCCAGGCGGGCGGCCGAGAATCGAACAGACCATGATGTCTAGAACACAGATGCTCTTCCACATTTGTAGCCTATGTTATACTCTTTTAGCCTCAGGTTTTTCTCGATTTTGACACCACTTATCTTGCCTCTTCAAAGAGTGTTCAGATTCCGCCGCGCTGTACGATGAAGGATGGCCCATTCCTAGAGCATACGCCGACCCAGCAGCAACCTCTAAGTGCATACATGCGGCGTTCCGCCTATGAGTAAACAACATATAAAATGCCAGCAATACTGCTGAAGTAGTTAACTCATATGAAGGTGACAAAAACAACGTTCCTTGTGCAACACTTTGGGCAGCTCGGAAATAATCTTGCGAATATTGCAGATCTAACTCGCTGTCGCAACTTGTCTCGACCATAATGATACCGGACGTGGTATCGGTGTGTAGACTGCTGTTCCGGATGGGCTACTTAGTTACTTATGCACAAGACCTAGGTATTATACTCGCAGTGGCTTTTGCTTACTTGGCAATGCCGAAACCGTCGAGGTCACAGTACTGGATACGCGATGAATCGTCAGAGTCACCTTGCGATCAGCTGCAGAATGCTGGCAGCCCCGAGAAAACTTTACGATTGGGACTCGCCGGCTTGAGGGTAGCTTGCAGTCTGGTGGTGATCTATTTATCCTACTGAATGCCATGCGTCCGGCGACCGTCTCTTTGAGGGCGGATCTACCGAGCTACCAAGGCGCTGGCGAAATTGCGTACCTGGGTGCGCTTATTCAGTGAAATCTTGGTTCCCGGTTCTAAACTACTGACATGCATCTTCAGCGGATAAGTTTCCGCATGCAGAGATTCGAGAACCAACTTTCGACGCAACTGGAGGATGTATTTTGACCTTGAACAGGTTATTGGTGTTGACTTGAGCCCGATTCAACCTGAGTGGTGCGACTAACGTTCTTAAGATCAATTACGATAGCAATTTGCTGATCATCAGCGTAGGGCGCCTCTGAACTGCGTTTTCGAGGTTGACGATCTGGAAAAGCCACGGGCCTGTACTGAGCCCTTTGACTTCATCTACTTTAGAAGCATGGATGGCGCATTCGCAAATAAACAGAGGATGATTAAGAAAATTTACAAGTGTGACAACAATCGCCACCCAAAAACCCGCGTTTACACTTTTGCTCAATTAGGGACCTTTCTTATGTACTAGTGGCTTGACTCCAGTAGGTCATCTTGAAGTCGCGGGACTCGAGTTGCCACCTGGTTGCGACGACGATTCGGTACAAGGGGATGCACGCTTACTGGAAGATGTGAGTTTCCGCCTCGACTTTTCGCCATCGGTTGTTCATGCTAATAATCTCAGTCACGTTGTTTATGCGCAAAAGCCCGAGGATGCTCCCGATTCTGAACACTCTTTGGGAGATTGATTTGTTGATCAAAGATATGTGTAGTGTAATACGTGGTGTATTGCTTGAACCAGATAAGAGATATGTAGGTGGGCGATAGCACCTATTATACGTTCAGTGCTCAGAGAGCCCCTGTCAACCACTGTTGGGTCGTCTATGGGGGCGGGAGCAATTTGAGGCCAAACAGGAGATCATTCAAATTTAGTACATAACACCCAACACCTTCGTCAATGTTATGATCAGAACTTGGCTATATATGGCTCGTCATTCCACCCTGCTGGCGAGAGGCATCCGCCCGTTTGACCCGGAATGTGGATGAAAAGACCTGGACTCCTCTCCATGCTTGCATGATTCCACCACCCACAGCTCTGTGACCCATGCTATCGAAGACGTGTCGTCAAAACTAACTAGATACTACGTCCCACCGGTACCCGGCATCCGGACGAGAGAAGACAGCCGCACCCGTCCCCGGACGGCGGCATCAAAGGTAGATCGGCGCGGTGCGCGGCAGGGCCGATACCCACATTCCGGCAGTGACCGGACGTGTGGAGGCACTATCCGTAGGGTAAACTTAAAGCGGGCTTGGCAACCTTTACCTTAAGCTAAGCCTCGGGTTCGGGTTAGTCGGTGTTACGACAGGGATAAGGAGGTCGTCTCCCGTCCCCGCAGAGCTCTCTATCTGATCCCAATCCTTTCCCGAGCTTCCCCTTTTGCACACGCACACTTACGCGTCTCACTGGCTGAAGGGGGCTCGCATCAGCCCCATAAGAGAGAGATCTTTTTTGCCTCTGTTCTCCATCTTGACTGGGGCCACACAGGATTTTCTTAACTGTTTCCACCATACCATCCAGACAGCCAGCCAGCCAAGCCCAGGCCAAGCCAAGCCCGCTCCAAACGACCTTTCGTCTCTCATCCATTTGCCTTTACCTTTTACTCCATATCCCCGTCTCTATCCGTACCTTATTCTTTCACCTCGCTCTGGCCCCGTTCTGACTGATTTCTTGTTCATCTGAGCTCAACTAGTGCCAAGGTATCCGCGTATAGCCAACCAAACACACACACGCACACACGCACTCTCACAGGCTCACACAAACATACCCTCGTCTGCTGTCATCGTTTGATTGTCGGTGAGACAGCGACGCCATTAAACATACCTTCGGACTTTGCCCCACTTTGTTAGAGGAAAAGAAACAACGGGAACGGCAGATAACTACGGATAATCGAACGCTGGAGCTCATCGCCATCTCGCATACTACTACCACGACATGCCGCCCCGGAAGGGTAGTCCCAAGGTGAAGACGGGATGCCGGACATGCAAGTGGGTTTGCCTTTCCCTCCGCCTTTCCCTCAGTGGCTGCTAGATTCGGATCCTTCAAAACCATTATCTTATCCCTCAAATGGCAAAAAAGCTTGCTTAGGCCTTGGCTGACTCTAGGATGATAACCAACTAGGGCTCGAAAGGTCAAGTGCGACGAGACCAAGCCTAAATGCATGCGATGCACATCGAGTGGCCGGCAGTGCGCCGGCTACGAGCCGACGCTCGAACACGGCCTATCATGGTATCGGCCTCAGCAGCTAACTGCTCACGACCAACGTGAAGGCAGAGCCTTCCAGTTCTTTTCTCACATGGTCGGGCCCGTCCTCTCGGGTCCGATGGACACGTACTTTTGGACGCACCTGGTTGTACAGTTTAGCCACTTTGAGCCCGCTGTACGTCATGCCGTCTTGGCCATCAGCTCCCTGTACGAAGAATTCCACGACGGCGCCCGCGTTACGAGACAGAAGCCCGGAAACGACTTTGCGCTGAGTCACTACAGCGCGGCTATCCAGAGAATCAAATCCGCGCAAGACGAGCAGCTCGTGTTGCTGGTGTGTATCCTCTTCATCTGCATCGAGTATCTCCAGGGCGACGTCGAGGCCGCGCTCCGGCACTGCAAACACGGCATCATGATCCTTAACCGGGTAGGCTGCTCCTCATGGGCACACGACTATCTTATGCCAATATTCCGGCGATTGAGCTTTGCCTCCTTCTTCTTGGGGATCAAACCATCCGCTGACGCTGCGGTGCCGGGTCTACTGGGATTCGAAGTTCCGATACCGGACAAGATCGAGAGTCTGGGGGAAGCACAGAGCGCGATTGACGACTTGATGATCCACGCCATCCGGTTTGTGTCTGGCGAACCAACGGCTTTCGAGCGGCAGGATCTCGAGACACGATTGGGCCAGTTCCACGAGAAGCTTACCGAATTTGACGACTCTTTACCAGAGTCAGAATCGGCGGCAAAGGTTGCGATATGCAGCATGTTGATGAGATTTGAAATGGCCAAGATACAGATAGATACGATTGGTGGCAAGACGGAAACGAGATTCGACAAACACATTGAGGGTTTTCGCAGAACCATAGAGCTGGCGAGGCGAGCGTCACATTTGAGGAAGACGTATCCCGACGATCGGCCGCACGCCAGCTTCACGTTCGAGAGCGGTTTCCTGTCACCAATGTCCTTCGTTTCCAACAAGTGCCGAGACCTGAAGCTGAGGCTGGAAGCATTGGATTACATGGTTGAGCTCTCCGCGCCGAAAGAAGGGTTCACGGATGTTGGCACATTATATAGGATCGGGCGCCGAAGTATCGAGGTCGAGCACGGGATATCATTGAACGACGGCACCATTGAAAAGGACCCGGTTGCGCTCGCCAAGTTCTCTTTCCCGCCCGAGGAGAACAGAATGTTTGCCGCACCAATAGATCACGAGTTGTACGTGATCAAGAATGAGGATGGAACAACCACGTACCGGAGAAATGTATCATTTATGATGAGGAACGCCGAGGGAACGGTCAATTCCAGGCAGGAGTATATCACGGACCAGATATCGGGACAGGTATCGCAAAATGTACCATGTATGAGGTGTGCAAAGTCAATGTAGCACTACTACGATAACGAATTAGATTCCCATTTGCTCTTCTTGGCAAATCTGTAACTACTGGCCCAAAGGAACAAACATGAACAAGGAACTTTCAGACTTGCATGCGTCTCCCGCGTTGGATCTAGGTAACATCCGCCTTCGGCATCCTGCATATCCCCTGGGGAGCTCCATAACCAGATCTGAGTCTATTTGACAGTGTCCCCATATGCTAAGATCGGTCAACGATCCACCAGAGGCATGCTTGTGAGGTTAATTCTAGGTTTGGGTAGTTCTCGCCTAAGGTATTCTCCAGATTCGGTGCTTGCGATTTTGAGCATGATTAGAGTACGAATCAACTTACGCGTGAAACACGCCGAGATTTCGGCCGAGCCAAAACTGCCTCGCTCGGAGATCAGACTCGTGTGAGCTTCGCCCTCCTGATGATGAATCAAGAGGCTAGAAGGATACTACCTCCCCTTTAGAAACATCCTCCTTCATGACACCTTCTGCAATGTCATCATCCGCCTTGGTCTAGCTGCCGGGAGGCTGGTGCCGCAGCTCTAGTCTAAAAGTGGCGATGGGGGTGATCCGAACGCCGCTAAAGCGGCACTTGCACCGTGCCACACGTTCACAACACCCTCCTTCAAGCCTCCGGTCTTGCTCCACTGTGGGGCAAGACCGAGAGGAATAAAAGCCGGGCGATCGCCGGCTCGCTTTTGCTCCACGGCACTCCGGCCTTCGCCTCCCTACCACAGCGGCCTTTTCATCTTTTTCTGCACAAGTTCAGCGTCGTACTGCCGTTTTGACCGACGCTCAAACCGACGAAATTCCAGGAGCGAAGTACTATGGACAGCTCCGGGCAGGTGGAAGGGAAGCTCGGCTTTTCCGTACGGCAGAGGGGACGAAAAGGGGCCCATCTAACAAACAATGGTCATATATCATGAAGGGCAGTTCCCCGTAGGTAGAAGACCCAACACGCAGTTGAAGTCACGGGCACGCTCAATCCATTTCTTGTCGTGGGTAAAGAAAGAGAATACGTTCCTTTATTAGAACGCTCGTCAACATGCCTTCGCCTATCTGGGCCCTCGCGGCCGCAGTTGCCCCGGCCTTCGTCAACGCCGCAACTCTCGCCGACGTGTGTACGACTGCCCACGCGCAAGAAGCTCTCCCCGCGAGCGGCTTCATTCCCGGAATCACCATCGACGCGTCCTCTGTCGTGACCTCGGTCGTCAGCAACGCTTCCGTCTCCTCCGAGTGGTATCCCTCGGCCGCCATCGAGTACTGCAACGTCACCTTTGCCTACTCTCACGACGGTCTCGCCGGCGATAAAGTCCACGTAACGTACTGGGTGCCCTCTCCCGACGCCTTCCAGAACCGCTACGTCTCGACTGGCGGCGGTGGCCTGGCCATCAACTCTGGAAGCCAGTACATTCCTACCGGAATCATTGTTGGTGCCGTCTCTGGTATCACTGATGGCGGCTTTGGAGACTTCAACACGCAATGGGATGCTGTCTTCCTCGCGGCCAACGGTACTGTGAATTGGCAGTCCGTTTACATGTTTGGATACCAGGCGCACAACGAGCTGGCGACGCTGGGCAAGGAGTTCACCAAGAAGTTCTACAGTGTTGCCGCGGACCAGAAGATCTATTCCTACTACCAAGGCTGCTCTGAGGGTGGCCGCGAGGGATGGAGTCAGGCTCAGCGTTTTGCGGACCAATTTGACGGTCTTGCTATTGGCGCTCCTGCTTTCAGATGTAAGTCACACTACCAAGGGCCTCAGTTGATGTACGTTGCTAACCAATGTCAAAGACGGACAGCAGCAGGTAAACCACTTGACGGCCAACGTCATGGAACAAACCCGAAACTACTTCCCTCCCACATGCGAACTCGAAAAGATCCTCAACATGACCATCGCCGCTTGCGATCCTCTCGATGGAAAAGCTGACGGGGTCATCGCCCGGTCCGACCTCTGCAAGAACACCTTTGACTTCAACACCACTGTCGGTCAAGCATACTCCTGCCCCGCCAAGGCTGCCAGCACCGGCCCTGGATTCCCTACCCCGGCAAGCCCGGCCCAGAACGGCACTGTGACCGCCGACGCCGCCGCCCTGGTGAAGGAATACTACGACGGTCTCCACGACTCCACGGGCAAGCGCGTTTACCTCAACTACCAACCCGGCTCAGCCTTCTCCGACGCCACTGCCTCCTTTGACGAAGCGACACAGACCTGGGGCCTGAGCATCTCCGGCCTCGGCGGCGAATGGGTAGCGCGCTACCTCCAGCTTCGCGACACCAGCGACCTCGGCAACCTCGCCAACGTCACTGCTGATACTCTCCGCGACTGGATGCTTTACGGTATGAACAAGTACGCCGACTCATTGCAGACGACGCACCCGGACCTGAGCGGTATCCAGTCCGCCGGCGGCAAGATCCTCCACATCCACGGCGAGCAGGACGACTCCATCCCCGCCGCCTCGTCTGTGCACTACTATGAGTCTGTGAGGAGCATCATGTTTCCGGGTCAGAGCTTCAACGACAGCGGTGCCGCGATGGACGAGTTCTACAGGCTGTACCTCGTTCCCGGTGGCGCCCACTGCGGTGTCAACTCGAACCAGCCCGGTGGTGGATGGCCCCAGACTACGCTGCAGACTGTCATCGAGTGGGTTGAAAAGGATACCGCACCCGCGACGCTAAACAACACCGGCGTCGGTATCGAAACGCTCTGCCGCTGGCCCATGCGACCTTTGTGGTCTAACGACGGTGCCTCGTTCGATTGTGTTTATGACCAGGCTTCTATTGACAGCTGGATGTACACTTTCGATGCCTTCAAGATGCCCATCTACTAATCGGCTGTTAGTCGATCTTTTGACCTGGCTTCCCCCCTACTTGGGCTCTAGTCTTTACGGGCTTGACAGCGAATACTCGCAGGCTTGTGGGAGGAGAGGCATGTTTTGTACAAAGCTTATAAATTATTCGTGTACATACTTGTTGTTTTTAAGTGACTAGTACATAGCCGACTACTATTGTTTACTTAGTAGTGCCATTCAAAGTTCAAGTTTCGATACTGACACTACGACTTCTCCAAAATGATGAAAGCGAAGGAAGAAAGCTGAATCCAGTGTCCTGAATCATCGTCAGGTCAAGGGGTAAACGTTAGGCACTCCCAACATTACCATACATCCTAACTAGTCTCAAGAGCTATTTCTCCAACCTCCTTCAACCTCCTGAGCTTGATTTCGCAATGTCTTTTCAAAACGAATCTCATGCCATTCTGATTTCGCGTTCGTTTCTATTCCATCTTTCTAGATAGTTCCAGGGCATAGCTCTCCAAAGCTCTCAGAACCATAGACCCGAGACTATTCATCCGGATGCAGTCGGTCTTCCGAACGGTGACACTCTTCACCCCCAGAGTCCCGAACTTTGCCGATGCAACCCGACAAACTCTGCCACTCTGAAAATATGTCTACTGGAAATGAGAGGACCTAGCCTAGACAAGGATCCACGGTCTCCGCGAACATCGGTCCATGCCAAATACCGTGACATGGACAGTTATAGCGGCACGAAATACCTAGTTAGGGACTCTAGCCCAAGCCTAGGAAGGGAGACGTAAGAAAAAGGCCTATGTGATGGTAAACTGCGGCGTGGGAAAGGCTACTTGCATTGGAGTCAATCCAGAGTTCATTTGTGCACCCATAGGATCGCGCTTGGACTTGGAAAGCACCGCCGGCGTCATTTTCATGAGTCCTAGTCTGTGAGATGTGCTCTAGGACATGGCGGCTTGGGTCGCGTATCGCGATGACAGTTGACAACTTAAGACACTCTTTAGCACAAAGCATAATTAGTCAAGTGAAGCTTGTATCAAGTCTTCAGCGAGTAAATCAGCGCCTGTACTCCCGAGGATCGTCGGCGATCTCGATAGAACTAATGACATCCTAGATAGTGTTCTAGGAAGATCCCTGCACCGATAATCGACGATCTTGGATTCCCCGTTCGTCTGAAGGAGCTTCCAGCAGGGAGATGGAACGTTGGAGAAGAGAGGGTAGCAACCAACATTTTTGACTTCAATCGGTCTTTCATGTTGTTGGAATGCTTCTCTGAGAGTCGTTCGAGAAACTCTCGATTGGCCTCTTACTCTCTAACCTCGTTTTCATCACGGTTGCTGCTGTCATTCATCAAGGACACGCTTGACTTCGCGAAGCAGTTCATGAATCGGATGGGCTGGCCTAATCACAGCGCATTTGAACTTCTCGGTGCTACCTGCAACTCCCAAAACTCTCGACAATTGTTTTGCGACCATTGCCGTGACCGCAACTGCCGCAAACGTCACCACTATAGAGATGCGAGTTACGGTAACGTGCAGCGCGTGAGTAATGGGGAGTCGCACAGTAATGGCCTCATCACTGACATTCAATCCCCCCCTTACTCTCCCGGTAGGGTGTCTATGAGGGAACATTTCATCATCATTTCAAAAGTAGATATTACAAGAAACGTCACAAAGGGGATATCACTCAAGCTCTCCCACCATCCTTGGTAGTCTCCTCCACAATAGACCATTTCGTTTCAATCGTAATCGCCTGCGCATTCCTTGGCAGCCTCTGCGTTGACTCAGTCTCCGAAATATCATCCTCATCCGTCCCGTTCGACCGCCTCCTCAACTCCCCTCTCCCGATAACCGTCGTCGTGAAGTGCACATCGTTCTTGCCGTACATCGTCTCGAGCGGGATGCCGTTGGTCAAATCCTCCACCAGGTGCTCGTGCTTGCACGACTGGCTGTTGCCGCCCAGCCGCGAGACGTACTCGTCCGTCTCAAAGCGGCGGTGCTTCCAAAAGGCCCAGAGCGGAAGGAGCATCGGGAGGGAGTTGCAGAGGATGGTGAGGTTCGTTTCGAGGACCGTGAGGAAGGTTGCTACGGGCATGTTGCGCACGACTTGTGCTAAGCTGTAAACGTCCATCATGATGCGGAGTCTAACGATGGAGGCGATGATGGCACTAGAACATGAAATGTTAGACACCAGCTTCGATTCATTTATAGCACGGCTTTATCGACAAGCCGAGCTTGATAGAGGGCGATCATAACTCACATGAGATTCAACAAAAACACACCACTAAGCCCCCACCGCGTCGACACGCTGACCTTCTTCAGGCTCCAAATCGTATACAGCGGCACCAGCATGATGACAGTGTTGGTGATGCAGTTGAACAGCCCCGTTGAGAGGATGCTCGCCTCGTGCTCGCGGCAGATGTCCGGGTTCGTGGCGTGCCATTTGCCGTTGCTGATGTGGCAGACCAGCAGAGTCTGGAGGATGTTACCGACGCCCCATAGAATGACGATGAGGAATGTCATCTTGGTCGCCAGGCGCATGGGCGGGCTCGTGAAGACGCGGAGGTAGAAGAAGAGGACGCTGAGCTTCGTTGTCAGGCTGACGAAGCCGAAGATTGTATCGGATGGGAGGAAGAGCTATAAATTCGCCAGCATGGTCAGCAACTTTCAAGACGCAAATGCCCTAGGTCTCATGCCAAGTCAGATGCAGTGGATAGAAGACTCACAGAATCCAAAAACGTCCAGTTCGCCTCGACCTGCGAAAGCTCATATCCAAGACCAGCTGAGGTCCCTGCGGCCAAGTATCAGCAAAACACATCCTCAAAACAACTAATCTCGGAGTCCTCGTGGCCCGGTTCAGGAACGTGCTCACAAAGGCCTTGTATCACCAACAAGGCGATCCCTTGAGGAACAGCCAACAGCGTAAAGTAATCATCCCATCCCAGCCTAGACCCCGCCAGCACACGAGAGACAACCCGCAGAGCAACCACCAAAACCGTTATAAAAGCCACCACCGAGTTGGCAATCAAATACGCCGAAGCCTGTGGCACAATAGGCATCTTGATGTACTGCATGTGGGGAGAATTCCTCCGTCGTCGTCGGGATGTCGCAAAGGCGATCACGCGTCGTCGGCCTGGTGAAGCTTTTCCTGGTGACCTTGGCGGAGTGCACCGAGCCAGGGGAAAAAGAAGAACAAAACGAAAAGAAAGAAAAGACTTCCGAGAGATTGGGAGAGGCAGAGGAAAAAGAGGACATACAGCCATGTTTAAACTCGAGATACTCCTCGCTTCTGGCTCACTTAAACCCACTCTATCGCTTTCTCTCTTTCGCTCGCTGTTCCAACAAGCAGCCAAACAGGGATAAGGTCACATTGAGTTTCAACGCATGGAAAACGCGCCTACGATTTTCGCTCGAACGGGCAATGACTCGCACTGGGGCGTGATTGTTTCCCCCCTCCCCCTGATCTCGCTTCCCCCGGGCTATATAGTGGGCACCTGACGATGCTGACTCGACTTGTGGAGGAAAGGACCAGACATATCGTCGAGACTTGCCCAAAAAATGAAGAGAGAAACCCACGATGCTAGGAACGCAGCAGCCCGCACATCCACAACTCCGACGTAGGCGGCTTTCCCATTCGCCTCGCTTTCTGAACCTTGTCTCCTTGTCCCCTCCCCTGGACTAGCGTTGTCCGGGGCCCTTCGCTAATACCGACAATGTCCATACCTAGACTTGCGAGACACGCCAGACTTTCCAACATTGAATCACATAAATCTTGCTGCCCCCTTGTTCGTTACATACCGGGGGACGCCAACGCTTTACAAGTTTGCTCCTAGTGAAGTCGCATCTGTCAAGGTCGCTTAGGTCTTGGTAAAGCCGCCCCTGGTACGGAAATCTATGCGGCATCCCGGGATAGTTAAGAATTTTGGCTCTCAACGCGGCACTTGATTGCTGCGCATCCAACCCCAAGGGAGCCGAACTGCGGGATGTGGTGGATCTTCCCCGATGTCACACGTGGGCGCAAAGTCGGAATCGGAACCTTCGACCATTAAGCGTTGAGAAGGAGTATCCGTTCGGATACACACGTTCGAATACTAAGAACATGGGAGATAGTCTTGAAGGAGTTGCTTTCAGAGTTATCGCTATATATGAGTACGTAATCCATTCCTGAGCAAAGTCGAAACCTGGGCGATCGCGAGTCAAGCCTCGGAAGCGGCACGTCGATCGACAGCAATCTCACTAGAGACACAAAGCCTCCAGTGTCAGTCCTTACCTGAATGTAGGAATTTTCGAACTCCATCCTACGGGATGCCGCAGGAAATGATTAGATGCCTGAGCGCTGAGGTTAGCCCAGCTGCTAGGTCCCAAAGAGCAAAATTCAATCCAGTTGCGGATACCATTACCATCAGCAACCCCCCACTCTGACCCTTGCTAATAGGGCGCTAGTTGGTTGCAAAATAGTGTACTACGTTGAATTGTTGCGCCATTAAGGTTAATTACGTCTAACAACCTAGGGGCTTCGAGCGGGTCTGGCTTTCGTCAATCCTAACCAGCCTTCGCTCGCATTACCTAAACCGGATAGAGTATGCCGGAGATGGACCAACGTCCTCCCTCTTCAAGTTACATGACGATAAGGTTTCAAGGTGCGTTGCGATCGCGAGACTAAAGAGAGAATACTAGTATTAAAGAACTGGGGAGAATGACTCTGATTGGGGATAACTCGGTTGGCGAGTTGTTCTTAAAAGACAATGGCATTTGACAAGGTCTTTGACGACACCCAAGCCGAGTAACTACCACAAAGCTTTGTGTGTGATCTCTCTTCGTTGACGCACCGATTGAAAAGAGCGCAGAATTCCTCTAACAATGGGGTCACCTATTCTTGAAGTAGATTGCGTCGTCAAATAGTAGCACACAAGAAAGTTGATGCGCTGAACAAATTGCAGCAGTAGAGCTCTTCAACTTGAGGAAGCAAAGAAAGCCACGGGACTATAGCCTTTGTATAGGAATGCCATCAAATTGTGTTGTATAAGAGATGATATGTATCCAATTATCTGAACTCTTCGCCAACCTTAGCTCCTCGCATTCATCACTTAGTCGAATACTAAGTACCCAACTTGATCAGCAACTCCCAAGGTAAGAGACACACCCCCATCACCTTACTAACATCCTATCTAGACAACCACCAACATCAACATGTCCTCGCCACTAAAACCACCAACGCCATCCTCGACCTTCCCTTGCCGAGGCGCAACAGCCTACACCTCAACCTCAGGCCCAATCCACGCTCTCCGCCTCGAATTCCTCAACCACCTCCGCGCCAGCCCAGATTACGAATCCTGCATGCCGACCCTGATAACCCCGGAACTCGCAACAGACTGGGACGCTCACTACCTCCTCCCAAACCCCTACCGAAATCCACCGACACGCAACTCCATAGCTAACCCCCTTCGCGTCTTCCAGACCGAAATCCACACAGTCTGGGACCCGTATAAACTCGCCGCATGATTAGACGATCCCATCAAGACCTAAACATCCTCAGACACACGATTGGGGAAGTTCATAGGGAGGCGTAGGATGAGGATCGCACCCTTGACGACGCGCAGCGAAAGCAGAATGGGGGCCAATACCCACATTTTTGGACGAGTTCTTCCTCCGCCTCTTCCAGAAGTGCATGGGATAGCGATGATCATCGTCATCGTCGGGCAATAATGTCTACTAGGGACATTACCCCTTCCTGGGAGCACATGGTCCACCTAGCATGGGACGTATACAAGCTCCGGGAGGTCTTTTCCAGTGTCCAGGCTGACGTCGCGAAACTTGTAGATCGACTTGCTGATACGGAGACAGAATTGCGTCGCAAAGTGCTACTACTTGACAGAGTTTCATAAAGGCGTCGTGCGTGATGAGTTGGGAGCAGGTAGGTTCTCTGTCGAAGAGACAAGGGACGTAAGCTTCAAAATTTAAGAGTGGCGATAGTAGTGACAAAGTAACCTCAAAGGGGCCTCGATTGGAGCCCAGATTCAGGGACGGCGGAGCTGCTTAGGAAGGGAGCATGAGTAGAGAACAACTTGAATCTGCTAGGCTTCTCGTCCATGAGACAGAAGCTGGCCTCATACGCCATAATACTGGCTAACCATGGTATCTATGTGCCCTGAGCAAAATGTGGTATCATAATCTCGTGTAACCTGAGCAAAGTAACTCCGTGAGCTTTTCCATCCGATGAATCATAATTCCTGTTAATATCCCGGATACCGTTTGTAGCGGTGCCTAGCCATGTCGCTCTTCATCATTAGACATGCTCGGGCCGCTTGGTTCCAGTAACGCCAACCAAATGCCGCTTTCTCAAATCAGTCGGACATCTCCTTCAATCACTATCATCATCCGACGACGATGAACCCGCGTTCCAGTCCATATCGAGGAGGTCCAAGATACTAGGATGGGGTTCACCGCAACAAGGACAGATACCAAGCTCGTCATCGTCACCCATCATGTCCTCAATGTCCTCCATGGGATAGCCACTGCTGCGGCAGAACTCAGTCCACTGGCGGTCGTCGTCACCGCTATGATCACGGGACTTGGGAACTTTCTTCCAGATGGTCAAATCCCGGCGACTGGGTGCAGACTTGGGATGACCTGGCTCTCGAGGAGCAGGAGGCATGATAGGCTCAGTGGGATGGGTGTGGAGTTCGTGGAGCTCCGGATCAGAGGAGTTAGAGTCATCATCCTCACCATCAGGATACCCAACAGGCGGGTACAGTTCAGGGAAATCCGATCCCTTCTTTTCCCTTACCGTCTTCCAAGCCCGAACAACACGCGCGCAGCTCGAGATGCCCGGCAGAGGCTTCAGGGAGTTCTTGACTTGAACAAATGAAGGCAACCCAGCGAGGAAGAGGCCCTCGTCCCGCAAGAGCCCAGTAAGCTCTGCGGTGACCTTGCTACCAGAATCGTCTATCGGAAGACCGGTGACTTGCAACTCGTTCAGAGAGCATCCGAGTTCGTGGGATGCGATATCGTGCATGTCGCTGCCAGGCATGGGGAGAAAGTCGTCAAGGAAGTTTACCAAGTCAATTCTGAGCGAGTCAAGACCGGGGAGCAGCTTGGGGCGAGCTAGCTTCCTGTCATGCTGGGGATCGAAGGGAGGGCGGAGAGCACGCAGGAAATCCGTCACTTGACCCCAGGTGTAGGCGCGGAAGCCGCCACGGGCATAGCTTCGTTCTTTTACCCGAGGAATCGTCCGCAGTATGATATCGCTCTTGAGGGAGGGGTGATAGGATCGCTCGAGCTTGTGTTTTCGCTTCTTATCGTCGTAGAACTGAGCGACGATGCGAAAGTTGACATGCTTGATGTCCTTTCGGAATCCAAAGTCCAACTCGGCAAAGTTCTTGACAGCTTGCGGAGTTGTGAAGGTGAAAGTGTTCTGGCTCCAGAACATGCGGCTGCCTTCGTTGTGCATCGCCTTGCATGTCGCTAAAAAATGGATGGCGACTTGATTACCGCGGCTTTTCTCCTCGGCCGTGAGGTTCTCGCGCGTGAGTTTCGACAAGGGGTCGATAATCGTGTCCTTCGAGGTCATTGAGTAGTTGAGAATGCGCAGCAGGACTTCTGTCGGAATGTGTGGAAATGAGCGAGTTCCTGAGGAAAGAGCTTGCTCCCGTCTGGCACTACTCTTGAGGTTCTGGTAGTTGGCGGATATAGGGGACCAAGAGATGCCATTTTCTCGGAGCAGCTTCTTCAGTCTTGCATTTTCATCGGCGAGAGCCTTATTCGAGGACCTGAGAGGTTGGTTGTAGTAGGCTTTGGCCTGATCCTCCACATCACGGCACTCCCATGGGATGATTTCCTGCTTGTTGGTCAGCGTGCAACAAAAGCATAGAAAATGACAGATAAACACACCGATTCTCGGTGCGCCATGGTGATAAGGTGAGCTGCAGAGCCAGGCGATGTTGAGAATTAGGAGGATTCGTGAAAGAGTGGGAAGAAATGAGGCCTAGCAGGCCTCGTGAAAGGGACGAATCAGTCGTGACCAGTCGAGGCAGATTATGGTGAACTCGAAAAGTTACTGCGTCGGTTCGGAGTTGGTCAATTCTCGTTGCTGGACGAGGGGTGGATAATGTGCAAAAGTTCAGGTCCCGGCAAAATCGTCGATCAAGGCTCAGAGAGACAACACCACTAATTAGGTGGGTTGAACCTTGACGTTGACGACGCAGGGTACAGCAGTTGATCGGGGTGAGTTGAGCGACCCTTCGATGTGACCCGCGAATGGAGAAAATAATGAAAAGTGAAACGAAGGTTTGAAGCACGGAAAAAGATGTGGTTCGGGCGTTCGTCCTGACGTTATGGAGGGGCCGAAATAAAAGTCAGAATGACGAGAGTCAGCTAAGCCGACAATCGGATGTCGGTCGGGTGAAGAAATTGGCGGGAATGGTGAGGAAGGAAGAAATTCCCAAGTGGCCGAGTCGAGGTTGATAAGTCGGCAGTGACGGATGACGATGTACTGATGAGCCAGTCCAGGCCGTGGTCGGGTCGAGCTGTCGAGTCGTCGAAGAGGTTAATCACTAGCGTATCCCGTCGAAAGGTGATAAAAGCTCGCAGCTTAGTCAAGTCTAGAATTGTCCGTCGATCTTATGCGTCGTCAACTGGCCCGCGAGGGGTCGCTTGATTTGGACAGGCCTCGGAGCCTGGGAGAATAAAGGCAGACTGAGGTGAATCACTCTATCTGTGCCTGATGTCGTTCATCAGTGAGCATTGGATTCTGGGCGTAGGTGAAGGGAGGAGGAAAAGGGGGCGGTGGAGGGTTGATGTTGAAGGGAGCAATCACGAGGGAAAAAAAGGCAAGAGATGAGAGATGACGAGGGGGGGTAACGTGAAGCGACGCCGCCGGGAGAGGTGGCAGATCTGCGCGTGGGCGAGGGAAAGTGGACGGGACGGGGATGAGGCAGGTGAGGACTGGACTCTTTTGGTCAGTGGCGGAGAGCGGGTGGGCGACGACCAGTGGCAGCAAGAATCGCCGACCTTTTTTTTTTGTCCATCTTTCCCTTTCCGCTTGGCTACGGTGAATGGTGGATTGTCTGCCTTCCAGGTTGTGCTTACCTTACCTATTACCTACTCAGGTGAGGTAGGGAAGGTGCCTGCTCCCACGTTCGGCAGGCAAGCGACGTTGCGCCGTCTCAGACTCTTCAGCTTTGACGGTGCCGATGTCCGCCGAAACCCCGACGTGAGCTTCTTTGCAGGAAGGCGAGTACCTCATCTAATCTTCAGACTACGGGAGTGACTTGACTGTTTGTAGGCACTGGGTTCGGGGAGCAATCGTTCGATGTGAGATACATGTCTTAGACTCTTACTTCCCCAGGCAGGTAGTCACTGCGGAGAAACGAGGTCGAGGTGGGATGGGGTTGCAATTCTCGCACCTGCTGTAGGCGAATATGTTTAATCACGGCAGGAGTTGTTGCATCTGAGGAGGGAAAGTGCTGAACGGAACGGGAACGGTTGTATCTTTCCTGGACGGGAGGCACACGCAGCAACTGCCACGACACACGTGATACTGGGCGAGGCAGTTGGCTGGCAGAAGAGTGGATTAGTGGGGCGTTCTGCGACTGCCCGGCGATTACTCGCAGATGGGATGCATTAATTGCAGATTTCCATGAGCAGTTGGATGGACGAGATGACGATGCTTTTTTGAAGGTGAGGGAAAGAACCACAGAACGAAGCAGCGATGGGAAGGAACGGTAAGGACAGGGGGGGGGGCATGGCGTGCACAGGGGTCGATACCTTAGGTACCGGTAGGTAGGTAGCTTCCGAATCTGCTCTGGGCTCTTGGAGTCAATTGCAGTTGGGTAGAAACTCTAAAGGTCAGACCTTCAGTAATCGAAGATGAGAGTCGAGTCTTTGGTGGAATTATCCCCGCCGAATAGCTATTGGATGGATGTGCTTTATCAATCTGTTCAAACTCAGCCCACTGAAAGAGCAAGCGCCTGACATGAGCAAACGTGGCTGTCTAATTTCCATCTCGACCTAATGTATGTCTTGGATTGATCCCGATCTGGACTTACACCGAAAGACCAAACGAGGGCAGCCGCAGTCTGCAGTGCAGCATACGAGGTATCATGCAATATCCCATGTGAAAGTAGACAGAGTGCATTCATGAGATGACTACCTACCTTACCTACCTTATGCAAGGCAAGAGGTAGGTGTCGAATGAATCTTCCGTGCCTAGATACTCACAAAAGGAGGCAAGTACGGATACCCCATTGCAGCTTCCCGAGCCGGATCGCGATCGCTGTTTGGTGGCAGCATCGGGCCCGTCAGTCACGACATGGTGGGAGTTGCCGACACTCTGACCCTCCAAACCACAAAACTCTTACCCCAGATATTCGGAGCAACCACTCATCATTTCTCCTCTGTCTCTCCGTCGCTGTCAATGCCTTCAGCCTTTTTGTCTGTGCTCTCCCAGCTGTATTGCAACTAGGACTATGCAGTATAAAACGACACACAGACCCGCGACAGCTGACGCCGCTGGCACAAGTCGTAATCAAAAATCTAAACCGAAGCTCGGATTGTCCTTCTTGTCTGGGCGTTCCCGTTCTACAACCTCAATTGGGATAATACCTTCGTAAGTGAAGATCTTTTCGTAGACCAAGGAGCTCATGTGTTCAATAACGTGATGGTAAACGTTACGGCACCCTACCTACGCAACAGCCCCCCGCAGAGCACCCCGCGCCCAATGCCGGCATCAACACAGCTCCATCAACGCAAGCAAGCAGATCAATGATGAATTTATCCCCATAAAACGCGTCGTCTATCTAGACTCCCATGGAGCTACCTACCTCATGCTACCCCATCTTGCCCATTTGCCCATCGAGCCACTCACCCACTGCGGGCTGGCCCCTTCTACTGTAGGCAGGAACGCCATCTGCCCCTCCGCTCTTGACGTCATGATGTCTCGCCCATGTACGGCTCTGTAGCTCAAGCTCCCTCAGCTCCGCGCGACCGACACTGGGACCCGTGGTCACTCGGCCGTCGCTCAGTCACTAGTTAGCCACCTCACCTTAGGTAATTGCCTTGAGACCTTTCCTAATGTGCTTTTTTCGATGATGAAATCGGTCGTGCCTGGCTGCACATAGCTACAGCAATGAGGTCAGCTCGCCTGAGGGGCCGCCCTAGATAGGAGGGGGTTCAAATACTCCTCCCACAAGAACCTTCCCTCGTGCAATTCAATGTCTACTCCCGTACTCTTCTCACGATCCATCATTCGGACTGTTCAGCTCAGTCGACGCGTTCAATCCTACTCACGACTAATAAATCTTCCCAAAACTACCAACACACTCCCAAGAATCCCATTCGCCATGTCTTTCTCAAACACCTCCACTGGCAGCAAGCCCGCCGACCCCTACAAGGCGACCAACCAGGACAGCGATGTCTCCGTCAAGGAAAAGGTCGAGGCATTTGTCAGCTTTGCCGACAAGACGAAGTTCGCCATGATGACCACCAGAGACGCAAAGTCTGGCGCCCTCGTCTCTCGCGCCATGGCCCTCGCCGCAACGGTTCGTTTTCTTCTCTAGCACCCCAATTCCCCTCTTGTGAGCTCTCCCTCCCTAACTTCTGTCCAGGAAAACGGTGGCATCGACCTGCTTTTCCACACCAACACAGAGTCCAACAAGACGGATGAGATTGATAGCGATCCTCACATCAACATCTCCTTCATAAACAGCTCAGGCGACTGGGCCTCCGTCTCTGGTGTCTCTAGCGTCGTCACCGACCGCGCGCTGGTGAAGAAGCACTATAGCCCTACCCTCAAGGCGTGGCTCGGTGACCTCGGTGACGGCACTCACGACGGCTCTGAGAACGATCCACGCATCGGCATCATCCGTGTCAAGACTGTCAGCATCACCTACGCCCTCAGCAACGCCACCTTCATCGGCAAGGTTGCTCAGCTGGCCGAGGGCGTCGTGACCGGCAGCCCCGCAAAGGTTAACAAGCTGAGAGAGGTCTCTTCCCAGGAGGTCGAGCAGTACCGCTCCACTTCCTCTTGAGCCGAGACGCGAGAGTGAGTTGTAATGGCGGTTGCTTGTAAGAATAGCACAAATTAGATGAAGGTTATCGAGGGAATAAGCCACAAAACCCCGACCATTCACGGGATATGAATGACGACTATTGCTTCCCATAATCCGCAGCCCAGCTCTTGTCAAACGTCTCCTTGTTCACCGCGAATTCACGAATGTAGTCGCGTTCCAGTTCGTGTGCTCTCCTTCCGAGGAGAACAATACTGTGAAGCGGGCCACCCAAGATCTCATCCGTATCGCAGAGCTCCTTCAGCGTACCGGCAACATACTTCTCAGTCTTGCCTCCCACACGCGCCGCCCCGATAGCCAAGCTTCCAGCCGTATACACACCCTCCTTCTTCTCCTCTTCAATCTCGAGCATCTGCGCAGCACACTGGCCAACAGTCATGTACCTCGGCGGCTGGTACACCCTCCTACCCCTCGCCATATCCTCGAGACTCTGCTCCTTAACCTTGATATCAAGCAGCACGAGCGTGTGCAGACCGATATCGCGGTTCTCTTTGATGCGGTCATAGAATGAAGCCGGCTTCCAGGTGTCGGTGAAGAAGACCATGGAGACGGTCTGGCCAAAGTTGTAGAGCTGCAGCCCTGTGGCGCCGATGCCGGACATGATAGAGGCGTTGGGGACGGTGGCGACGGAGATTTCGAGCTCGCGGGCGCGGAGGACGAGGTCGGTGTGCGTTGTCGCGCCGAAGGGGTCGCCGACGACGCAGAAGGCTACGTCTTGGGTTTGGGCATCGCGGAGGATTTCGTCGCTGTTGGATTCGACCATTTCGCGGTCTGCTACTACGATTTCCCGGCCATAGTAGGCTTCCTAGTTGACGTGAGTATTAGAGAAGCTTAATTAAAAATGAGAATTATTAATTAAATAGCAGCTCGTGATAGCAGGAGTAATCTGACAAGACGGAGGGTTTGGGGGAAGGGGTAGGTACCAAGACAGTCTTGTCGACGAGGAGAATGCTAGTGTAGGCTTCCAAGTAGACTCTGGCGGCCTTCTTTACAACTTCGAGGCCCTTGACTGTGATGTCGGTCTCGTCCGAGAGACCCAGCCCTACAAGATACAGCATGTCGACGATGCTTTTTTTGTGTGTCCTGCAATGGTGGTGGTATCTTCTGGAGTATTGAGTCGGGGGAAGTCGGTCAATGACTATAAAAGTTCGTGGAGGTTAGGCGTAACTTTTTTCTTCCACATCTTGGAGGGGGAATTCGATGGAGGGGTAGGTATCGTTTTTTTCTTCTTACCTAGCGCTACAACCCCACCATCGAATCCCCCCTGGACCCTGTCTCGCCTGGCCCCTCTCAATTCTGGTCACCAACCCCTGCAGCTTCATCCGACCCCAGCTCCGCCTTCCAGGCATTAAATTTCATCATCCAACGCGTCTGGCTGAGCTCTGTATCTGTCCACCCACTGCCCGTCACATCTGCGGAACACACGATTCTCAACGCCAGTATCCTCGACATTCCCTCCTCTCTTCCCATCGCGAGTGTCTTCCGAGAAAGAATACCATCTCAACACAAACCCCTCGAAACGCAACAATGGCCGACAAGAAAGCAAGCGCCTACGGCGCACCCGCGGGCGACACCGACTTCCGCAAGACCTACGACCTAGACGAATACGCAGCCAAAGCCAAAGACCGCGAAGCCAAAGAGAAAGAGGAAGCCAAAGCCCGCTACGAAGCCAAGCTCGCGGGTAAGAAATACTACAAGCCCCTGACGGGTGACGAGACCCTCACGCAGGCGCGGCGCAACGTCCTAGACCTCAGCGCGCAGGTCGGCAAGACGCAGCTCGTCCCCGCGGGCGCGGGCGTTGGCAAGAGAGGGAGGGGTGCCGGGTTCTACTGCGAGCCGTGCGATCTCACGTTCAAGGATAACAAGCAATTTGTGGAGCATTTGAATACGCCGCAGCACTTGGCCAACACGGGGCAGAAGACCGAGGTCAAGAGGGCAACGGCTGAGGAGGTGAGGGATAGGATTGAGTGGCATTGGCAGAGGAAGCTGGATTTGGAAAAGGAGAAGGCGACGAGTTTGCAGGATAGGCTTGCGTTGCGGGAAGAAGAGAATGCGAAGGAGGCGGAGGAGAGGAGGAAGAAGAGGAAGGAGGCGGATGAGCGGAGGAGGGCTGAACGGGAGGCGGCGGAGAAGGTGAAGACGGAGTATGGGGATGATGTAAGGATCGAGGGGGAGCATGATGAGGATGATATGATGGCTGCGATGGGGATTACAGGGTTTGGGGGGGCGAGGAAAAAGTAAGCTGTGTTGCGAGAGGCTGGCGATTCCGAGAGCTGTACGAAGAGCAGGACGCGAGAAATGATACCCTTGTTTGGCAACACGATGGGGGATGAGATCCCGATATTCGAAGAGTTCATATGGGCGTGCGAAAACACGGATTGACTCGAGGCGGTACGTCAGTTCCACAGCAAGTCTGAGCTACCCCCGACCAAGGGATGGTCGCCAATCCTTCACCGAGGTCGTTCCGGTGTGTCTCGGTGAGCCACCTGACCGAAGCCCCTCAGACAACGGCACCTCGAACCCCTGCACCTCGCGGGCAACCCCACCTTCGCATTGGCTCCCATTTCGACGACCTCATTCTGCGGTCAGGTCCATTTGCCGCCTTCAGCAACCTCTCTTCGCTAGACAACACCAGTCTTTTCTTCTCGCTCAACAACGAACTCAACAACGAACCCGAGCCAACAAAGCCCGCGCTCAAACAGCTGCGTTGGTTCCCTCTAATCATACCTCAGTCAAAGCTGCATCGACAGTATTTAACGAACGTTACTTCTCGAACACCCTTCCCCAGCTTTCCCTCGATCGTTCGTTCCTGCCATCTCGAAGCGTAAAGGACTTGAGACAAGATTCCGGTGTTACCGTCGATCCACCCTTACCACCCGAAACATATACACATACATACATACGCACAGCTACAAGGATATACAAATCAGAGCTTTGCGACACCATGGCATCGTCTTCTGCAGCGGCGGCATCGCTGCTGGGTCGGCAGCTCAAGGAGATGCAAACGGGAAAGGACATTCCCGGCATCTCGTGCGGTCTGGTCAATGACAACAGCATCTTTGAGTGGGAGGTGATGCTCATGATCAGCGATGACTGCAAGTACTACGGAGGTATGTTCTCTTTCTTCAATTCCTTCTCATGGCAGGATTAGCCCAGTTGAAGCTTACCCTCCCCCCCTCTCCCCCAAAAGTCCTAAGTCCTGCCTGCACAAACTAGCTAACATACTTCTCTTCAACACAGGAGGCAACTTCCGCGCCAGACTCACCTTCCCGGCAAATTACCCCCTCATGCCGCCCTCTCTAACCTTCCAGACGCCGATCCCCTTCCACCCAAACATCTACCCGGACGGCCGACTATGCATCTCGATCCTGCACCCGCCCGAGGAGGACCAGTACGGCTACGAGGCAGCCTCGGAGCGATGGAGCCCTGTCCAGAGCCCCGAGACGATCCTGCTCAGCACCATCAGCCTCTTCCACGGGCCCAACGACGAGTCGCCCGCCAACGTCGAGGCTGCCCGCATGTTTCGCGAGGAGCGGGAGGGCAAGAACAAGGATTTTCGGAGACGGTGTCGGGCTTGTGTTAGGGAGAGCTTAGGGGAGGATTGAGGGAAGGACTTGGGGAGTCCGTTCATTGGTTATTGAGCCCTGAGCTGGACGGGAGCCATGGAGATGACCAGGACTGATGAGGATTTGGTCCGTCTTGCAAAAGCGGAGAGGGTGATTTTGACGAGACATGGCTGGATGAGGGGCGGAATTGCACGAGGGACCTGCATCATGGCGTTTGGAGATCTCTACAGCATTGAAGCAGGCTGGGTTGGCATTCAAATTGACGCCTTTTTAGTTCTCAATGATGTTTGCAGGCGCAGCTGTGGCTAGTGGCACAAACAAGACTTCTTCCAAGTCGGTTGTGAACTGCAGCCCCCAGGTGGTGAACGGAAAGGTCGACTGCTTTGTATGGATGGGCTCGTGTTCTATAATCATTGCCATTCCCTTCGGCTTTGAGCAACACTTGCTTGTTGCCCTTTTGCTGCCACAATTTCCTTTCTTGATGAAGTCAATGGCTCTCCCCTTGGACAAGTGTTTCTTCATCTATCCCTCCAGTATTGACTTGACTGTCTCGGCATCTTCTTTATAGACCTCCACAACACGGCGTCTTCATTGTGCTCCTCAATCCCACCCCACTCCATTATTAAACACCCTTTCCGACTCGACATCTTCAACGATGTACCAATGTGTCTGAGCAAGCACGTCGACATTCCGCCAGGGCAAGCCACAGGTGCACCCCTCCTGCCGCAATCACCTGTAGCACTCGCGCTACGGGCAACGTTGCCTGGGCACAATTAGGTAGTTACTCGAGTTCTTGATGCCTTCAGAGGGTGCAGGGGTTTTTGGCTTAGGAGGGGGAGGGCGTGTCTTTCGTAAAGAATAGATAGACCGACTGGCAATTATCATGGCAATCAAGAAGTACAGCCATCTCCGGTGATTCAGCTGTGTCAACATGCCAGGGACACGGGAAAACAAGCCCACGGCCAAACATACGTGTCTCGGTCCCGAGGTTACTTCTCCAATCCAGGAGAGAGGAGAAACTGCCCGGTCCAAGGGTAATTTTGCTAGCTATCGTTCCTTTCCTGCTCTACATCTCAGCCTACCCCTAGCCACTAAATTATCGCGGTCATCAGGTGTTGATCTGCGAACGGGCCAATACTGCTTCAACTCCAGCCCTTGTGTCGACGTGCCCACCATCAAGAGTCAGCTGAACGTTTTTGGTCCTTCTTGGTCAGTGCCCATAGGCACGACTCAACAGTTTGATCGTCGATCTATCGGGAGTTCTGGAGCTAGAATGCCTCACGGGTGGCAGCATGAAAGAAAAGGAAATGAAATAAAGCCACACGGATGGGAGCTGAAGCGCCAAAAAATGATCACGATGTCGGTTACCTACCGCGTTCACACCGAACCAAACACGGCGTGTTGGTTTGAAAGACGTTGGGGATCCTCCTATCAGGCAACGCTGTCTACAGGAGCACGGTCATGCCCGGGAGACAGAGCTCCAAGCTTTTACAATGTCAACACCGGAAACGTTATCGTTAGCAATACCAAAAGTCGATCTCGTGAGACATCACACGCCGGGTGCGGACTAACAATCTTCGTTTCGAAATGGTTGTCTTTGTTGCTAAATGGGTGATGGTCTCAATTAGGTTAGAAGTTGATTTTCTGCCTACTTTCCAAGCCAATTACCAGCTCTCGGAGTGTCAGCCCGCTGCCCGCGGTTGCATGCCCAACGTGGTTCAGCCTCAAGAGCAACGCCCCGGTGAGTCCCGGTAAGCCACCTGTTCTGACGCTACCGGCTTTTCTGAAATCTCTCTTACTAGCGCTCCTCAGCCCTGCGTTACTGGTTGTCATACCCAGGAGGAGGGCCTGGAGGGGGTCATTGGAGAATGGGTTATGCAACAACGTGAAGTGTGTTTTCGTCGGCAATTCCTTTCACATCACGCTATGGATGCAGATGTGGGCATATGCTCAGCTTCTGCTTGAGACTAGCTAACGCTTTGTGAGAAATACGCCTCTGATTCAAACGAAGTATTCCTGTGAGCTGGATGGCTAGCTTGGCGAGGCGTGTGACGAGGGGCTGAGAATATGAGGATGTGTTAGTGGAAGGGCTTGGAGCTCGAATGGAAAGGGCAGCAGCGTCTTGGAACTATTCTCTTGACACCCCCGAAGCTTCAGGTTCTCATTTCTTTGTTGAGTGCAGACTGTATCTGTCTCAAGTGATCACTGGAATATTGGAATGCACCATGCTTCTGGACTATCTCCTATTTGGGCTCGAATACCACCTACGTTTCATGGTAAACCACCACCTAGGACCAGGGCAGCGCTTGCCTGGTATGAGCCCTGCCTTCGTATATCCCGGCAGCCTTAAGTCATGTACCGCTAAATCGGGGAAAGTTCGACAGCATATTCCTAGGTCCGTTCTGTATTGGACTTGTGAAATGGGCTATCTTATTCTGCCTTTAGGGCTGTGGACTTGCCGAGATATCCCTTTAGCCTGTACGGTACGACGGTAACTGAGAGTCGCGTAGGTAGTGAGAACCGCTCACCATTCGCCTAGGTACTCTACGCATTGCCACCATCATCGCAGCTAACGGTGTTAGCCGAGTCGCTATTACGACAGGAAGACCTAATTGAATCTAACGGAGATTGTGCTTGTTGCTCAAACGCTTCAAGGCTTCGATCTACTTAAACTGTTAACTGCCAAGCCTTTGACACGCCCTAAGTAGACGGGACATCACCGGCGGTTGGAGTTAGTGGCTATGGCAGAGTGAACCCCTTTGTGCCATTAGCAGTTTGAACCAATCGAGGTGATGCCTAAGTACTGAAATCGTAATTACATTGCCAAGCAACACACGCCCCAGACTACCAAGATACATGTAGCTGATTGCTGATACCCATAGAGCTTGCAGGTATCTATCCACCACACCTCTAGCATCGTAATATCTACCTCCTCTACTTTTCCCGACAATGCCGTGCACGCTATTCTCACACTCATAAAACCAGACCTTCCCTCCCCCGTGGTCTTTCCTTACTTCTTTCATATCATTCTTTCTCCATACTTCTTACAACTCCCCACTGAATTAGTCCCGACTACCTGGAGATCCGGCCAGCCTCCAACTCCTACGACGACAGCCGGATAGAGACAATACTACCGACTGCGGTGAACACCGAAGACCTTTGGCGGTTGAAGCTTCTTCCTCTTTTATCCAGCTCCACCTATCGATCTCACCCCCGCAACCATGCTTGATCCTGCCTCGTTGGCGGTCATTACCGTGGCAACTCCAATCATTGCAACAGTAGCCACGGTGGGGGTGGGCGTTCTTGCGGCTACGGTTACTGTAGCCGTACCCGCTCTCAAACATAACATGGAAGGGCTCAGGACTGAACGACGTTTCTCCAAGCTCAATGAGGCTGTGCTTCATAGTAAGACCAGTTCTATTCAAAAGACCCTGTCTGACTTATGTTCGCAAGAGAACAAATGGACATACTGACATCGCCCTCTAGGAAACTACAGGGAGATTGTTCGCCTTGTTTCAAAGATCAAGAATCTACAGCGACGAGGACGGACTTTGAACGATTTTCAACTGGCGGAATTGGCTCATGCTGAGAAAGTTCTGTCTACTCTTTGAGACGATCGTTACGGACTCTGTTCTGTGAGCCGGTGTTAACAATGTTTGACGAGACTGGCAAAGGTCGTCCTAGAAACTCTTGTCCTTGGCTACTTTGATTTCAGCACTTATCATTTTTGTTCTTATTATTGTTCGTGGTTTCGGGGACATCGGCTCTATTTCTGTTTGTTCTTCCCCTTGTATTGCTCCAGGGCTTCTTTCTCTGACTTGACAATATAATCCATTTAAGTAGGAGACAACAATAAACGTTTGCTTATCTACTTTAGGATTGGGTTTGATCGTGTCTCTGTGATCTGCTCTCGTGTCATTGTAATGGCTTCAAGCAAAATGGAATACTAACATAGACGTTGTCAAATTGAGTGATTCTTGACACTCGAATGCTTCACCTCATCGACAGCGCCACCATGACTCCAGTCATGTTAGACCTGTGTCGCTTTCACCTGCACTCCTTATCTTGAATGCCGTGGAAAACTGAAAGGGGCAGTGCAGAGTCCACGACCTAACTATGACAATTAATTACTTAGTCTGTGCTATTTTCATGAAGTGCATTTTCATCCCCCTTTGCCTGTGGTCTGAAACACTTGAAACCAGGAAAGGGGGGACGCCAAGTATCGCCGACTTGTAATACGAAAAGCTCCGGGGTATTAGTGATACTGGGTACATGTAGAGGTGGGATGTTTGTATATATCGGAAATTTCTCTATAGACCGAAATACCGAGAAAGCACATTATCGGTGTATCACCAGCTTTATCTTAAGAAAGGGTTGCATATTCTTGAGCTTATTGTCTTCTCTTTGGTGTTTCTATGGAAGCAATATCGTATTCTCGTCTCCAATCAGTCATAAATTTAGGGGATATTATGCTCCCAGCGCGCGATACACAAGCAACAAGCAGAAGAAGGAAACTAATAGTACAAATGCCGCCTGCTCAAGATTGGGAGAAAAAGGAAGAAGGGGTATCTGGGTATCAGAATCAGAATTTCTTGACAACGAAAGCACGCTTTCCAATGACGCCGTCTGCCTCGTCAACCTGCAGTTGTAGGGCGAGGGAGTCTGCGCCTTCGTACTTGCCCTTCTGCTTCCAGAAAAAGTCCTTGCCCGACTTGGTCTTTGCGCGGAAGGTAGCTTCGGCCTCGACATTCATCTTGAAGATCGTGAAGAAGGACGAGCCGACGCAGTACTTCTTGGGCGGGCACTTGAGATTGATGGTGGCAGACTTGGTCAAAGTCTCTCCCTCGGTGTCTTCTTCGGTCTAGGTTGGATTTGTTAGTACACTGTTTCGGAATATGCCACCTTGGGGGGCAATGACTTACGGTGGTCTTTTGCACCTGCCAGGAGAACTCCGTAGTCACCTTCGACTTTCCAACGAAAGGAATACCAGCCTCAGCCTCGACGGCAACACGACCTCCGACATTCCACTGGTTTGCAACGCTCAAAGTGTGCGACTTGGTAACGGCATCCATCGTCATGATCGTGATGATCTGCTCGGCAGTGGAGTTACGGTTGTCGACAATCTGAGAGCCAACAGTCATGGTCTGTCCGGGGCCAGAGGGCATGATGTTATCTGTGAAGCCGGAGTACGCAATGTTGCTGACGGAGACAGACTGGAGCTCGTCGAGGAAGTCGAAGCCGACGTGACCGATCAGACCAATGTTGCAGTACTGCACGCGCATACGGCCTAGGATGCCGGATCCCACGGGGACTTTTTGCATCGGGGGAGGGCTGCGGAGGACCTGACCCATGGCAGAGTATGTCTTTCCGCTAGTGGTCGTGAAGTTGAAGCCGTGGAAAGAGCCACGGTTCTCGAGAACCCAGAACTCTGCGATGCGGTCGCCGTTTTCAAATTTGAATACGCCGGCATCAGCCCAACCTTCGAGTTTCTGCGAAAGACCTTGTCAGAATTTTGTATTCCTCAAATATTCGCTTGCACTTACGCTGGTGATTGAGCTTGTGTTTCCATTGCTGCTAGTAGCATTGATGGCGCGCATGTTGGTAGACCCAGTAAAGAACTGAATAGAATCGAACGGCCCATTGAGCTCCTCAGAGTGACAGTTGGCAGCATTGCTGTCAATGAGATTGATGTCGCCTACATCGACCGAAACGAAGGCATCGCTAGTGGCGACTGTCAAAGAGTTGGGAACGGTGCCCGATGCGGCGTCCTGGCGCTTGATTCTGTTCGGTTCCGGAGTTTGGGTCGGACGAATAGACTTTGTGAGAGAGTCCTTGAGGCGCTCAATGCCCTCGAGGTCGAGAGGACCGTGGTCGATGATGGTGGGCGTGACATTTTCCAAGGGCGCCGAAATGACCTTGACGCCTCGCGCGTCGACGCTGCCGACGGGAGAGGACAAGGCGACGCCTGGAAGGAGGGCGGCACCTACCAAGAGGTGCTTGAAAAAGAGTGTATTGAAAGACATGTTTTCACACGAGAAAAGAAGGACTGTTTACAAAAAAAGACTGCCAAGTTCAGAAGAGAACGACTGTGGTGTTGGAAGCGAAGGAAGTTGTTGGGAGACAAGCTGCTGAGGAAATGTTTGTTGATGTTCTCAACCTTCCGTCTTTATACAGCTCGACTCGGCTCCATCCCCCACGATATCTCTCTATCTCCTATACTCAGACAAGCGCTTCATATAGACGCCAATAAACCAAACGTCCACACTGACCCGTCTCGAATAGAACCAGACTTCCGGAATAGTGACCAAGTGGGGCGCGCCTAGTCGTGCAATGCCAGTCAGGGGAAGGGATAGCAGCCCTTCTGGGCTCTCGGCAAGAGACCAGATGAACGTCTTCTTGGTACCGACCAGGATCATGTTATTTATGGTATGATGAACTGCTTGGAGTCTCGCAAGTTGTGCAGGCTTCACTGTCTTCTAGAACTCAATTTTGAGGAATGTCACATTAAGATGGGGGTTTCAGCGTCACATGGGGGTAGATCTTCTAATGCTGAAGCAAGAAGCCTGGTTACGTTCAAACCTGCCATGAACAGGGTCCCCAGATACGTCTCTGGAAGTCTCGAGAATTTTCTAATGTGCCATTGAGACGTAAGCTCTTCATCTTAGTCCTCTTGCAGATAATAACGGTCCCGGTTGGCCTAACAGGGCAGTTTTCACGAAAACGAGGTTTTCGAAGGGCAGGCCTGGTAAGGCTGATGAGGAGCAGCTGAAAGGCATGGGTTCCCAAGGTTATGCCAGGGGTCTCGCCTTTCGTCCCCGCATATCCGCGCATTGCGCGCGTGTGATGGTAGTCATCCAAGGAGGGTTCCCTGGCAGATGGAAATAGAAACAAGGGCAGAAAATCAATCATCTGATGACCCATTGAGCAGCAATTTTCCCATCATCGTGATTAATCAAGGCGTTTCCCAAAAAGCTGGTTTTTGGGCAGTCCAATCCCCAATTTTGTTTCTGCTTGAATGTTGATTAATGAAGCTCTCCATCTGATAGCTGCCACATGCACCAGGGACATATTTACCTCTGTGCGTCCCATATGATAATTCCTCTAGACTATCGTCCCCTCGTCGTGGCGAAGTGGAAGCTACGTCTCGTTGACCTGCTCGTATCGTCTGATGATTTTGGGCTTCATCGCAACTCGAACCTTGGCGCTGAAACGCTACTTCGCCGGCCAAATTGCATCACCTACTCATTGTTCCTTGGCACGAGAATTAGCACAATTGGGTCCCTTGTCACAGGGTAGTGTACTTGCGAAGTTGCGATGAGTCGTTGATAGCGAAGTTCTGCCCTGCTTGAAGGTCAAACGACTTGCTTTCACCCTTTCACCCCTGATCTTGGCTGCCACGCAGCGGACGGGAGCACGGCACGAAGCATGAGCCTGGCATTGTGGCTTGGACCATGTTGCACTTCAATTGGCGTTCAACTTCCCCTCCCCATGTGCTTAGTTCGTGATATTCCCAGACTACCTCTCCAACTTGCAAGGGAGATGTGCTCTAGACTAGCTCAAGCCACGGCCACTCCGTGATAACGCCGAAACGTGGGGAGAATTGGACACCTTTGCTGCCAACCCAAATTCGTGTATACTTTCCTGGGGCTCCGAAAGCGGAAGGTCGCTTGCTACCGAACCTCTGGGTCGGAGAAGATCTACCTCTAGGTAGACTCGCACTCGTACGAGGTCGCTCATAATCTAGCAACCGCCGAGTCGCTAAACTCTACGGATATTTGTCAGAAGGTGAATTTAGTCCGCCGAGACCGTAATCTTGCCCTGACGTCCGCGCGTTCGACGATAAGGTCTTGTGAGATGTTGTCATGATAGTAGTTGTATACAGTGACGGGCAGAGAAAGCATAACTAAGCACTTGTCACGCCTTTCTTGGCATTTCTCCAAATCGCAGTGGCAAGGAGATTCGGAGACCTCCCCTATCCGCTTGAATCGGCTTCGGGTAGTTTGCTTTTGTGGACATATTCCTTACCCGCCGAAACGGAATGCGGACTCCGCAAAGTGTCCGTTGATCACTGACGGCAATGTTTGCAACGTCGATGTGTTCTATGGGTAGCCAACAGATGGCAGTGAAATGTCAAGTAAAGTAAGTCTAAAAGAAGGCGGAAATAGTTGCCTTCGATATAGAATACGAAGGGTACTCGCCTATCGTGACGCAAAAGGTTGTGGAGATGTTAGGACTTTACGATCCAGAGCCAAGCTTAAATCTTATCAGCGGTGTGCTATCGCTCAATCTGAGACGCGCTACTGGGGGTGTCCATGATTCAGTTGATCAGATACAGGTTGCGCTGACTCGCTTGTGGACAGCATATGCTGAGTAAACAGCTTCACGCGTTTACGCGTTGGCACCGGCTTTTTCTCCATTCCAGAAGATTGACTCAAACCCACGTTTTCTGTCCTTTGAATCGTTGCGCATTGTGGACAATGCTGTGGAAACCTCCTATTCTCCGAGGTCTGGCTAGACGCAGTCCTCTCGCTTGAACAGAGCGCACTACTACACACATCAGGATCAATTCAACTCTTGGTCTATCGGCCGGGAAATAAGCAACACTAGCTATTAGAAATTGACCTGTGGGATAAGTCCTGCCGAGCGTAGCTTCTGGTCCATACTGTATCATACTCTAAGAAACGCCATGCCTAAGCTCATGTGACCTGGCGGCAATCGAGTCGGCGATGCAAGATCCCTTGACTAGTCTCACAACACGCTGACGAGGATGGGGAAGGGTCCCCTACACACAATATGATTGGCCCAACACGTGCCGACAGGGAACCACCTTCGTCGCTTACCTGTCTCCGCAAGTCAGCCGGGATGAACGAACCTCTAGACAGCACTCGCGAGCGGGACCCAGCTAGCCGGTTCCATCATCTCATATCGATGATATCAAAATCAATGGACGATATCGGCGTCAATTCGCGGGTCCTCTACGCCATCGGCGCTGCGGTAATTCTGGCTGCCCCGGTCGCACACCACTTGGTTTTCCGCCACAACGACAGGAGCTTGTTGTCGCGGCTTCAGCGATGGGTCCGGCCTCCGCCTCAACACGCCCACGGTCCACTGGAAGAGGGCCAATTTCGTCTCATTCACCTGCTTCCTGGAAATGAAGGTGACGAAGTTCGGATAGGCCTCACTAATGAGTGGCTCAAGGCGCCAGTGAAATACCATGCCGTGTCCTATGCCTGGGGAGACGCGCGAGACAATGCATACATCACCTGCGAAGGAAAGGAGATACAGATCACCAGAACTCTGTTCGAAGCACTGAAGCGCTGGCGCCTCCCTACTGAGGAGGTCGTGCTCTGGGCCGACTCCATTTGCATCGATCAGAGGAACACGTTGGAGAAAACACATCAGATAGGGCGGATGTCGGAAATCTACTCGAATGCGGAATCTGTCAGAATCTGGCTTGGAAGTGATGATTCCCAAATTGATGGAGTCCAGGATGTTATCAAAGAGGCCTGTCAGATCATTCCTGATGTTGTGGACGATCCTCAACAGAACAGGAAAAGTGCAGATATCCTTGCCACTCGCAACCAAGAACGAACCCGAGAGGGCAAGACTACCGTCTGGAGTCTAGACTGGAAACCTCTGAGGGCGCTCATGAATCACACTTGGTTCGAAAGAAAGTGGGTTTATCAAGAGGCGATCCTCAACGACAACACCTGGCTCTACTGCGGAAAGCTTATGATGCCTTTCCAACCACTCTCAGAGCTGGCCCTAAGAATGTCAACGTTTGGTATCCAAGCTCTGCCCAAGGATGGAACTGTGAACGACAGCAACGTGACTTTTCTCCCGATCCGTCTCTACAACCTCTCCATGATGCGCATGAGCCAGTGGTATCGAGGAAAGCAACCTGTCACGCTGATGGATGGTGTCAAAGCCACCAGAGCATTTCAATGCACAGATCCTCGGGACCACATTCTGGGTGTCTTAGGCTACGCCTCAGACTTCGAGAAAGATAGCATCATATCCCGGGACAACTTGTACTCTCTCTCGGTTCAAGAGTGTTACTTGCGATTTGCCCGATCTCAGCTCCTGGAGAAGAAGAACCTCGGCGTTCTGGCCTCCGCACCGCAGAGACTAATCACCGACGTCGCGCTTCCCTGGTATTACCGTCCTATATACCGATGGAAGCGGCGAAGGCTACCAGGTCTTCCAACCTGGGTACCTGACTTGAGAAACCAGGAGTTAGATGCTTTGCCAAGCTACAGCGTTCGGTATGGCAAGTTCTCGGCCGGCGGAACACAGTGTGGTAGAGTCGAAATCATCGGCAATAAAATACTACGGTGTTCCGGCATGATCGTCGATACCATTCAGGAAGATGGAGTCTTCTGGCCCGAACTACCGCTCCCGCCGAAACCTAAGCGCGTCCCGTACCCGCTCGACAAGATGGATGTTTACTACGCTAGAAACTCGTTAAGGTCACTCGAATTTTACAAATCCTGCGTTCGCATTGCGTCGGGTTCAGATCGCATTCAAGACATGTCCCCCGAGCGCCTCGCTGATTTCTGGAAGACTCTGACATCTGAGAGGAGCCAGCTGAGCGACCGCGTCGACGTGGACCTGTCAGAGTCTGTCAAGACGATGATCACGAACATGGAGACTTGGCTCGTCTCGGAAGACCCCGAAGAGGCGAACAAGGCACGATTGAGCTTCGTGGCGGCTGCTGTGCAAGTGGAAATGACAATCCTAGCTGCCGCCAGTCCACGGAGGTTCTCTCGCACAACGGCCGGCAGGCTTTGCTTAGTGCCTCGAGAGGCAAAGGTTGGAGACTCGGTATGTCTGCTACTGGGTTCTGAGGTTCCCTTCGTGATTCGGCCTACGCGAAGCGGTATGTATGAGCTTATAGGGGATGCGTACGTCAGTGGTATCATGGACGGAGAAGCTGTTGCCTCTGGCGAATATACTCAGGCGGAAATCGAGATAGAGTAGCGCAAGCAAGTGTTTTTCAAGTGCGTGTGTGAGCTCCTGGAAGTATTAAGCGTTGGAAAGAAATAGCTTCAAATTCCTCGTTGAGAGTTTAAGTGATCTGATTGATAATGAATACATGATAAATCGAAGATAAGTTTCAGCACAAGCCCAATATCCCACCCGGTCTGTGCCCGCATAATTGTGCTTAATGCCACCCCATCGCCCGAGTGACAGGCACGCACCGAAAGGATCGGATGGGTTTGGAGATGCGATAGGGTGTATGACAGACTCCTATCGTTTCATCGGTGAGATAAGCTTCCTTTGAAAAAGAAGACCTCTTCCATCTTAAGTCCGACGCCGAGAGAACTCAATGGGAAGTGTTTGGGATGCCACGTGTTTTGACAGTACTCGGACTCAGATTCATATACTCGGCACAGTCGATGCCGTAGAAGACAAGCCCATCCTTCTATTCATGACACATAAATCCATGAGGAGAGTTAAATCTGTGAGCTACTTGAGGTTGTCGCGCCGGAATTCTCGCTGATAATTGTGTTGAATTTGATTTCGCGAGCGGTAATGATGGAATCGCCAACTGAGCCTTTGCGATTGCAGCCTCGGTAACCAGGATACATAATTGGTATCTGCCGCTTTCCTTTGTCGTTGTGAACCTGTTCGAGCCCTTTATTGCTCTGTTGGATATATTCCACCAAGGCTACATCGCCGGTGCCGGAAGGAAGGGCAGTTAGAAGAGAGATAGCCGGAGCGGCAAGGAAGGGGGTTAGAATCTGGATATATATAGGCAGATGAAAGATGATCAAAGGTGATGTTCGTCAAGATGAACAATGATAGCGATGACTGGGAATGAACAGTGACGAACACTTCACGTTGTCTTTTACAGGTAGCATATCAATATCTAGGAAACCCAGTATTCATCACTTTCTTTGCTCAACGAAAGCTCTGTTCAACATGATGATGTTACGTTCCAGTTTGGTCTCACGAGGTTGGTACCTGGTTCCCGTCTGAGCTGGGTGACTCGGGGCAGCGTCTGTAGTTCATGTTTGCCTCCAAAGCATCGTGAAACTTAGAGAATGATCAGCGGCCGTTGTACAAGATTGTTAGATTCTTGTGCTGCAAATCGTTTAGGCCTTCATTACAAACCTGCCTCGCCACCTGAACCCCAGAGAACTTCATTCAATCGACCACCAACATGTGAAACAGCTTTAGGCACTGTCTAAGCAGCCGCATGACAGTTCACATACCACGGTATCGTAGAACAGGCGGTGAACTTGCGGGGTAATATATCACCGTAGGCTTGATTGATTTAGTGCGTCCCAAGAAATCGATAATTCCACGACGTCGAGGCTTGTGTGATCCCAATTTAGTCATGATTTAGCTTTTTGACTGGCGTGGTGTGCGTGGATTGTCCATCTTCCTTCTCGGCAGGCAACTTTACATCTTGTCTGAAACTAGGTCCCTGCCTAGGAGTTTGTAGAAGCAGAGCCACGATGCCGAGCAGGTTTCATGACATATTCTTACAACCTAGACGATGGAGGAGGGGACGAAAAGTGGGCTGACTGCTCGCCCCTTCGTACTAGGAAGAATGATCGATCAGTCTGTCTACTCTTCGTGCGCGTTATGCGCACAATGTCGCTGACAAGCATGAACTTCACCATCTGGCCAGCCCATGTTCAGACGTTACTCTAATTATCTGCGCCACCTAAACGTGGCTATTGGACATTTGCGGCCAGTTCTCACTCAATTTAAATGGAAAGGTGAAGTAGTTGGAGGAAGGGCACGAGCACTTCACTTTCATGTACAAAAATAGAAGATGCGGCCAGTGTGGATTGAACACACGACCTTCAGATGAATTGAATGAAGTTTGCAGGAACGAATCCCACTTCAGTCTGACGCTCTCCCAACTGAGCTATGTCCGCTACTATCTTCAACAGCGTCCCTCGAGGCTGAATGCTATGTAGCGAATGTGTGAGGGGCCAACCTAAGATGCCCCCACTAGGGTTCCATTTTCGCGGGCCTAGCAAATTCACGAGCGGGGTGGGTGGGCTTTCTATGCCTCCATAACGATACGTTAGTCCGGACTTTTGATCCCAGCTCTCCAATGAAACAGGCAACAGCGCCTCACACATATTAAGTTACGTTATAGATTTCACTCAAGGTACACTCTATGTGGTTATTGTCGCGGACGAAGTTGCGGACATCATGAAAGAAAAGTTTCAAAGTCAGGCTACTCTGACACTGGTATCATGAGGGTCACGGGCATAAGGTCTCGTTCGACCTTTGACATTTGACACGTACTAGGATTACCCAAGGACGTTGCGTGAAGTCTATTCTGACGTTCGGAAACCCGCTTAAAGATGCCGCTATTGCCGTATTTCCGGACAACTGACCCGGAAGTCCGGGGAAGTCCGGGCCATCAGGCTTCAATATCTGAGCTGCAAAACTGCAAAATCCTGCTGATACTGCCTGCCGACAGAGGTTGGTAGGGGTCTGGGGACTTAGGGGATAGACCATAGATCTAAAGATCAGACCCGACTGGCTTGTCAGGCTGGCACATCTTACAAGCGGCCCGCACTCCGACCGCTTAGTTAGCTACAGCCGGCAGAGTCCGCATCAAAGCACCAAATCAGACATCGTCCATACTAATGGTTTCATCGCTCCAGACTAGGACAGCATGGTCTGTTAAACCATGTACACGCCCATGACTCGTGGAATCACGCCAAAATGTAGAAAAATTAGAATTGTAGCGACCTATCAGACGCCCCTGTACTGTCGTATAGTTACCGAGGTCGCGAAAACCTGCCCCCTCACGAGAGGCATAGCCAGGTCACTGGTCACGACACGGCAGACAGAAGTTTGACGGCATCTTTTGACAGGGAAGCATATTATCTGACAAGCAATGAGGATTTTGACTTGAAACCCCCAGTCGCGAAGTACACACACTCATTGGCAGCAGTCATGCCCAAAGGATAAGCAAGTGCCAAGCTTTATACATCATCAGACCACGAACTTAGTCTAGTCCTGAGGAACTACGATTCTCACCGGGTATTTTTGAGGTTCGCGAATAAGAGATGACTTGTGGTTTGCTAGGTTGGCGGACACGAGATGGTGTGATCGGATACACGAGCCGGGCTCAGGGCGCTCAGGCAAAAGCTCTACGCGCAGCCGGTTACTTAGGCGGCGATCTGGTTGGTCGCGGTACAGATGCTGGGTTTCAGAGTCGGAGGCCCTGCTAGACGAGCTCTCCGCTGTGCTCGCTCATCGTGCACAACCCGATTTTTCTGATATTCTATTTTCCGTGGGGGCTAGGCTGGCACGGCTGGTAGTGTGGTGGACCGTTGGTGGTAACTTACATCGGAATTGCGCCGACAAACACAAGATTATCCAACCAGGAATAGGAGTTTTTGCTGCTCCTTGTTTACTAGTCTGCCTGACTCAGCGGAATATCAGCAGTCGATCCAAGACAAGGTGACGCTTGAATGTGGCGCCGAGCTTTCCAATGGAACTTGTCCGTCTAGGCTAGCCCCTTACACCACCCGAGAAAGTGCGAGTACGACTAGAGTACGAAGGCGTCCGCGGGTTGGGTGCAGGTTATGCGTCCCCTCTATTAATCAACAGCCGTATCTTCCTAAAGTTGCACCAGAGCGTAATCAATCTATCGCTGGACTTTGATCCAGAGCGATTCGTCTTGTCGAATCTGTTGTCATGGCGGAAACGTCGTGGTGTAATACCTACTTAACGAATCGTTATTCACCGATTCGATCCGTCGCGTGACTGTCCTCGGACAGCACCGAGTACGAACATGCAACCAAACCCGTCACGACGGGCGCATCCAAAGACTCGGACAGGCTGTAAGACTTGTAAAGCGAGAAAGATCAAGGTAAGCAAGTCAGTTACTACGGTTGTGCCCGGCTGGATCGCACGCGTGACAATGTGTGGTAGTGGCAAGATCAGAGGACCTGGTCTAGAAGCCGCCATGCTTATGCCATGTCTCATTCTCGGGAGTCGGGCCGGTGGGATGAATACCTCAACTTCTTCTCAAATCTTCAGGAACTGGAAAATGACTTGCGAGACTCTTCTAGTGTGATGAGCAGCGACCAGCCTGCAAGAACTGCCTCAAACATGGCGTGGCTTGCGGGTTTCTAGCCTCGCCATCACTCGACCCGATGCTGGCCCTCTCTCAGCATGCGGGCGAGTTGAACTTTCTCGACCTTGAACTCCTGCATCATTACTGCAACTTCACCGCGCAGACTCTATCGGACAACCCGCTGCTCGGGGAATTCTGGCGGCTGAATGTCGTCAGACTCGGGCTGGAAACCGACTATGTCATGAGGAGCATTCTCTCGCTCGCAGCACTGCATCTCGCGTATCTGAACCCCGATAGGAAAGACCAGTTATTGGAAAAGTCGATGCTGCATCACGAGATATCCTCAAGAACAGCTGTCGGCTTGATGGAGCACGTTCAAGACGAGAATAAAGCACACTTGTTTATCTTCTCAGTCTTGACTATTTACATTGGTAGGAATTCTCGTTCGCAGTTTCGATACTGGAATAGTACGCTGATTCTTTTCTCCACTGGCAGTTCTAGCCAATTCGCAATATCTACACGAATCGCCGCTAGCCAGTGCAGGTCAATCTCCCGACTGGATAGTCCTATTCTGCGGGACCCGGTATCTTGTGGGGGATCCAAACGATAATCTCATAATTTCACCGATTATCACGCGGATTACTGCACACTTCCAATATCGTGAAGGTCCATATCACCACACGCATCTTGGAGACCTGGAAGCCAATATCAACGCATCAGAGCCAGACAACGGGCTTCTGGAGATATACAACAGGGCCATCAATGAGCTCTACAAGTCTTATGGCGCTTTCTACGATTCTGTAGAGCCTCAAGACATTACTGATGTCTTCGTCTGGATTGCCATGGTTGCAGATGACTTCCTTCCATTGTTGAGAGAGAATAGACAAAAGGCGCTGGTCATATTCTTGTATTTTTGCATGCTTCTCAAGCGCTTGCGCAGTCGCTGGTGGCTGGATGGCTGGGCAAACAATCTCTATGCAGAAACGTATAGTATGCTAGACCAGGAGCATAGATCATGGATCAGAGATTCGGCAATGGAAACCAATGAACTTTGTCTATGAAAAAATACTCCTCTAATGCCCAATCTATTGCTCTTTGGTACCGCAGGCAACCTATCTGCGTTGAGCCTAACCTTAGATGCAACGCTTCTCTTTCGCACTTGACACAGTCTAGCGACACTTTTCCCAACCGACGGAAGACTGATGTTCCCATTATTTGCCCCCTATTTCTGGTTGGTGAGCCTCCCAGAAATCTCTTCCAACATGCAGGCACTATCGCTGGACCCTAAAGTGTCTCTGTCCTTTCTTGATGCCTTGTGTTCCAAGTCATCAACATACCAAACCAGAAAGGTTGCCATGACTGCAATCATGAGAATCGTATCGAAAATGTAGAGAAATATTTCGTGCGAGATAAGGTACCCGCGGTTACCTTGGAGGTATTCAATGACTCGGAAGATGCTTCGTACGAGGATGATAAGACTGGTGCTGTATAGAACCCAGAGGTATCTTCGCCAGGGTATGATCCCTTCGATGGCAACTGTCGTAGGCTTTCGAATGATTCGGCGATGGAATAGGATAGTCGTAACGATAAAGAACCCAAAGACAACGATCTGAACTAGAAGACCGACTATGATGATCTTCTCACCAATGTCGTAGAGCTCCAAAGTCCCTGCTGCTTGGATTCCACCTCCTCCAGCCTGCATTGTGAACGAGACAATGTCTCCAGTGACGAAGATCTTGGTGACCCATGGCACGGGCAATAGAGAAAGGTGGTCGGCTCGGAGGGTTCGAATCAGGCGGCCCAGAATCATGTAGATCGAAGCTGCGTACAAAGCCGGGGCAACAAGAATTAGGATGGCCTGCATGACGAAGCCGCCGATGGCCATGGTATCAAAGTGTGACCATATTCGTCCACAGTATCCTATCGTCTGAACTATCCAGTCAAAGTCAGTATCTTCATTCCCGATAGAGGGCAGGGTAGTTTTCCAAAGCCGCCAATGGAACAAGCCGCCTCGGGGGCCCGAGTAAGGGGCAGGTTTAAAACGTGGCCACACTCACAAACACCGCCAAGAGCAAAGGCAGTAAAGTAGAAGGCTCGGGCTCGATACAGCCGGCAGAAGTGAAAGATGGTCAGAACCGCAAACACTGCAGCACTGGCTATGGCGGCCGGAAGGGATGGCGTGTAGCGGTAAAGTCGGAAGTCAAACGCTGCTCCAGCAGCTGCTTCTGCTCCCCCGGCGCCCGTCGTCGAGTTGATTCCGTCCATGTCAGCCCCACCCTCAGAGCTTTACTATTTCGGGGAGGCCAATGAAAGTGTAGGCTGTAGCGGGTTGCTTCGAGTTGATGATCGTGTGCTGGCCAAGCTACCTACACCAAAAAGTACAACAACAAGCCTCTCAAAACCGCAAAAGAATGAGCTGATAGAAGAGAATGAGCTTTAGTACCGTGATTCGAAATTGAAAAGACGCAGTCCCTCAAGAGTTTTAGTACTTCCTTCTGACTGTGCCGGTGGGAGATGCAATACTAAGCTTAGGATCTTCGGACTTCTCGCACACCTCGTATATCACCCGAGTCCGACGTACTCGGACTTATTGTACGACTTTGATCACGTGGAATGGAGAAACGCACGAGGCTTGGACGTTCATCATCACGAATGATTAACAACAGAAATTCTGCGCCACATCACAAAAATCCGAAAAGTCCGAATATCCCGAGTTATCTCGTATTTATTGTCACCCAAGCATTTCACGCCACAGCGGCCGCCAGGAACCGCGTAGTACCTAATCTTTGGAATAGATGAATACGACTTTATGAATTGACTCTCTCAGATAACATGCTGTTTGACAGTCGGAATTCAGGTAGGGAGAAATGTTACTACAGCTACTTGACTGCCGTTTGATGCTAAAATATGATGGCTCGATCCTCCGCTGTCATTGACGACATCCCTTTCCCGTATTTCCAACCACCTTATGTTGTTTCAGAATTCATCTCGGAAAACTCACGGGTCTGCGGATATTTCGCAGGGCTTGATCTTGGGATATGTGCATTGAACGGCATTGTCGCATGTAGAACACACTATCTCAACAAGACAGACTCACGCTTCTAGCAAATACAGTGACTGATGATGGATAAGTCCAAAAGTATCTTGACGTGTTGCGACAGACTAGGAACGCATAGGAGGAACGCATAGAAAATTGGCGTGAGAAAATACCCATGTCAGTCAATACGTTCATAGCGCAGGGCTTTAACAGTCAGAGGCGTCAATATACTTAAGTGATTAAAGTAGTTTTAGGAAACAGAGATCGTTGAGGCGAGGGCTTGCATCAGTCACCGGCATTGCATTAGACATTCGGACACTAAAGACGGAAATTGACCAAACGTTGTAAATGAGCATAATAGACGGCCATAAAGTGAGCGATCGTGGTAGATATTCCTGCAAGCCTAGTCTTTGTTCAACTCACCAGCAACTCACGGAATTTGTCAAGGCAACAAGCTTTGGGTACTTCATACTTGGGTTTCTTGCTAGGCCAAAACCTCGAGGTTCACAAATGTCGTTGTTAGCCTCTTCAAGGGGAACATGGTCAGAAATCCTGCCTTGGGATCCGGCGGACAGCAACTCAGATCATATTGAATCTCCAAAACCCTCTCTGCTGCCTTGTCAATGTCCAGTCGAGCTTGTGAAGATATTGACACACCAGAAAGTCGAGGGACGGCAGTGCCGACCCGCGTCAATGCAATGCGCGCAGATAATTAGTTATGAACTCTTGCTTCTCACTATCTTGTATAATAATGCCTCCAATGATTAATCGTAGGTTGAAGACAGTTGGGTATGGTTCGCATTGCTATTATCAGCACCAGTCGTCCCGATATCGGGATTTGGCAGGGATGACTAGTCTGTCATCGATTGAGTTTCAACGTGGTTTAAATGATTGACGTCAAGATCCGACGGGGATCGACAGCAGCACGGTGAACCCTACCTCACGTAGGGGCATGGTCGGAATCCGAAGTGTGTCGCCGCCAACTGTGTGAATGCGGGGTCAACCGTCAGAAGTGTTAGCTCCGATCCGGGGCAACGATTATCTAACAGCACGGAAGCATCACAATCAATGCACCTTCACATACACAACTGATCACTGCAGAATAATGGATTCGAAAGAAGACATCAAATTCGAGGGCCTCCCGACCGAGGTTCTCCTTCACATACTAACCCAAATCGACGATGTCCACTGTCTCTGGAACCTCCTTATCTCCTCGCCTATCCTAAGCCGGGTTTTCAACCACTATAGTGACGATATCTTCTGGCCCGCCGTAACAGAGAATTACATTCCGTCACAGACACAGAAAGTGATACGATGTGTCATCTCAATACGCGCAGGCGCGTATCAGAACACGCCCCATCTCACACTTGCTGCCAGGATCAGTGATCGCGAAGCCGGCATCGTCCTCGGCCAGAGCTCGGATTCAGATTACATTCTCCCGACCATGGATCCAACCAAGGGTCCTGATTTGACCGTCATGCGGTCGATACTCGCTACAGCTAGTCGCTTACACTCTCTGAGCCGACTGTGCATCAGCCACTATCAAGACAGTCTGGTGGCTGCGAAGACAGAAGGCCGTTTGGACGTCCCAGACCTTTCAGCGACAGACAAGCTGTCATGGTGCGAAGAACAGCGTATGATTCGAGCATTCTGGCGAGTTCAAGTTGTACTCGAAATGAACTTGGCAGCGCGAAGGTCCCAGCTCCTCGGAACGAAAGGAGAGGGGAAGGACTTGAAAACGGAGGTTCTTGATATCAAGTCCTTTTACGACAGCACTAGCACCAACTTCAAGGCCGCTTATCATGAGGTAATGACAGCAATAGACTACCTCCAGACTCTTTCTACCTCCAAGACACATAGTGTTACCGCACTCGTGGATCGGATGCCGCCATCCGAAAGCCCTATCGAAGACATCTCGCCTTCGGCCCGAGGAATGCCCGCAACTCCCGACAGTCGTAGGTCTGCGTTGGTATTACCGGCAGACAGTCTATGGATTGTGGACAGCATGGGGAGGAATGCGCACTCGCCGATGAAATATGCGGGTTTTGAGCCTTACAGGAAAATGGGGTTCGCAATTTGGGACAGAGACAGACTCGCGAGGTTGGGAATGGCTAGTCCGCCTGGTCATGGCCGCGTGACAGGCTTGGGCTCATATTTCCCAAAATGGGTGAAGTTACTGGGTTCACAGGATATGGCTCGAGCTGAGGGCAAAATGAGAGAGGCTGAGTGTCGAGGTGGACGATTGGATCCTCTACAGCCCATGATCCAGGATAATGCATCCTAGCGAAGTATGGGAACGGGAGAAAACTAAGTTTTGATCCACGATGTTTAGTAGTTGATCCGATACTTGAGTAGTTAAAGTACGCATTGTGATCTTTTTTCCTTCTCAAATTTATCGCTTCTAGCAAGGGAATACTCATTTCAGACAACACTTACAGAATGCCTGTTTTTGGCATTATACCCTATTGTACTATGACTAGAGCTCTCTCTACTGATTCAGGTACACATGGTATGAACGAAATATTTAGCAGGTAAGACCCCCATCGATGACAATAGAAGTTCCCGTAACGTAGGTAGATTCATCACCGAGCAAGAACCCAACCAAAGCAGCAACTTCCTCGGGCTTCCCCGTGCGAGGAATCGGTGGTAGCATGCCCCCCATGGGATCCGCTCCACCTGGCTTTGGCTGCATCATCGGCGTGTCAATGCCGCCCCTGTATCGGCACAATTAGTCTATACTCACATCGGACCTTCAGAACTTAACTCACGGATTGATACAATTGACCCGCACTTGTCGATTACCGTACTCTCTTGCCGCATTCCTTGTAAGTCCCAGGACGGCGTGTTTGCTGGTAACGTAAGCCGAGCCGCCGTGGCCAGGAAAGCTTCTCAGGCCGAGGACACTCGAGGCATTGACAATGGAACCTCCATCACCGATGTGCTTCAGCTCTTCTCTCAGGCAGAACATCGTTCCCGAAAGGTTGATACCGAGTAAGAACTCCCATTCTTGGTCAGACTGGGCCTCCAGAGGGACCTGGCTTGACGCGGCAGTTCCGGCAATGTTGGCAGCGCCATCTAGGCGCCCAAAGGTCTTCTTAGTGTTTTGGATCCAGTCTCGAACCTGCTCGGGCTTGCTGACATCGACCACGGTGGCTTCAACACGAATGCCTGAATTGGAAGTCTTCAGCTCTTCGGCAATGGCTTTCAGGGCTTCTGTCTGGACGTCAGATATCGCCAATGATGCTCCTCTGCTGGCCAGGTAAACAGCAGTAGCTCGGCCTATTCCACTAGCCGCTCCAGTGATTGCGATGGTTTTATTGTTGAGAGACATGTTAATGGAAAACATGGACTCCGTATGGACTTTTGAATAAGAAAGCAATGTCTATTGAGACGTATGCCCATGAGGTTGTAGCAAGATAAACAGAAAACCTCTTCTGGTGGATGCCTCTTATTTATATTACCTTTTGACCAAGGCTGTGAGGAACTGCCGGTGACATTTATTTCACATACATGCCAAGCAAAGTACACAAATCGTCATGGTCTCTGGAGGTGTGACAATAAGCTTGGTCCATCATGTCTACCGAAGACCATCGTAACGGTGCTCAACTGAAGCTCATGAGCAACCGCATACAAGACGGAACGTCTCTTCCCAACGGAGCTACGGCTGATACTTCGATGAAATTTGGGCCGCACTGCCGCCGGATATGGACCGTCGGACGCGATCATCAGTCCGCGTCCGCGTTGCTTCTCCAAAAGAGGCGTTTCCTGATCGGGGAGTCTAAGCGCGGAAGAATCCCACAACCCACCTGCCGGACCGTGGAGACGGGAGCGGGGAGTCGGAGGAGGCATTCAAGGGGCTGGACCTATCCAATTCCAGGTAAATCCAAGGTATACATAATCTCCTATCCTTTCCATACATCTGAAGTATCATTGTCGGGTAGTGGACGTAGGGTATCCGCAAACAACGTCATGTTCTCGGCTTCAGAGGTGCGGTTTCCGCGGCCCAGAGCTCCGCCATGTCATCCGTGGACCCCAATGTGTCGGCACTCCGCGGACGCGGTCTCATATGCTGATCGCCCTTGTTGGTATAAAGCCGCCAAACTGCCGAAACTTCCAATGAATATGCTTTTGAGCTTTTCAGGCTAACCTTGGTCTGGTCTTCATCGCATCTTGGAAAATGTCAAATTTTACTACAATAAGTTCGACCGAAGAACAGATTCCGTCCTTTAGCGTTATAGCTACGGCTGTCTCCACACTATTAGTCGGCTTGCTTTATGCTCTTTACAACTACCTTCTTCCTAAGCCGATTGCCGGAATCCCATACAATAAAGAGGCTGTCAAGTCCCTTCTCGGAGACATTCCCAGACTCCAGAAAGAATCTCCCCAAAACCCCTTCAGATGGATGATTGAACAAGCGCGCCGACATGACAGCCCCGTGTCTCAGTTCTTCCTCGAGCCCTTCCACAAGCCGACGGTCTTCATCGCCGACTTCCGCGAGGGGCAGGATATACTCATGCGTCGCAAGGAGTTTGACCGTTCCGACTTCACTATCAGCATCCTGAGCGGCGAGGCCCCCAGCTTCCACATCAATCTGAAGACGGGCCCGGAATGGAAGGCCCACCGGCGCTTGCTCCAAGACCTGATGACCCCGAGTTTCCTCAACAAAGTCGCGGCCCCGAATATCTACAAGAGCGCGACAAATCTTTTGGAGTTGTGGAAGATGAAGACGGCGGCTGCCGCTGGGAAGCCTTTCAGTGCTGAACATGACATCTTCTACACGGCACTCGACGCCGTCTTTGATTTTGGATTTGGTACCAGTGTCGAACATCGAGCACTGATCCCACAGATCGAAATGCTTCGAGAAGGTAGCGGAAAGAACGCACTGAACGCAAAGGCTACCGAGTTCCCCGTTGCACCCATTCATCCTACTCTGGAGGCGGCGATCAAGACAGCCGATAATATCACTGGAGTTGCCGCAACTGGATTTCCTAACATAGCATGGTGGTTTATCGGCCTCAAGCCCAGTGTCAGAAGCATGAGGACATTGAGAAAAGAATTCTTCAGAGAGCAGGTCCAGAAAGCTGTTGGGAGATACGAGGGTCAGGCTCAGAACAGTAGCGACAGCTATGTCAAGTCTGCAGTGGATCTGATTATCCACAGGGAAACCATCTTTGCGGGTAAAGAGAACCGCGAGCCAGTGTATTGGTCTGATGCAATGAATGACGAGGTGAGTATCTCTTCTTCAAGTACGCTCTTTGCCGCTTTTAGCTGACAATTTTCTTGATGAAGTTGCTTGGATTCGTCGTAGCGGGGCACGATACCACAAGTACAACCCTTTGCTGGGGGGTGAAGTTCCTCAGCGACAACCCTGCTTGTCAGCAACAACTTCGCAAGAGCCTTCGCGCAGCTCACTTAAACGCCGTCGAAGATAAACGCCTCCCATCGCACGAAGAGATCACAAGAGCTAGCATTCCATACCTTGAGGCCGTTATCGAAGAAATGCTCCGACTCGCGCACACCGCTATTGGCCAAGAGAGGCAGTGCAAAGAAGACACCATCGTCCTGGGACGCCACATTCCCAAAGGCACCACGGTCTTCATTCCCAACAAGGGCCCCAGTTTCACAGAACCAAGTTTCGAAGTCGATGAGAAATTGCGGAGTTCTTCGTCTCGGACAGCAGCAGAGGAGCGCGGCTTGCGGGCTTGGGGCCAAGAGGGCATGGACGAGTTCCGCCCTGAGCGCTGGCTCACAAAGAGCGACAACGGCGAGCTCGTCTTCGACGCGTTGGCTGGGCCGACTTTACCTTTTGGTCTCGGTCTTCGAGGCTGCTTCGGTCGCAAGTTGGCGTATTTGGAGCTCAGGCTTTTAGTTACTCTGCTGGTGTGGTCGTTTGATTTTCGGGCTTGCGATGAGAACCTGTCCAACTACGATGACATCGAAACATTGACCCGGAAGCCAAAGCAGTGTTTTGTAGCTTTGGGGGCTTTATAGGCCGCCATGTGGGAGGCAAGAGCATTGCATCGGCATCAGATCTAGCAGGGAAGAGTCATCAGGTACTTGCATTAGCGTGGGTCACATCTGAAGTTGCAAATCAATCACTTCCAAGCATAGGCAAGTGAAGCGAAGACCTTCTCTGTAAGTTGACAGGAAAATGAGTTGGTGGAAATGCAGTGTGAGATCCCAAACGGAGCCCCCAAGGCTTCACCGCAGGAAGCTCCACGGCATCAAAGAGGTGTGTACATGTACTTTCGCAACCCAGCTTCACGGACCACGCATGCATGCATGTGAATCAAGCCGTTAAGCACATTTAATTCTATGTCTCTTGTATTCGAGGCCAGTCAACATGGATAGCATGAGCCGCCCATGTTTTCGGTCGGAACATGATCTCTCAAAAGCAGCATCTAAAAACCATTCACAAGCGAACCTTAACGTAAAATGGCACTCTTACAGGGTTAAACTGTTAGTTCGGACGACTTGTAGCATTAAAGCAGCAAGAAGGCTAACTTGTTTGAAATCAAACGAGGCGCAACGAGGCGCACCGCGGCAGCCTGGGGAATGCTACAGTATTGAAATCAGCCACGTTCAACGCCCTGGATTCGGCAAAGCGGTTCCTGAAACCAGCCACGGTCGGCATCTGCCTGGCTGACAGTGCAACGTATTCCTGGTGACGGCCGGACTGAAACTTCGTGTCTGACACGCTAGGAACATGCCACGCCTCAAAGTCCCCATAAACACTCATTCGAAGGCAGCAGGATTTCTGTTCCTATATAGGTCGCCTTCTGATCCTCCTTCCTAATAAGCGGTTTTTTGACGCTCATTCTTCCTAGTTTTTGAACGTAAAAGTCGCGCGAAACAAATACAACGAGAAATACCGGTCACTAGACCTGCATCTGCATCTCCCAACGTCGAACCCGCAGCTAGCTTATCGCAATCCCGCGACAATGGATGCCGTCCGCGCCGGCAAGCGACCCACTCCGGCGCCGACGGCAGAAGGGTCACTCCGGTCAGCCGATAAGGAGGCGTTTGGCCGCACTCAGCTCGCCGGCTTCACAGATCTACCCGCAGAAATCCACCTTCTCATCTCCAAGCAACTCATCTACCCCGACGCCCTCTCGCTGAAACACACCAGTAGCTACTTCTATTACCTAGTCGACACGGGCGTACGGCTCAAGGTGGAGTGGCTCATGGAGCGCCGCATGCTTCACCTCGAGTGTCCCAATGATAAACGATGTGACCTCGGCAGCGATCTCCGCTTTTGTAGAGGCAGTGTTCCGTAGGTTATCCCAACGTTCCGCTCTGCTACTTGATGCTTGCCCTATCATGCCCCTGTACCTGCTGTCTGACTCTTTGTATAGGCTTCTTATGCAGAGGCGGCGTGAACACATGGAGTGTGAGTCAAGGCCGGGGCTCGGCTGCCTAGTCTACGGCACTTCTGTATGCTCTCATCGACGAAGAATTGGTGCTAGATGTCAACGCTGGCTGAGGCGACGGCTGACCGTGGAGTTGTGGTGGGTGTTGATTGCCCTGATACCGATTGTTTTCTGTTGGCTCTGGATGGCGGAGTTCGCTACGTGGGCCTCGAGTGCGTACAGAACTTCTACATCTTCTTTGACAGACTCTATGATGCGATAATGTACTCGTTGGTGTCAAAAAATATGCCCGGTTCGGGTTCTATTCAAGTACATGTCCATATATCTTACCAATAATGTCTAATACCTACGAGAAGTCCTATTTTCTACCTTGCAAGCACTTCAATGAATGTATTGTCATCGAAAGGTGCCCAGATTCGGCCTGGGACACTTCAGATTTACCATTACACCTTGCTCATAGTAAGCACATTGTTAGTTTGACTGAAAGACGACTCGGGATTCAAAGACGAATTCGAACAAACGACAACATGCTCATTCTAGCTATGGGATAAACACTATGCTTACATCACGGTGGTATCCTTTGATAAGTGAGTTTCTGCCTTGGATTGATTCGACCCAAAGAAATAATGCAGGAAGGTAAACAAAGGATGCCAAATCCAGGTTTTTCTTTTTGGGTTTCTTTCTCTCCAGCCTCTAGCACCATACCATGTTGGCTTACTCCTTAGCTTTTGTGTTTCGATTTTACTTATACCGAATATTGCCAGGGCAGATTACTATCTGGAATGAGGTCCAGCTGTATCCAGATTACTTATTCTAGGAATCTGCCATGCGATCCCGACCTACCCACTCGACAACGGCCCTCAAGAGTACACACAGCATTCGGACTAGCGTACCATTCGTAAGATAATGTCGATATTTGCCGACTTCAAAGACAAGTGCTCTTTCCCTAGCCTTAAGGAGCTATCTTCGCGCCCTCCCGACGTTCGAAATCACTGGTGCACGCTGGCCGAGATCCAAAACGCCATTGTCATCGAGAGTAATACTTACCTCACAGTCTATGACACTGAAGGCCATAAGTTATCCGTCTTGGTCATGGGCTCTTCCAAAAGTAACGATGACAACTACCTCAGTACCGGCCATACCATTGCCATCTTATATCCTTTTTACGACTATACTGCTGTACTCAACAAGAGGGATCACATCCATGTTGACCAACATAGCTGCTATCGTGTAAGTCTTGTTCTGAGAAATTTAGAAAAAAGGTTAGATGACCGAAAGCCAAAACATAAATGTCTCATCGAGGAGAAATCTATCTCTAACATAGCAATGCCTTAGGTATTTCCAGTCAGTCTTTCTAAGCTCATTCACTTCAACCAGGATCTCTATAAGCACAACGGCCAAGACAAAGCCCAGCGCTACGCTTGCAGCAAGACATCCGATGCCCACGTAGAGTGCAAGCAATGCTGAATCCCTGACTACTGTGACCAGGTATGTCAGACAGCTTTCCCTCTTTCCATTTGATAACTGTAAGCAGTTGCTGTGGAGAGAATTCATACTGGCCGGTGTGCAGATCTGCGCGGAAGCGGGGCTCAAGATAGGCCACAGGGAGGCTTGCAATGTGTTGAAGGACAAGAACTTGCGAACACTTCTTTCCCATGACTACGATGGAACAGACAGGATATAATTCCACGATTGAGTCAGAGATTCAAGGCTAGGTACGGAGCTCGTACCACCACCGGTCATGTTTCGCCATGAAAAGTACGATGGCTCGCCGATGAATTGGTGAAGGTTGTCGAAATACTAGATCTATTATTCTTTACAATGATTCTGATTCGTGGAACTTTATGTTTGTGGTATGCGTCGCTGATGATGCGTGTATGAGGTGACTACTTACACTAAACTTTGGCATCTTACCATAATGGCCGTTTCGAGATGATTACATGAACCATTGACTTTGACTACAGTCTGGAGTCGGTATGATCATGGCCAAAAGCACGCTGGTAATCTCCTATGGACTTACTGCATAGGCACTTGTCGGTGCAACCAAAATGTCAGAAGCTCAATGATGCGCAATCGGCAAGTATCTCCTGCCGTTTTGCGCCGACCTGGACTTCTGTGAACTCTTTAAATGAATAATTAGACTATATGGGTGAAGATTGCATTCCTGAGTAGAGGTAGCAGTACATTGTACAAGTAGCATCTGTGAAAATCTTGTACTGACATGTCACATCTTGCTCCTATGCAAAAGCGAAGTGGGGTGTTGGGTTGGCGTGATTCGCACAAGACAAGAGACGAGAAGGACAAAAGTAAACCAGCTGTCCTTTGAAGGGGCAGAATCGAGTGTCTATTTTGAGTAAGTGAAAATGAACAGAAGTTCATCTTTCGATCGGCTCCTGAATACCACCCAAGCTGGTGACGATGGCACCTCGTTGCAAGGCCGTTTTCTCTGGGACTCACTATGAAATCTGTTCGGTCATCAAGTAAATTCTCTTGCGTGGCATGACCACACGTAATTCAGCATGAGGCGGACCTGCTAACCGCAAGGCAAGAACAAGCTCATCAGAAACATGCTAATTTGTTTGAAGCTAAACTACTCAGCTAACAACATTAGAGTGAGATACGACATTGGGCCAACTAGTTGACTTTCCATCACCGGGCAGGTGTGACAGAACCGCAAGGTCAATATTGGGTTCACTTGGATGTTTTCGGTTCCCGATGGGAGGATTGAGTGAGAGATTTCTTCGTGCGGACAGTCCTCAGCGCTAGACTTAGCTCCGAGGCCGCCGCCGCCGAGAGCAGCTGATTGATCGGATAACACTCGATCCAGCTAGCGCGTCTCTAGTGGAAGAGTCTAAAGATCAGCCTGTATTCTAGCGAAGATATTTTGAGCAGTTATATCATCAGCTCTTGCCAGAGTCGGCGTCTGCCGTCTACCGAAACAGTCCAGGTTTGATGATCAGCGGAGCTAATCTGTGTGTGCCTCATATCACCCTCCAGCAGAGAAGACCATCTACTATTAATCAAGCCGATTCACCGGTCATGCATCAAGGGTCTCCCATCCTAAGAACCTTTCAAGCTACAGAACCCTCCGCTTTATTTCCAAATTACGACTAGCTCTCCCCAAACCTAGCGGCCCGATGCCAAGTGAATTAAGCTTGGGCGAAACCGAGTTGAGGTGACACTGATGTGCGTTTCCCTTCATCGGGATCAACGTCCGAGCTTGATCCCCTCCAACAGGGCCCATCTTGAAACACGCATCGCGCCTTTCCGAGGAATGCTTAAATGGTGGCACCTCTTTGTTTCCCTTCCTTAAAGTCCGGTGCAGAGCCGCCTCGAATTTCTCCACCTTCCCTGCGACCTGCTTGACCGTTAGACTTGTCGAGGGTGATGCTGTAATCATCAGCGACAAGGCAAGAAGGGCATCGACGGCCCCCAATTTCCGTTCTCCCGGTATATTCCAATATGCACTGGCTCCGTGCGGTCTTGCTGCTTCCCGTTGCTGTTTCTGCAACCTTGAATTTGAAACAGTACAAACCATCGCTGAACCAGCCCAAGTACTCAAACGCGAAGGCCGACTTTCAACAGAATGTCGTGAATAAGGCACAAGGGGAACCAAAGTTCCTCACAGATAAGACCAAAAGTGCGTTGATACGTAACCCTAATGACGAAACTTAGGATACTATCTAACACCATTGTCCTAGAATTTGTTGTCAATGGAACAAAGATTCCTGAAGTTGACTTTGACGTCGGCGAGTCCTACGCGGGATTGCTCAACATCGACAAGAACAATGACACGGCAGGAAAGCTGTACTTCTGGTTTTTCCCATCCGAGAGCCAGGCCGCCGATAAGGAGATTATGATCTGGTTGACTGGCGGTGTAAGTCTTTGCGACTAATCGATAACTGAGCAGCGCTAACTGTCATGGCCAGCCTGGCTGTTCCTCCACCGGAGAACTCCTCTCGGAAAACGGCCCCATGCTCTGGCAGCCAGGAATGTTCAAGCCCATTCGCAACAAATGGAGTTGGCACCGCATCACCAACGTCGTCTGGGTTGACCAGCCAGTCGGTACTGGATTCTCCCAGGGTACACCCAGCGCCAAGGACGAATTCGATGTAGCCCGCCAGTTCCTCAGCTTCTGGCGCAACTTTGTCGACACTTTTGCCATGCAGGGCTACAAGGTCTATGTGACGGGATCCTCGTACAGCGGCATGTACTGCCCCTACATCGCGAGCGCTATGGTCGATAGCAATGACAAGGACTACTTCAACATTGCCGGTATGCAAATCTTCGATGGTACATACTCGGTCGACAGTATCGGGGAGGAGATCCCTGCAGTTTCCTTCGTGGATCGATGGGAGCATGTCTTCGCCTTCAACGACACGTTCAGGCAGACGTTGAAGGATGCGCACGAGAAGTGTGGGTATGCCGATTACATGCGTAAATGGCTCGTCTATCCACCTGCAGGACAACAGCCTGCGACGATGCCGGGTATGGATGAGGACGGCAATGTAAAACCAGAATGCGATACTTGGACCATGATTCTGGAGGCCGCGACGGAAATTACTCCTTGCTTCAGCGTTTACTCCGTTACGAATCTCTGCCCATTGAAGTACGACCCTCTTGGATTCAGCGACGGCTCTATGTATAGGCCGAAAGGGTCTGGACCAGTTTACTTCAACCGCGAAGACGTCAAGAAAGCCATCAATGCCCCCTTGGATAAGGAATGGGTTTTCTGCACGGAGACACCAGTGTTCTTCAATGAGACCGACAACTCCATCGACGAAGGACCGGGAAGTCAACCAGTCTTGCCCAACGTTATTGACAAAACGCGAAACGTCATCCTCGCACATGGCACCAAGGACTTTGTGCTCATTGACGACGGTACCCTTCTCACGATCCAGAACTTGACCTGGGGAGGGCAAATGGGTTTCCAAAAGAAGCCTATCGCACCGCTTTATGTGCCCTATCACACCAACACTGACCCCGAGACGCTGGCCGGCGCCGGTGTAATGGGTACGGTGCATTCAGAGCGAGGTCTGACGTATCTCGCAGTCTCCACGGCAGGCCACTTCCTTGCGCAGGATGCTCCAGCCGTGGCGTTCCGTAGTGTCGAAGTACTGGTCGGAAGACGCGAAGGGTTCGAGTCGACGAACACGTCGTTCACTATCGATCCGAACACAACAGCTCCAGTGGGAGATGCGGGTAATGGCACAGTCTTGATGTTCCCGCAGTCCATGGAACCTGGTAGGGGCCAGCTTTCCGGTGCCCAACCGGTGAGGAGCGGGGGGGTAGAGGTTTCTGCCGCTGGGGGTCAAGCCATGTTTGCCATGGCTCTGGCGACTATTGTGGCCGTCTACATGGAGTTTTGATGGTTCAGGTTATTGGTGTTCTCGGAAATCAGAAAAAGAATAAATGTAAAAAGATTGCGCTTCGGACCTAGAAATTCAAAATAACAAACATTGAGCTCCAACTAAACCATATGCGATTCTCGTACTTCAAGTTGCTAATGGCCAGAGCTTTGGAGGGAATAGTATTGTTCAATTTAATCTATGTCTAGCTCGTCTCAGCATAACCAAGCTGTCATACCCATTATTTGTCTAATACAGAGGACCAGTCATTCTGTTTCGACCACTCTTCCCAAGTCGTCATGGGACAATCAACGCCAGTCTGAGTAGCAGTTAGTTCATTACGTACTCTCAAAATAGAAAGTCTCGTCCTTTGCGGGCTATGGCTCTCACCTTTCTGATATCAGCTGCAGTCAGCAGGTCCATGCCACCATCATAGCCTGGGTCTGAGGAATAGGAAAACATGTACGCGACTTCAAGGCCGGTGTCGCGCTCTCCAGTCGCCTCGATCATCTCTTCCGGTGTGATTTGCTTATAGTTTGCTTGTACTCCGTTCACCTTCGCCCATGTGTCGAGGAACTGGGGCCAAGTGGCAGTCGTTCCTTCAGCCATGTAAGCCTTGCCGGGAGACATCTGGGAAACGGCGTAGGTGAAGTTGCCCATATCATCGACGGGTGAGAAGTGCGGGACGGGCTTGTCGGGAGAGGTGGTGAACGCCATTGTGAATGTGCCATCGGGGTTCTGATGAAGTTTAAGAGATGTTCTTAGTTGAGCTTAGGGGAAGCTGCTCACCTTTCCGAAGTATGAGTTGGGAAGAATGTTGTAACTGGTGTAGAAGTAGCCTGTATGAATGCACGACATCTTTGCCGCAAGCTCGGGATACTTCTCATTCACGTAGCCAGGGAAGATCTCAGCCTTGGAGTCAAAATGATACAGCTCCTTGAACTTTCCACCACTGCACTTCTCAGCGTGACTGAGGGTCGAAACCAAAAATCCGTTATCGTCGAGCGATTCCACGGTCTTGGCCGCGGCGTCGACAATATTCCGTCCTTGGCGCAACTCTACATCATATGCAAACTTCCGGCAGGAGATGCCCTTCTCCTTCGCCTTGAAGCGACAGTCTGGCCGGAAGAAGGGCTCCCAGTAGTTTGTGACGCTGAAGATGACATTTGCACCCTGGAATGCTTCTTCGATGGATTCCACGTTTTCGAGGTCCGCGCTCACCAGCTCCACATCGGACCCGAGAGCGGCCAGGCCAGTAGCGGATGTGGAAGAAGTGTCGCGTGTGAGAGCGCGGACGCGGTAGCCTGCAGCCAGGAAGCGGCGGGCAACGGAACCACCTTGATTGCCCGTGGCTCCTACGACGACGATGAGTTTTTGGGCCATTGTCGTCGGTGTTGGTCCTTGGCGAAAGGATGCGAGGCGGTGAGTTGAGCGGTGGGATAGTAACGTGATGAAACCCGCGAGTGACTTTTGAGTTGAGGGTCTTGCTACATGTACTAATGTAGTAGTACCTAGTTCAAGCACCGAAAAAGCTTCTCGCTGGTGAGGATGAGACGAGTTTGCTGCAAGTCGTGAGTGGCTTGTAGAAGATTGTTGAGATCGCGGGACCAAATGAGGTCAAATTCTGCTTCCAAAAGCTTCAAAAGAAAATCATTGACCCCTCCACTGCGGCCCATTCCCCGCCGCTTTCGTGACAGGCCAGAAACATGCCGCTTCCCCTCGGCTCGAGCAGACACTAGTGTGAGATAAGTGTCACTAAAAAGGAGACTAAAATCAAGGTCACTAAGTCAGTCTCATACTTAAGCGATATACATGAGGTGATATCTTAGAGTTGATACGAAGGTGGAGTTCCTTGTCTCGCAGAACTCTTCACTTATTGGCTCACCCAACTGCCATGAAGCTCACAACGTGCTCACAAGCCTTACCGAACATGGCGATGGCGATCGGAAGCGGATACCATGGTGGGTTTGGCAGCTGAGAGGAAGGGGTCGTAACGTACGGGGGCGGCACGGACGTAGCGCTCGAAGCGGAATAGGGGACGACCCTGGCTGCTCATTGGCGTGATGATGAAGGGGGCTTTATGTGCAAGGCTTTTCCCAGAATTATTCTTCAGCTGGGTTCCCGGGCGATCCGCATTCATCCATCATTTCCCACCGTGGGGTGACATTTCACTCTGCTGCTTCTCCATTTCAAAGGGGGGTGGGCACTTAAAGTTTGGCCCTCGTCTGTTTCTCGAACAGAGTCAAATTGTCCAGGGGAAACGCGAAACCGTTGTTTTCCAAAACTGCCATCTTTTTTACTTCTCCCACCGGGAACAGACGGCTGACGGCTGACGGTCTGCCGATCCCGCGCTCCCTTTCCCATGACGTCGCGTCCGTCAACTACCGGCGGTTCCAGTACCGCGGACTCGGGACCGGACACCGGGACCCCCCTTAGTGCCGGTCCAGTCCAAACACCAACCCCTTTGACTAGCAGCACAGGAGCGACAACACCTCCCCGTGCCGTAGCCCCGACGAGCATCCAGTATTTGCTTAATCCGGCAGCAGATCAGACCTTGACACCGCTGCAAGTCGACGTAAGCCCATCATCGCCAGGTTCCCTCTCCCTTGAGACTAGAAGCAAGACCGTATGCACTAACGTTCCTTTGTACCCTCGTATTACAGACCGAGATTACAAACCCCGGCGAAGATCATGACTCGGCCTACGGCTCCGATGCTGGCAGCGCTTACACGGCCTCCATAGCATCCTCCATCTTTCACTACCAGTATGAGAACGGGCGGCGATACCACGCCTACCGGGAGGGACAGTACGTCCTTCCCAACGACGACCAAGAGCAAGAACGTCTCGACTTGCAACACCATATCTGGCGTCTCCTCCTCGGAGGCCAGCTCTACACCGCGCCGCTCCCCACTCCAGAGGATCCGGCGGCTTCTGGCATGAGGATCCTCGACCTCGGTACAGGGACCGGAATCTGGGCCATCGAGATGGCAGACGAATTTCCCACGGCTGACGTATATGGTGTCGATCTCTCGCCCATTCAGCCAGAATGGGTCCCTACGAACTGCAAGTTCCATGTGGATGACTACGAGGATGAGTGGACATACCGCGAGGAGGAACATTTCGACTACATCCACGGCCGCGCGCTTAGTGGAACATCTTCTGACTGGGCAAGGTTCTACGACCGTGTAATGGGTGGGCTGAAGCCGGGTGGATGGGTTGAAATGCAAGAATACGATGCATGGATCTTCAGTGATGATGACAGTTATGAGAGAGCACCATGGACAAAGGAATGGGTCCACAAGCTGGACGAAGCAAGTAAGATGTATGGGAAGCAAATCAACGTGGCAAGGCACCACAAGCAGTGGATGATCGATGCCGGCTTTGAGGATGTTCAGGAACTTGTTTACAGAGTAAGTGTCCTCAGCCACAATATACGCGCATGCCCTGAGAGAAATACTGACAAAGTTTTAGATACCCATCGGCCCGTGGGCGAAAGACCCAGCATTGAAGGAGCTTGGTCGCTGCGAACTCGTTCACATGCAAATGTCTGTCGACTCTCACACCCCGGCTTTGTTCACCAGAGTATTGAATTACTCTCACGACCAGGCCCGAGTGCTGATGGAGGGTGTCAAGCGAGAGTTCCGTAGCAAGGACTACAGACTCATCACAAGCTATCGGTTTGTCACCGGAAGAAAGCCGATGGCATAACAGCGACTGGCTGACATAATGATGTTCTCAATGTCTTGCTTCGTACAGCATTAATGAGCCGGTTGAGGAGTTGGAGTGACTTTTGTGGCGATGGCCATCTGCTAGCGTATCGTAGCCCATCTATCCACTGTTGGGCAAGAGCGCGTCTCTTGGAATGAGCATCGTATTCTCAAAGCAACATGAAGACGCTCGTTCAAGTGCCCTTCATCTATGTCACGCTGAAGGGTCAGTAATTCAATGAGATTGGTTATGACTAGAATCTGAGAATTAGGTGTGGGTGTTTAACGTACTTACCATTGAAGACTAACCTTTGAAGCAGTGAGTTGTTCAAATTGACCATTATTGACTGGTGCGAATGAATGCAATTGGCTTGACGCCAGTGCAATGAGGGTTTTGAGCCCTGTATTTGGAACCTCGAAGATTATTGTTCCTTCTTTCCTCCAGATACTTGAAGTGTGCGAAACTACAGCCCCGGGATTCTGATGGCACTGCGAGACAGGGCTGCCACCATCAGAGCAGCAATATGCATAGGAGATCGGTATGACGACCCAACTCACCAGTAAGCGAGAACCCGAAAACCCGGTCAATGTTTCTTTGACACAAGCATCTGTCTCTCCAAATTACCATATGGTCGGATCCGTCAAATCATTTCCTCGTAAGGCCCTAGTGCACGAAAAGAAGGGTTACATATCATGTTGTTCCAACCCGCCTTTTACGTTGTTATCCCGCAGGATGATCTTACCCGAACCAGGCGCATGTTGCGCTCGGCGCCATTCCATGATGCTCTAACAGCTTCTATATCGCGTACAACGACCTCGAACGCTCTTTCTCGGGCGGCCAATGCCTCGTCCAACACCTTCCAACAGTCGAGCAGTCAGGTCCCGATCCATGTACTCAAAGCCAACAGGAGAGCAAAGGGACCTTTGAGTCGCTGGACGTGGGCTGAACCCCTCGTTTCGATATGCAGGATGGTTGTTTGCCTGCCAGGGGTCATTCACAGCCAATCAAATCCCCGCATTTCCTTTCATTGTTGGTGCGAGTTGTCCTGTCAGATATCAAAAGCGTGTTGGCTCGCCGTTGGGCAACAGGAACGGACATTCCTCCGAAGTCTCCACGATTTCCGCCTTTCCATCGGTCCTCCCACCTCCATTGCGGAGTTCGTTCAACTTCACGTCCTGAGAGAAAAGGAAACAATCTTGCCATAATAGAGCCTTGCTCCCAAATATCCCGTTGTAGCCTTAATCGTTAATCTGTCGTTGCATTCGTCCACCCAAATTCCAGATTAGGCTCGTCAATCTCGAAGATACCCATCTATCGATCGTCTATCGCGCCGCCCATCAACCATGTCGGCCCCAGCGGCACCACAACCCTCAGCTTCCCTAGAAGCTGATGAAATACCTGACGACGTTTCTATGACGACATCTGTAGATGAAGAAAGCGAGCTTGAATCCGACGGCGAGGAATCGGACCTCGACTCGTCCCTAGGCGCCGAGGTGCAACCTTCCACCATGTCCTTGCGCAGTAGCATACTACGTTACCGAGAGGAAAATGGCCGCACATACCACGCCTACAAGGATGGCGCTTATCTCTTCCCAAACGACGACCTCGAACTCGACCGCTTAGACCTCCAGCATAATCTATGTCTCCTCACCCTCGGCGACAAGCTGCATCTGTCCCCGTTGAGTATAGACAGGCCGCCGCAACGGGTTTTAGACGTCGGCACCGGAACAGGGATCTGGGCGATCGACTTTGCGGACGAGAACCCCGGCTCGACCATCATTGGCGTGGATCTGAGCCCGGTGCAACCTTCGTATGTACCGCCCAACGTCTACTTCCAGATCGATGATATCGAAGAGGAACCTTGGTCGTTTTCGCAAAAGTTTGATTTTATCTACAGCCGGATGAACACGGGCGGGATCAGGGATTTTCCCAGGTTGTTCCGGCAGTCGTTCACAAATTTAAATCCGGGAGGCTGGTTCGAGTGCGCCGATGGAGCGCAAGCCATGTCTGATGATGGCACACTGACAAAAGAGTCAGCGTTGTATCAATGGAACCAGTTCCTCTTCCAAGGGACAGGAGAGCGGGGGACACCCTTTGGCGGAGCAACACATTACAAGCGACAACTTCGAGAGGCAGGATTCGTGAATGTAAAGGAAGTTATCTTCAAATGGCCGACAAACAGGTGGGCGAAACACCCAAGGCACAAGGAGCTTGGTAAGTAAACTAGACTCTACGTTACCTAGACCCTTTGGAGAGTGGTGTTTACTATCGCTGCTGTCGCATCGTGTTGCCTTTCAGCATTGAGAACGTTCGGACACTGACAATGTGGGTAGGTTCATGGAACCACGAGAATGTGATGATGGGGCTGGAGGGCCTCAGTGTTGGACTGTTCACCCGGGTCCTCGGATGGTCAAGAGAGAGCGTTGATGTTTTCCTTGCGGAAGTTCGGAATGACTTGAACAATACGGCGATTCATGCATACTGGCCAGTGTAGGTCTTAGGCCTTGAGTGTTCTGTGGAATTGTACTAACAACAACCAGTCATGTCGTATACGGACAAAAGCCATTATAGCGAAGGAACCGTATTTATCCATAACGATTTGCGACAAAGAAAAGTTTTCCACGCTCTTTCAGCTGGAGTGTGTCTTGATGGCATAGTTCCAGCTTTAAGCTCAATTTCTTAAAGCACATTTGTCTGTAAATACAGGTATATTACACGGATACTTCTTGCCGTCTATCAGTGTTCCTCCCAATCAGTACTAAGTAGTCAGACTGCGTAAATCAAGGATATCTCATGTGAAAACGCTTGTGGACCTAAAGTCCCGCTTGCTGCTCCAGTCAATACCGCTAACTCTCTGCGACTCATTTCAATAGGTGGGCGTGGGCCTCTACTCAATGAAAAGTGATGCGTAGCTGCCTCTTCCCTTCTCGCACCTCTGATATGAGTGGTTCAAGGGCGCTAGATGCGTTAGAATACCCCCGGATTTGAAGCGGTAGCGAAATAAGGACTTACGCATTCAACATACTAAGTACACCACACTCGTTAGCTTGCAACTCATCACTCGTTTTCAAGACATAAGTAAGGTACTTACACCTCTTCCTCCCAGGCAAGATTGGAGAACCGGGCCTCCGTTGACAGGGTACGAACAAGTTCGACGAATCTTAAACTCATTGGACGTCTGGATATTCTCGCCCTCTTGGCACTGTGTGGATATGGTGAGCAAAGGACAGGGTCAAGGCTCCAGAAACCTTACGCAGTATGTATGAGGCTGCAAGTCATTATTAGCGCTGTCCTCCAAAAATCGACTTCAGGATCTCAAACTTACATAGACTGAAGGGCACGTTGATCCCGCCGGCATGCCCCATCCGTAGTTGCAAACAGCAGCGTTGGAAGATGCTGCAAGGGCCACAATCACGGCGATGATGTACTTCATTGTTAGGTTTGGCGAAAGCTTGGATTATCGGAAAATGTGCTTTTGAGACTCGAAGGTTGCGAGATGGGAAGAAAATTATCGGATTTGTGATTCAAGAAATACCACAACGCGTTCAGTAAACTGGTTTTGCATCTCTTTTAATATTGATTGAGGCAGAAGATCATCATTCACACTTTCGTCTAATTAACTTAATTATATTACCGTGTTCATCAAACCGCAGGCCAAAGCGGCGGCCCCGAGTCAGTTGGCTGTAATGCTCGCTCTTTTGCCAATTTGCTTCGGTATCGGCAAGAACGGCCCGCCTACTCCGCAACGCGTTATCATTTACGCATATCTAGGGCTCAAGCAGCGTTGTGGAAAGAGCGTGATGACCGAGAATGCCGCAAAACCAGCTGTCCAACAGTCCAGTTATACCTACCTCAGTATCCGTCACAGACTACATCACACTAAACCAGCGGATTTCATAACGACTGGAGAACAGACACTTTGGGACGTCTAGTTAGACTAGAAACCGGCACAGCCTTCTTCATGCTCGCAACCATGTCTGACCCGCCGTCTTAGTACATGTCACGAAGACAGCAGAGAGGCCCGGCCGCCCGCTACCAAACAACGGATTGGCGTTCGTACACGCTTTTCGTGGATGATTTGCGTGACCATATTGTGTCGGTACAACTGGGTCTGCCAAGCGGCCATCGTAAGTCCAATTTGAACTTGGATTGGACCGGCAGAGGAATGCCCATCGCAGCCTCATTGGACTCTGTTTCCAACGAGTAAAATCAGCATCTGTTCTATGCATTGATATCCAAACCCCACCAATGAGAACTCGTTCGAGAATGTTCACTCAAACGATGATAAGAAACGGTAGTGTTAAGTTAAGCAGTTCCAATAGAAAGCTACGGGTCGTAGCCTTTGGCGCGGAGGTTCGAATTTAAGCCACGAGTTGGGTGACTGAACCCTAAGCCAATGGCAACATCGACGTTTGACTGAATGTCGCGACGTGGACGAAATAAGTATGGACGATTAAAGGCCAGTGGAGTCAGAATGAACAAGCTAATGTACTCCATACGGAGTAATAGATTCTTCAGCCTGCTCTGCTTGTCTGGGCATCACCACGATGTACCACTACGTTGTGGGAAATGCGTCTCCTGGGTCTTCGGAGCGGCCTAGGCTCTACTAAGTGCCCGGGAATGGAAAGAGCCCTACCGTGTTTTGGCTCAGGTCTGTCCGCACATGTCTTTACTATGGCTGTCTGATACGAACACTTCGGCAACATCGGGAACCAGCTGGAGCCGGCATGTTCGCGTAAAGAGGACCAATATTAACTCACTGATGCCTTGGAGACTCAGAAATTGAACTTAATGTTATCATTATTGCTATTCTCACTATTGCTGTGCAATGATATATATTTTATCGAAATTTTTAGCTGATTTGGATGCTTCCTTCTTATCTCCTCAATTATTAGGCGACATGAGACGCTGGTTGAACAGGTGTTTTCCGAGGTAAGAGTCGTCCCATCCAATCACTTCTACCGTGCACATCTTCTTAAGTCGATCGATAAATCGCGAGAATGTTTTCTCTCGCTCGTACCCCGGCTCGTCTCGCCTATACGCAACGTCAATGTTGATGACCAGTTTCTTTAGGAAAGGAAATGAGTAGGTTCCAAGTAGTTCAAGGCCCTTTGGCTCAGGGGAGCCGGTAGTCTGAGGACTCGTAGAGCATCAAAGTCAACAAAGCGGCTCCAATCACGGAGGAGACCATCTTCTATGAACGTTCCCGGATGCCATTCTAAGTGCAAGGTTCGCAATGACACACGGGGTTGCGGAAAGCATTGTTCTAGGTCCTCTACACCTTTCCAGGCGGCCTCGTCTAGGTCATAGAGGCCTTAGCCATGAGCATATGCCACATACACTTCCTTCAGCCCTGGAGCCATACTGGTAAGCGCCCGTATTGCAGCTATGTTGAGACGATTTGGAGAGGTGCAATCAATACTAAACCGGCATCTGAAGCTGCATCTGATGCTGTAAAGGCTCGGAGACTGTACCAGGTCAAGTTGGTACTTGTCAGAGCGTAAAGTCTGTAGCGAACGTAGGTTGAAAAGAAGTATATGAATTCTGCATGCAGGGTGGAATTGCTTTAAGGTATCAAGCAGTAAGGGAGAGAATTGAGTATGGCATGCGTAGAAGATGTCCGTCAGGTTAGACAGTTCCCTGACGAGCCCGGCCATCGATGACCAAGCTGAACAACTCTCATAGGTCGACCGAGGCTGGTAGCTGGCATAGTCAAACGGATAGCAAGTTCTGCATATGTACTCAATTTCTTCCGGCTCTCAGTAGCTCTCCTTCATCTTTCTCGCGAAGTCGTCTCCCATTACGGCAGCGTAAATGCGCCTCTGTTTCCACTCGGGCAGACGGTAACCCTAATGGGTCTGGGTCAATCGGAAGTCCTCCTCAAAGTCCTTTTCAATTGTTGGTTCTATGTCCTTGATGTAGATCCGGCGAACGTGAGACAAGACGCCGTTTCTGCGAAGCATTCGTTCGCAACTCAGGGCATCGAGGTGTAGGCTGTCCTAGGAGCCTGTGTTCATATCAGAACAGTCATATTCCCTGTATGGACAGTTATCTTCGCTTTCTGACCAGTTGTCCTCATTGTCTGAACAGCTATATTTGCTAACGGTGAAATTGATGGTGCGGACCAAGACACCGACTGCAGCATCGCGGCATGTCTTATTCACTGTAGATAGCGGAGCGAGACTCGCAGCGTGGTCGTCATAGTACAGAATCTCGCATATGTTGACCAGCAGCTCTCGCAGTAGGGTATCCAGATTCACTTGAGATGTTGCATCTTTACTGTTACAGCAAAATTGAATGTCTGATTGTTGCAAAGACGCCTCAAATGGATTGCGACGTTATGGATATGATATTTGTCTCAATAGAAGGCAATCTTTGTTTGGTGGAAAACTGACAGATTGGCGCTGAATCGTATGATCTTTCCACAGTACCAATCAGGAGTGGGCAGCACTTGGCCCAGCTGGGTTAGCCCCTGTAGCCTACTAAGCTTATCAAGTTACCTAGTAGTTACCGTCTGATCGCCACACCGTCAGAGACCAAGTCAAGTGCATGATCATCACTTGACGACTTACAAATACGCCGGGCACCCTGCGGAGGAAGTTGAACATTGACTGCCTCTCATTTAGACATAGCGTTGAAACAAGCGGGAGTCTGTATTCGCACAAGAGAAAGAGAGAGAGAGAGAGAGAGAGGAGGGGGGGGGGGGGGGGGGGGGGGGGGAGGCAGATATTCCACATAGCATTCAGGCATCACCGGACAAAAAAAGATCAACACGAGGCATGGTCAGTATCGCCAAAGACAAAAGTGAATGAGGTCCATCCAGGATTCGAACCTGGGCCTACGGAAGGTTCTGAAATTCAGAATCCGACGTCCTAACCAACTAGACTAATAGACCGAATCAAGCGAGATGAGTGCCCGCTGTTCCTGTGGGCTGCCGGAGCTCTTCCTCAGTCCAAATTTGGTGGGAGTCAAGCGAACTGCAACTCTAGCTGTGGTGGAGACGAGGACCACTAACCTGAGACTACTGGTAAGGCAGGCAATGAACTTTTCTTGATTAGATCAAGTCTGTCGAAGCTTTCTAAATCGATTAGGTTGCCGCCAAGCGGTAGATGACTTGGGTGACAGGATTTCAATGTTCGGATTGCCCCGGCTATGGGTTTCTGCTAAAGAGTCATGTTCTTATCACTAGTCTCTACACGATGATAATCCCAGGTCATTGGTATTTAGCTAAGTTTTCAAGCCAGAAGCAGACCAATGGTTGCTGGTTGTTGCAGTAAGATGCTAGGTCCAGCCACAACCGTATGCAATTCAGGAGCTCCTGGACAATCTGCCAACACGGCGATGATAATTCCCTTGGTCTCGAACTCGGCTGGAATTGTCACGTTGACAAGTTCCCCAGGTTCCCATCCTGATACATCAACCGAGACACTAGTATTTCCAACGGCGTGAAAGAAAACCGCGTAGTAGCTCTTTCCGTCGTCAAACTCTGGCTGATCAGCCGCGTTCGTAAAGTTGAACGATACATCGGCCCCCGGAGCAATAGATTTTGTCCCAGTCGCGGCTGACATGGCCGGAAGGTGCTGGTTCGGGCTGGGATACTCCGGATTCGTGGATGGACAACTTCCCGGCACGATGAAGGCATTTGTCAGGTCGAGAATCTCGTTGGCGTAGGGGAACACAGTATCGCTCGGTCCAGAGAACGGGTTCGCCCCCCAGACGTCCAGCAACGACCAGGTCTCATGCCTCGACTCTACTGTTGCGATAGCGACCATGGCGCCACGCGCGGCCTCGCTCTTAGGTTCTTGGACCAGACCGGTCAAGAAAGCCATGCTGGCGACTTCGAGGTACGTGGTCAATGCCAAGAAGCTCGTGGCGTCCACAAATGGATACTCGTACTTGCATGACCCCGGCTTGACACTAGTGTTGGAGATCTGGTTCTGGAAGATGCGCAGATGTCCCGCTTCGTTGTTACGGATCTCCGTGATGCGATCGTAGGTCGTGTTTGGGAAGCCAGCAGCGACAAAAGACGAAGTGTTGAAGGCTTCGACGCCCTGTTGGTAGAAGCTGAAGATAGCCCACTCGGCTGACAGAAGATTTTGCCAGACTTGGTCGTCTGGCCCCGGGTCCCCAGAAGCTGTAGGAAGGATCGGTGTAGTAATATTGCCCGGGAATGGAGGCGCTTTGCCCTTGTAGTCGCTGAAGAGAGTCGACTGTCCCGGGATGGGGCCGTATGTTCGATCGGCGAGTTTCTGTGCTTCCGGATCCGGCGTTGGTGCTGCTGTGGCAGACCAAGGTAGCATTGCGAGGCACGAGCCGAGGAGCATTGAGGAAATAGATGTCCGCATCATGGCTGATTGGGTGTGGTGAAGTTTAGGTCTAAGGTGTGAGAGCTGTCTTGAAATAGTTGAGTCTTCACTGCTATGGAAGATGCTACTAACTGCATGATGATCAAAGGAAGCATGCTGAATTTATACAACTTTCTCATTGAGCTCAAGGCAAAGGAAGTCGTTGTCTCCCAAATGGGTTCCGTACTTGCAAGTAAGATCTCTCCTCCAATTTGACGTCAAAGTCAATGTCTAAAGTGAGGATCTGACTTCCCGGTGTCAATTTTTGGAGTTGATTGGATTCCAATCCAAGAGGCAACGGTCTTAGACCCGTCAATACTAGCTGTAAACGGTTGTATTCTCGAGCCCAAGGCCGGGAGGCTGAATAACCTCGAGAAATGCTACTATTCGGGAAAGGTCTGACGACACGTCCAGGTCTAGCTGCAAGCTTAGGGTGCTAAGCCTTGCCAAGCTAGCGGTACGAACGCTGATCTGCTTTGCTCATCTCGGTCGGGCTCATTCGACTAGGGCTTATCTTCCGGCAAGCCGGCACACATGACGCAGGCAGACGGCGAAGTCGCGGTTCGGCCTCGGCCAAAGTTGCGGCACAGGTGTGTCAACAAGGGAGAGGTTAATGTGACGAACATGGGCGGCAGTGACTTTGGCCGCTGCCCATTTACCCCGCCATCTACGGAGTAGTGTCGCCCACTGCGTCTAATGCCTTCTCGCCATCGCCAGTTTCGCGTCGAACCCTAGCTCAACATGGTCCTGCAGCTCACAGACTATAAAGCTGGAGCACTGTCTTTCTGCATGTTCATCGTCTTGTTTCGCAATTAGAAATGATCCTCGTCGTCGTGCTTGCAAATCGAGTTCTTGTCTCTGGTTCATAATAGTGGAAGAGATCTTAAGCTTGTGAACACTCGGTTTCGCCCACTTCACGGGCCAATATCCCTTGGGGGAAACAGAGTGGATGGGGATCATGCAAAAAGGTCAAAGTTCTCCAGTTTTTCTCCAAGAACACGGGGAGATAAAAACACTGATTGGTAAGAAAGTGAGATTATCCCTGGCCAGAGGTTCTCCTCACGCTCGTGGCCCCATCCAGACTGTCACCCACTTGCTATCCGGTGGGATACGGGATTCCGCTGGGTGCTTACGTCGCCTATTGCGATCTACACAGAGTGACAACACCTCTCACTAAAGTGAAGTGGCCTCGGAGGTAGTGTCGGCTCCCCCACCACCGGATCAGATAAGATGCATCAGATTAGATAAATTGGATCTGATTCGAGGAGGTGCATCATGTACGAAGAGTTTTCAGTCTTGGCATTACGCTCAACTAACCGTGATTAGCTAGGGGCGGGCAGCATGAAATAGCTCGACCTTCCCCCAGTGGATGGTGATGGGCTGTTCCGCGCGCCCATCCAATCCACCCCGTCCTCCGGATGCCACACTACATGTAGTCTCACGGCCCGTCCTGGACGCTGAAGATTTGCTGAAGAGGGAAAATCTGCGGATCCCATTGCGACATTCCGTCATGGTGTACTTATAGCCTACCATACTTCGGTACGAGCAAGAAAAAATAGGTTTACAAGGGTGGTCAGCAGTATATACCGGCCGTTCCCAGCCCTTACAAAAATGGCGCACATCTTCGCGTGAGCGAAAGACTGAAAAGTTTTGGTGGTTTTGTTTTCTTCTATTCAGAAAACTACGCTTCGGTGTTCTCCCTCACGATCTAGAGGCTAGTTGAGGCGGTTTCCCCCCCCTCAACCTCCACGCAATCGCAAAGATGGCTCTCCTTAGCTTCGTCACGTCGCAGAACTTTGAAAAGCTCAGTGTTCTCCTCCAATGGAAGCTTCTCGTATTGGCCGCGATCCCCGTTGCTGTGGTGTACTACCTCAGACGGACAAAAGCCACCCCTGGTATCGACATCAAGCAGTACTCTCACTTCCCGCAGCCTGAAGAGGCTGACCCAGTGAGGGGTCATTGGCCGTGGATTGAGAAGTCCGCTGGTCTGGGTGATCCTCGAAGGGCTTTTGGTACGTTTGAATTCTAGGAAACCAGGGATGAAGAGGTCTCGGCAGCATTGCAGTTGAGTTGTGCTGCGGGCTTTTCTAGGTACGAGATGCAAGTCATACATGACGCTAATGCTTTGCGACCACGTAGACGAGATTCTGTACGAACAGGCCGAGAAGCTTGGATTCCCTCCCGTTCTGTTGGTAGACTGGCGCCCGATCGAAAAGTTCCTGATCCTGTTCATCCTCGACAACGATGTTGCTGAACAAGTCACCAAGCCCTCAAAGCAGTACAGCACCAGTGTGCCGAAGCACCCCGCCATCCAACATTTGGCTCCCTTGGTCGGCGCACGATCTCTCGTAACAACGGATGTAAGTCCATACCATGATGCTTTTGTGCTTGGGTGATACTGCGAGACTGACATTGCGCTTGCGCATCAGGGCGAGGAATGGAAAGGACTCCGAAAGAGAATTCTTCCCGGTTTTGCGCCTTCGCATCTTCTTGGTCTCGTGAAAGTCATCCTGGACAAGTCGGAGACCTTCATCGAGCTCATGGAACAGAAGGCCGCCACTGGCGAAGAGTTTACGATTGACGAGTACACCACAAACCTGGCTTTCGACGTTATAGGTGAGCCCAGAAGACACCCACAGAACTTGGAACGTATGCTCATGGATGATATTAGGCATTGTCACTTTCGATATGGATTTGAACGCTCAAATCGAAGGCAAGCAGAGCGAGGTGTTGCTGACATACCGCGCCCTGTCGCAAGCCTTCAACAAGCGTATCCCCGGCAAGAACTGGATGCGTGAATACTTCACCGAAAACGAACGCACCCTCAGACGCCTGGACAAGAAGCTCGACGGCATCCTCAAGGAAGAGATCAAGAAGCAGCACAAGGAGCTCTTGGCCGGCGCCGACACCGCATCCCGCAGTGTTGCCACCCTCAGTCTTCAGGGCATCGACGTCCTGACCCCCGAGATTCTCCAACAGACCAGCGACACTCTCCGCGGCTTCCTCTTTGCCGGCCACGACACGACGAGTATTCTCCTGCAATGGTGCTTCTACGAGCTTCATAGACGGCCGCAGTCGGCCAAGGATCTGAAGGATGAGCTCGACGAGGTGTTTGGCCCGGATCAGAGCCCTAAGTCTGTCATTGAGCAACTCAAGAGCCCCGAAGCTGGAAAGCTTCTGGCTCGCTTGCCTTGTAAGTTGAACCGTTTGGTTTCATCCATGCCTTGGATAGCCCAGCTGACAGCCGCGCAGACACCGACGCAGTCATCAAGGAAGCCTTGCGCCTGCACCCTCCCGGAACAACAGCCCGCGTCGCGCCCCAAGGATCCGGAACGACCCTGACCCTCCCCAACGGACAAAAGCTGGTCGTCGACGACCTCTGCGTGACCCCCAGAGCCTATATCATCCAGCGCGACCCTAAGATCTTTGGCGAGACTAAGGACGACTTCATGCCCGAGCGATGGCTCGGTGAGGAAGGCGCCAAGATCCCGGACAGCTCCTTCAGACCTTACGAGAGAGGACCCCGCCGGTGCACCGGATCCGAGCTCGCCAACTTGGAAGTGCGCATCATCCTGGCTTGCATCGCGAGATACTTTGAGTTTATCAAGGTTGGGCAGGGTGAGCTGGATTTGGATGAGAAGGGACAGTCTCAGCTTGACGAGAAGGGTTTCTACAAGACGAAGTCTGTAATGTTCTCTGTGAGTGAACCCACTACCCTTGCGTTTGAGACGAACTCCCATTGATATTTCTCCCACAGACTCACTTGGTCACCGCTAAGCCTGTCGACGGCATGAAGGTGAAGGTCCAGATCAAGGGACAACAGGCGTAATCTCTCTCACATGATACCACCACCAATGAACAGAACGCATATCCGGGATATGACGACCTGACGGTCTGACGCGATTGTCTAGACACGGCTGGTGGGGGATATTTGGGGCCGCGATGCCCCATTTCAAGCCCCATCTGCTCCGTGTCAAAGAGAATGCTTGACCCTGACGACGGTATGCTGGGATGCGACAAATGTATATAGACGTTAGGATGTTGAGGATAAGAAAGCTTGACTGGAAGGCCACCGTGTAGCATAAGATATCCCTGATCCGCTGCTCATTCGACTGTCGTCAAAGGAAGCATGATCACTAAACGTACGCTCTAGACCAACTTTTCCCGGGCGAACCCGTCATGGGTCCGGCACTTGAATTCACAGCTTGTTTCTCTCGCCTACCATCATACCATGTCACATAATTACGGAGGGGTTGGAGGGGTAGAGGGGCATTCTGCATGGGTCGTCCGTTGTCGGCGGGCTAGAGCGGGCTAATGCAAGTAAATGGGGTCGGCAACGTTTCCCATGTCGGGTCACTGCTTTTATGGAAAGTTATGCAGATCCCCTCGCTTATGATAGCAAACGACGTCGATAGCTTACTCAAGTTCTTCCACACAGTGCTTCCCAGGTAGGGGTCTTGATCATCCACTCATCGCATGAGCTTCGGGTTCATTTGCGAGTACAAGATAAGAAGTAAGACGACACCGTCCCTAATTGGTTCTAATGTATTTGATTTCTCGCATACTCGGAGAGTTTGCATCTGACTTTGCAATAGCAACTGAAACAGACAATGAATGTCTACTTGTACCTCAAGGGTAACCTCCGAGAATGGTGTCTTCTGACACTCCGTATAGTTTGCTCAGGGATCTGACCATCATTCAACCAAAGTGATCCTACCCTCCATTTAGACAACCTTGGATAGTCTTCACGACTCTCCTTTGTCTTCCGTAACTTCTCAACCCTTCTTCCAAATTCGTCACTTCCACTGGGTATCAAGCTTATCCAACAATGTCCATGCCTCTGGTCCCCAGAGACCACGGCTCAAGCCCCTACGCTATGCTCTCAATAGCTACGTCCAGCGCAATAGTGTGGTCCCCAAAGGCGTCATCCATAGGAACGCATTTGCAGACGCTGTTACCCCAATTGAAGATGGAAATGCCCTCCGAGTACGCTGGCATCAGTCCATCGAACTCGGGGAGACGGTCGTCCTTATTTCCAAAGATGGCGCCGATAGAAACGCAGCGACAGAGTTTGCTTCTCCAGGGGAATACGCCGGGGGTCCTGAACTTGGAGTCCCTGGTCGAAAGCTGGACGGGGTGAGTTTCGGGGGCGATGTCGTATCCGCCAGCGATGTCGTTCTCGCTGAGATCCGGCTTGACGGCTACTTCCTCATCGGATGACGTCTTCGTATCTTCTGCAAAGATTGTCGTATCAGTAAGGGGGGTTGACGGAATGTTTGGGCCGATTAAGGTCGGTAAGATAGACGATGTAGGTGACTCTACTTCGGCTGACATACTCATCTCTTCTGAGAAGTCAGAGGCGTCAGAAACAGAGGCTGACGAGGCAGGTGAAGTAGAGGCAATGGTAATAGTAGGTGAGATGGATGAGATGGTAGGTGTTGCCGCAGCATCAATGTCATCAATGACACTATTATCACTACTCGCAGTCCGCTTGACGATGATAACGTCCGTCTTAGGGAGTTCCTTGATGGTGATGGCATCTGAGCCGATGGTGGCGAGTAGACGCTTGAGGTCATCCAAGTCCTGTCGGAAGAACATCACGTCGCCTAGTTCCGCCTGTTTGGTGTTGGTGGTAGTAATATGGCCTTCTGGGTGCTCCTTGGCTTTCTCCGCTTTATCGAAGAAGCTTGGAAGAAGGAATCCAGCGGGAAGGAGGTTCTTGAGCTGCATTGTAGCGTTGGTGGTTGTTTGTCTTCAAGTTCTATAAGGACTTAGGAGTGGTTAATTGGACTGCTTGGTTTGAAGGCTTTGAAAAGTGTGATGTGTTTGGGGTACTGGGAATGTGATATGAGGTCTGAGGATGATGTTGACTGTGAGGTCTTTTGAAGGATGAAGACTGCCATCGGAGAAAGAGAGAGGGTTTCATGTTCCCTATGACGTGGACGTAGCCCATACAGGTTCTCTCTAGAGACACTGCTCCAAGGCTTTCGAAAACGCTAAACAACTGAAAGGCTGAAGTCCACACGATGCTTGCTTTCTTCGGGACGCTGGAGAACCCGGTAATCCCAGCCACTTGAGCAGGTTAACAAGCCTCGAAAAGTACGGGCCATGGCTGAGAGAGGGCGCAATGGTTTTCGGACACGGAGCCAATTTGGTCGGATATGGGACTTTGCGATACGGTCACAGCTACCCAGGGTTCTGTCAGGAGATCGTGGGAAAGTCACGTTGTGTCGCAAGTAGTTTGTACTTCTACTGATTTCACACCCATGATCCTATAGGATAGTTTTGACGTATTATCTCGTTACTAGCGGCAGTTCTTTCTAGGATTTGAATACTATTTTTCCGTACCACGGATATCATTCCAGACGTCTGAGCGCAGGATGGCCCTCTCAAGTACGATTCTAGTATACACGAATAATCATGGGAATCACTACTTTACTTGACTCTGAGGAAAATGGCCGGCTCAATTATATCTGACTCTTCCTTCACCCCCAAAAAACGCGAGATTTCCAGGTCTTCAACTAATACCCAAACCCCTCAAGACACTCAACAAGCTCCCCCTCCGCAAACCCCCTCATCTCCTCAATCTCCTCCCTCGTCTTCCGCCTCAACATGACAGGATGCTCCAGCGCAAAGGGACACGCCAGCGCCTCCATCCTCCTCAACCCATCCAGCGCAGCCATACCCGCAATCTCACTAGGCCGCAGCGCGCCCCTCTCCTGTAAGGCATCATCCCACGCCTTTGCCCTCGTCAGCTGTCTCGCCGCCTCTTGCGGCAGACTTGTTCGAATCCCGTCAAAGTCGCCCGTCAGCATCGCCTTGCCCAACAAACCCCCGCTCAGATCTGGGTCCCGCCCCGTGCCGCCGCCCGTGTTGCCGCTGATGTCGCCTAGCGATGTGAAGAATTCGTGGCAGGGGTGGGAGATGAAGGCAAAGTCGAAGTCGAGGATGGAGGTGAGTTTCTTTGTGGTTGTGTCGTAGAGGGTGTTGTTCGTAGCTAGTGGTTGATTGTCAATAAGGCAAACCAATTCATTATAGATGGGCATCAACTTACTCAGATCCCCATGAATAAGAGCCAGCTTCCCAACATCAACTCCAGAGCCGTCAAGATAATTCTCCAGCCCACCCTCCAAGAACCTATTAACACGCTCCCTCACCCCATTAGGCCTCCACCCTTCCAGCGCCGGACTCGCATCCGCGTCCTCAAGCTTGAGAACCAACCTCGCCTTCCAGAAATCACTGTACCTTCCCCAAGGCCCACCCTTCAACGTGGTCATCTTTCCACCCACGATCTTGCCCTCTTCATCAATCGACAACCCCCCATGAGACTTCACACTCTCAGGCAAACACACCCTCTGAATCCCCGTAACCACATCCGCAATCTGTCCCAGCACATCACCCTTATCCCCGTCTTTCAGGTCCCGGAAGACTGTATCAAGCGGCACACCCTCCTTGAACTCCATCAGACTCCACCCGTAGCCAATCTCAATTCCCGCTCCCATCTCCGGGTTCTCGGAATGACAATACGGTCTCCAATCATACAACGCTGGCACCAACCCCGCAATGTCAGGCTTATACAAAGCCAGACCCTGACGCGCAAGGTGAATCGCCGCGACTTCGTTCTCGACGCGGGTTTCTTGCACGACGCCTTCTGCTTTTGGGTTCGCGATGCGCATTACGACGGTGGATGTGCCTTCTGTCGGAGGAAGCTGGGTGTAGGGGCGGCGGCGGCCATCGGGAAAGGAGGATGGTGTTAGCGGGGTGGAGAGTGTGATTTTGTAGATGTAGTTGTTGTAGGCGAAGGGGGCTGTTTCATCGTAGTCTATGGGGGTGACTTCGACGGGCTTGAGGGAGATGTTAGGTGGGTGTAGATGATGGAGGAAGGGGGGTCTTACTTTGAGGCCGTAGCTGTGGATGACGCTGTTGACGAGGTGTAGGCGTTCTTGATATCGCTCGTGGTTCATGATGAACGGCGAGTAAGACGAGCTCGAGTTGTGGGATGTGTCGAGTATCTTGATGGGTGGTGGTTCAGTCGGGGTTGATGCTTTCCGACTGAAGCAACACCACAAATTCATAGCTTCTTAAGTATATGCTCCGGTGAGGCGGTATCACACCCAATCCTCTCTACGGCCGTGCTTTCATCAAGCAAATTGACTCATGTATCTCAGAAAGGAAGGAGTTAAATGATCCTTTCTCGTCAAATCTTGTGTTTCTATTGCAAGGGGCTGCAGCAAGCGAAACAACAAACAGCTCAGGTCATCGCTAAACCTTTTCGCTGATGCGTGCTTGGTGCTGAGAGATCCTGAACATAACAAATCGGATGAAGTCCGGGACACTTGACATAATTACTCCATCGGCTGCTGATCTTAGTTCAGACCATGACATGCAGCAGTACGCTTGCCAAGATCCCTGCTAGCCCTTTGCTGCCTAGAGGCGATGTCTCGGGATGTCTAGAGCACGCATTTCTGCCTAGCTGTGCCTTACAGATGCATGAAATAACCCGTGCAATCTCAGCTGAGCACGTCACATAAGAGCCATTGAGACTTGCTCTGAATGTCAATTCCGCACAAGGATGAAAGAGAGCCGATGCTTGATCGCGAGGTGAGAGGGTGGAGGGGACTGTGGTGGACTGCCCCGCCATTAGATCGGCTCAAATGTGGACCCTGCCGGCCCGACCTCGGACACGGGAGGTCCGGGGTCCCTCCTTGACACGAGCTTCCCACAGAACAAACCAGGGCTTGCAAAAACTTGGCTTCATAGGCCAGCACACCCCAAATACTCCCAATCATCAATGGTTTCGTGGTGTAGTTGGTTATCACGTCAGTCTAACACACTGAAGGTCTCCGGTTCAAGTCCGGGCGAAATCAACCTTTTGCTTAGGTAACAGCCATCACCTTTTGCCGCCGTGGGATGAACTTTCTCTACCCACAGTGTTCGTGCCAGGTGGATAGTGGGAATTGAGTACGACGTTCATTGCTGTGACTAGATTTTTGACCTGGCATCTTAACATGCTAGCGATTATCTCACAATCGTTCAAGTTTACCTGCCTGACTTCTGTGCCCCCTACTTGATCTCATTACGAACTGATCGTCTTTCACCTCAGCTATCAATTACACCCACGATCCGCCCAACGACGCGATCCCACTCCTCATCCCAGCGTAAGCTTCCCTCCTTGATGGCCCCCGACTTCAAAGTCTTCAACTCGTCCTTGCCGCTCTCGCTGAGCAGCCTGATCAAGACCTCAGCCAGCTCAGTGGCCGTCTCAAATCCGCATCCGTTCTCACCCTCCTTGATCAGCTCGCTGAAGCTTTCGTATGCAGAGTACGCAGCCACAGGGAGTCCCGAACCAAACATGTCGACAACCTTCATGGGCAAGTCGACACCAGAGCTGGACTTGTGGAGGCAGACACCAAGATCGGCGCATGAGAGCAGCGTGGCGTACTCGCGGGTTGATAACCATGCGGTCAGGATAGTGATGCCGGGGAGCTTGCCTTCCAGGCGGAGATTCTTGATCTTCTCCTCATATTCGGCCTTTTGGGGGCCTTTGCCGGTGATGATGGCCAAGATTGGAGGTCGGCCGACGTCGTTGGCTGTGACAGCTTCTTCAGGGTGTACGTAGGCCACCAAGGCGTCCAGCAGCAAACCGAAGTCTTCGTCGGGGGTCCATGAGGTGCTACTGACAATGAGGCGAGTGGTGCCGGCTATGATACTATCGGCGACATCCTTGGTCTCCTTGAGGTGCGAGAGAAAGTCTTGCCGGGCCTTGATCGATGCGATGGGCTGGAACACCTCGGCGGGCCGGTCGTGTAGAGTGAAGATAGGTTTCTTGTTACTATACGGCTTCTCCTTGAGCTGCCGCGCCATGGCATCGGTGACGGTGAGGTTGGCCGTGGGGACCACCCTGCCAAAGTACATCTCATACTTCTTGTAGAGCCATACGAGTGGGTTCTTCTGGCTGCGGCCAGTAGCCATGATGGACCAGCCATAGTTATGCCAGTCAATGAGCAGGTGGCTTCCTCTCAGGATAGACACGAGCAAAGCCAAATGCAGTGTCGGGATAGAAGGGGGGTTCTGCAAACAATCAGATCGTGGGCTCCATGAAGTAACGGCTCACTCACCTGAATGACAATCCATCGAGCCGGAGGTGCGGTGTACGCCAGAACGTAGAAGATAGAGTAGGCTTGCCAGACAACTTTGGCCGGCTTGTTGATGAGAAATGGCAGGGTATTCCATTTGAAGACAGTGGGAAGAGGCGGTAATGGGTATAAAGCCACTCTCTCGTTGCCAACTAGATCGGGATGGCGGGCAGTCTCCTTGTAGCCAACAAGGTCTACCCTCCCGCCGTGCTTCATGATGCTCATCGCATGATACTGCATGCGAGGGCTACGGCCTATATCGCCGAGAACCAGGATCTGGATGTGGTCATCTTTGGGGTTCTCAGCCGCATGGTAGCGGGTGGGCAGTAGCTTTGTGAGGAAGTTGATGCCCAGGGCTGCGACAAGAGTGGTGCAGACGCCAGCAATGACGGATAATACAAGAGGTATGAACGACATGTTAGCGATGTGCAACAGTCCAGCACAAGTGTGGTAAGGTGTTGGCGCAGGCCAAAGTGAATCTTTGCCCCTACTGTCGTGAGTGGTTGAGGTGAGAAATGGGGTGGAGTTTCGCAACGGATCGTCAAAGCCTCAGATGTGGTGGTATCGCTTATGCAAAGTGTCCCGTCCTGTCATCTGAAGTTGCAATGAATTGTCTTAGCGCATGTGCGCATGGAGGGGTCCGAGTTGAAGGCTGAGCGGTGGGGGCAGCACCTATGAGTATCCTTGATGAGGGGGACACGATGTTGATGTGTTTTTGGTAGGTAGCAAAAAGGCCAAATTGCCCAGACTTGCGTGACCTGACGATGGCCTCCTGGGGGAGAAGTTCGAATCCCGAGAGGCCTACGAAGCTTCTTGACTGGGCTAGACTCGCTCACCTTCCAAGACTTTGTGCTTGTTGGCGCCTTCCAACTTGGGCAGGCCTTTTGGGATGTTGCAACGGTGGCGCCAATGAGGGGCCGATGTGGGCGATGCATGATTTGATAAGCACGATAACCTGATAAGATGGCTGTCACGCTGTGTCACGTGTACTAGAGCAGTAGCAGTACGTACCTATCCTCGATCCGCTAGGATACGTACCTTTTAGCGTCAGTAAAACCTCAGGTACAATACATACGTACTCCGTACCTATGTGAACATCACGAAATAAGGTAGTGAGGTGAGGCAGAGCTTCATCAACCTGCAGCTCTCGTATCCCCTGCGTGGGCCTGGATCACGATTCACCAATAGTCTAAATTAGAAATCTCCGAACGAGACTTTTCGTCACCCAATTAATGGAAAACCAGCTGCTGCACATGCAAAACCGACACAGACCACATCAGCCTCAGCACAACAAGAGAGAAAAAAAGACCATCATGCCTGTCACCCGGCGACATCTGAACTCCTCTCACAAGCATTGGCTTGGCCCAGAAAACATGTCGCAACGGGGGTTGGGGATAGCAAATGTTAGTCACCTCACCGCCTTACCAGCGACTGTCCCATCAGAGATTATCCGCCCAGGATCGGGGGTGTCGCATTGTCTTGCTGTTGCTGATCCGTACCCGGGCAGATTTATGCAGCCAGTTCCTAGCAGCCCGCGGGCCACTGCCATGCCCCCCTCCTGATGGACAATTGGACACCCACCGATGGCATCTTTGATGTATCACCCAGCGAATCACAGAGACGGCCGCCCTCGTCCTCGTCGACCTGCACCTTACGTACCCGGCGCCCGGCCTCTCCCCACACGGAGAAATCTGCAGGGGTTGACGGCTGGATTCCCCTTTAGGTTCAGGTCCAGTGGCAGCGGTGCGAGATTCATCTGAAAGACTGAAAGGAGGCACCACCCGACATGCCATGCGTCCCGAGGGTTCAGCCCAAAAAAACAACAACAACGACGCTCCATCATCCATGCTGCTGATGGCCCATCCCGCCTTTTGACGACCTGCCGTACGGATACCATACAAGTGGAGAGGCTTGATTGACTCTGGAAGGTAGCGTCGAAGAGGACAACTCTTATTGTTCCTCTTCCTCATCCCCTCTGCTTTCAACTCTTTGCTTCCCTCCCCGCTCCCCTTTCAGCCACACCTGGTTTTCTTTCATCTCGGATCTCCAAGTCTCAAGCGTTGACGGCACAAGCGGACCAGTCCATCCGTATCTGCTCTCGCTGCTTCCAGCACTGTCTGTGCGAAGCGCCGGCACGTCCGTCGACGATCAAATTTCCCGTCCCCCTCCAGCGCTCAGCGTTGGACTGCGGCGCGCAACGTCATTGACGGGGCGACTCCATTCCGGCCTTTTTAGCCTGTGCAGGTCCCCTGAACCACCACCACCACCACCAATACCACAATCACTGCCACTACCAGCTCCAGGTCTTCTCAAGGTACATTGGCCCGAACACACGACTCTCGCCTCATCACCTTCCAGCTCCACGATTCTGTACGTCTCACGGCACCTCAATTGCATCACTTCTCGAAATCCCGTACCTGCTGTCGAACCGTCTTCGACAAACCCCAGAAAAACTAGCGAAAGCGGATAACGTCCGGCCCATGACTCAGGTTAACCCAAGATAGGGGCATCTTGGAATAGATCCCGACGCAACGGGCCCTTGGTGGAGAGGCGAACGAAAACGACCCAACGAAAATACGACTGAGGGGACAATACAGAGGCCCTTTTTCTCGCCCATCCCCGCCGATACCGACACCGACACCGATCCCAGTCCTGGGTCCCAGACCGACCGACGACCGACCCCGACAACGCGCCGCGGTCAACATGGCCTCGTCCTACGCCTTGCCATCCTCCGCCCTACCGCACGCCCACCATCACCACATACACTCCCATTCCCACTCGCCGCCGTCCCTTCACGCATTGAAGTCGACAATGTCTACCGGCGGGCTGCACTCCCACAGCCAGAGCCAAGACTCGACCGGCAGCAGCCACGCACATAACCACGATCACTCCTATGGTCACAATGGCCACGCCCACAGCGGCCACTCACATCACCGGGCGAACTCGAGCCAGTCGTCCATTCCTCGAGAAAGAGCGGCGCCTCGCTCTCTCGCTTCAATGGACGGCTGGAAGACGGACATCACACCGAGCGGTCGTCAACTGTTGACGCCTACAAACGGGTCCTTTTCGGAAACGTTCCAACCTCTCGACGGCGCGATGGCGATAGACGAGCATTCCCACGATCATCATGACCACGACCATTCACACTCGCACGACCACGACCACGACCACGCTCATGGTGATTGCCATAGTCACGACCACCACGGCCATTCACACGCCCACAGCCACAGTCACTCTCACTCCCACGATCATGCCAAGCCTTCCCTGTTTACGAGAGCTCTCTTAAAATATACGCCGGCAGTTCCGTTTCTCCACACCATCGTCGTGGAGAAGGATTCGAGGAGAATCTTTTACTTCATGACGTGAGTTGGCTCGTAGGATGGTCAATTTTAAGTTTTACTGACGTTCTGTGATTTCCTAGGCTCAACTTTGGCTTCATGGCCGTACAAGCGTTCTACGGCTATGTCACCGACTCGCTCGGGCTCCTCAGCGACACAATTCACATGTTTTTCGACTGTTTTGCCCTCTTCGTCGGTCTTTGCGCCGCGGTCACTAGCAAGTGGCCTCAGAGCCAGCGATTTCCCTTTGGGCTTGGAAAGATCGAGACGCTGAGTGGTTTTGCCAATGGCATCTTGCTGATGTAGGTTTTTCCAGCCTGCAGCACGATGCACGGCGCTAACAAGTGACAGGCTTCTGAGCGTTGAGATTATCGTAGAGGCATTTGAGCGAATCTGGGAAGGTCAAGAACTTCACCGACTGAGAGAACTTCTCATCGTCAGCTTCCTCGGCGGCGTGATCAACCTGTTGGGTCTATGGGGCTTCGGGCACCATCATCACGGCCACGATCACGGTCACGGCCACTCGCATTCACACGACGACCACGATCACGGGCATGATCACTCGCACGGAAAGAAGCACAGCCATGGGCACTCGCATCATAACGACAACATGGAGGGTATTTTTCTGCACGTTCTGGCCGATACGATGGGAAGCGCTTCAGTAGTGCTGTCGACAATTTTGACGTACTACACGGGCTGGACGTTCTGGGACCCCTTGGCCTCTTGTGCCATTGCAATTCTCATCTTCCTCGCGTCGATCCCGCTCATCAAGTCGTCTGCGCGCAACCTACTTCTCAACATCCCCGACGACATTGAGTACAACCTGCGTAACACGCTCGCGGGGATTTTGCAGCAAAAGGGCGTCGTCAACTACTCGGTACCCAAGTTCTGGATGGACCACCGGAGCAGCGAGGACTCGGGAGACAAGCTGCAGGGCATCGTGCACGTTGTGGCAGCAAGGGGTGCGAGCCTGGACGAAGTGCGGGATCGCGTGCGGGAGTATCTCTTGAAGAACTCCATGGACATTGTGATCCAGGTCGAAAGAGAGGGCGACGGCAGCTGCTGGTGCGGCGTTGGAAGGTCGACGGGCTTGGCCACGACGCCCCTCAAAAGGGCATTTTAGAGAAGCGGACGACCAACACCCCTGACGACGATTTTTGAGGTAGTGGCAGTCCAGGACGAGCGAACGAAGCGGGAATGAGAGAAGAGTGTCTGGTCTATTTTTCTTGTGTTTCTTCTTCATTGACTAGACAGCGGGACCAAAAAAAAAGAGCGCAGACGAACCGCATAGAGGCTTGGTGATAGAGAAATCCTCGATTTGGAGACGGGGTTTAACGAGGTCGGGCTGTTTCTTCTTCTTCTTCTTCCTTCCAGGAGTCTCGGAACGTTTATACAAGTGGCAAATCGCATCATGAAAGGCATTGCGACGGCCATTCAAGGAATCTTTTGTATGAGTAGAGGAAGCAAGCGCATATACATGGTTTGCGCGAGGGGGCGGCGGGGCGGCAAGGCGGCAATGGAAAAACCAGATACCCTTGAGGCTAAAAGTTGATGATGCTCCTCCTGACGTGGTGAATCATGTGAGCGTCTGATGCTCCGTCGACCCGAGATGGCACACAGTAGAGGTGTGTAGGTTTATGACATGTCTTAACAAGCGATATGGCAATATTCTATTAGCCGCGTCTCGGTGAGAGAGACGTCGGTGGCCTAGGCATGATTTCTCCGTCCGCCCGGAGTGGTGTTGTGAATAGGTAGGCGTGTGGGTGGGGCTTGAGCTGTCACTCGATATGTAAACCGACTGTGGGGGTTTGAAAATTGCTGATGAGTGAGTGAGCCTTTGAGGTAGGGTAGAGTACCTGGACTTGGCGGCCTATCAGAGAAACTTGCGATTACGGTCTGCAGGATCTCGCATTCGAGGTTTAAGCGTGGACTTTGACAACCCGGTAATGAGTGGTGAGCCACAGGTATCTACGTCGAAGGGCTATTGTTGACTGCTGTTTCTCCGCGCAGGTTGACGTCGACTTTGTTTACTTACTTTACTTCGAATGAGATGAAATTGGGAAGTGAGACGAGGGGTTATGTGTGACTCTGTAACGCTTCTTGGGAATTCCAGTCTCACTTCGGAGGTCCAGGAACGCGGGTTTTCCTAAGGGAGAGGGTTGACTTTATGCATGCTGACCGATGATGGCATGTCACATGAAAGCACCTGTGTTGACGGGGAATTGACTTTTTTTTTCTCTTTTCGTCTCATTCTCTCTAGTCGTCAGACCCTTGATACGATTACCTGCTTACGGATACCATTACACTTTGCATCACACGATAAGCGTATCCCTCATCCCTTCTTGGATCCTGAAAGCTATGATCAATGAGGTATATGGAATTCGCTACTCCTGCATGCGCGGCGGTCTTACCTTCAGGTACATACATCTCACGCTTTCGCGGATGAAGAAGACCAGCACCCCCCGCTAAAGCAAGGCCCCAAATTAGGCCCAGGTCCCCCCCCATTTCCCCTCCTTTTGCCATCCAAGTTTCCTCCTTTCCCCCAGAAGCCCGCCCGGACCGGAGCAGCCCTTGGTAGTAGGTACCTACCTTACCTGTAGCAGAAAATTTGGCGGGGGGGAAACGTGCCCTGCACTACAATGAGCCGAACGACCGAGGCACCCGACACCGCTACGCCGCCCGCGCACCCGCAGCCCAAGTGCCACCTCAAGTCCTCGAGGAGTGCTGCAGTTTCATCCCGCGCCCGCTGGGATGAGCTCTCGAGTCAATTATCTGTAGGAAACGTAGATTCCGTAGAGAAAGAAAAGATGATGGTCTGTCCTTTTTGATGCACCGGCCACTTGTCACGTCCCTCACTTTCCTCGACTATTTCATGTCCATGACCTTTTCTCTTTGCAATGATCACCAAATAAACCATCACGAGCCAATTCAAAAACCTGGGGGGATTTCTAAGGTATCTCGAGTGGATAAAAGGTACCCTACTCCGTACTCAAAATTCCCCATACTCCGGCTACAAGTGGAGACCTTAACCCCCCCCCCCCCCCCAATTGGAGTGTTGCCGAGGCTCAAAATACGTACCGCAACCGTAGCTCTCTCTCGTTGTCTCTCACTCCCTCTCTCCGATCCGACCGCACCGCACCGCCTCTCCAACGGACGACCGAACCAAAACCACCACAACACCTATCGCTAGTTCCCGAACGCACGAATAGTTGCAAAAACTAGCAAACCGAATCTGCACCAGGAACGGACCGCACGGTGGTACACATTCGATCGCATTACAGCTCTGCGCCCAGGGCAAGCTATCGGACATCACCAGCAACTAGAGAGGAACCCCAGAGCACGTGAAAGCTCCCTTCCTGCCCCCAAACAGTTTCCTCTCCCACGACAACTTCCTCACGACAACCTCCGTCTCGACATCCATCACCAGCTCCCTTTCTCTCCTCTCCTCTCCTCTCCTCTCCTCTCCTCTTCCCCTCCCCTCCTCCAATCCCTCTAATCAACCAGAGATCCCACCCTCAAAATGGCACCCTCCCCAACAGAAGCAACCAAATCCCTAAACCAAACCCTCCAAACCAACCTCCCCACCCCCGTCGCCGACGCCCTCCCCCGCCTCCCCGAATCCAAAGACGAACTCAAAGCAGACACAAAAGCAGCCGCCTCGGGTCTCGCAACCCAACTCCGCTCCCTCGCGGCAGGCGGCTTCGGCGGCGTCTGCGCCGTCGTCGTAGGCCACCCCTTTGACCTCGTAAAGGTCCGTCTCCAGACCGCCGACAAGGGCGTCTACTCCTCCGCCATTGACGTCGTCCGCAAGAGCGTCGCGCGCGATGGGTTGAGGAGAGGTCTGTATGCCGGTGTGAGCGCGCCGCTTGTGGGTGTCACGCCAATGTGTATGTCTCTTCCTCCTCTCTCTCTCTTCTCCCCCTTCCTTCTCTATGCTCCACCCAGCTAACCTCCCTACCCCCACACACAGTCGCCGTCTCCTTCTGGGCCTACGACGTAGGCAAAACCCTCGTCCGCAGCACCTCCGCCACCCCCGACGCCCCCCTCACCATAGCCCAAGTCTCCGCCGCAGGCTTCTTCTCCGCCATCCCCATGACCGCCATAACCGCCCCCTTTGAGCGCGTAAAAGTAATCCTCCAAGTCCAATCCCAGCGCCTGCAACCAGGCGAATCTCCCAAATACAAGGGCGGCACAGACGTCGTCCGCCAACTCTACGCCGAAGGCGGCCTCCGCTCCGTCTTCCGCGGTTCCGTCGCGACCTTGGCCCGCGACGGCCCCGGCAGCGCGGCGTATTTCGCCGCCTACGAGTATATCAAGCGCAGACTTACGCCCAAGGATCCCGTTACGGGTAAGCCGTCTGGAGAGCTGAGTTTGCTCGCCGTCACGGCTGCCGGCGCGGCGGCGGGCGTGGCGATGTGGATCCCTGTGTTCCCTGTCGATACGGTGAAGTCGAGGCTGCAGACGGCCGAGGGCAATGTTACCCTCGGCGGGGTGGTGCGCGAGGTGTACGGGCGGGGAGGCGTCAAGGCCTTCTTCCCTGGTTTCGGACCGGCGCTGGCGAGAGCTGTGCCTGCGAACGCGGCTACGTTCCTTGGTGTTGAGTTGGCGCACCAGGCTATGAACAAGGCTTTCAACTAGAGCGTGATGGATAGGAATTCGGGGGGTAGACGGTGTGTTGGCATAGTGCGATGTTGAGGAGAGTAAGGAGGAGAATGGTGTGTGGTTACAATACGAAGAGGAGTATACGGGGCGTTTGTAGATGGAGGCACTTGTCATAATCTCTTACACCAAACATTCTCGAGATATTTTCCCCTTGTGTCATGCTAAAAAAAGACTAGAAGCAAATCATTCAATTGTTCACTCATGAGAACACCTGGATTTCGATCACACACCTAGACTAAGTGGTGGTGCTCCAGACTTTTTTTTTTTTGAAGTGATTTCATTGATCTATGCTATCCATCCAGGCCTTCATGAAAAGTATTTGGTGGCTGTCTCGGGGAAACGTCCAAAAAGGCAAAAACCTCCTGCTAATGCCATCTTCCTGTCGCGCTATTAAAAAATGATATCATGTTTTGGAGCCGCCCCAAAACTTTTTGTCCATACGCAATGCCATAAAAAAATTATTGGAAAAGTAGAGATTTGTCCTTTTGCCGCCCAGATGCAGACATTGCAGCCCTATTATGACTGCGTACGCTTTGCCGCTGTAGAGTATAGCCTTCATGCTGTGTTATCCCGTGCTGTCCCTCGAGGATTTTCATATGCTTCATGTACAAGGTATAATGCCGCGTCGCAATGCAATCTTCTTTTGAAACCACGCCTCAACCGCGCTCATTCACTGTCCAGCGCCGCTTCGAGGTCGTCATGTCGCGCATAATTTCAGTCTCCCCCAAGGGGCGCGGCGCTCCCCACAGACCCCCGTTGGCAAAAGTGCCTAGCTGAGGAATCTTGTTTTCCTCGTCGGTGCCGTCGCTCGAGGTAGGACGAGAGATCTCTTGCAGCCTCAGGGGGACTTTGGCCGGGCCACCGAGCTGCGGCTCCTTTCTCTCCGGCGTCGGAGGCTTGACAATCTCCTGGCCGGGCTTGGAGAGGGCCGCCAACTTCTTACGGTGGTCAAAGTCTGGGAAGATGTCGTCGTCTTCGTCCTCCTCCTCTTCCGTCTCCTTCTTTGGCGTGATTGGCGACCACAGCCCGACAGACAATGTCGGTGATGGTTTCGTAAAGTTCGTGGCGCCGCTTCCAACTGTGATTCCGGTCGTGTTGAGCGTGGGCGCCCTAGGTATGGAGTATGTGTTATTCGAAACCCGGCGCATGCTGCCCAGATTTGCGTTTGCTGAGTTGCTTCTACTTCCAAAGTCAAACGAGTCGGGGTTGAAGGTGATTGGGCTCGGCGTATACGCGTTCGATCCCACCGTTGAGATACGCCCTCGCGAGTAAGACTGTCCGTTTTGTGACTGATTTGAGGCTGTTGAGGGAGCCCTGGATAGGTTGTGGGTAGCAGAGACGGGCTGGCGCAGGTGCTCCGTGTTTGCGAATAGCTTGAGATCATAGTAGTGATGGACGGGGATGATTCCTTTGGTGCCGGACATTGGGTCAACGTCAGGTTCCGACATGGGCGTATCCAAGCCGGAAGGCTCCGAATCACGGCCAGGCTTTCTGGCGGCCACTGTCAAAGAAGCCATCGCCACGTCCATCAGGACCGGTTGGTGCGTGATGGCGCCAATCAGGGCGTTGCAACCAGCACCGTGAGATACCAAGATGACCACCGGCTCTACATCGTCGTCCTCGTCGTCATCGATAGCGCACTCGGTGTCGCCATTTCGAGAGGTCTTGACGACCTTGGTGACCATCTCCGCGGGACTCTCTGCTGTGGTGTACCAGTCAACCAGCTTCTGAATACCCTTCCTAAATCGCTGGTGCATAGCTGTCCACTCCTCGCCGTACTTGCCTCCATCACCCCAGTCGAGAGGCTCCCGCATCGAGTCCCACTGGTAATCGACTGATACACAAGCATCTCGCGCGTGAGCAACATAGCCGTCGGGGATAGTATGGTTTGGTGAAATGGCATAGTGGGGGCTAGGAGCGACATATCCGTCATTCGGATTCGCGGGCTCTGGGAGTGTGAAACGAACGCGCTGGCTCGAGGTGCTGGCTGTGCTACCAGCCCGACTTCGGGGCAGAGCGCCGGCCACTGCAGATACGTTTTCGAGACCCAAGATGGATGGTGAGTTGGAGTCCGAAGAGCCAGACCTCTCGGGAGCGGGGGCAGCTCTAAACTTTGGACTGTTCCACAACTGACTCTGGGCTTGGCCAACGGAGTTTGCGTGGTGGTGGGAATGCTCCTGGATATGGTTGTGGGCGTGGATGTTTTCCCGTCTGAGCAGGTCGGCCTTTGCGCCAGCCAGCATCATCGCGGAGCCTGGAGGCGGCGTGATCATTTCAAAGTATTCCGGGGACAGCCACTCGCCCAAAAAGGCATCCAAGCGCAGCGTCGACTTCTTGATCTTCTTCTTGGTCTGCTCGGGCTTGGTACCGTTCGCATCGGTGGAGAGCGGGTCGACCTCTTCAGCTACGGACGCTGGGAGAACAAACGGTGAAGCGGAAGGGTTCGCGCTGGGCGAGGGCATCGGGTATGAGGGCGTGCCGGGCGGAGGTGCCTGGGCCAGGCCTGCGCTGATGGCGACGGAGGTTTGGACGCATCGCAAGAACGGGGAGCTGTGGAGGACGACCTTGAACTTGCGACGCCTCTTTTGCGAGTCTACGGAGCCATTGCGGCCGTCGGGGAACTTGGGATCGGCGTTGACGTCGGCTTCGGCCTGTCTCAGTATGTTTCCAATGCGAATACCGAGTGCTTTGGCTTGCTGCCAGCCGCCGTAGGTCAGAGGAGGATCGTAAGGCGTCGGGGACGTGAGATGCCACTTCTTGTCGGCAGCGTCGAGACGTGCGCCGTGCCTAGCAGTGTTTGTCAGCCTTCCAAATGCTTGTGTACGTGACAAGTCAGTCCTCTTACCTGACCACGAAAATGTACGCCGGTGGACGCCCCATGTTGTCGGCGACGCAGGTGAGGATGCGAAAGCCCACTCGGGATATGTGCGGAAGCCGGCGTGGGCGGATTAGGTAGGTGCAAGACGAACGGCGTGTGTGACAACTTCTAGCAGTGGAAGAAATACGGACGGAGGATCAAATGACGACGGTTGGAAATGCGGCTAGAGACACCATCCAAGACTTTGCGGACCTAGAGGATCGGATGGCTTGGGCAGGCGGAATAAGCTTCGTGGTGCCGGCGGCGGAGGACCGAGAGGGCACGGTCGAGGTAACAGACTAAAGCTACCCGTTGGAGATGGTTTCGTTGATTCTGGGGCGTTGGTGCAGTTTGGTATGTTCCAGTTGTGGTAGTTCGGGTGCACGGAGTTGATGTAGAAACAAGCTAAAGAGCGAGAGGAAGAGAGAGAGAGAGGTTGAGTAATCAGAAACACGGATCGAGTCGAGAAAGTAGAGAAGGCAAAGGAGAAGGAGAAGCAGCGAGGCAACCAGCAAAGAAGTAGGAGGCAGGGCAGGCGGGCGGAGGAGGAGTAACTGGCGGATTTCAGAATTTCTGCCACGAGTTTTACGTCGGTCATCCGGTGTTTGGGAGCCCCTCTCTCCGTCTCCGACCAGTTGGCACCGACTTCGCAAGCGCTAAGATGATGGGACTATCCGTAACAGTATGCGTAGGTAAGGTAGGTATTAGATGGAGACCGTTGACGAGCATGCCATCGGTCAGCGGGCGGGTGGTGGGGATCGAGAAGAATGGAGCGGCCGGGTCGTGGAGAAGATGCAATCAATCGGCACCGAGTCGCGACGAACGGCGGAGAGTCAATAAAGGTATTAATTTGCGATCGGATCCCGCCCCAGGCCCAGGTATCCAGGTATCCAGCCAGGTGCTGTGCTGCAGTAAGGCAAGGTACGGATACAAGCAGGGGATGTCTTTATGTATGGTTCAGGCGCAGGTGCAGTCAGTCGTGCAGGTCGCAGAACAAACAAAAGAAAGCAACCTCAGGTACGAAGCATCTGAAGGTACATGACGGATAGGTATGTCAAACAGAGTGACATGGTGACAGAGCGGGGCAGATGCTGTTTTTCTGCTTTTGTGCTTTGTCTGCTGGTCTACCTTACCCGAGAGAGTATCCGTACAGAGTACATATATAGACTCGAAGTGCAAAGGCACGATGATGCAAGGCCCTCGACATTAAGGATCATCGTGATGAGCCCACCGGTCACACAAGGTGACGAGAGTTAAAGGTCAGACGATGGTCCAATAGTGGTGTGTTGATGCCGGGTGCGTCAATGAGGGGGAAAAGAGTTGGAGGAGGAGGGCGAGGAATGGAGGGGTAGGAGAGGCTTTGACGAGTGACAGGCCGGGAAGACACTGCGAGGGGGGCTGAAGTGTCACTGCTATTGCCGAAGCTGTGCTGCTCCTTCAAGCATCTCGGAGACGAACTAGAGACAGACACAGCCTTGACAGGGTCTTGCTTGCCTGTTACGCCAGGCGCGTCAGCCGTTGGAGACGAACCAAATCTTCATGGGGGGGGTTGCAGTCTCATGGATGATGGAGCGGTGCAGAATGCAAAGAGAACAAGGCTCATTTCCTTGCCTCTTTGCTCTCTATGTATGAAAATGTGCATGTGATTGTCCCGCTCTCGGTTTTTAGCGCCAAACGTAATCATGGCACGTGGGGAGACGAGAAAAATTTAGACGAGCACCAAAGTCACGACTGTCCTGAGCCAATGTCCGAAAATGCCAGGTGCTGAGGTCCTCTCTGCGAAATGAATAAGCTTAGGTAATCAGACTCCGAAGGCCCGACACTCTCATCTTTACGTCTCCTCCACTTCACTCCAGGAACCGAACCTAAGCGAGACAAAAAGGCAATGGGAATTGTGCTGAACATTCCAATGCCCTCGAGTGCCTTTGTTTGACCCATTGGTGCATTCTTTATACTTGGTCACGAGCATCCTGGCCTAGATGCAAACAGCATAGTCGCCGTACATGTTTAACTCTAATCACACGATGCTGACGCAACTCATCATGATCAATTTGCCGGCTACTAACCAGGCCGGGCGGCACTGCAGCACTACGTACAGCACCGCGGCAGAGACTCACCAACCTCGGACATGAATCCTCCGAAGCTGTCCAGGTTCTGCTCGCCGCTCGGTCCAAGGCCCCATCCAGATCCGACTACCTCCCCATTAAAGATCTCATGGGTGATGGATCTTTTCACCTTGATCCCTTGTCCGGAGAAACCCCACAAGCCAGTTCTGGCGTCGGTTCCATCTCCCATTTCTGATTTGACAGTCATCAGTGTTAGTGAAGCCCTGAGATGAGCTAATCCCCGCAAAGCAGAGTTGGCCTGTGCAGGGCGGCCGCCAGAAACATCTCAATTACCTAAACTTCAAAGTACCACCAGGTACTGGATAGAAATCATGCATGAATAGACCGGGTGACTCTTCTGAATGTCGCCGGCCAAGTGACTCAAATATACAAAAGTTCTTTTTTGTCCAAGAGAAACACTGAAATGTCTCCGAGCACAGATAACCTTAAAAGCCACAATCAAATTGGAGACTGCGGGTAACTTGGAGGGATACACCCAAAACCAATACACTTTACTCCTCTTTACCCCAGATCCAGATCGAACGAACGCTAATACACTTCCTATTTACCTATCTTCTCCACGTATCACCAGACTGTCGGGAACACAGCAGCTAGACTCTACTTGAGCATACCACCGAATTGAATAGAATCCAAACACACAAGATGGCATCCGCACCCAAAGATCAGCAGGACTCTGCAGACATCAAGTCCCGCCTCAAAGAGTCCTACGACACCATCGCAACCGAATACAACGAATGGACCCTCCGCCAAACCTCTCTCCGCATCGAGTACCTCGAGAAGCTCATGGAGAAGCTCCTCACCGCCAAGCCTCTGACAGGTCAAATGTCCCTCGTCCTCGAGCTCGGCTGCGGCTGCGGCCTCCCCGTCACCGAGAGGCTCCTCACGGCTCCGGACACCTACGTCACCGCAAACGACCTCTCCACCACCCAGATCGACGTCGCCCGGAAGAACCTCGCCAAGCACGGCACCGACCGCGTCTCCTTTGCCGAGGGCGATATGATGAAGCTCGAGTTCTCTGAGGGGTCGTTTGATGCTGTTATTGCCATGTATAGCATCATCCACCTGCCCCGCGAGGAGCAGACCGAGATGATCAACCGTGTTGCGAAGTGGTTGAAGCCTGGTGGTCTTTTGCTCGCCAACTTTGCATCCAAGGATTTGCCTGCTGTTGTGAATGAGAAGTGGCTTCATGAGAAGGGATGGATGTACTGGAGCGGTTGGGGCGCTGATGCGACTGTCGAACAGCTCAAGGAGGCTGGGTTGGAAGTTATCGTCAAGGATATCGTCGATGACAAGGACGACGCCGAGTTCCTCTGGGTCATGGCGAAGAAATAAGCGGTATTCAAATGAATTTTTGTCGTTTCAACTCGGGTCCCGGAATACTCAACATCGAGCGGATATCAGAGGCATCCTCCCGTCATGTCAGTCTGCATATCTTACCTTACTTACATGGAAGACATGACGGGATATCAAGGGTTGCCCAAGTCGAAGTACCATGTACTTTGAACTGGTGGGGTTTCGCTTCTTTGAGCAAGTACGTCACGGTACATTGCGGTTTGTCAATGTCGAGCATGACAAGATATTGATAGTCTAAAAGTTGATAAAGTCAATTAAACATTCACTCTACTTGATGATTAAAAATCCGCTTCCAGTCTGCACATCATAGAGTCCTAACATTGATCCTCGAGGTCGGTGGCACTGTGCCAAGGTAAAACACTTCAATGGTCCAAACTGTCTCCCAATGGCGGGGAGAAATGGTACCTGAGCCAAACTGCGCTACCCCGGTCAAGAGGCAACGGCAACGGTCTGTGCCCCAGAGAACCGATTGGCTTACTAAGGCCGACTTTGTCAGGGCGAAGCTCCGTGGCGGGCCCCCTTACCAAGCTGTTGGTTAATCACTTTCTCGAGCCCGTCGTGAGATTCTTCCATTTCCACCCATCTCCCTTGTGACAACCCTTATGACATTGTAATCCTTGCTCTTCAACCAGCGACTTACTCGATTACAATCACCGCCATCATGAGGTTGTCACGTTTCCTTCAGTTACCAGTCCTTCTGGCTGCCTCGACCCTTGCCCCCGCGGTCCTCGCCGAGCACACAAGCAACTGGGCCGTCCTCGTCTGCACATCACGATTCTGGTTCAACTACCGCCACCTCGCCAACGTGCTCTCCATCTACCGCACCGTCAAGCGCCTCGGTATCCCCGACTCCCAGATCATTCTCATGCTCCCCGACGACATGGCCTGCAACCCGCGCAATGCCTTCCCCGGAACCGTCTACAGTAACTCGGACCGCGCTGTCGATCTATACGGCGACAACATCGAGGTGGACTACCGTGGCTATGAGGTCACCGTCGAGAACTTCATCCGCCTCCTGACTGATCGTGTCGGTGATGAGATGCCCCGCAGCAAGCGCCTTTTGACGGACGACCGAAGCAATATCCTCGTATACATGACGGGCCACGGTGGAAACGAGTTCCTGAAGTTCCAGGATGCCGAGGAGATTGGTGCTTTCGACCTGGCCGATGCCTTTGAGCAGATGTGGGAGAAGAAGAGGTGAGATGATACCAAGCCCACACGTGCTACTGCGACGGCATTTACTGACTGCTCAGATACCACGAGATCCTCTTCATGATCGACACCTGCCAAGCAAACACAATGTACAGCAAGCTCTACTCCCCTAACATCATCGCGACCGGCTCCTCGGAGCTCGACCAGTCCTCCTACTCGCACCACGCCGACAACGACGTCGGCGTCGCCGTCATCGACCGCTACACATACTACAACCTCGAGTTCCTCGAATCGCAAGTCCAAGACCTGAGTTCCAAGAAGACGGTCGGCGAGCTCTTCGACAGCTATACGTACGAGAAGATCCACTCCCACGCCGGCGTGCGCTACGACTTGTTCCCCGGCGGCGCCGACGCCGCGCGGAGCCGTCGCATCACCGACTTCTTTGGCAACGTGCAGAACGTCGAGGTCGACGGCGCCAAGAGCATGGTCCTTGATGAGGAACTGATGGAGCTCAGCCAGAAAATTGCCGCGCTGAAGCAGCGGGCCCAGGAGGCTGATGCGGCGGCGAAGAATGCGTCGTTGGTGGAGAATGCCAAGGGGCGGACGCCGGATGTGAAGACGAGGGCCAAGAGGGTGCAGATGGCCAAGCCCCTCACGAATGAGAATTGGTGGGAGAAGAAGATCATTGGGGCCACGGCCTTGATCGGTTGCGCGCTTCTCTGGGCTTTGGGGTCGTACTACGAGGCACCAAGGAAGAGGGCTGATACTGCTAAGACGACGTCGGGGCAAAATGGCCATGCTATCGTGAAAGCATGATCATATTTCTTCCCGCTTTCTTGTACTTTTATGTCTTCAGTTCACTTGCACGAGGTGCATTCAGCCTGGCGTTTCTTGGGATAGGGAAGGGAAAGGTTCATCTATTAATCGGGAGCTGGTTTCAGGCTTCATCAATCACAAGCAGAAACTCATGACTGGTTCAGAAATGAAGAGAAAATCCAATAAACTACATGATCATGCCCATTTGTGGCCTCTATATAAACTGAACGTTCTCCGTCCAATGTCTCGCAGTTGTGAATGCAGGAGTATTTATCCGAAGTTTTTCCACCTAGGTGGTCTCGAGGTCCCTCACCTGTCCTCACCGAGAGCTCTTCACCGAGGTTCATCCCACTCTAAAATCTTGCAAGGCAAAGTCAATGCACTTGACGAAGGTCCATCAACCCCCCGCACATCCTCTATGGAGGGACGTAGATATCCCGTAGTCTGCGAAAATGGATAGCTCAAAGGTTTGTGTTGTAATTTCCTTCCGTTGTCTTTGTCCTGGGTTGGTCCTTCCGCGACATATCGTGCTCCTTCTCAACGACATCCCGCGCTTACAACGGGTCCCTTCACCTCACTGTGGCTTGGTGTAAGTGATAGATGGAGTGATGCCGCTACTCTACCTCACTCCTCTGTCCTACAAGACTCTGTCACACCGATACAATGTTCTCACTACCTGACGCTACATGTCTTGCTTTCTTCAGCGATCTACGCGCACGTTAATCATACACTCATCTCAACTTCATGACCTTTCATCTCAAACGAAAGATCGTCATTGATGATTCATGAGACATTTCAGCCTTCCACGGGTGACGAACTACACCTGCGACGTCCCGCGAACCGCTGAAGTCAGCAATCATGGACGACATTATCATCCTCTCAAAAACCCTCACCCTCACCCCCCAAAACCACTCTCACCAACTAACACCCTTGGACGACGACCAGATTCCCCCCCTCAAAACCCTCACCCTCAAGTCTAGACCCCTAGCAAGCCACGCCCTCACCTTCTCCTGCGACGCAGAACTCGCCGTCGCCGCCGACGACTCGATCAATGTCTTCCTCCCCGAGTTCCCAACCCCAGAGGAGCCTACCGCAACCAAACACGAGCCACCCAAGGACGACAACGATGATCTCCAGGCAGCACCAGGAGCAGACGAAGATCCCGCCGGCGTAGCAGCAGCCCTCCTCGCTGCCGCAGACGCCCAAGATGGCGAAAAGCTCTACCGCCAACAATTCTACACCTTCCAGCTCCGCATCCCGACATCGCGTAAACCCGACCCGCGCATGAACGCCGCGCTCTTCGCCGCGCGAGGACTCCCCGTGCCCTCCTACGACGACGACTGGGCCGCCTCAGCCGGTGCCGAGGGCGCTGGTACCAGCGGCATCGGCGGCGAACCGGCGGTCCTGGACCCGTCTTCCGCATTCGAGGGCGTCGGCTCCGGTACAGTCACAGGCTACGGCGCTTCGCTGAACCAAGTCGTCGCGATGGAATGGTCCCCCGGGAACCTAGGCCGGAATCTTAGAGCGGTGTTGACCGTGATGCTGACCAACGGCGCGCTCCTCGTCATCGGCGAGGGCAGCGGTAGTAGTGGCGGTAGGAGCAGCCACGAACCCGTCGACCTCGGCGCTCGGATGAGGAATTTCAGAGACTGGCGGATCCTGTGGGGCGTGGGCGCGAATCTGCCGCTGCCGGACCCGGATGCCGAGCGGGACGAGGCGTACTTACCGCGGGACAAAGTCAGGTCGTTCTCGTGGGCGAGGATGATTGGGACGGGCCAGGCGCTGTTGGCGTACGCAACGGACCAGGAGGAGATTGTGGTGTTGAGCGCGCAGTATTACCTCCCCAACGAGATGGATGATGCGTCGGATGCTGGGTCGTATGTGTGGGAGGTGGAGGAGGTTGCGCGGTTTGATGGACGGGGACCGCATCGGAGCTTGGGCGTGAGTTCTGTTTCTTTCTTTCTCTGTCTCTCTGTCTCTTCTTGTTCACGATACCCCCAGGGAAATCTATCCCGTCAAGCGGGTGGTGTTGGCTAACGATTTTCAGGTCCTGGACCCCGATTACATCCCCTACACCTCAGCCTTCTCCCTAAAATGGAGCCCCTGGCTACACTCAGGCGACACCCGGACCGCCATCCTCTCCTACTGCGCGCGAAACTACGTCGGCTTCCGCCGCATCACAATCCCGGCGGACTGGAAGCGTGGTGCCGCCGTTGATATCGCCGTTGAGGAAGCGGACGTCACGGGCATCTGCACGAATCTGCTCTCCGACGCGTTCGTCGAGTGGGAGGACGCCGTCTGGGACCGCGACGACGTCAAAGTCTGCCGGGGCGTCATCGCGTCCCCGTTCAAGGCCTTGCCTTTTCAGGTTGCGCTTAACGGGCCCGAGGGCACAGCCAAGGAGCCTCATGGTACTGGGGTTTGCAAGACGACGTTTCCTGAGGATACGACGTCCGTAGATGCGACGAATCCCATTACGAGTATGCCCCCTTTTACAGACGTTTAAACAGAAAATTGAAGCTGACGATGTTCATAACCAGGTCTCATAATCCACCCCCCAAACCTCTCAAAACAAACCAAAGCCCCAGGCTACTCCCTCATCCGCCTCTCCGCAACAGCCACAAATGATAACTGGTTCCAGCAAAGCACCGCCGACGGCGCCGCCTCGCCTACCCCAGACTCCCTCCCCAAATGGGCCGAAACAATCTCCTCGACCGTCAATCTCTCCGTTCCCGTCACAATGCTCGGCCGCGGCGGCGGTGGCGCCGGTGCAGTAGGCGGAGACGGCGAGTCCGTTGCGTCGGGAGACGATTCAGATTCGGAAGATGATGATGACGATTTCGATTTACCCGAGGACGCGGGCGAGCAGATTCATCCGCACCGCGTGCGTATGTGGGGCATGACTATGACGCCTGCTGGTGGGATGAGCGCTGTGTTGGTGTCACAGCATAGTACGCAGAAGCCGGAGAAGACTGTCAAGACGAAGGTCATGTTTGGGGGCCGGGTCGGCAGTGGTGGAACGGCGGCGGCAGTGACGGCGGGTACTGGCGATGAGATGGATGTTGATGGAGGGGACGATGGTGGTAGGGCGAGTAGGTTGCGGTACTGGGAGAAGCAGAGCACCGAAGCCAAGATGTGGGATTGGATGTATGCTGGGGGGCCTGCTGTTCCCGGTACGCTGTGGGGTGGTACCGGGGATGAGGCGAGGGCGGGAGATGATGATTCGTTGCGGAAGAGGTTTGAGGAGGTCAAAGGGAAGCAGACGTGTGTGTTTTGTCATGCTTCTCTTATTGATGAGGGTAAGGAGTCGATTTGCGAAAAGGGGCATATCTTTGGTGAGTCTTGTCCTGGCTTTCTGGTTCTCTCCCCTTAAGAGGGATCGTTTTTCACTGACGTCAGCAATAGCTACCTGCGCGTCAACTGGCCTTGCTATCCTCGCGCCTGGCATCTCGAGAGCCTGTGCTGTTTGTGGTTTGCGATGTCTTGTGGCTAAGGAGGTGATCAAGATTGCGCAGGAACACATGGGCCCGGATGCCAAGGTCGATGCTTCTGAGGAGGCGTGCGGTGGATGTGGTGGCAAGTTTGTGGTGTAGACAGGAGCAATACAGCTGGCAACGATACCAAAGGATGCTATGAAATAGAGGTGAACGGTGTAAAGAAACGTCAGCCTCACCTCGTGACATTCATCCAGCCAAAAGAAGGGAGACGAGACGTTGCCCCTTGGTCCCACGTGACTGTAAACTACCTTAAGGTGAGGTAAGGTAAGCGGGTACTGACCGTTCCTTCCTTCCTTCCTCCTTCCCGTCCCCAGCTCATCCACATCCACATACGACACGCCCCTTTTGGCCTTTCATCCGATAACCTTTCCACCGCCTGGATACGCGAGAAGCCTTCATATACCCCTCCAAATCCATTCCTGTCACCAGCAGGCGCCCGTCTAGGTCGACGGGTCAGGTCAAACTGGCTACGTGGTGGAATGGTTTATGGTCAACAATCAAAACGCCAACCAGCCTACTCGACGACAGGCTTAGCGCATACGAGAGAACCCGACTTCGAATCCCGGAATGAGCACTAATCAATTTCCCAGCATGAGCACCAAGAGACGTAGCCCCCAGTTCAGCACCGGGGGGGTGAACTCTTTTTAGTTCTTGAGTGGAATTTTTGGGGTGAACGTGAGACTAGGTAACGGTGCCGATGAAATGATTAGTGTTTATTAACATTTGGTAGCATTATTCACAATGACTATCTAGGCAGAATAATGATTCAGTAATTATGCTTGTATTTTTTGTATGTTTTGATGTCACCGTATTAATCGATCTGAGTGTCGATCGAGTTCGCCCCCGTCTGCCCATGTTCTCCCAAAACTCCCGCTTAATCTCAACTTCTTTTGTTTGCCCGGCTCGAAACTAGATACGCCGATAGAAGAAGCAACCCTAGCACCTACAAGGTAGTAAAGATCTATTCAATATGCTCGTAGTCGGCTTGGGCTCCTCCCAGTCTGTCTACCAGGGAAATACGTTCGACGGGCCTATGTTTTCGTAGCAGCCAAAAGCGCCGTTTGGGAGGAGTATAATCCCGTTGGCTTGACGAAGGAAACGTCAATGTCAGTCAAGGTGAAGAGATCAGCAGAACGGGAAACTCACAAATGTCAATCTGAGACGTGTCTGAGCTACCAGGCATGTAGCAACGCATGGAAATGGGATCTTTCTTGTTTGGGGGAATATCCAATGCACATTGATAACCATTGTGATTGCCCCTGTTTATGAATTCCTCAGTGTCAGCAAAACAAGACTGATCAGGTAACCGAGTCTAAGACTGCTCGAGCCTCTACAGGTTGGTTTGACTCAACTTGTCGCGCCACTGGAGTACGCCGTGATTGTTTACGATGCACTGGTGAAGATCAAGGGTGGCATTGACTCTTCTGTTGTTGACGTCCGGGCAGTCGGCGCTGAGTACAGTTGCGTTCCGTTTCATCGGCGCGTCGACGTATTTATTCAGGTCGAAGCTGGTACATTTGTACTGAAGGCCATGTTTCTCGCCTTCGGCGGCCGCGATGACGATGATGGCGAGACTGGCGATGATATGGAAGAACTTCATGTTCGTGACGTGGTCTGTCAATCTGGTAAGACGATTGTGGTTTGAAAGAAGGGATACACCGTGGAAGCCCGTTGGATGAACGTATAAGTGGGATATGTGTGAGGGAAGGGACGAAGTAGGCAAGGTAAGGCATGTTCGAGAGGGAAATCTCCTGTCTTAAATGCTGAAGGTCCGACGTCAAGGCGGCGACGAAGTACTACAAGCGTGACTCAAAGGAAAGAGATGCCAAAAGACCGTTGATCATGAACAGCAGAAAGTCGAGGCCTGATGATGATTGACAATGGACTGCCCCCAAGAGTTTGATGCCGGTCTGGGTAGCATTGGCATGAATGGCCAGCCAAACGAAGGTAAGCTGCGAGTAGAAGCAATCATTGTTGGCACTCTTCACGACAAGGCCGTTGGCCGCCCTGGAACATTCGTTTGATTACGGTAAGTCAACATGCAGATTGCTTTGATGAAGCAACGGCAGCACGATCTTTCAGATAAACGCCGCGACTCGCGCCTGCTTCGTAAATCCCCGTAAGAAGCGCTGGAGATGCCAGGTCATGCGCGCTTCTACTCTTTCTACCGGGTTCATGTATTCCAGACTCAGAGTTGTTCGATTATGTAGAATCAGTGTTGAACAGCTTTCCTTTAACATTTCCTTTGGGTGTTTTTTATTAGACGCTCGCCAAGAAAGGGACACGTTTCGCTTCGGATGCTTTGTCTTGAAAAGTGCTGCCTGGTTTGCTCCGAAAGCTCGATACTTTGAACCAACACATTGCATCTCGCAGTTTGGCACGGAGGTATCTTGGTTGAACATGATGTATTGATCCAAATCTGCGCTTCGTAGGTATGCAGCCCTCGGGTTTCCCTGACAGATTCCCAGTCACGACACCGGCCTCATGCCTCTCTGGGGTTCCACTGTGTTGGGTGGAGTATGAAAATCCCGGGTAAGATCCAACGAACAGGGGTTTTCTTTGGGCTCGCAAAACAACGTATCGTCTAGATATGACTAAGTCTTCACTCTAGGGTACATGAACCGACCCCCAATCTCGTGATGAAGCCATGCCTCCCCCTTACGACGCAACAATCTTCCAAGGACTGCGCGAAAACCGATTCTCCGGGTCATATTTCCCCTTCAACTCCACCAACCTCCTCGCATTCTCCCCAAACCCTTCCTTGACACCAACATCGCTGCTCGCATAATTGTTGTACTGTCCAACACCGCCCCTCTCGCCAGTGTGATTTTCCCCTTTGATCTTCGCCGCCAAAGCCCGGTTCCAGCCCCTAATCATACCGTCCTTTGCCGGGTCCGTCCAACACGTCAAGACCATACAGTCAAAATACGTCCCGCGGTTCGAGTACGCCGTCGCCCCAAACGGCACGCTGACCACCTTGTCCTTCTTGTAGATCTCCACGGCCAGAATGCTACCTCGCATGTCGTTGCCCTTGGCCGTCTCCTCATCGACACGCGAGTAAAATTCCTTGCTCATCTCTTCCCATTTCGCTAGCTCGAATGGCGCTGTGAGGTTCGTCCCGCCCATCAGCCGTCTTGCGCCGGGGCCTTGAAGCTCGTCGAGGAGCGTGTTGGCTGTTGGGTAGTCCATCTCAGTCGCCATGTTCACCAGCGGTCCCACTGCGAGGAGCCCCTTGAAGATACCCTCAGTAGCCTCTTGCCCAGTACCGTTGTGGAACGGCTGCACGACAATCATGGGCTTTGCATCGGGCCCCGGTGGACCGTAGGCAAATCCCATGATGAGGAATTGCCTCTCGTCCATCTTCTCCACAAACTCGTTCATCCAATTGAGCAGCTCAGGCAGCTGAGAGTTGGCGAACATGAGAGCCCCATACCATACCTTTCCCTGAGGAAAAACCTCAGAAGTGAACCTCGTAACAACACCAAAACTCGCCCCAGCGCCGCGCAAACCCCAAAACAGATCCGCATTCTCCGTTTCCGACGCCGTGACAATCGACCCATCAGCGAGAATGGCCTCCACTTCCACAAGACAATCGACCGCAAGACCGTAAAGTCCGCTCAGAAGCCCCTGTCCGCCGCCGAGCACGAGACCGCCGACGCCCGTGTGCGATACCGTGCCGCCGACGGTCGCGAGGCCGTGTTTCCAGGTCTCGGCGTCGACGTCCTTCCAGGTGCAGCCGCCGCCGTAGGTGACGAGGCGCTTCGAGGCGTCGACTGTGACGTCGCGGAGGCTGCCTAGGTGGATTACCATCCCGCCGTCCGAGGACGAGGTTCCTGCGGTGGAGTGGCCTCCGCCGTAGGTTGTGAAGGGGATGTCGTGTTTTGTGGCGAAGCGGATCGCTGATGAGACATCCTGGGCCGATTTTGGCTTGACGACTATGCCCTACGAAAGTTTCAGAGATACGTTGTGCTTGCTATATGGCTGAACGTGGTTGAAATTGAGGGGCTTACCGCTGGCTTGATGCAGACGATGGACCATCGCACGAGACTTTCTTCGTACCCTTCATCGCCGGGGAGGAGAACCTCGCCATTGATGTCTGCCCTCAGGGCCGGCACTTCTTGTTGCCACGATGTCATATTTTTATTCTATGATGTTGAATGAAGTAGTAGTCAGGTTATGTTCTCCAAGTTTCTCTCAGAAGTGTGGTTGATTTTAAGTGTGAAACCTGTTCACCACTCGCTCGGCGCGGAGACCATACCATGTCTGACAACGCCAATCGCCTCCACATTTCCTCGTTTCGACGGATTCGGCAGAGAGCGAGAAGCAGGGAAAAGGACATAAATCAGCATGATCCTGTCAAACCATTGGATAGGACTTTGCAAAAGCCATGAGATATCACCCGTAAGCGCTAAAACTGACTAGATGGATCCTTTGTGGGAGGTACATTAGTAATCCTGTTCGCAGAGAGACGTCGTTCACTTAAGGTGCCTGGCTCTTGCATGGAGGACATGCTAGATAGACAGGAGTCCCTCCGTGGGAGCTAAAATCCAGATTCAAACCCCGAGATTGGAAGACTGTATGGTCAGTTCACGATAGAAGTACGGGTATCGGCCAGGAACGTCCGGAAGGGAGGAGGGTTGACGCTCCAGCGACTCTTGAGGTCCGCTTAGAGTTTAGCAGTTGAGAAGGGCTTTGGCGAGAGTGCATCCATCATCATACGCTAAACCGGTGACCTCACGATTCCTTCTGTATGCTGGTGTCGAGGTTCTCGCAACCTCCATGGCCTGCGGGACTCAGTAACAAGGTTACAATGAAGCATGCCCAACCTAGTATCAACGACGACAGTGGGATTATCATTACTTTCCATTGATTCCGTGGCCCAAGGGATCATCAATCAAATCTGTCTGGTCTGTATTTCAACTCAAATTTCAGCCAAACTCTCCCCCTTCACATTCACAATCCGAACCTTACCCCCGCCTCTGCTCCCAGACGTAACAACAGCCTCGTTCACAACCCCCTCGGCATCCCACCCAAAATCAACGGCTCCACCGCCCCGGATCCGCAACCCCTTCACGCTCCCGCCACCCCACCTCGCCGGGATAGCGGGCCCGAGCACCACCGTCCTCACCTCCTCCCCCCCGACGGAAGCATACGGCAGCGGCAAATCCGCGACAAGCATGCTCAGCACCGCACCGCTCAATCCGAAATTCGCATCAATTTGGAACGGTGCTCCCGTGCCAGAGTACATGCTCAGCCCGTTGGCCGCGAAATTGATATCAATGGCGTACCGGAGCTGGTCGTAGGCTTTTTCGGTCTCGTTGAGGCGCGCCCAGCAGGCGGCGCGCCAGACTTTGGCCCAGCCTGCGTTTGCGTCGGGTGCGTTGCCCATGCCGCGGGAGATCAAAGTTTCGCGGACGGCGGATGAGATTGTAGCGTTTTGAGAGTAGCCGCCCAGGAAGGAGGAGAGGGATGTGCCCGGATACCAGCCCGTCAGGTGGGATAAGTGGCGGTGGTTGGAGGGCTTATCCGAGTTATAGGGTGCCGACTCGGGGAGTTTCCATTCTTTAAGGCCACCCCATGTCGCGACGTGAACACCCTTATCTAGCTTTGCGAGGGACGCAGAAACGGCGTCGAGGAAGTCCTGGTCTTCGGGGGGTGGGAGGACGGATGCGCCGAGGAGGGTATATTCAAAGACTTGGTGGATCATCTGGTGGTAGTGCGCGCAGCCAAAGGTCGTGGGACCGGTCTCGGGGCTGTTGCAGGGGTTTACGACCAGCGTTCCGTCGCGGGAGAAGGCGTCGTCTTGGAGCTGTGTGAGCCAGAAGGCGGCGACGCCTTTGATGAGGGGGTAGCCTTGGGATGCGAACCAGGTTGTGTCGCGGGTGTAGTCGTAGGCGTCGAAGACGTGTTGCATCATCCAGGCTGCTGCTGCTGGGTCTTGAATCTGTGTTAGCCGATTCGAGTCTGGTATGTGTGAGAGAAGGGGATGAGGGGATAGCGACTTACAATTCGCCCACTCCGCGCCCTCTTTTAGGGCCGTATGTCCAAACACATTCATCTCGTTATGCACAACCCATCCACTGCTAGCATTATATATCAACTCGGCCGTCTCCGTGCCGCGAGGGACCCAGGTATCCTCCATGTAATCCCACAGCGCCCCCTGCGTCTCGCTCAGCCCCGTCTGGTCCGCGTGCCAGTAGTTCATCTGCAGATTAATATTGGCGTGGTAATCCGCGCTCCACGCGGGCCATAGCTGTTCTGTCCAGCGGCCCTGGAGGTTGGCGGGGAGAGAGTTTGCGCGGGAGGAGGCGATGAGGAGGTGGCGGCCGTAGTCGAAGAGGAGGGCTTCGAGGTAGGGGTCGCCGCCGTTGGTGGTGGTGGAGTCGTAGTTTGCGATGAGGGTGGATGTTTCTGTTGTGGAGGAGGAGAGGGGGTCGGGGAGGATGAGTTGGAAAGCGGATTCGAGGGTTTGATAATCTGCGATGTGGGTGGATAGGAGGTCGGAATAGGGCTTTGAGGAGGCGGCGGCGCTGAGCTTTTCGACGATTGAACCTGGGTCTTGGCCTTTGAAGGAGTAGGAGGAGGCGGGGTTGCCTTTTTTCTGGTCATAGTTTGTTTCGGCGCTGATGACAATTGCCAGGGTAGTCTGGCCTGGGGAGGCTGTGATTTTAAGTGCGCCGGAGGTTGTGCAGTTCGTGATGGCAGCGGACGCGGACTCTGAGGTGAGCTTTGCGATGGAGTCGAACTTCATGCCCTCGGGCGGGCCGAGCTGCGTTACGCCGGTGAAGCGGATGTTATCTGCACCACAGCTTACGTTGTATGTGTCATTTTCGATGAGCTGGTTTTCGAGACCTATCGTGACGACGGGCAAGGTAGTGCCGTTGGTGATGGCAGAGGAGGAGGTGGTGGCGATGTGATAGATGCATACTTGGTCCGGGTACGAGCAGAGGTTGGTGATCTCGTAGTCTGCTGTGTTTGCGGTGAACTTTGTCGTGTGAACGCCTGTTGTGAGGTCAAGGGTGCGTTTGTAGGAGGTGTAGTTGGCCACGCCGTCGATTGTGACTGTCAGGTTGGCGAGGACGCGGTTGCCGCCGTAGTTTGCTCCTGAGCCGAGGATGGGGGAGACATCTAGTCATTGAGCGTCAGCAACACGGTCCGACTTATCACAAATGAGCTTCTTTTACCTCCGGTTCCATTCTCAAAGATGAATGAGCGAATCTCGGGGAGAGCGCCGTACTTTGGTTCTGCAGGGTTGCCGCCTGTGTAGTTCTGATATATGAAGTTCTCAGTAGATGTTTACCTCCTTGTGTTATACATCTAGAGACTCACCGAGGCCTCAAAGGGTCCGCCTGCCCAGAGAGAGTCAATGTTCAAGTTGACCTTTTCCGCATGGGGTGGGCCAAATGGGATCGCTAAGAGCATGTCAATATCGAGGCTCAGGTAACCTTGGTAGACTCTCAAGTCTAGACTCTGGAGTTGATACTCACCCCCGAGTTTGCCATTGCCAACGGGATACCCAGTCTTGAGCAAATACGTGTCCGAACTCGAATCCCCGTATGTCGCAGGGATAGAAGACCACAGAGAACGCGCCTCGCATACCACGAAGCCGGCGCAGAATATCAGCGCCTGGCTTGACGTAACCTTCATCGTTAAAGCAACTTGAGGTTGGTGTCGACTTAACCTACATAGCTATTCACACCTGAGATTGGGCTTGGCCTCTCTTAAATGGCCGTCGACCAATCAACCCCGCATTTGAATCATTGCATCCATGACACCAAATTCTCGCGTGGGTATGTAGTAAACGGCAACATCACTTCATCTCGGGGAACGCGGAGTCATGTATGAATACTAGGTAGGCATGTTGCGTGAGGTCAAGCGGGGGAGTCGCCATGGTGTGGGGAACAATCTGCTTGGTGCGCATGTCTGGTGCCCGTGATTTCCCTCCAATGAAGGTGTAAGTAGACAACGATTTACAGCATGCAGCTTTTCTCCGCTTTCACGTCCTTTGCCTGGATCAGTGGTTCCCTACTATGAACTTGGCATATCTATTATGCTTTGGGGTATCCGGTGAAGGGTTGATCGAGCTCCCGATTCGGGCCGTTGCCCAGCGGTGCCGCTGCGCGTGGAACTGCGGGGTTGGGAGCCGAGAACCTGATTTCTTGGCGCGGACTACTCCAGGAACCCAGGACTGAGATGCGAGTTGAGTCGATGAATGCGTAGCGAAGTGCACACGTTGCCTGAGAGCAGTAAGTGTTTCCGCAGTGTTGTAGTATTGCTATTTACCCCTCAACCTCTGGTAGGTCAGGTGAGTTCTTGACCTTGTGTAGGCACCGGCGAGCCTCGGGCCGGGCTGGTTTTCGAGAATACGACGTAAGCCACTCAGGAATTGATGGACTAAAAGAGAAAGGGGTGAAGAAACATGTTAACGGTTGAAATCCAGTCAAGGCTTGATAGAGCCCAGGTAGTCAACTCAGAGTGAACCAAGGATTGGGAAGTGTGGGGAAAGGGTGGGATGGGGTTCATCAGATACTGCCCCAGACGCTACCCGGTTACGACCAGGGCAGTCCTCGTTGATCTTGGGAATATGCAGTCAGACTGCATCCTATCGGAATTTGATATGTGAAAGAGATCTACTACCCGCGTGGCATGGATGATGCTACCAACAATTAACATCATCCCACCGGCCAACTGAGATCCAACTTAATTTGTTTTATAGGGCAAATGACACTCAGGTTGGACAAGCTGTCAAGCGACTGGTCTGTACCGACATTGCGACATCATATTGAATGTCGAAATTCCTCCACATAGTCACGAAACACCATTGGAGCGTTTCGCTTTGGCTAGGAGCATATGATCTTGATCTTGTTTGAATTTGTTTCTTTTCGAACACTCTTCTACCAGGGGACAGCCATACGACTTGTTCCCTTCCCGTCTGGCAGCATGTACAGGCCATCGGACCCGTGTACTTCAATCTCATCTCTCACACTGTTTACTGTGACACACAGCCTTCCCTCTCCTCCATGGCTGCAAAGCCCATAGTCTCTGTAAATACCCAAAAGGGCGGGTTCAATGTACAGTTCCTCCAAGGAATCCCGCACGTTTGGTCCTATATGTACACATCAAGAAAGGGTGGCCTTCTCTTGAAGAAAGACAAGACATTATATGAATAGAAAAATGGCACACACGCTCGAACAAAGTTTTGATGAAAGTAAATGGTCGTAACAAGAAGTTTTGCTCGTTGGGGTTCTTAGCCGGCAACACCAGTGGCGGGGTACCCTAGTCATCTTCGTCAGTAATCGTCTTAGTCGCAGGCTAATGAGGAATAACTTACACCATGAGCATGTTGCAATAATGGCATACAGACAAATGAGCTGCAGCCCCTCGAGCCAATGACTCTTGCCATCGGCAATCAGGTAGTTGACCAACAGAACGGCGACGAACAATACGGCGACCTGGAAAAGATCGAAGCTGAGCGTCATGGCGTCGTTGCCCATACCCCAGCCGATGATGATTAACAGCGGAATCAGGAACAGCGCAACCTGCATACTTGAGCCGACGGCGACACCAATAGCGAGATCCATCTTGTCCTTGATAGCGACGGTGACAGCGGTGGCGTGCTCGGCAGCATTGCCGACAATGGGCAAAAGGATGAGACCAACGAACTCCTCGCTGATACCACCCTGCTTGGTGACGTAGTCGATGGAGCTAACCATGGCTTCGGCGCAGAAGGCGATGAGAACAGTAGCTCCAACCAGAGTACCGACAGCGACCAAGAAGTGCAGCTGAGGCTCCTCCTCTTCCTCATCATCCTCCTCGTGGCGCTGCATCATCATGCGGCTCAACTCCTGCCTCTCGTTCTCATCGTGACCACGGACGCCGGTCTGGGCCATGCGCGCTCCGGTGCCGGCCAATCCACGAGCGAGAGCGCCCTCCTTCAAGCCGCCGCGGCTCCAGGGCTTGGCGGCGACCTTTTGCGACTCCTCGTTGAAGATGGCGTTGTGGGTCTTGAGCTGGAAGAACAGGTACGATGCGTAAATGATGAGCAAAATGACGGCTGTGCCGCGGGAGAGAGCGGCGACGTGTACGTTGTTGTCAGTGCCGTCGTTCTTGTCGAATACGGTGGGCACGATGACAGAGGCTACTGCGAGAGCCAAGAGTGACGCGGCGGTCTGGGCGACGGTTGTGTTGAAGTGTTGCTCGGGTCGGTTGATTCCACCAAAGAAGAAGCAGAAGCCCATGACGAGCAGCAAGTTGGAGAGAATGGAGCCAATGAGTGACGTCTGCACAATGAGGACCTTTCCTTCGGCCAAGGCGAGAATGGCGACAATGAGTTCGACCGCGTTTCCAAAAGTTGCGTTGAGGAGACCTCCCAATGTCTCACCCGTCCTCAGTGCGATTTCCTCGGTTGCGAATCCCAGCATGGCGGCCAAGGGAATGATGGCGATGAAGTTGACAACGAATACGGCAATCTTGTTGATAGATGAGACGTAGCTGATGGCGATACCGGCCGGTGCTGCCAATATCAGAATGTTGATGTATGAGCTGAGCAGAGTTCTTTGGAGCTGGTTGGCGACGGTGAATGGCGTTTTCGGCTGGACGTGTCGGATCAGACCGGATTTTTGCTTTTTGGCCTTGGGTCTCTCGTCCTCATCCTCTTGCGGCAGGTCCTCTCCTTGCGAAGTTTCCGCCTTTCTATTTCTTACGCCACCCTCCTCGGGCTTGTTCTCAAACATGGTGTCGCCGCTGCCGCTTCCCGTTCCTGATCTCGTCTCCTTGCCCAAACTGTTGCGTACGGTCTCGGTATCTCTGGGCGCGGGCTCGCTCTGGACGTGGTGTATCGCCTCATCGGTCTCTCTTTCTTCAGCGGGCACCTCCCGTTGTGCCTCGAGATTGGCGCCATCCCAGGTGGATCGTTTGCCCGGTTGTGTCTCCCATGATACGTGACGAAACGGATTCCATGTTTGCTCCTGACTCCGGCGGCTGAGACCGTGAGCTTTGCGTTTGATATCGAAGTGGTTGACTGAGCCGATGAGCGACGGCATGGTCAGTAAGTTGTTCGCAGCGGGTTGAGCGCAGGCGCTGTGTGGTTGACGGTGTGGAAAGGTAGTAGGAAACGGATAGAATAAGTGAGGTGAGGTATGGTCAAGGGGAATGGTTCATTAAGTGAAATAGGGTAATGACGTGAAACTAGCAGTGTGGAGTGCAGGTGGGAATGATTTGTGGAGGCAATGAAGGCGACGGGTTACGGGGGTGGTGTGGACGAGAGACAATTGCTCGAGGTCACACTTGACTTCGGCGGTTGCACAGGTAATTGGCGGGAGAGGGATGAGACTAGAGTAGTAGCCTGGTAGATAGTCTCCCGCTTGCAAGTAGAAAGGGAGGAAAGATGGAGGCAAGGGGGAAAAGAAACAACAATAACAATGTAGAGAAGGGAAACAAATTAATAGAGCGGTGATATGGGAAACGGAATTGTGTAAAGTGTTTTGCGAATGTTCCCTTTGGCTCTGCTGTCCTGCCAAGAAAGACGATGCAACGGTGGCTGGGGGCTTGATGGGGATAGGGGACGGGGGTAGGCGGGTAATGAATGGGATTTCGGTCTTTTCCCTCAATGCAATGACTTAGGTAAGGTAAGGTACTCACAGGTGCTCATGCTGTGCCGCGCTGGAGGTGACGACGGCTATTTGGGTGGAGTATTTTTGAGGTGAGGTGGTGTGTTGGTGGAGTGCTTGGGCTTGTGCTTTTGTGGCAAAGATCGGATCGCTTCAGATCAGCGCCCAGATGTTGAGACGAAACGCGAACCGAGCTGTGAGTCGGGGTTCTTGTCGTTTCCTTGTTCCGGGGTTCTTAGTTGGATGGGGAACAGTGGTGGTAGTAGGTGTTGTCTTGAGTAGTGGTAGTGTGTCAAGAGATATCGACAGTGATGTCCAGTGGTTGTTGTCTCTTATGGCACCAGATGAGAGCTTTGAGCTTTGGAATTGAGGTCCAATGGTTGTGGCGCGGAGGTGAGGCCTCCTTGGCAATGCTTCCGCGTTGGGAGCCGGGGTGCCGGAGATGAGATGGATCCAGTCCGATTGACGGTGGAAGCTGCAATAGGGAGTGCAAAATCTGCCAAGCCAATCACTTGTAACCGCGGAAGAAGACGCGCAAGCCAAGACCGGTTGCCGCCGCTATGGAGGAATAACGGTGCAGAGAGAGAGAGCCTGACTGACGACAACGACTGGGCTCGGCCGGGGCTGTGAGAGCTGTGAGCTGTCGGTCGGCGGTGTGCAGTGTGTGACGGCGGCGAAGAGTTGGGTGAACAAGTGGCCGCGAGCTGTCTGGTTTGGGCCTTTCGCAACGGCGGGTGTGTCGAGGGGAGTAGCGTATATGCAACTAGGTGAGGCAGTGCAAGTGCTTTTTCTCTCGGAAAAGTGGGAAGCAGAGGGTACGAGTGCGAGTCGTGTACGAATATCCGTAAAGTCCCAGGTCCCTTTACTTGTCGGATGAGTCGACCTTAGTCAGCTCAAGATGGGATGGTTGATGGCTGAGCTCTCAGAGTTTATGTTTGATGGTCGAGGGTGAGACTCGAGGGTGAAGGGTGAAGAAAGAAGATGGGAGAGAGGAATGGGAGATGATTTGGAAGAGAGGAAAGGGGAGTGAGGGAGCTTTAGCTAGTTCTTGGCCCCTGGATGGCACTAAGATGGAAATCGTCACGGTCCCATGGCGACCACAACAGACTGAATGAGAGGCGGCAGAGACGAGTGAGAGACGGGAGATGAGAAGATGGCGTTCGCTGGACTGGGGGCGTTTCACAGTGGGCAGGCCCTACGTCAGATCCAGCTGCGTCCTACCTTAACTTACCTTATTTTGGCCCGGGCAATGTAATTGTACATGCACCACAGCAATGGCACAGAAGCGCCGTAGATTGCAGCCATCCACCGATGTGCAGACGCTAATTTCCCTGAATCGACAACCTTCCCATTTGCGTTTCTCCCTCATCGTCCCTGCCCGATGCCACAGAAAACGTCCACGTTACAAAGGAAGTGAGCAGTGAGCAAGCAGTAGAGCGGGCGCCTAGGGATTGATGCGAATGGCAGCTTCCCTCTGTTTCCCACTCCTTCCCGATGGAAGCCACCAATCACCAATATCAACCTCCAGACTGGCAAGTGCAACTGCCCTCTGAGTCCCCGTCCGCGACTTCCCAAGTTCCCGTCCCTTTCATGTCTGTAAAGCGGGGCAACGGACCCCGTCCCTGCCAATTACGGCCCCTCTTTCCTCCATGCCTTCTCCCACTTTCCTTCCCATTTACCATCAGCGTTTAGGTACACAGCACTGTTTACATTCATCGAATAAAGTCCCTGCGGGTGAAATCCGTCCAATTGAAGGTATTGCGAACAACCATCCAAAGAACATTCAAACATCTTGGGGACGTCGTTGATGTCGTCACAAACCTGGTGACGTGCCAAGCCGACGCCACAACTTCCCAAATCCTCCAATCCCACCCTGCACAGCAGAACAAGACACGACAACACCAAAAACGCACCCAAAACAAGCTTCTGCCAAGCCCCAGCTTTTGCCAAGCATCAGCACTCCAAGACTTGCCAAGGCGGTCACCAGTCGATCGCATCGTCTTGGCTATTGCTTCTTCATATTAACGCAGTCTGAGATTCTTGTCTTTCGTACAACTCTAGCGCATTCCTCGAATTGAAATAGATGGGGGGTTCAGACAACCGCGTTGCACATGCATACAACATAATCGCTCGCCGAGACGCATCATCGTCAGGTCAAATCGATTCAGAGTCAAGTGTGGTAGGTAGGTGGGGCTGCACAATGACATCAGCCACCTGCACCGAAGTTCTCGACTCGACACCAACTCGAATCCCCCGGTGTCAGCAAGCGGTCAGCCACACCTTTCTTTCTACCTCTGTCAGACATTTCAGACCGCAAAACCGCTTCGAATCAGGTTAATCCCACCTCACACTTTCCCATACCCCATCCGTGACAAGGGGTGGAACAGACAGTAGACAGCTGGACCACCAACTGCCACTTAACCTTTTGCCTCATTCAGGCACGTCGCACACACACACACACACACACACACACAAAGAATGACGGGTTCCAGACCAAGGTAGATCCCATCCCTCCTCATCCCAAACCTATCCGAGTCTTTGGGGCTTGCGAACAGTATGTGCTTACTATGCGCCCACGCGCCCTCCTGCGGCATCTTTGACTCCTGCATCTGTATCCGTAACCTTGACCGATTCGCGATTTGAATTGTCGCGCGCCCACAAAGGAAAATGCCCCGGCATTGGAATTAGACTTTGCCACAGCCCCGGAAAGCCACACCTCGGTACGCGGAACCTGCACGGGAAGTGGTTGTGGCTGGGGGCACAAAGTCAATTCGCGTTGCCGGATGAGTGACAAGCCACCTCCCGCTTCCCGAACGTCACATGACGCTTGATGTACGCCTCCCAGCCGGAGACTAAATCTCCGAAATCGACGCCTCAATGTGGCGCAGCATCACCTGCAGCCCGACTGCAAATTCCATATCCCAGGTTTCTGGCTTGCATTGGCTGAGCCACACATCACCAGCGTAAACCAGTCGTGCTAGCATCTATCCACCGCCACACCAATTCTCACCTCATCTGGTACCTATGCTGCTCATCATATCATAAGAGACAAAAATGCAGAGACGAAGCAAGGAGGAGAGGATCAACGTAGAAGCTATCAAGTGAGATCAAGAATCCGAAAGTGGCCGCTTTGCCCAGCTACAACCCATGACTTACATGGTGACCATTCCTGTGGCAAAGTGAGTACATCGCAGTCGACTCTGAAAGTGGGACGAGAGCATAATAGACCCATTGAGAGTACCGAATGCCTGTTCAATAGAATGCTCAGAACCCCTAGATCAAGTAGAAGGAAATAGGTAACACGACTAATCACAGCATCAATGCTATTACTATGCTCATAAGCCTCATGATCATCTACACAGAAAAACGCCCAACGTACACTATCCACACAAACACACCCTCACCCTCACCCTCACCACCATCCTCCATCATCACTCCCTCTCCCTCTCCCTAACCTCCCTCCTAGGGCCCCCACCCCCCAACCCAAGCCCATCCTGCACACTCGCCCTCCTCAAAAATTGCATCCCCGCCGCCGGACTACTCATCAAGCTCCTCGGCCCGGGACTCGGGCTCCCACCACCAATATGCAACCCCCGAAGCCCTTCCGGTCCTCCACCTCCACTCCCACCATAAACACCACCCATCATCCCACCACCTCCCCCGGAATGCAAATCCCCAAGAACACCAGCAGGCAGCCCCAACATCGGAATACTCGCCTCCGGCACAGCCTCAAGCCCAACAACAGTAGGTCTCATCGCCCCCGGCGTAGTCATAGCCTGCGGCGGTCCGCGCTCCAACGTCTCCCTGTAGAAAGCCTCCAACCCGGCGCCGTCGTTGCAAAAGGCCTCGAGCTCCGTGAGGATCGGGATCGGATCCACCGCGGCCGTCGTGTTGGCCGTCGTAGAACTAAAAGGTCCCCCAGACGCGCTGGAACTCGCTCTCATATCCGAAGCCCTCACCGCAGGTGACCCACCGCCACCCGCATAGAAAACGGGCTTCACCATCGGACTGCTCATCGGCGTCGGCTCCGGGATCCCAAAGGGCGTGTACGAGCCCACCGGTATAATCCTGCCCCCGCGCTCGACAACATTGTTGGCACCTCCACCGGCACTATTCGCCTCCCTCATATCTTTGAGTTCCTTATCCCGCGCCGCCCAGGCCCGATTACTAAAAAGCCTATTCGCCAGCACCAAGAAATGCCCCTCGTCCGTGATCTCCGCCAACAACACCCCGGACCGGTGGATATACTGCGAATACTTGAAATCCGGCCTTCCCCACGAGTAACTCACCTCCACATCGCGCGGGAAATTCGATGCGGCCTCCATGTCGAGCACAAAATCAAATTTCCGCATCAGCACCTTTTGGTAAAAGTGTTTCCCGGGTGCCGTCTGCGGCGAGAACGAGTTGGGCTCGTAGTACGTCACCGGCTGCTGGCTCGGCGGCGGCACGGACAGCTTGATGAGGTAGGGCCGCCGGAAGGGGTTGACTTCCGTGATGGAGCAGGCTTCTTTGATGGGTACCTCGACGAGTCGCAGGCCGTACGTCGCTGCTTCGCGCGCCCAGCCTTCGACTACGTCCTCGATGAGTTTTGCTGTGACGTTCATCCAGTCGATGCGGATGTGGTAGCAGTTGTCTGGGTTATGGAGTCGGTCGTAGTGTAGGTCAACACGCTCGGGCCGGTATGATCGCTTGCGGTGGTCCACGTCGTACTTTATGACTTTACTGAGGCAGACCTTGGGTACCTTCTTGTTGTTGAACATGACGGAGTACGCCGTCGGCGTGGTGGCGCCCGAGATGGGCGAGTTCTCCTCGTTAATCGACGTCGGCCTGGAAATCATACCCGGCCGCGGCGAGTCGCGTGGTACGTTCTCCGACATGGGCGTCGAGGGCACGGAGACGTCGCGACCCCGGCGCGAGTTGAACCAGCCCGGCGGGTGTGGCTTCGCGTACTCGGTAGCAACGGTGTAAAAGTACTGACCATCCCTAAACACGTGCCGGCGCTCGACGTGCTCAAACAACCCGCCGCGGTCCTTCTTGTCGTCCGACGGCCGGTCGTACGTCTTGACCATGAGCATGTTGCCCAGCTGCTCCGCCTCCTCGCGGCTGTCCAGGTCCTCAAAGTTATCCATGAGCCATGTCGTCATGTCGGAGCCGATGAAGCAGTTGTAGTGCAGCCGCAGATGCCACCTTCGATTCTGCAGCTTGACGCCGCCGTTCTCGACGGGCTGCTGGATCGCCTCGGCCAGCGCCGAGAGGTTGAGGTTGGATTTGCGAAAGTGTTCCCGGCTCGTGATGAGCTGTCCCTTGCGGTTCTCGCCCAGGCCCTCTACCAGTGGTAAGTTGTCAAGCTCGGCCGCGATGACGACGGATGGGTCTTCCGTCTTGTACACAATGTCCAGGGGGTTGGGATCGCGCTTCGACTTTGCCGTCTGGTATCTCCTCTCAAATGGTGGGATGTACCGGTACTTTTGCCACGACAGCGACAGTCGTCTGATACCTTCTAACCGCACCTCCTCGGCGTTGTCGCCGGCTTGATTCCTAGGCACTGCCGACGACCGCGACACCATCGGGATGAGCACGAATCGCGTCCTCCAGAACCGCAGATTTTCCGTCATCTCGTCATGGTGGCCCGCGAGATACGAGTCAATGTAGTTCCAGTTCCTCTCGGGTTTCGGCGTAGAGATGTCAACCTCCTGCGTCCGATACCCGCTTTCCATCAACGTGCGAATCGCTGGCCTATACAGCGGGCCGGAGTTGGAGTTCCCAACCGTCAGCTCCGCCGGTTTGCGTATGTAGATATTCACCTCCACTTCCGTGCCATTAACACACGAAAGTTGGTGTATCGTGTTGCCCACCGACAAGAAGATGCTCGTGCCGTCCTCCATCGCCTGGTCGCGGGAGAAGATGTCGGCGATCCGCAGCATCTTCTGCCCAAACGCCTTGGCGACAGATGGACCAATAACCACTTGGAACCCTTGTGAGAAACGGAGGCTGATTAGTTCACGTAAGAACTCCTCTCTTGATTTCGGCTCTTCCGTAAGCTCGTCGTCGGCGTTCTGCGCAATGACATACGGCTGTCTCTGATACTCCGTGTCGAACTGTGATTTTGAGGGAAAGTACTCGGTCGTGAGCGGCACGGCGGCCGGACAGCACAGGGCCTTCCACTTCATAACCTTCATTTCCGAAGTCCGGGGGAACACATGCTGCCACCGGCTGTAGAGCACCGTGTCATCCACCTTGTTCCTGTCCGGGTTCGACGGGTTCAGCACCGTGAGCCAAGGCGAGATGGCCGTGGTAGGCGACAACGTAGACGGCAGCTCGGGCATAGCACCAGCGCGCAGCTTACTATTGAACATTTTCTGGTTGTCCTCCTCTGCCCTGAACACGTGAGAGTTCCTCTGGTCGGGGTCTTCACGGAAATGGTCCTTGCGCGCCAGCGACGACGGCAGGACGGTCCCGTACCTATGCTGCTGGCCGATCGAGCTCTCGCCCCTGCGTGAGGAGGACTTCATGTTGATGGGTATACTGGGCGTCGAGCCCAGATCTTTGAGGGTATCCCGCGAATCCGACCGGAAGAGCTGCGGCGAGAACGAGGACATTGACGTCGTCGGCTTGATGACCTGCGGCGACGACGGGCGCGGCATCGTCGACATGACCAGCGGCATCGTAGGGCTCGTCACGCTCTGTTCCGTCGATGCCTTGACCGTCTCGAAGCTCGCCTCCGCTGCTACCACCTTGGGCGCCGCGATGCCGAAGCCCCGCAGGCCGAGGCTGATCTGCCGCATAAACCTGGGAGGCTTGGACGGCGATGCCACAGACATCTTACCCACCACGCTGTGAGAATCAGGGGTCGTCGATGAAGAAGTAGAAGATGACGTCTGATTAGACGACATCCCCGCCGCTCCCGCTGATGGTGCCGCCGGGGGGTGATTCGCAGCCTTCCTCGCAGCGGCCACAATCTCCGCCTTTTCGCTATCGACAATGTTGACCGACAACTTGCGCCCCGCCGTGACCGCCGCGAGGCTTTGGTTCGGCACAATCCTCTTCTCGGGCAACGACGTCCCGAAGAGCCCCGCGTCCTCCATCAGCTGCCGCCTAGTCGTCTCCTCTAGGTCTCGTGACGCTCTTGCCTGCGCCGGGCGCCGCGATCTCGGCAACCTCGCCCTCGTCTCGTCGTACTCCTGCAGCTGCTTCCACAGCGATTTCTCGCCCGGCTTTACGAGCCTGTCAGGCATGAACTTTTGGAACCCGTAGACGTGGTCCACGAGCGTGTCCTGGTGGCGCTTCAGGGGTATCATGGCGATCTCGTCCGTGCCGCTGAGCCGCGATCGCAGCGAGCTCTTAGACTCAGTTGTCGTCACGGGGAACAGCGGATCGGCCTGCAGCGGTGTCGTCTCGATCTCGTTCGTCTCTAAGACGCTGCGCATCTGCAGGTCGTACATCCTTGCGCGGATCGCAAAGTCCTCGCTCTCCTGACCCTCCTTGTCCTCGGACACCGAGAGCGCGATGCCTTGATACGACAGCGCCTCTTCGGATGTCCCGGTCCAGTAGGAGACGTGTAGCCATTGGGGCACCGCGTAAGACCATTCATCTTGCGGGTTCGCGAGCTTGTCGATGCGGTGGGCGAGCTCCAGGCCCTTTGTCGGTGACAGCGACTCGGACAGCGACTGGTAGCTGCCGATAATGGGCGTGGCCTGCTGCTTCGGCGTGCTCTCACGGCTGCGTACGGACCTCGATCTCGATAGGCCGTGAGACCCCTCCGAGGTCTGCGGGTTGCGGTAGCGAAATAGGGGGACGGAGTGGAGCGGCATCTTTGGCACGCAGATGAGGTCGATGCCGATGCCGTTTCCGACGAGGGCCTCGGTGGTCCGGCGCAAAGACTCGTATTCGACCTCGAAGACGCCGGGACCGGGGCTGATGACGACGATGGAGATACCCGTCCGCATGAGGTCGCGATCAACGTAGTCATGCGCGAACTGGGATGAGGCGAGGTTGATGGCCTCGAGGAAGTTACCATACATGGCCAGCGAAGACTCGGCCTTGACACGGTTTGACGCGATGCCCTTACCGCCATTCTCCTCGGCCAGCGGCACAAATGCGCTGTTGGCCTTTTGGTGATGTAGGCTAATGTCCCGCCGGAAGAAGTTGAACTCCCGCTTCAGCTGATTAAGGATCGTGGTCCACTCCCCGCTCGCCATCTCGCTGACGACGACACGGTAAAAGTCTTTGTAGGGCCTGCGATCGCCTGATATTTGCACGCCAGTGTAATAGTCCCCATGCAGCGTGCTACTCGCCAGCTCCGTCGTCAGGCCCGTGTCGTATTCCACCCTCGCAAAGAGCACGATGCTCACAAGGTGCTTGGCCTTGAGCTTGGCCCATTTCTTGAACAGCGCCGGCAGGAAGCCGTTGACAACCTTGTTGAAAAGGATCTCGCCGGATCCCTCCGAGTCGAAATCCCACATCTCCCGCGCCATCTGTATGAACAGCACGTATCTCGCCGACTCGCTCCGGAAGATGGGCCTCGTATTCCTCGTGAAGAAGGCCGAGTGTGTCTTTCGCCCGTCCACGAATACCGCCGTGACCTGCGCTTTTATCGTGCCCATGAACAATATCGACTGGCCCTTGTAGACCGTCCTTTCTGTGAGTTCGCCAATAGCCAGCCGCCACATATCGGATCGCGAGAGGTACTGGTCTTTGAACGAGAGCTCTACGTGCGAGGCGGCCGTCGCAGGATTATCGGCATCCACCGGTGTCAAGAGCACCTGCGTGCCCTTCTTCATGCCAAAGGCGTCTGCGATATGCTTGACGACATATATGTCGACGTTGGGCAGTCGGCTCTTGAGCTCCTTGGACATCTCCTTTGCGACGCAAAAGTATTTTTTCCCCAGCGTCGCCCCTTCAGGCGCCGCATCGCCCTGCCCCGCTCCCGCGCCAGTGTTATTCGCAGCATTCCCGCCTCGCGTCGTCGCATGGTCCTTTGTCGCAGTCTTATCGCCCTCGGTCTTGATCACAGTGATGGCCACGAGGCTCCCGGGTCTGACATCGCCCTTGATCACCTCCGGGCTCAGGAGCACCTCGTCGCGCGAGTATCCCTCGTTGACGCCAACGGTGCACCTCCGCTCGAGACGGCGCTGCTTCACGGAGCTGGACGAGTTGTCGCCGCGGATGGTCGAGGCACTGGAGACGGTATCGGGGGATCGGGGCGAGTCGACAGACGATGTCGCGGAGGGCGGTTCGAGGCTGCTTCGGCTGAACTGACGTAAGTGAGAGGACCAGTTGGGCCCCTTGCGCAGGGACGGTACCGCGCCGGCATTGCGAGGCATCGTGGGTAGAGAGCGTCGTGGTGGTGATGGTGTTAGTGGGGGAGGAGGGCTGCTTGTTGCGCCACGAGGGAGGGGCTCGTCAACGGGGGCCTGTATGGAGGTTCCGCAGTAGCATTTCGTTGCTGTCGTTCAATTCTACCGAATCTTGGTGTATGCTTCGGTGGCTATGGGATTGTGAACCTTGCGGATGGCTTCAATCGGCTGTGGTTGAAGCTCCTTGGCAGTCCGTAGTGGCATCGTCACAAGGTGCAGCTCCGTCGCGACGGCAGAATTGTGGCGCCGAGCTCTCACTAAGCCACACCGCCTGCCTTTCTGGCTTAGACGTTCGCATCTCCCAGGGTCTCGCCTGGTCTCATTTCGGCGCATCCAATGTGAGACCCGGGACCTGTCATCGTGTTAGTCGCACAGCAAAACACATTCCTTTTGATGGGGAGCTCGTTTCCACCTCGAACCAACTTGTTGCCTCTGATTCTCTCTTTTGTAACAGTGGTCAATTTCTCTGTCAACTCTTACTAGAGACTCAAAAGTTGACTTGTATAAGTCAAAAGAACGAGGAATTGCTTCGTAACAAGTAGGTATAGGCTCACAACTCTGATTTCTGTGGCCTCGTTCCTTCGCAACTTTTGACAATGGGAACTTCGATTCGGTTCACCACCACAAGCTCTTGTACCAAGGCAACCAGCCACGTCAACTCGACACCGTCCAGATGTCCAATGAAGTCCGTGCACTATGAACAAGTCTCAACCAACTCGTGACACCTTCAACTGAAGTGTAACAAACACACCCTGCCACCCCCGCCAAGTAGACATGCCACACACAATGACGCAGTTACCCGAACCAATACCATTCAAGCGACAACAAATTCTCAGTCTCTGTTGACCACTGTTCGAAAGAAGAAACATATGTGAGCCTGTGCCATAGTTCTAGGTTGAGTGAGCGAGCTGCGTAATGCCCAGAACCTACGAGTCATCAGCCCCAAACTCTGTTTACAGGACAGAAACAACTTCCGTGCTTCCTTTGCTCCCATGTGTATGTGCCAACCCGGCCCGGGACGGACACTTCTGTCTCAAGTCTGTGTGCCCCGAGTCTTGACAAAGATCGGGAACATGATCCGGCTGTACGAGACTCTTATCCGTCGTTTCCCACAAGTTGTACGCCCGTGAAACATGGCCCTCTTCCGTTGATATTGTGACAAAAGTCCGTGGACATACTCTCGTCGCTGTCCTCGTTCACGGCGTTTCTCATAAAGACCAGAGCGCTGAGGGATCATAATATTTTACGGTACCTCCGGTTGACGCTCAATACCCGACGATATGTCTCGGTTCAAGATCGACAAAAAGCAGCGTCTGGTTGCCACAATCGCAATATCCGGCGGCTTCTTCATCGCAGAGCTGGTCGTCGGATACCGCACAAAGTCCCTTGCTCTCATAGCAGATGCCTTTCACTATGTAAGGCAGTTATAACCAACCCCCTTCTGTGCCCATATATGAAGGCAGTGCATCTAACAAGAGATTTAGATGAACGACCTAATAGGGTTCGCGGTTGCCTTGATAGCAGTGATTGTAAGTCCTCCCTGTTTAAACCCACAACATATACTGAAGACTCACATGCCGCAAAGGTCTCAGAGAGGATATCCCCTCCACCCAAATCCCTCACCTTTGGCTGGAAACGTGCCCAAATCCTAGGAGCCTTCTTCAACGGCGTATTCCTACTCGCATTGGGCGTCAGCATCCTCCTTCAAGCCATTGAGAGATTCACACAGCTTCCGCGTGAGCTCCCTCCCTACTGGTCGTTCTTGGACTGAGTTTGCGCCGGTGTACTCAAACTTGCCTTAGCTGTTGAAGATCCAGTGTTGGTTCTAATCATGGGCTGCATCGGCCTCGCGCTCAACGTCATGGTCCTAAGTTTCCTCCACGGTGAGCAAGACCTCCAGTCAACTCATGTCCAACGAATCTAACCCCAAGAACACAGAAACTCACCACCATGAACATGTCCAAGAAAGACACCCCGACGAAGAATCCAGAGAACCTCCCTCACAATCACCACCGCCTCCATCCAATCCAAACACATCATCAAACCCAGGATCCAAGCCATCTATACCATCCGCCAAGCACCCCCGCGACCTCAACATGCTAGGCGCCCTCCTCCACGTCCTAACAGATGCCCTAAACAACCTCTCCGTCATCATCGCCGCCCTCATCATCTGGAAATCCCCTTCCAACGCCCGCTTCTACGCCGACCCAGGCGTCGGCGTCTTCATCGCCCTGGCAATCATGCTCTCCGCCTGGCCTCTCTGCCGGCGCGCAGGGATGGTCTTGATGGAGAGCGCGCCCGCGGGCGTTGATGTTGAATTTGTTCAGGGGGAGATGCTAAAGGTAAGCAAGACAAACTCTTATATCATTGTGTACCTTCACCGTACCTCACAGTGAATGTGGAAGCAGGGGATGATATTGAAAGCTGATGGAGTTGGATTCTAGGTCCCTGGCGTCCAAGAGGTGACAGACCTGCTTGTATGGCAACTAGACCAGACAACAACTCTCGCGACTGCACACATAACCATCACGGAAGACAGTATCGGGAACTTCGCGTCTACAGCCGACGCTATCGTCGCGAGGTTACAACAATACGGCATTCGCTCCGTCGCGCTGCAACCTACCACTACACAGCAACGGCCGCATCAAGAGGTTCAGGAAGGACTAAAAGTTGCTTGACACGCATGCTCGGATATGAATATAACGGTACATGTAGCTTTCTACGGACAGAGAAATAGTGTTTGAGCCATTGGTGGGGGGTGAGCTGAAGTGTTCAGCAGTCATCTATCCTCTCCTGAGGTTTCCCGTCGGCCGAAATTCTACAATCACCAATGAAAACATTGTACCTCCATCAACCATATCATTTTATACAAGTTCTCTTACCCACTGGTTGGAAATTCCTCTCGCCGCGAACTCGCACAAAGCTTGCAAGGCTTGTCGGAGCGCCTCAGCCAATCCTCTCATATCCACGGGATTGTAGACTAGGAACCAATACACGCGCCTCTAGAAGTAAGACTGCTGCCTGACTGCGTACAACCTTACCTCCCTCCGATATACGACGGAAAAGTAGAAATGTCATCGTCATATCAGAATACCCAAAACTCAAAGATGATGTGAGATAAAAGAGTCCTTGCCGCCTCATATTCCATCTCCAAAGGCTTGGCACAGCCTTACATGGACCTTGCCCCAAATCAAATCAATCCAATCCATCTCACTGCTGAAGAATCGATACGACTACGTCCCTTGGGGCAGGTCACATCGTCCTCCGTGCCGTCTCTTTGCCTCGCAAGGGGGGGGGGCTAGAATGATCCGTCCGACTCGCTCGTCATCCAGTCACTCAGAGCAAAAAGAACATGGATAAGCATCATCAACATACTTTCTCACCGAATGATTGGTAATTGCCTGGGGAGCAGGGGAGGAGTCACAAGACATGGAAGACGGAGACTTGTAAGAGCAGGGCAGCAATAGCAAACGGCACAGGGAGAAAAGCTACGTCTGTGAGCGGAAGTGCATCACTCAGCTCCCCTGAATCTACGACCGCAGAAAGACAGCCCATCCAACTTCCGTGATCCCATAGAGAGTATCTTATCAAAGTTTCAAAATACACCAAGCTGAGCTGAAAAGGAAGGAAAAATCATCTACACACCATCTAAACCACGCCACCCACCACACACAGCATCTCACCTAGGGCGGCGTGGGGACGGTTAACCTCGATAAACAACCGCACTGAAAACACATTGGTCATCGCCATTCCGCATCGCTATCGCCTCATCGCTAGCGCTATCGTTCCCTCTCCCGTATGGAGATTTATTTGATATCGCCGTCCCGATACCGTGGTAAGCGGCAAGCCTGGTCTCCTCTGCGGGGGACGGGAAACCCGCCCCTCGGACGCCCCCGAAATGGCGTGGGGGAGGAACCAATAAATCTGCCAAAAAGTGGGATGCCATGCATCCATCCATGATCCAGACTCGAGAGAAGGGAAACGTTGCAGAAGATTTGGGATTTTCCAAACTGCTGAAATGCAACCGAGATCGCCTTAGCGGCAATGGTTCCTTGGGACAGCGATCCCAAGGATCCGAGGTGTCTTCGAGGTGTCCTCGGTTGCCGTGGGCTGTGCAAGTGATTAGGAACCAAGATCATAGGCTGTCAGCCAAGGTAGGTAACGGTGTGTTCCGTACCCTCACATCGGCTTCGAGCTATGGCCCCGCACCCCGGGCCGCGTACTGCAACGGGACAATCCGATGCTGACATCTGATTTGTATCTTCCGACTACTATGAGTAAAATATTAATCGATCGATCTGTTTCCTCTGGTAACACCAAAGGAACCGAGAGTGCGACAGAAGGCAACAGCATGAGTGGCCCATCAGCCGTTCGGCAGCGCTAGTCCTCGGCATGCAGACGTTGACTATTAGTTGCATTCGTCCCGATCACGGTCGCGCTTCATACTTGCGTGAGCGCGAGAGACATTAGGTCCAAAAGCCGTTGTAACTTGTCATAACCGTCGGGAACGCTACTATGATCCATGACTGCTGACATCGCTAGACATGTAACCGACATGCCACTTTGAGAAAGATCGTCGCCATCACCGCCGTGTGTAAGCCGGGCTGGCCCGGCCCGCGGACTGGACGGACAGGACAAATGAGCCGGTCAATAATATGGGTAAGCAGGAAGGATGGTGGGAGTTGAACGTCGGTCTCCAAATCGGCAAGGTTAGAGAAACCATCGGAATTATCAGGGACAAACCATTAAGCGTTGAGACACGGGACGATGGTCGGATCTTGCTGGTAGGTGTGGCAAACACTCTGCGATAATCCACAGGTACACCGCAATTAGGTACAACCCACATTCTGTTCCAATCTGCGGGGTTTCGAGTAAATTCACCGGCTTCTCTGGATAAGTTGCGAGTTGCGAGTTACGACAAGTCTAGAGGAACGGCTGACCTCGGTGAAATAGGGCCGACGACAGCAACGGACATATCGACAAAAACCCGAACGGGGGAAGATCATTTCACGGCTGATGTCACTGGGATGGTGAATACGGGGAACCGTTCCGCCGGGCGTGCTCAGTCGCATGGCCATGTCTGAGAATTAGGATGGTGAATGGACCGACCGATAGGGGTTTCCCTTTACCCCGACATTGGCCACACCGCTGCCACTTTGCCGGGCTTGGGTGGCCAATAACTGATAGCTTATTCCCTAGGATGTTGGAAAATGAGATCATGCTGCGGCCTTATTGATCATGAAAGTTTGTGGTGTAGCTTCACGGCCTTGGTGTTGGATATCGGTGAGGCAGGTTGCAGCTAGACTTTGCGCGAGAACGCCCGCTTCGCCGCGTGGATGCTTCCGGATCCCGTTGACATTTGCGGCTTGTCCGGGAGATGAGAGGAAGCAACCAAGGCAGCGGGACCATAGCATGACCTAGTCGAGAATCCAAGGTGAGGCTTGCTCTGCTAATGAGCGTCTTGCAAGGACAAACCGGCCGGCGACGGAAGACCACATACGACCCCCGGTGTCCCGTGCGTTGGGACACTTTTTGCGACGGCACGTTTGCGACTTGCTGGGTAGCGAATGCCCCAGGACTCCAGGAGCCTGGGAATTGGGCTGAACTTTGAAGCGGCCCCTGGGATAGGCAGCCCTGAGAGGACTTGTCTGTCGAGAATATATAACTTGTGCCTCCTCAAAGGTGTTGATCAGGAGCATCGCGCGGGACCGCGCCGGGGTTCATGATCGAATGCCTATCGTGGAAGGTGTATCCAGCACCGTGACCTGATCGGCGGGCCCTTGATTGGCGCAGATAAACCGTTTCGCTTGGCTAAGAGCAACCAGTGAACCACAAGCAACGAACCTGTGGAAAGGGCCGATGTGTGTCAAGATGGATGGATTTAGCGAGGATGTCTGCTGCCCGGCGGGGCGGTGCGTTTGTCCATAATCAATTCCATAACTCCATATCAAGTCGCAGGGGAGAAGCTCGGTTCAATGTGCGCCTCGCGTCGCGGTTGCAGGTGTGGTTTGAGGCTAACAAGAATAGGTGTACGACGGTGCGACCTAGAGTGCGATCCGTGGTTATGACGCTGTTCAACAACAGACTGCTGGCAGTTAAATTTCAAGCGAACACATGGCGACTAGGACATCCACGCCAAGTTCCCGTGGGAGACGCAGCTGTTAGCTTGCAGTTGCCCTACGTGTATGTGTCTCATCTGCAGCTTGTGCTGCATTTCGACTTGGCACTGGCGCATGGGAGGCGGCGCCTCTATTCGTAGGGGTCCCGACACATCGCCGTGGCAGTGCTACTCGAGACCAATACGTGTACCGGGCGGGCTTTCTGGTGTCACCTGGTGTGTGACTCAAGACGTAGACAACGTTTTCCCGTGGTAGATGGTCTCTTTGAGAATATGATCGACAATGATCACATTGGCCACGGCACTGACCAAAAGAAGTTCCCGGGGATGGCCGTGAGTGGCAGGTATTCTAGGTTCCGGTTCCGGAAGCCGGACAGAAGGCATATACCCTGCTGAGTTTGGGCAACGTTGGGTCGGTGGTCTGTGAGTAGCAGTGAGGGAAGGTCGGTGAAGCGGTCGCGTGTCGGAAAGGGACGTGCAATTACGCTGCTGGACGCACCGAGGTCCTCAACCGTCGACAACAACGAGCATGGGAAAGCTTGATCGGAGCATGGTTGGGCGACCGAGGCAATATGGCAAACGGGGGCCGGGAAAAGACGTGGTAAGTTTGTCGGGATGACGGTGCAAGTGACAGCCCCTGTGTTGATGGCTTGTCGCAGTGATACGCCGGAAGATGATGCCTGTCGTAGAGAAGTACGTGCCCTTTGGAGACGATACCTTGGCATATCCTGGAGTCTTGTTGGAGAGTGTTGGACCGGTGATTCGAACTCCAAGGTGTCCGTCTCTCACCGAGGATTGTAATCTCGCCGAGTGACTGGAGTCTGGAGACTGGAGCTCCGCCGCGCAGTGCGCTGTCATTGTAACCTGGCGAGTGGTTCTTATCCGCCAGATGCTCGGCCGTCCGCTCCAGATCGAGCCACTCTCAACCAGCACGACGGGATTCCACCTCTATCTGGCACTTGCGGTGCTGCTCCACGCTGCAGTTATGTCGAACAGCAACATGGTCGGCGTTGACTTGCATCGCTGCCCCTCGTGCCCCTCCATTTCTGGGCTTGTTCGGACCCGTGAGCGTTGCTTTCGTGACCTTGGAGGGGCTGGCCACGGCGGGGTGAGAGATGACAAGTTGACAACTGTTGAGCTGGAGTAATAGCGAGTGATGAACGGGGCGGTGGCGGGCAGACAAGGACAAGACGAACAGTCATTAGTCGGTAACAGGACCCTTTGCCAGCGACTGATGTAATTTGGGGAATGTCTACCGACTCCGCAGGGGTATGCTAGGCCTCGTTGGCTGTTGACTACGTAGTATTCAAGGTGGGTGGGGAAGTGACAGGCAGGCAGAAGATTTACGCCTCGTTGCCAGGGAGGCGTGAGCGCAGAGATGGAGGATCAACGAGGTCCGTCGGGGTCGGCTCCGAGAACGAGATGCTGACGAGCGAGTGCTGCTATGGAACTGTAGAGTGGTCTGGGGTTGCAGGTAAGACTCTATGCCCTTGTTCCTATGAACTCTTACAGTCGTACGGAGTTTGTGAGACGAGCAATGGCAAAGTTTCCATTTCGTTGACTTGTCGGCGCCCGAGTGTAGCTGAACTTGGTTGCGTATGTTTGAGGTTGGACTGAGTACGGAGGAGTGGTAATAGATGATGAATCCTCCCTCGGTGGCCTCAAAAGACCAGGGGAAGAGGCACGGGCAAAACGACGGGCGCAAGAGAGTGACAAGCGAAAATAGCCCAACGTGATCCAACCTGATTGACACCATCGTCGAGGCCTTACCTGATTACCTTGAGCTAGGGACAGATGAAGGCCGATGCTGGTCCGGGGAGTTACGGTAAGCAGTCGTTGTTGTCGTCGTCGTCGTCGTCGTCTTGGGGAGCAGTGTCGCCAATGGTGCTCTTGTTGCAAGGTAATTGTTGGCGAGAGTGAAACCTCGAGGTGGGATTCATGCAAGGGGTAGTCGATGAAAACAGACAGGGCTGACGAGGCAGAGAGGAAAATACTGGTGCGCAAGAGAAGGAGAAAGTCGGGAGGCATTCAGTGATACGTATTCTTACATGAAGGACAAGAGAAGAAGTCACGGATAACAATGGAAACTCGGAGGAAGGAAGGAAGGAAGGAAGGAAGGAAGGAAGGGGTCGCCTAGGGACGGAATTAGAAGGCAGCGAATTGGATGACGGCAGGCACGGCTGAAGATGTTTGGGGCTTTTAGACCTCCCGTGACCCGGGATGCTCGATGCAATTTACCACCTGAGCGGGACAGCACATAACCTATCACCCGTGTCTTGAATCCATGGTAACTGACACGACAAATAGACATGGAGTAGCAGCATGGATAAGGCATATTGCCACTTGTGTGTTGTGATGGACACCGCCTGTTGTTGTTTTGGATACCTAGAATCGGTATGGCGAAAGTATTGTGGTATCCTAGGGATGAGTGTGATAAGAGAGGATATGGGTGAGAAGAGGAGGGAAGAGAGATCACGAGACACCAGTTCGCCCCAAATTCAGGGTCCTCGAGTCACAAAACATGGGAACATGGGGGTGCGAGTGTCAAAATGGAGGCTAATTACCCCGCTGTTGTCCAGAGTGGTCGAGCTAGCTTCTACCTTTGAGAAATTGAGTCTAGGGAATTAATTGCAGGAGACTGGAGATTCGCCGATTTGGATTGAGTTGATTAAGACATTACCTAAGGGAACCATTCCTCTGCCGGGTCTACCCCGGCTTGTTGCACGTTTTCCTTTTTCTATTTCCCTTCCTTTGTCTTTAATGTTTTTATTTTCAGTCTGAGCTCTGTATTCTCACACTACACTGATAGTTCATGATAACTGCCCGTTCCAATCTTGCCTTACTCTCAACAGCGGGCACCATGATCTTCTAATTCGCCTCCAAAGCCCACTGCCTTGCCCAGATACTACCCATTTTTAGAGGGGCAGAGAGATGTCAAGTAGACGCGGCGCTAGAGCAGAGATGCAGTAGCGGACGAGGCAGCAGGCGTAAGTGGCCTAGGTATATAAAAGATACGTACCTCAGATAGCACTGGATGCAGTGGACGCAGTGTGGGTGGGCAGGCGGGTTTAATGCAGTCGATGCACGGCAGAGCAAGGGCTGTTTTGTTCACCGCATTTTTGGAGATACATCGAGAGCCCAATTACACAGCATCGGCAGGCGGCAGGGCATCCTCTTTTTGCCCCCCTACCTCGATGTATCTTAGACTAGGCGACTGGGTAAGGTGGTAAAGTAGTTTCCCCCATGTTGTGTTGCTATGCCTTGCTGCCGCTGCCCGTATCAGCCCTCGGGAATAGACACTACGAGTCTGCGAGATGGAGGCGGAAAGAGACAGTGATCTTCAAGGCCTCCAACTACAGGCATGTATACTACCTAGGTAGTGCTGCAAGATGAGGTTGGTGGGAAGACATGAGATGATGTGGCTGCCGCCGCCGCTGCCGTTGCCGTTGCCGTTGCCGTTGCCGTTGCCATAGCCGCTGACCAAGCCTGACAGAGTCGGAAGTCAGACATGCCATCATCTCGCCGTTCGAAATGTGCCTCGAGCTAAGGTACACAAGAAGGGCAAGGTCAGGTACCTCCATTACCTAGGTACTATGGTAGGTATCTACCTACGTAGTAGTGTACTCCGCAAGGAAAGGTATTCTCGGGATGGGCAGGCTAGTACGTACCCGCCGTGCCACATTACTTACATGCCTCTTTCCAAGTTTCCCCAATTAGAACTGCGAGGGGAGGAAGGAAGTCAGACGTGTAGAGTCAATGTAAGGACGAAAAGAACGAGATACGCCTGGAGGGAAAGAATGTGAGGGAAAGGACGACGAGGCGGAAGGACGTATTCTTGGTCTGATAGATACTTGACCCAAGGTATCCTCCACTTACCTGACTTACATAAGGCACGGTTAGCCACTGCGTAGTAATCCAAAAGCTACCAGTTGCAGGGTTCCAGATGGGAAAAAAAGAGAAGAGCACGATCCAGTGCTCCATATCAGCTCCACCGACCAAGATAATCCACAATCCACAATCCACATCAAAAGGTCCCAGTCGTTGGGCCGTCGTTGTGGGCGTCGTGAGCGTGGCGTGGAGCGGGAGTCGGGGATGAACCGTGAAGAGTCAAGAAGACGAATGCCTTCCATAAGGTACCCTGCACTTTAGAGATACATACTCCAACGAGTACGTACCCCACAGCTGCCCGCTCCACCCACGATTGCGGCACTTCCGTCCCTTTCTGCCCAGTGCCATGTGCCCGCCTCTCCTCCTCCTCCTCCTCTCTCTCTTCAGGTTGTTGCTTAGGTGTGCTTGTGCTTCTGCATCCATCTTCTTCTTCCTTCCCGTCTGCCAAAACACCATCGACGACGCTCGAGTTCCTCCTCCGCGCAAACACCATGGACGTTGCACCATTTACCTGACCACACACCCCCAATTCCCGGACCATGTCCATGTCCATGTCAATCTCTCTGCCGTGAGGTACCGACGCTGAGATTCCGGAAACCTTACCACCCTCTCCCGCACCCTCATCCTCGCCGCCCTCACCACCACCACTGCCAGTCCACCACCACCATCCAAGTACCTACCAACAACCAATACCAACACCACCACCACAACGCACAACGGAGCAATTCGCACTTCACCCCTCGGCCTACCCCTTTCCACCCTGTTTCTCTCGAGTCTTTCGCGACATACCGCTTCCACTTGCGGCTTGCGGCCTGTCTTCGTTTCTTCTGCCTGTTGACCAGGTTTTCCCATCCTCGACACATCAACTAATCCCCGCCGAGCTAAACCCGCCCTCTCTCTTTACGACGTCGGACACCATACAACTGAAATCGACATTCCGCCCACCTCCGACACTGCCAATCCTCCAACGCTAATTACCACAAGTACACACACCTCAAGTACCTTACACAACCCTTCCTTCGCATTACTTCATACCGACCTCTTCCACTTTCCGACGTCCACGACATTCCCGACACTGTTCCGTCCAATCCAAATATCATCACCCTCCTCGCTCTCACGCTTCCACTAGTCCTGGACTCAACTGCATTGCACGTCCAAACTGTTGCCACAACACACTCTCACTGCCCCGCGTCCGACAAATACAAGGTCCATACAACCAGTATTACAGATACCTTCTGTCGCCTTCGTTGCTCTTCGCCAAAGTACGAGACCACCTGCAGTCGGCACTGCTCACCCCAGATACCAAACTCTCAAACCAACCCCCCCGGCCTATCTTGATCCGCCACTGCAATCGTCGCCGCCTTTGTCCCGACTATCTGGTTCTCTTTGACTGTGTCACATTCAACTGCCTCACACACTCCTCTCCTTCCGCCTTCGACACAACTTTTATCACATCCCGACTTTCTATCGCGTCTTTGCGCCGCCAACTACCCACCTTCGCGCCAGCATTCCTCGACAACCATCAACGCCCGCCCGAACGCGCTCGCTCCCCCACTCGCGACTTCGACGTAGGGTTCCTCTCGCGACCTTTTACAACCCTCATCCCCGCAATCCAAATCTGAGCGGAAGCCACCCAAACGGAAAAGAAAAAAAAGAGAGAGACTCCAATTCTGCTCCTGTGCGTGCGTCTCATAGACACAGAGAGCCTGCATCGTATCTCGCTACCGCAACACTTGAGCCACTTCCGATTTGTTCAACCTTGAACGAACGAAGTCGACTTATCGTCATTAAACTTCGGCCCCCGGCTAGGCCTCTCCAATTCTTGTGCACCCCTCAACTCTGTTGGTCTCAGCCCGCCTCTAACCACCATATGCCGACCTTCGATTGAGCCTCACCCTCCACCATCACGGTTCATCGCGTTGCTCACCCTCAATCACATGGAATTCCTGTCAGAAGCAATGCTTTTCCATCTGATCTATCAAAATCGTGTGCTCCGCTGAAAAAATGGCACACTCCCCCAATTTCTAATCGACAAGAGTCCATCAGTCTCTCGTCCTTAGACAGTTTCCCAGACATCTCACTCACGATGTTAGGGAAGCTCTTCAACTTGGGCACGCCGAGTGCTCCAGGTGCTTCTGCCTCAACACAATCAAATAACCAATACAACAACATCACCCACAATGAGGCTCCAATGTCTCTCGAATCTAGGCAAGAGGATATACATACTCGGAACCTCTTGTACCCCGACACGGAAGCCTTGTACCAGCATCCAAACGAGGCACTCTTTTCCATGGGCTCCGGCCTCCCTATGGCATCCCTCGCAGGCGCCTTTGACTATGACGGAGACGTCGATCTCGACGCCCGCCATGTTCGCATGCTCATCATGCAAGACGCTGTCGCCTCTTTCCCAGCACAGCTGCTTTTCGACAGCCATCCAGCTCCTCCAAACCCGCCTGCCGTGACCGCAGGAGATCGCCCGCCAACCGGTATGGGGACTGTGCAGGACTCATACAGAGGCCCGACTTCGCCGCGAAAGAGCAGTCTGAACCAGTCATCGCGGCCTCTGGTGATTCAGCCGGACAGCCCCCAACCCCGCCAAGGAGCGTTCGATCGCAGGGCCTCGATGCAAGGCCGAACTCAATCTCAAGCTGAGACGGACCTCCAGCGCGCACGAAGAGAGTACAACGATGAGATCCATGCCTTTGCAGGCTCTGTTTTTGGAAACTCGGAATTAATGGCCTACAAGGGTACCTCAACAAAGGTCCACATCGTTCCTACCGAAAACCGCCCTGAATATGGCGGCTCCTATCTTGGTGACGGCCGCGGCTCTATAGGTCGATCGAGCATGCGGTCTAGCAGGCTGGCACAGTCTTATACATCGGACAACGTTTCGCCTCTGCAACCGCAACAATCCTTCACGTCGTCTGCGCCGAACACACGGGGTCTTCCCGAGAGGAGGAAGATTCTCATTACGCGATTGTTCCCCGTATTGCTCCCTAGCGATGATGAGGCGCAAAGCGACACGCCTCTGAGTCGCTTCTCAGATCATAACACCGGCTTCCCCTTTCCGCAGTCTGCTGAAGACGCAGCCGCCCCCAAAAAGAAGAAGTTGCAACCCAAACAAAAGCGTACTCCAATGTACGCAGTTGTGCTGGTGGTTCAGCTTCCACCCAGTTCTGCGCAGATGGTACCTCCCTCCACCATCAGGTCAACTTATCGTGGCGCCAGCTCCTACACAGAGCAAGACTCTTTTCCATCTTCCATGAGCTCGGCCCGCCGTTCAGCCTGGACCATGTCTGGATCCAACTTCCCCATGGACTCTATGGATTCTAGTTGCTCAACCGATGTCGACGATAGGATGGACACTGTTACTCAACACTGGGATATCATCATGCGAACATTAACACACCTCCAGGGGGTAGTAGCCACCACGCTTGGTGTGCTGCTAAAACAGGCGGACATATCATCTCCAGACCCGTATCCTCCTTCGGTGTCTTCATATGCCAGCAGAGCTCCATCCATGGGCGGAAGAAGAAATGACGAGCCTCACTTTGTCAAGCCTCCCAAGACTAATGCGAAAGTCATAGCTCTACAGCCCCACTGCTTACAAAACGACAACACGATTATGCAGGAGGCTGATGCTGCCAGGATTCGAGTTGTGACCGGTTTGAGCGCTCAACGAGTTATCACAGCGCAGGGAAGATGGGGTATCTGGCGGGACGAAGCTAGGTGGATGGCCAGAAAGGCTGGCGAGAAAGAACATGGCTTCTTTTTCTTCAATCTTTTGACTGGCTTTCTTGCCACGCACACCGATTGGCTGAACGCAATGAGTCCGGCATGGTACCGTCGAAAGCACTATCAACAACAAAAGGCCAAAGGCGAGGATGATCTGTCACTCCCAGCGCGAACCATTATCATTTCGTCAGACAAGATGATGGCAAGACGTCTCATCTTCCTTCTGTCTGCCTTCTTGCCATCACACCAGCACCTGTCTTCAGCCAGAGCTCACCGACCGAGTACTTCGGCCTCTTTCGGAGCTTTCTCCCAATCGCCACCTTCGCTCATTATCCCAATTCTCCGTGAAGAATCATTGCGGCGCAAGATCAACCGACGAACAGGGCCAAGGAGAGTATCGCATTCCCGTACTGTTAGCCAAAGTACACGAGCCTCCGGTGTTCCACCTCAGCTTGCGCACTTGAGTATGGAGAGCCATCATGAGAGGCGCGTTTCGGACGCTACCTCGATCCGATCGAATTTGCCTATTCCTGGAAACGACCAGGTCAGTCGGAAAAGTAGTGCAGCCACGACGACCACTATCACCCCAGAGACCACTATTCCACACTTTGCAACCGCCCAAAGATTCGAGACCCGACGAAGCCTAAGACCCGGCAGCAGTGGCAGTGTTGCTGCGGACGACCTCAAAAGGACATTGAAGCGAGGTGAAAGCTCGGGACACGTCAGCTCGGCGAGTACTGACTCTCGCATGTCGGGCTCGCGTTGGGGTAGTGTCATTAGCACGCTGTGGAATGGGAAGAGGAGAGATTCGACAGGTTTGACCACTCCTAGCCAGCCCTACAGCAGCAACCCTACATCCCCCACCAAATCAGGACCGGGAGGACGTCGGGATAGGTTGGCAGAAATGGTTCGAGAAGTCGGCCCTGAAGGATACCGCCGAACAGACGATCGCTTTCACAGGACTGAGAGCAATGGCAACGGGCCCACAAAACCGCGTGGATTCGATGATCAGGCCGTCGAAGATGCTCCTGAGAGGGTTCCCTTTCCCGAGCGAGTCCCTGACCCCAGTGGTGACTTCCGTTCACCAGTTAAAACATCAATCAATGCGGAGGACGGGGTAATCGACGTTGACATTCCCTTCCCGGACTACATTACGTCTTTCGAGACCGCGGTCAGTTCACCGTCGAGTAGTGGCTATCTATCTACGCCGGGCATTGGCAATGGTTTGGAAGGCTTTGAGCAGTTTTCCCGCATTACCATTGACGGCGATTCGCCGATGAACGTCGCCGGCTTCCTCCAGCGGTATCATCAGGATTTCATCCTCCAGGCGGTCCCTCCCCAGGACACCCTTATGGAGGACATCAAGAAGTCTATGCGCGCCGAGCCGACTCCGTTCATCACGCAGCCCTTCTACTCTGCTGAGCAGCCTGCCGATCGATG